AGAAGAAGAAGAAGAAGAAGAAGAAGAAGAAGAAGAAGAAGAAGAAGAAGAAGAAGAAGAAGAAGAAGAAGAAGAAGAAGAAGAAGAAGAAGAAGCTGCAAACCAAATATACATCGGTGGAGAAGTTTTTAGAGATTGACGATCATCTTTATACTCAGCAACTTAGATATGTTGATACCTTGATAATTTGCTCGTTGCATTCGCTTTCCCAATTCGGCAGAATTGCTGACTCTTTTGGCGTGCTTATAATTCCGCGCTCTGTGCTGTATACAAGTTGTTCCACCAGTTACATAGGTATTGCCTAGGCGGTATGTCCAATGCTGTGATCCAAACCAAATACTATCTTGGAACCTGCAAAGAATCAAACACAACACACCCTACTGAAGAGATATGCTGCCTCCCGTAGAGTCAAGTGTATTGGCTTCTAATCCCAGCTTCGATGTGCTGTATCGCGACCTTTGCACGAACAAGCTCAATGTAGACGGGACTACCAGGACCGACGCGAAGCAATATAAAGAGCGCGAATCATTCAATGAAGTAACGAAGCTGCATTCCCGATGGCGACAAAATTTTGGCTGACGCTTCAGCAAAGGACCTACGCAGAGCTCGCATATTGGTTGCGAAGAAGAATCTGATCCAGACGTACCTGCCGGCGACGGCATCGAAGCAAAATGAGTATCCAGACGAGGTCCGCCCCCAATCTCATAGGCATAGCATTTTCGCAAGCAGCTTACCGTCCTGTCCTCATAGCTGCGAGAATTGATTACCGTGATCACTGCAATATTGAGCTCAAATATCACAGATGATGACGCCGATTTACTTCTAGACGACGTGGAAAAGTTCAAGGTGAGATACAAATCTGTGCTTCTAATTGTGCATATATGGACAATACATTAATGAAATACCGATTCAGGCGAACATCACCTTTCTGTCGGGCTCGCTATCAAGATCAATAGCTGATGATCTCAACCTCCTCGCACGCGTCGCTTTTCCAGAGGCCGATTCCGTAATGCGTCAACTCATCCCCTCAGTAGCGAAACTCCGACATGACACTGCAGACTCCAAGGCAAACCTCGCAGCCACTCGGCTCGAGCTAGCCCAGGAAGCGGCCGACGTGCATGCGATGCAGCGCAAAGTGATCGAGACCAGTATCCGCATCCTCGAACAGACCATTCACGGATCCGTCTCGCGCAATACCAAAGCGAAAGCCGATTATCTTGCGACTTTCGCCGAAGGCATGAACAAGAAGCTTCAACTGCAGCATAACCAGCTCTTGAACACCGCCTATGCACCGGAGATGCAGGAAGCGCTGGAGACACGCACCACACAGCTTGAGCGCGAGAAACTGATACTCCAGCGCAAGGTGCGGGAGGCGAACGAACGGCTTGCCGAATATACGCGATCGAAACCACTCTCCGAGCTGGGACGGGATTATGCTGACATTCGAGCGGAGATTGAGAAAGTTCGGCAGGATTTGACGAAGCTGGGCATATCGTGAAGGATGATTCCGAGCGAAGATTACTTCGTGCGGTGGAGTACCCTCGCGGCTCCAGCAGTCAACCTGAACTTTGCAATTTCCCGGCTCATTCAAAAATCGGTGACTCTTCCATTGTAGCTCCAATCGCCCTGCCAGCGCAGAGGATCATTCTTGGGCCCTCCAACCTCGCCCGTTTGAGGGTTCACCTCTCCCTCAAACTCTGGCGCCGCACCTCTGCGCACATTGGGATGCAGCTCTTCTCCATCTCCTTTTGCAACCACTCGCGCCTTCTCGCGCAACTGCTCCAGCATCTTCTCTGTCTCCGGCGATCTCGTGCTGTTCATTTGCGTCTCTGCTGTGTCGACGACCTCGACCTTAGCGGCTTCAGCAACCGGCTCGATCTGACGTGGCGTGCTGAAAGCACCAGTAGATGACTGTTGCAGCTTCTCGAAGATTTCCTGGTCTTCTTTGGGAAGGCGAGGTGGCGCAGGCCCGGTTGACCATCTGCTTGGCCTGGCAATGGTGGTTGTGAAATTGCGAGAGAAGTAGCCTGCACGCATATTCCACGTGGCTGCAGCGATGGATCGCATGTTGGCCATTTTCTGATGGAGGGTTTCGGTGGTGTAACTATTTTATCGATGGATCGTGTCGTGCATGCTCAACTATATAGAATTATTACAACTCTACTTAGATACCTGGATGTGCACTCAATCGTGGCGTCACACAAATCAAATATGGCCCGTGCACCGGCTGGATCTGGCTGCATTTGCCTCCTCTCTTACGTCCCTCCAGATTCACAGGTGCCAATCGAACAACTTCCGGTGCTCACATTGCATCACACGTGAGGGAGGCAATGTGCGAGGCAACGTTAGAACTACATTACAGACCTGTTGATGGTCATGTGCGAGAATGCAGTGACAAGTATACGTCGCCTTTGACAAGCGTGTATAAAATACCTGAACGGTCGTGACATCATGTCTCATTATTGTAGAAACAAGATTCATTAATCTTTCTTGGTCCGCGACGTTGTCCTCGACAAGCTTGAACTTCCTCTCAAGGTTCGTCTGCGTCTGGCCTCCAGAAACGCGAAGGCCTGGGCCACACACGCTTGTAAAGACTGATGGCCACGGAGTCCAGAGGGTTGATCTTACCATCGAACGTTGCCTTGAAATAACCGTGAGTTCCCAGTGCCTCCTTAATATGTCCACTGCGACCACGTTTCGTCCATAATTCCAACGCACGGAAGTACGCAATATCTTCCTGATTGAAGAACATGTATCGGACTGTGACCACCTTCCTGTGGATTTTATAAGGATGGCCGGTGAGGGTGATTCGTTTGGCAATGACACGGCCAGTGGAAGGAGGGAGCAAGGTCCCTGTTGCGATCAATTGCAGGCTGGTGCCCTCAGTATCCAACCGTATGGCCTGAGCGAGATCTTCAATCTCATCACTGGCTGGTTTTGAGTTGCTCGTCTTGAAGAAGAGGCATGGCACGCTACCCCACGTCATAGGGCCGATGAAGGTGGCCACGGCAGTGCGCCCTGGATGCAAATAGCGATCAAATTTGTGCACATTGTTCGGAGTGTTTCCCAATTGGCTGAAAAGTGGGTTGATAACGAGTCGTCGTGGACCACACTGTAGGATGAGCTCCTCCTTACTCCTGAGCGGTGTAGGATAATTGGAAGATAATGACATGGAAACGTTGATGGAAGTGCGTTTGTGTTCGTGTTTCAGCAACGAGAACAACGACATTGGCCGAGGAAGAGAGGCAACCTCTTGCTGTTGCTTTTCCGACAATATCAGGTGGACTTTGACCCGAGTACCAGGCTTTACACCCCCGTTGAGTGACTCCTTCAGGACGCGATTCTTGGCCGCTTTATAGTCCGCAATTTCTAAGAGACGACTCCATTCTTCTGGCTCATACGGCTTATCTTCTTCCATCTCCCACGCGCTTGTTCTGAGATTCTTCAAGCCACGGTATCTCGCCAGTCGCTCTCGAGCAAGTACCCCTGGATGAAGCTCGATCTCGTCGGGGAACTCGAGATCTTCTTCTGCTTCTTCGCGCCGTTGCCTTCTGTAGGCTTCTAGTTGGTCTGCTTCCTCCTCTGGCGCGGGATCTAAGAATGCTTCGCTCTGTGGATACTCAGAAGGACCACCGTACTCTGTTGGCTCCTGCATCACGTTGTCAAAGTGCCCGTCGGCCGGACCTAATGCAGTAGAGTCGGCATCCGGTTCAAGCTCATCGTCGTCATCTACGTCTTCCATGTCAGATCCTGAATCAGACATGTCGCCGAGATACCAGGCTGCTTGATACTTGCTAGTCCCTTTCGGCAAACGCTTCGGTGCATTGGAATCATTCGGCTCATCATCGTCAAAGTAGTGATGATCGTCGAGTAGGACAGCTTTCCGTTCTGAAGGCGCAACGGATACAGCCATTGTGTCGTCCATAGTCGCTTCTTCAGGAGCAAGCTCTGCCAGATCATCCTGTTCCTCAGAGGGCTCCTCAAGCAATTCCTGCTCTGCAGTTGCATCTATGGCCATGGTGTCCGTTGCTGGCTTGTTTAGAATTCGTGTGAGTGGCGCAGCAGATATTTTTGCGATCTGGAAATCGCCCCATTCGCCAACCTGGACAAGTCTGTCTGCTTTCAAGCCTCGCCCCCTTACAACTCCCGTCACCACAGTCTCGCCGTTCTCGGTATTGAACTCTTCAACAAGCATCCAGCTTCTATCCTCTCGCCAGCGGATTCCCTTCGGGGTCAGTGTGCAGAGACTGCGCATGACGTTACTGCAATCTTGACGACTGCTCAAATCATGAAGCTTTTCCTGCGCAGCGAAGAAGTGGGTAATGTAGCTCTTGAGGCTTTTGGAGACGTCAGGTCTCCGCTTTGCTGGCTCGATTGTGTTCAGACCATAGATACCCGTCAACACAGTGGACACGCCCTGCGATTCAACACAGCGCAAAATCCGTTCGCCTTTTTCATCGACTTCTTTGTGTGCGCTGAGTGCGAGGAGCACAAAATCAGCCATCCTGCAAGCATCTAGACAAGATAGTAGGTCGCGGGCTGGGGTCAGATACTGAACGCGCTGTTTGAAGCGCGGGATCTCCACCCTCCAAGGCCCGGATGCCGAGTCTCGCGTGTCCTCAACATCAACGCTTGAGTTCAGTGTCTTGACTATCTCGTCCTGCTTCACATCATCACAAAGGGGTATGATAGCGATAATTCTTGGCGCTCCATCTCTGCCAGCAAACAATGAGCCCTCTTCCTCTTTACGAGCGTGATGATTGATCCGTCGCTGCTTGGCTCTATTCTTACGATCGAATTTCGACATGACTTGCTGATGCGGTGTCTTTCGGGAGCCACCTTCGAATGCCTCAACTTTGCCCTTGGCCTGATTTTTGAGGGCCGACTTGGACGCGTGGCGAGTCTTGAAAGATTTGTTGACCGTTTTCGTTGTTGAACGATGGTGATGTTGAGTGGCGGTGGCCGCCATTTTAGCACGCCTCTGGCCGTCACCACCAGCCTTGAAACGGAAAGGAAGTGAGTTCTCCAGAATTTCGGATTGCTGCTCCGCTCCAATATCAGGTTCGAGTAGCTGAATGTCAAAGCCTGTCGCACTGTCTTGGTAAAGTAAAGGGTGATCAACACTGCAAAAAATGACAATTGCGATCCGCAAGAACCCTTTATCGATAAGATGATGTCCTCTGAAAAATCCGAAATCTTGGCGGGCTTTTTCCTCTCGGGCCGCAGACAGGATGGCACAAAGAGGAGGGGCATTCCCGCCCGACCTGCGCAAAATACAAATTACAGTAAACTGCCGCTACTTGAGAGGCACTCATTGAGGGAGATTCCCAGCAAATTTACATGAATTGTTTCACGCACGTCATCAAGGTTGCCGACGTGCACGTCAATGAACCAAACGCGTCGTCGTCCTGAGTGAGACTGGAATTCAACCGACCACATATCTTCTACCCTTGTATTAGTACTATGTGGTATTCTACTCATTGCATATGGATGAATATGATGAGCGATGTATGTGCAATTCAATAAATATTAACGTGACTGGTGATTGCCCAGCTATCGCCTCAGGTCTCGCTCGGCATACAGTATGATGACACTGATGCGCATCATGGCTGATGAACAAAGCCGATAATGCCGAACTGAAGCATATAGAGAAGCAATTCCGATTCCGGAAGATTGCCGGAGGGAAGTCTTGATATCTGCGCCGCTTTGTGTTCCTTGCTTTGGACCGAAACCAGAGTACAGTTGCTCCTACACATCGTTGACGTTACGTCTGCTCGTGAACGACGCCAACATGTCGACCAAGCTCGAGTCGGTGTATGAGCTGAGATGCTCCTGTAATGACTATCCATGGGGAAAGAAGGGAAAGGAATCTCTAGCTGCTAAATTGTGCGAACAGCAACATGGATGGACTGGGGACGGCCCTGACAGTGTGTTCAAGATCGACGACAGCAAAGCTTACGCAGAGATGTGGATGGGTACATACCCCGAGTTGCCTTCATATATTGCAGGTACCGGAGAAGATCTCCAAGACGTGTTGGATAGATATTCGAAAGAGCTCGTCGGCGAGGAGACGCTGAAGAAATTTGGTCATTCCAAGCTGCCATACTTACCTAAAGTACTTTCCATCAGCAAGGCACTCCCGTTACAAGTCCATCCGAACAAGGAGCTGGCCGCAAAGCTGCACAAGGAAGATCCGGAGCAATTCACTGATCCCAACCATAAGCCAGAAATTGCTATAGCATTGTCGAAATTTGAGGCCTTCTGCGGCTTCAAGCCAACTCAGGACATTGCCGATCTTCTCACCATTGAGGCTTTGCACAAATTTCTCCCAGAAGGGAGCACAAAGGGCAAAATCGATAACGACCAGTTGAAGACTGTGGTGGGAAATATACTCAAGGCCGATGACAAGACCATTCGCGATACCTACACTGCCATTACCAAACTACCTGGCTCTGCTTTTGGCAAGTATGACTTTATCCCGAGCCTGGCGCCTCGCTTGGCTGAACAATACTCCGAGGCCGACCCCGGTACCCTTGTAGCCTTGATTACAATGAATTACCTTGTGCTGGAACCTGGGGAGAGCATCTATATCCCAGCGGATGGAATACACGCGTACCTTTCCGGAGACATCATCGAGTGTATGGCTCGAAGCAACAACGTGCTCAATACCGGCTTCTGTCCTCGAGCCGAGCGCAACAGCGTTGATCTCTTTTGCTCTACTCTGACCTTCTCCCCACATTCGATCGAGGAGTGTATGCTCCGGCCCAAGTCATACCATCGAAGCAAGAACGGGAAAACGAAATTATTTGCTCCGCCCATGAGCGAATTTGACATGCTAGAGACCACGCTGAAAACCGGCGAGCACGAGACTTTGGGCGCGGCAGGAGGACCGAGCATTCTGCTCGCTACCAAGGGCGATGTCGTGTTGAAGGCAAGCGGCAAGTCTTACAACGTTACTGAAGGCTCAGTATACTTCATCGCCCCCAAAGTTGAGCTCGAATTGGAAGGAACGTCGTCAGCGCAGCTACATATTGCGTTTGTTGAGGGCAGCACAAAGTGAATGAGTAGCGACAGATATAAGGCCCATGGCGTAAGCGCTTTGACTCGAATCATTATATTTCGTCAGTTCTATGGATGATGCCTGATTATGTCCTGCGAGTGTAAACTTAGCGCAACAACCTGAGCACGTGCCATCTTTAAAATGTAATGAATTGCTTGACTTGTCTTATATCATTGACTTTTGATCCTGCACGCTGAGATTTCCCAGTCCATCTTGGGTGCTCTTAACGGTCGCATTGTCGGTATCTTGTCCCGGCGACGGCCCTGCTGACCTCTTTTGTTTTTGCTGCCACATGGAGGTCGCCTTCTGATATGCGCCGCTCGCGCTGGCTCCAGCCGAAATCAGCTGGTCCTGTGCCCACCCGACCTGAAAATGCTTATTAGCCATGCGTGCTTAAAGTTGTTCACTGTTCGCCGGACTGTACTCACATAGCTGCGCTCGTTCTGCTGTGCGATGTCTTTCTCAAGCGCATTGATGGCGTCTTCAGAAATATCCTTCTCACTGCCAGCAGTCGAAGCACCCTTCGCTAACTCCTTTTGCTCATCGTTGGCACGATCCCGTGCTTCCTTGGCCTCCTGCTCCTTAAGAGCAGCCTTCTCCAAAGCGAGCTCCTCTGGATCGATGTTCTCAAACCCTATCCTATCCAAGATCGTACCATTGAGGAAACGGTAGCTAGTATGGCCGCTCACGATATCACTGACATCCACATTTTCAACCCCAGCCACACCCTGGATTGCCTGAAGCCCTGCAATGCCGTACTGGATGCTTTGACTTCGATAGAGAAATCCAAGAATGTAGTCTTTAGTGCTGTAGACATTCACCACTCTCCCTGAAACGACGCTGCGGATTTTCCGCCAGTCTGCCGAGGCTGACGATGCAGGTGTGCCAACGAAGACCACAGATTCAACGAGTCCAAAAGCCTTACGCTCTGCGAGCTTCTGTAGGCATGTGTAGATGACCTTGCCCCCCAGACTGTACCCGATCAGAGTAACAGGGCGCTCTCCTTGCGCTTTGTTGATCAGCGCATCCGCGAGAACCTCTCCAGCTTTGATTGCACGAAAGTGCGCAACACTAAAAGGGTTGTCAATAACACGTCCGACTTTCAGTAATGCTAGCGGCCAGAGACCAGCGGTCAAGCTGGCAAAAACTGTGCGCTTGATGATCTCGGACTTGGCGTATCCCCATGCGAATGATTTGACCATGCTTGTCATCGCGTTTCCGAGGCCCATGAGCGATTCTAGTTCGAAGCGAAGTGCAAAGGTCTCAATATCGGTACCGAGCACCCTCCAGGGCTCATACACCTCCTTGGGATTGGTCAGCCACCCGCTGACACCAATGGCGACTCGTAAACGTCGGGTTTCGTTGGTAGCCTTAATTGCTGCAGTGGGCGCTCGCACCGGCACAAATGCGAAGTCCTCGACCTCGCGCGCGTACTGATCCATCATCTGGGACGTCATACGCCCACCGTACGCACCGAAAAGACCACCAACAAGGATCGAGCTACCGGCAAGGGTGCCTAGATAACCTGCGGCAGCCGTAGCTCCCAAGCCCAGGCCTCCCATCACGCTACCGACACCGGCTGCAAGCAATGGAGCTGCAAGACCGCCAGTGACACCGATCAGCGCTGCGCCTGCAACGGCGGCGAGACCGACCTGCCATTTGCGAGAGCCCTGATTGTCGTCTGCCCGCTTCTTGGTCTCGTTGTCGGCATTCAAGTTCTCGGCTGCAGTGAGTAGGCCGCGCGCAATCTTGTTCTCGTCCGAGGTCGCTAAATATATCGGCAGGTCTAGGGAAACCGTGAGGCGCAAGAGTAGGATTCGAGACGGGGCTTGATAATGCTCGAGACTCAAGAGGAGAAGTAAGATCGAATGGACAATTAATGCTCGTTTGGCTTCTGGGAGTTCCCTAAGCGTGTTCTCCACTGGAGGGTACAGCTTTCGCAGAGCAATTTGGATATTCTCATCATGGTGAGATTTGTCTTGCTCCAGAGCTGCGCTTGTAGATGTTGGTACTTCCCCAACGCTTGATGTTGTTTCTTGCTGTTGTGAGTCGTTCGCATCCCGCGCGTTGACTACCTCACCAATCCGTTGGATGACGCTCGAATGCCACTCCTCAAAGTGTCTCAGAGCTGCCGCTTTGAGACTTTGCATAGATGCAGCGTTGATTTCTTGCTCGCGGCTCGCAAGCTCCTTGGCCGACTTTTCCTGCCGGATCATGTCCGAGTTTGCGACCACTTCGCTCGCAGATGGCGCAGTAGTATCGTCGATATCGACGAGCTTTTCCACCTGTTCGCCTGTCTGAGTTGCGTCGAAGACATCGACGATCGACTGGTGCATGGCTTGCATGCAGTCCGCCACGAGCAGAGTCAATGCACTGCGCTGCTCGGAGATCCTCAGGACAGTCGTAAGCGATTGTCCATCCTCTCCTTGACTATTCTGTTTGCCTGCACCAGGACCGGCACCAGTGGCCCAAGGGACGTTTTTGAACATGCTGTGTGGAGGGGTGCGCCTCAGAAGAAGCGGCTATGTCTCGTGATGTGGTTGTTGGGGTTGGGATTGTGACTGAGGTGATCCTTCGACCGCCTCTGTTTGCATTAAGATCACATTGCAAAAGAGCAGCTGGATGTTCTACCAGCTAAAGTAGATTTACTCATCGATTGCACTGCATTTGTCTGTAGCGGCACGCTTGATGCCTCGACAGTGACGTCAGCAGGGATAATGCGATATTTCCTGAAGTCGACCTGTGTAGATCTCCAGCTATAAATTTCTCCCGAGGCTCGCTTTCTCTGCGAATAATACTGCGCCAACAAACCTCGAAACCGACGACATAAAACATAGGTGATGTGCGAAATTCAAGTCGAGTAACCAGACATAGATTGCGGGCATTACTTTTGAGCTGGCTAAGTAAACGGATAGGATGCCGAATGGTTATTGTGGAAATAGTGAATGTCTCGAAACAAACGGACAACGAGAATGTTATTGAGGGCAGTCGGCGGCGCCTGCTTCCTTTCACCATCGGCTTTTGGTGCCCCGAGCCCGATGTCCGTGCTGCTGCTGCCGCCGCCGCTGCTTGCTGCTGCAACGCAATCCGACCCCAACGTTATTCCAATCATGCCACCATTACAGGATGCTGCGTTGTATCGAGTTTGATTTACAGTATTAGTGGGCAACCCTGAGTGTGTTGTTCACCACGATTGCTTGCGTGTATCGCCCGAACACTCGAAGCTCGTCCGGGCGACAAATCTTGCATACTTATTATTTGAAGCCAGAATGGACAGTGCCCAGGCGAAACGCATTGTGGCCCCTGTCACAGAGTCCGACTCTCCTCTTACTCAACAGACCAGGCCCGATGTCTTTGAACCCAAAGTAGTCGAGCTGTACCGCAGATTGTTCAGGGTGTGTCTTGATTCTCCCAATAGATCAAGTTTGTCAACACTAAAAGGCGCATCTGACCCCACCCACTGCAGGAAGTCGACGATGACGAAAAAACCGAAGGCTTCTGGCGGACCTTCTTCCTGTTAAAACCTGAGGTTGATGCGCTTCGAGAGATCCTAGCTAGTACCGACGGGGATTACCTGCTTCATGTCCAGGTATTTGATGCTCGACCTCGCCAACGGACAAGTGTCATAAAGCTCACAAGTCCCAGCACCAACCTCAACAACTACTGCTTGCAGCGGTGTCACATATCAAGGAAGGCGTTGCACCATCAGACGAACATGCTCTTGATGTAAGAGAAGACTCCATGCAAACGTAAATGGCCATCCGGTTTATGACTTAGACCCTCACAGTTTTTTTCACGGTCATCTTGGCCAAGAAATTTCCAAATACCAGCTCTGACTTGATTGAAGTGCTAGCTGGTCTAGATCATGTCGATTCGGTCTTCTCAGAGCTGGTCACCACTCTTGACAATGCCATCAAAGACGGTCGCACCGGTAAGCCGAATTGAGCAATTGTCGAACGATATTTTCTGATTATATCCAAGTCGAGGTGCGCCACAAAGCCGTCAGCACGGCCATAGCGGTTGTTTCAGGAGGGTATCAGACTGCTCTCGTATCGTACTTTATCCACCGCGACCTCTTCCCTGCTCTGATGAAGGTATGTTAAACTGACAGACATGCAATCCGGGATAGAATTGACACATGGTAGCTGATACATCAGCTGGACAATGCCCTCCAAGCTGCGAAGCCATTACTACTGACTGGCCTGCTGGCGAACTACAATAAGTTTGAAGTCCACAATCAATACCGCGTCCGTTTCGCAGACTTCGTGAATGAGGAAACGATGGCACGCGTCGTGCGCAGCATCTCATGGACTACAATATTGCTTCGCGAGAAGTACGTTGCAATTCAAGACGATGTCCCGGCGGGTTGGGCAGTGAGCATTGGCAGTACGCTGTCATATGTCGGTCTTTCGTCTATCACTGGCGCAAAGCCACCCGTGCCAGCTTTGACCGAAGAACAGCAAAAAGAATTGTTTGCAGAACAGTAAGTTCGCTTCACAAACCCCATAGAGTGTAACTGATCAAAGTTGTCGCGCAGACCGAGTTCAGAGGCGGCCATCCTGTTGACCTTATTCGACTTTGTGCTTGCAAACAAATTGTTCTGCCAACATTTCGTCACAATGCCCGGAGATGAAAAGGGACAGGCGACACCATTCAGCAACTTCGTCTCTTTCTCCTCATACCTATGCCAGCATGCATATCGCAATTCGCGGGCTGCATCCTACGCTTACCTGAGTATACTTATTCTCCTGATACTGGTGGAAGATGTAACGATCATGCGATTGCTTTGCGAGACTTCTTCCCAGGTTCGACTGTGTCGACAGAGACCACCGTATCTCCCTTTGGTGAAAGCTGATCGGCCCTACATTTCGGCGACATTGGATGTTCTTGTCGATGGGCTCAACCACAATCTGAAGAAGCGTCTAGACACGAAGTTTTACGTGCAGATAATCACCACCATCACACGGACTTTGACGTTCCTCATCAAGACCCGTAACAAGCTGTATTATCACTGGGCGGAACTTTGGCGATCGTTGCTGTCATTCACGCGCTTTCTGACGGTATACGCCGACGACTTGAAGTCCTTAGTAGATACCGAGGAGCTCGTCCAAAGCCTCGTCAACCTGCTTGCATTATCGCTAACCAATGGCGAGACCTTCGTACCGACGGCTGGAGACTACGACGATTTGTTCTACAAGTTGGTTGAATCAGGCGAGGCTCTCGTCAAATTTCGAGACGCATATTCTATCAGCAGACCAGGCGACACTAGCCCGATGAACACCCTGATCGGAGTGTCTGAACACTACCAGGAGCTCATTAAGGCACAAAAGGGCAAGGGTCGGCACATCAGTCCGCGGGAAGTCACGAGAATAATCCAGCAGGGCTACGAAACACTGTCACTGGACATCACCGAGGGGCTAGATCACGTTGAGTTGTTCCGTGAAGTCGATCACAAAACAGAGCTCAAGAAGATTGCGCGGGTATCCGTTGCAGATGCCGTGACCCTGATGACTTAATGCTCTGGCTTTGGCCATCTATGTCTCGAATTGGAGGGTCATGACCAGCCTACGGCATATGAGCGATAGCTGGTCGCCGATGCCGTATCACCGCGAGCTACGACGCGTCCGGACATCCAGAGCTTCCGATACGACGTTGAATGCCCATTGCACACAAGCTGTCAGGTCGGATGCTGCGTCGGAGGGAACAGCTTCAATCTGGAGATCATGCAGCATTTGATCATTGTACTTTCCTTCCACATTGCCTTCGCGAAATAGGAATGCGTGGTCAGCCACGTAATTTGGCCATACAATCTGGTCGACATAGCCTGGAGGATCCTTCCAGAAACCCTCGAGGGTGACATAGCCACTCCTCGCTTCCCTTCGTGCTTTACAGGTGGAGTGATCGGCTCGCAGAAACATCTTGACATCGAAAGCATCACGTACGGACTTCATGCCCTCGGAATAGAGGAGAAAGCCGTCGATGATGGCAATTGGCGGGGCATCAGCGTACATCCACCGACTAGCACTCCATCTCAGGTCATCAATGACCGTCTGATCGACCTTGACTTCCCCGACCGAATTCTTGTCCTCTTTCGAGTCGAGGTCAGGTGGAGACGTGCCGTGCTGCCGGATATATGCTAGTGCTTCTTCCAACGCCGGAATGTTGATAGATTCCAGACAATCCCAATCTGCCACTCCGGCTTTGACCGGAATCTCAGTGTCCGGCTTGTAGAAATCGTCTTCGTGAAGCACGAACGTCCGGGGAAAGATGTCCCGCAGTAGACGTGCGATTGTGGTCTTGCCTGAAGATGACACGCCCGAGAGGCCCACCAACAGAACATTGTTGTCGGCCATGACAGCTGTCCAGCTGCTCCGTCTTTGTCGATGCCCAGATTGAGTTTGTTTACTCGGGGCAGCGAGATAGTTCAATTCAGCTGATGGAATAGTGAGTGCCGCGTTATTATGTGCAACGCATCTGCTGCGACGAGGAGGGACCTGCGACACATTCAGAAGCGACCAGTTGATATGTTCAGCACAGGACTGATATCTGATGAGCCGCTTGTCACCCACACAAATCTACAATCGAACTAGACAGGTCTGGAGACGGATCCAAACCCTGGAAGCCTGAACTCATTAATAATAATTTGGTGCATGCCAGGTGATACGGTGCAGAGCTGCAGAATGCAAACAGCCCGAGTCAGCCCAGAACTTCTCGCAGCACGGACCGTGCCCTCTTCCCGCCCGGCTTTGTCCTGTCGCTGCTAATACAATTCTGCAAGCAGCCAGTACGTGCATGCCTACATTACAATATATCCTTCTTCATCTCGAGCTTCCGCGATCGAGTGCTTCTTGGAATCGGACTCGGTGTCTTCCAAGTCTCTCAGCTGCCATCAACAACAGGCGGTCGCCAGTCGCCTTTGGAAACCGCGCGTCACCTTCCATACGCCTCTTGTCACACCGCCATTGCGTTTTACCATCCTTTTCCTTCACCTGTCGTCGCACATCGCTATGGCTCAACCTCCGGATATTTCGCAGATTCTGGCGAGACTGGGTATGCGCATGCTTCTCTCCTCTTGGATCGGTGCCATTCGCTAATATCTAGGTCAGCTCAACAACAGTCCAGCGGTGGGCCTCCACAGTCGTCGACACCGCAACAGCATATTCCTCACCCACTCCCCGGATATGCCCCAGGTGGGATGCCTGGCGCGCCGCCCGGTGTGCTACCGCCAATGCCTTCATATCTACCCCAACCATCAAGCACTGGAAGTGTCGACTTGAGCGCCATCAAACCTGTGAGCAGTGGTTCTATGAACATCGCAGATGCTATAGCAAAGGCACGGAACATCGCTGCAGACCACGGCATCTCTCACTCAGGTATGCGCACGATCAGAAAGCATCTCATCTGTCGCATACAGTACTGATCCATTATTTAGCGTCGAATCGCAACGACCCACGATCCGGTGGCCGCCGATCGCGATCACGCTCTCCACGGCGCAACTCCCAAAATGCTAATCCTTATCGTGATGAGAGAAGAGAAGAGCCGCGCCGAGGCGCTTTCCGCCGAACACCGTCGCCTGATAGATCTGGTTTCAGGGGAAGCCGCGACCCTCCGATCGGATTTCGCGCAAACGATGGTGACACGGAAACTATTCGCGTCAAATCTGCACTTGTGGGCCTGATCATCGGACGTAACGGAGAGAACCTGAGAAAGGTCGAGTCTGAGACTGGAGCGCGAGTACAATTCATCCAAGCCAAGGATTCACATGTGACCGAGCGCCAGTGCACTATCAGTGGACCTCTGCGCGCAAGGGAAAGTGCAAAGGAAGCAATCTTCCGGGTGATCGACGAGAACGGTGGGTCCTCCTCACAAGAAAAAGGAGCATACACAGCAGGCATGCCGGGACGAGCCAAGGTCAATTTGCCTGCCCTCCGAGAGGGTGAGGCTAGCACTCAGGTCATGGTCCCGGACAAGACGGTCGGCTTGATCATTGGTCGAGGGGGCGAGACGATCAAGGACCTTCAAGAACGTAGCGGTTGCCACGTCAATATCGTGGGCGAGAACAAGAGCGTCAATGGGCTTCGTCCTGTCAATCTTATCGGCAGCGAGCAGGCTACAGCGATTGCCAAGGAGCTCATCTTGGAGATTGTCGAGAGCGACAACAAAGGAGGCGCGCCTGCTAGTGCAGGAGCTGCCTCGCGGGACCGACCTTTCGACACCAGCAACCAGAACCGCAGCGTGAGCAGCGGCGGCGGAGGACGCGACCATGTCGAAAAAACCATCCAAGTCCCATCGGAAGCTGTCGGTATGATTATCGGTAAAGGCGGCGAGACCATCAAAGAGATGCAGCGCGCGTCGTCGTGCAAGATTAACGTGAATCAACCCAAGCCACCGGACATCACCCGCAACATCGACCTTTCTGGCACGGTACGAGCAATGGAAGATGCAGAGCGGATGATTTGGGAAAAGGTCGAGACTGTCCGACAACGCGACGCTGCGGCTGGTCGCCCGCATGGACGTGACCAGGGTGCCAGCCAATACGACGCATACTCACAGCCCCAACAGCCCTCCGCCGGATATGGACAGTATTATGGTGCCTCTAGTGCCGGCCAGGCAGCACCCCAGTCCTCGGCATACCAGATGCCTGGGCAACAGGCTGGACCCACGGGACAACAATCTTCGAGTGACCAAAATGCCTCTGAACAATATGCGCAATGGTATGCGCAATGGTACGCATCCCAGCTGGCCAACCTCCAAGGCCAGCCTGGTGCGAATGCTGGAGCGCAGTGAGCCTTGCCTAGTGGTGATGCTGAACGTATCGTGACGACGATGATACCCGCCGTGATGGAATGCTTCAAGTCTTGATGTCCGTTCGTTCGACCGTTGAAGACTGCGTCATTCACACCTCACCGTAATGATTCATACGACGTGCCCGCATGACTGTCATCTGATGTTGTGACCAAGCTCCAAGGGTGGAGGGTTCTCATGTGCCAACATGCTTTCAAAATTGACCAGGAAAACATCTCGTCGAAGTGGTGATGGTATCTGTCAGTTCAAAGTCCTGATTTGCATGTTCGTATGCGTTGCAGTGCTTTGGTACGTGCGATCGCGGGCTATTACCCGAAGCTCAGGCTGGCTATGAAGTCGCTGATTAGGTTGCTTGCTGCCTACAGTTCTCGTCTGCACAATGTTCGTTATTAGGGCGAAGAGCCGCCGGCAAGCGATCTCGCGGTCCAGTCATCGAAGTTCTTTTGACATGAAGGACAGTGGCGATGTTGAGGAATCGAGCACGAGTGCTGTCCTGCTACCGTCGGAAATACTTGGTTGACAGACCTGCGCTGAATATGTTACCACTCGACGTCAGATCATGAGTTGTGACACGTTCGAAGCTGGATCACCGAGCAAATGTGAAATAAGGCGATGAACGATGTGAAAGGTGTAGATAGTGGTCCCCTCGGCACTATCATCATACTGTCTACTTGTCAGACGGCAAGACAGCTTTTGAGTCGCCTAGCAGGAGGTCAAATATTTCGCTTCCCCTATCGGAATTGTGTCGTATGCTCCCAAAGTGACCTCCTCTGTTCATCCGCTATATTCATTCCGCACGACATCATGTAGAGCCTCCATCTACTGGGAAAGTGCACCCTCACTGGAGAGTCCAGCGCCATGGTTTGTTGGTCGGAAAGGCGCAGTCGGTTTTCCTTTGCCCTCTTGTGCGTTTCGAATTATGCATTGCACGCTGGCGTATAGTTCTGAAACAACAGAACAGGACTTAGGTACCTAGGGAGGCATTGAGTTCGTCCAGGACTGTAGCTGTGAGGTCACCAATGCCCTAACAGCAAAATTCCCCGGCCCGCGACCACTGATGCAGGAGGCGGGCGGGCGCACGTGAAATTCCATGCAACGCGTCAAGCCTGAGGAGTTCCAGCTCGGGTCTGGCTGCAACGGTGATCTCGAGCTTCAGGCTTCTGGATTGAATCCCACAGCGACAGCACACACCACCAATTTGCCCACGGCCTGGCCATGCGGATACGAGAAGCAGCCCGAACAGGTGCGCGGTCAAGAAGATGAGCGTTCCAGCGCTTCTCACGGGTCAGAAGATCGAGCTGAACGACGGCCGCTTTGGTATCATACGGTTCATAGGCTCAACGACATTTCAAACTGGCGAGTGGATCGGCGTCGAGCTTGAAGAGGCGAGCGGTAAGAATGATGGCTCCGTCCAGGGGCAGCGGTACTTTCGCTGCGAACCCAACCATGGAATCTTCTGCAGGGCCTCGGGCATCAATCGCGTGTTGGAAGAACCCAGACCGAAGCCGAAGACTGTGAACACTGCTGCGGCCGCCGTCAGAGCTCGTCCGAGCAGCGTATACGCGCCGACAAATGGCACAAGGAGACAAACGCTGCAAGGCGAGGGGCCCGGGAGAAGGTCTAGTGCAATCATTGGCACCCCGACACCAGCGGGCAGACTCGCAAGTGGCATACGGTCTCCGACCAAGTCTCCCACGAAACAGCTAGGATCCAATGGACCAGCCAGTACATCTACGTCGAGGACGAATACCCCACCAGTCGCAGGCAGGCGGCCTGGAGCTGCCATCCTGGGCAGGGGCAGCAGCGGTGTAGGCCCAACCTCGACTGCAGCTAAGAGGTCGTCCATTGTGCCATCTACTCTGTCACACAAACCGCCCAGACCTTCGTTAGCCAATCCTGCAGTGGCAGCAAGAGCAGCGCCATCCCGACCTTCTCGCGTCCGCTCCGGAACGCTGCACACGGAGTCTCGTCCGAGCGATGCAGACCAATCTCATTCAGCTGCCGAAGACTCCAGCACAAACGAGGGAAGCGAACAAAATGGCACGCTTTCCCCGCGCAACATCGCAGACCCCTATGTCAACCATCGCCGCATGCAGAGCGTGGAGGAAAGCAATCGCCCCAACTTTGCGCCACCACCCATTCCTCCAGAGCCTCCAGAGACCAGTGATCGGTCAGTCAGATCCCGCCGACCATCCTCGCCGACAGCTGCTTCTATACATTCTCAGCGCACCATCAGAAGTTCTGCTGCGTCGAATCGTCTGATCGAAGATCTCGAGACCAAAGTCCGATTGCTTGAGCGAAAGCGTCTAGAGGATCGCGAGCTCAAGCAGGAGCTGGAGAAAGCACAACAGGAACGCGACCATTGCAAGGGTATAATCGAGAAGCTTCAGAGCAAATATAGGCCACAGCAACAGGAGCTCGAGAAGCTCAAAAGGGAGCATGCGGTGCTGGAGCAGACTGCGAAGGATATTGAGGAACTTCGTGCCGATCATGAACAAGAGATGGAGTCAGCCCTCCTAGATCGAGAGGTTGCAGAGGAAACAGCAGAGTGCCTCAAAGCGGACTTGGAAATCCTCCGTGGCAAGAATGAAGAGATGCAGGAAGAGCTCGAGGTTTTGCGGGAGGAAAGTGAAGAGATGAATCGAGATATGAGCCCCGAGGAGCGGGCAAGCACCGGTTGGATTCAGCTGCAGAACAACAATGAGCGGCTCAAAGAAGCACTACTTAGCTTGCGCGACTTGACGAGAGAGAATGAGGCTGAATTAAAGGAGCAAATCGGTAGTTTGGAAGATCAGGTAAAGGAGTTCGATGCGCTGAAGAGAGAAATCGAGGAATCCAAGGAGAAGCTCTTGAAAAGCGAAGCTGACACAATCGACCTGCGACAACAACTCGAAGTAGCCATGAATGCCGAAGAGATGATTGAACAACTCACCGAGGACAACATGAACCTGCGTGACCGAGTCAATGAATTCAAAGGCGCTATCGAGGACCTCGAGAGTCTGAGAGAGTTGAATGACGAGTTGGAGCTCAATCATATAGAGGCTGAAAAGCAGCTGCAAGAGGAGATTGACTTCAAAGACAGTCTGCTTCTCGATCGCGAGCGAACCGCTAAGGAACAACAGGCCGCTCTTGACGAAGCAGACTACAATATTGGTCGTTTCCGAGACCTCGTCAGGCAGCTGACAAGCGATTTGCAAGACCTCGAGGCGAGCAAGCAGATCTCTGAGTCCGAGGCTGCAGAACTGTCCAACAAGTCGAAGGCGATGGTTGATCTCAACCAGAGGCTGCAATCCAGCGCTGCGAAGACGCAAGTTAAGACCATCGATTTGGAGCTTCGTAAACTTGACGCCATGGAGGCCTCGGAACATCTCTCAATCGTTCAGCTCTTCCTTCCGGAATCCTTCCAGGACGAGCGAGACAGCGTCTTGGCGTTCTTGCGGTTCAAGCGAGTTCAGTTCAAAGCGACACTGGTGCATGATTTCATCAAAGAGCGAATTGCATCATTTGGAGCTCGGGGAGACGACGAGGATATCTTTGCCGCCTGTGATGCCATGGATCAGCTTGTCTGGATCGCCGCAATGTCCGAGCGATTCGTCAACTCGGTCAGCAGCTGCAGCATTGATGAATTTTCTCAATTCGGCAGTGCACTTTATGAATTGGAAGTGGTGGAGCGGACGCTCAACGATTACATAGATGGCTTGCGCCGCGACGATCTGCGAGAAGCCGATATGACCGTGCGTCTCAGACGCTCCATTGAAGTGTTGACACATCTGGCCTCGCTGCATATTCGCGACAGTTTAGCGGACCACACCGATCACTTGTATATGCGGACACTTTGCTTGCAAAGTCATCTGGAGACCTCCATTTCTGCGCTGATGCTCACGCACATGCTTATGGAAAAGCATATGCCCACAAAAGGCGACTACACGGAGGATTCGGAGCAGGATGAGGACTTTTCTGACGCGAATTTGATAATGCAGCGACTCAAGTCCGTGATCGAGCTCGCACGGAGCGCAAAGGTAATTTCTGGAAAGACGCATCGCGCGCTGTTCGATCTTCAAACACGGTCGTTAACTCTCGAACAATCACTTGCGGAACCGTTTGAGAACGTGGAGAAGGTTGCTGCGGAGATTTCGAATTACACGCGGCAGAGTGGAGCATCTCTGCACAGCATCTTGCACCACGAAGAGCACTCCGATGTCCTATCTCCGTTGGAGGTCGCTGGTGTCCTTTCACGCACAGCCTCAAGTGTTTTCTCTCTTTCGGTGTCGGAAGCTGGACCATACGTGACACTTGCAGGACGGCTTCGTGATATTGGCTCACTTCTCTCCGAAGTCTCCTTGCTCCCCACTGATCTCGACAACACAATAGAATTCGAACGGTCCTCGGCACCGTGGATTGCCCGTGCTGAACAGCTAAGTCAAACCAAGATTGTGTCCATCGACACAGCGGCCGAGCTGGCTCGTGTCCGTGAGTCTGTACGAGAGCGTGATACAATGCTCAAGGGCAAAGAAGCCGAGCTCGAGGAGCAAAGCGTCCGAATTGAGATGCTTGAAGCACGCATGAAAGATGCAAGCAAGCGATCGGCAAGAATCGCCGAACTCGAACGCGCCCTCCATGAAGCTAACGAAGCCGAGAAAGTCGCCAAGAACGACCTACTTCAAGCACGCCATGAAGCTCAGCGCGACGTGGATATGGCTCGCAGCGAGATGACTCGAATTGTGGAAGAGCACGGTCAGCTGGGTCACGCCGAAGAGCTTGACGGAAACGCCGTCGGCGCCAATGCGCGACACGTCATGAAGCGTCAAGAGCACAAGATCCTAGGTCTTGAGGGCGCTATCCGTTTCCTCAAAGAAGAAAATTTCCGACTCCGCCTCCCGTCTCCAGATGCCCCTGTGTCAGTCGCGACCTCTATGGACTGGTTGCATGCGCCCCTGCAAACGCCCACTCACCCTCGTCAGAAGCAATTTCAAACCTTGCAGCGCAAGGGCGCAAATGTGCTCGAGCAGATGCTTGAGCTCGCCTCACGACCTCATGTGGTGGACCTGACCGCTTTGCCTGAGAACAAATTAGCCTGGCGGCCCGCAAAGGAAAGCAGCCGATGGAGGGTCGAGCGGAGGAACGAGGAATGGCTTGATTGGAAACAATGGCGAGAAGATCTCGTTCGGCAGGCTCAATCTTCAAGACCAGGCTATGCTGCCATGCAACCAAGGGCCGGTATTGCTGTACCTGTCTAGTGTTGTTGCCATCGCACACTTGAGGTCGATCTGCATGGATCGTACCGACGATATGTCCTTTAGCGTTTCTGAGAGATCACAATGGATACCCATCAATGCATCGTTATTTTGTCACCATTGGTGTATGACGAAATGAAATTTGCCCCGTCCTAATTGATTCACCTACAGCTATTAATGAAACGATGTGTGAAAGAGCCTTCCACCCGCTAAAGGCGCCCAATTTGACCAATCTTTATCAAGCATACCAGAGAGCTTGGTTGACAACTCATGGTTGACGCTGATCCATCCTCTGCTGCGCAATGTTTCGTCTTGCTGTCAAGAGTGCATGTAGGGAACCATTGTCCGCCGCCCATCTCGCAATTTCTAGAGCAGCGTCCATCCACGATCTGGCGTCGTCATGTTGACAGCGGCCTAGAAAGTCTACTGCACGATTGAAGCATGTCGACGCAAGCCAGTGAAGCTCAGCTGGTGGATAACGATCATGCCTTTCTTTTTGGCCTCCTTCCGCCATCCCGGCGGCTTGCCGAGCAAGAAGGAGACCAAATGGGATCCGCTCGTCATCCAGGCTCAGGGTGAAGGCAATGCGTACCCAGCGAGCAAGTTTGGCAATGTCTTTGTCCTCCTTCCACGTTGCGTTGATGGCTCTCTGCAGCAGGTCCAGGATCACACTATCGGACGCCGGTACGAATTTACCGATTTCATCCTTGGCGATTATCAGGAGGTCGACAAGTGAATCCCATCGTGTAGCCTCTTCGAAGTTCAAGCACGATTCGAGAGCTTTCCGCATTTCGCTCCATTGCCCAAGCTTGAGAATACATTCCACGTCGAACTTGAGTAGCTGGAATGCTCTCTGCTGTAGCCCATTTGGTCCATCTCTCCGAACGCCTTGTGATCTGCTCGGGTAAAGTAAAATGAACGCACTTATGTGACTTCGGACACGACCATAGCTTTCTCGACCGCTTCCATCGACCCCCGCACGGCCAAGGACCATGAAAGCGGTGGCGGAGAGAAAAGAGCAAGTCATTTTTCGAAGTGAAATGTCATCTGTTTGCTCGACATTCGTGCTGTCAGAGCAGTGATCTAAGAAGCTTCGGCACACCGCCAGAAGTCGAATCAGTGTGCCTGGATCAACGTCGGCACAGGCTTGTAATGCCATATTGTAGGCATTTTTACTCCACCATTGCATCTCATCTAGCCAGTGGGTTGGAGTCGCTTGTCGGATGAATTCCTTGCTTCGGCTGGCGGATTCAAATATTTCCAGAATTGCGTGACTCACATCTGCAATCCCGTGCTGAGTTGCTTCCATTTCAGCGATCAAGAGACGTGCAGTGCATCGCAGAATCGAAGACAAATGGGTCCCTGATGGCTTCTTATCGAGAATGGCTTGCAAGGCAACAATGGCTATCGGCCGCATGTCCGATTGTTGTGCATCGAGAACACAAGCATACAGGTAGGTGGGATCTTTGCCAGCGTACTGTGAGATCATCTCGATACTCTCCTCGGCTAAGCCCTGATCATTGCCCATCAGAGCAGCCTTGAACGCGAGATAACGAGTTGATGCCTCGTTGCGTACAGTTACGGGTAGCTGAAAGAATACCTGTCGAGCCAGGTGGACGTCGCCATGGTCAAGCGCGTGAGCCATAGTTCGTCTACATTTTTAAGCATGCTGTCCCAGACCTCAAGGCTGCCATTTGAACTTACCTGCCGATGCGACCTTTGTTGAGATGGCCTGCATTGTCAAACAGGGGATGACGCAGCGTCTTCTGTAATGACGAAATTGATTTATCGTCACACATCTCAATGGCTTTCCAGATTAGAGCCTGCGATGCATGTGTGGCAGGCGCAGAGAATGGAACGTTATTGTGCTCTTGTATTGTGTCAAGCAAATTCTGGATGTCAGCGTCGTGTACTGCTGAGACCTCGGCAGATACAGAGGTTGCAAAGAGAATGAAAGCGACCGTCGTCTTCTCAAGCCAAGCTTGCAATAGTGGTTGTGTGTTTGCATCCGCTTGCATGTCAGGTAGAAGTCTGTGGCTGACAAGGACTTTCAATGCTGACAATGTCTGCGCAGGAGCGATCTGGCTCGCCTTACGCATACTCTGCATGATCCTGGAAACCTTCAGCGATCGAATCCCGAACTGCACGAGGCGATTTATCTCACTCACAATCTAAAGTTTCTCTCAGTCATTGCTGGAAGCTTGCAGATTCGGACCAGAGTTTCATGGATTGCATCATGATCGCAAAGACTCTCAGTGATCAACAACTTCAACCTGGTCACATCTATCGCCATCCTTCCCCCAGATGTATATCTGAGATCTAGCTGGTGAAGGATCTCTTGGCATCTTTTGCGATTCTCGTCAGTGTTGAGGTCGATCAAGACCTCCGCTGCATCTCATTAGCTTGGGGCTGATACAAAGCCTCACAGCACGATATGCAAACCATATGATATCATCACGCTTATGCTCAGCTCCGCGATCTCTACGCTCGTATCTTCTGGCTGCAAGGCCGCCAAGGTCGTCAAAGCACGTTCAAACCATATCAACGCGATATCCGGCTTTTGGTGTACAGCCAGAGATCTTGCAACCTCGTAGAAGAGGTCAGCTGCTTGTTCACGAAGGCGCAAAGAGACTTGTTGCCCATTCAACTCAATTTTCCCGAAGAAATGGTCCGCAAGATCGAGACGATCTATCATGAAGGCATGGAAAACGCGGAGTAGAAAATATTGCATGACCAAGGCAGCACGAAGCTTTTTTTGCTCGATCAAGTTCCCATTTTCATTACTGATTTGTATCAACGGCTCTGTCTGCAGGACGTCCTCAACTTGTTCAGATGATACTTCTAGAGCCTTCAAAGCGAGATCGAAGCAACCGCGGTCGAGGCAAATTTGTGCTGTTTTCAACGCGGTTCGCAAGACCCTGATGCTGTGATTTGCTCCAGACGGCCGCTGTAGCCGCGACGAGGTTTCGATTAGTTGTAATGCAAATAGGCGGACTAAGGCAGGAAGATATACTGGGCGAGCCACTGGCGCTTCAGTACCAGGTGACTGGTCATCGTAAAGGGAACCGATTGACAGATTCCACAACTGAGTACCAAGATCGTCAAACGCTGGTATTTTGAGGGCAAGTGTAGTACTTGGGGCCAGTGGTAGCGATTGTTGTACGTGCTCAGAAACCTCATCAACAAGGCGAGGCGACAGTGCTGATCTTTCAGTGACAGCTTGAAACAATCTTTGCGCACAGTCTGTGAGGTTGAAGTCAATATGGTGAATTCAATCGCAGCTGCCGAACAATATCAATCTACCCAGGACTATCTCCGCTCTTTGCTCTATAGCAGCCTGTCTTGCTGAGCGCGAGATCGCCATCGTACGGCCGTTCATCGACTACGCGTTAGGAGGTGATCGAGGCCTAGCACCTTTTGTCAGGCAAGACAGCAGGTATCAATCCGAATTTGACGACTGTCGCAGCGTTCAGTGCATCAGGCGTCTGTAAATGAATTTAACACGGCAGTACTCAATTGAGGTGCATGGAATGACGAGAGTGATATTTGCGATGGCTTCGGGACTACCACGAAAGAAGACTTCGTGGACGGCACAAGTGCCCCCGATGAATGGCACCGCGTGCGGCCGGGAATTGATGCAGGCACCAGTGGCTTCGCAAACAGCACACTTCGTTCATCAGTGCCCTTTTCACGTTGGCTTCCACAAGTAGCATATTTTGCAATTGCGCCTCACTGGTCACGACAATGATGACAATATAACAAGCAGTTGAGTAGATTGTATAAGTCATCTGTTGGCTGTGGGCCAGGCGTAAATACACATGCCGTCTTGATCTACCCGACGAGGATCATTCTAGTCACGGATACTGGTTTCTCAGGTCCACATTCACGCCACGCATTCATCATTCCATACCATGGCCTGGGATTCGATGTCCAAAATATCATGTCATCCTGCGATAGATAGGTATCTCGCTACAAACATTCAGTCTCCATGAAAGTGGCATTATGAGGTGTAATGACCTAAAGACCACAAGGTTACTCTGAGCAACATTGCAATCTCGTCAAGTCACCATTCCCTTGGATTGAAGCACGGTGTCAATTGATGCTGAGATATGTGTTATACCTTTTATTCACTACGATGAGTTGGACCTATCATAGGGATCAAAAGAATCTTCCATATCAGAGATATTGTTCAATATCCTATTGGTCTTGGGCCAAGCCGATTCCTTCATTCGCAGCCACATCAGCTACCAAGTCCGAGGCTACAACAAATGCTCACCGAACTTCTATAGAGTTCCACAATCATGGAATCTTACGCCGGTGAGATCGAAGACAAAGAAGCAAGCAAGCTGTCTGGATAATAGATTAGATTATTCGACAAGAAATGGCGCCAAGTGGCCAAGGGCGAGACCGGCAATCTGCTTGCAATCTTCTGACTTGGCCAGCGTAACGCATCTGTTGCGAACACAATTACGTGAGTCCAGCAGTCTGCACCCACGTGCGTGATGCTGTTCATTTTGACATCGGTACCGTGTGTAGCTCACAAGATTCAAACTATTCCGATACAGATAACGGGCATCGCCGAGCATCGAGATCAGTCCTACACTGCGTTGAAAGCAACAATTGTAGAGCCCTCAGCTGGCGTTGCGGCAGCGTTAAGCAAGGCGACATTCGCTCTGAGGCTGACGTGCCGTCTATGCGACGAAGATCGAAAGGCGAACACGTCTCGGCCGTGCCCACGAACGGTTCGAAACTCCCTGGCGTGACGACCAGCAAGACCTGTGCTGCGTATGCGAAGAGATTTTGCTTGGTCATGTCTTGGTTCAGAATATTGAGAGGGAAATTTTCCACGATTTGCATCGAAAGAGCATGCTGCATAGAGGTGCTCTTGCACGAGTCACAGCATTATGCAGAACCACACAGACGCGCATTCGGGCATTGCCAATGCATGGGGAAAAGCTCCTCTCTGTGCAACAAGGCGCGTTTCCGCAAGACTCACTGACTGCAGCCACATGGCATTGTCGAAAGGCCCAGCGTCAAATCTCCAGCGATGCGTGGACGGTCTGCCTAGTGATGCCATGTGTAAAGTAAAGGGGCCAAGGACGCGGCGGACATTACTGTCTACGAAAGCTGTTCAGCGACGTGCTCCATGTGATACCACGTTGGATGAATGCTGGAGGTTGTCGTGGCGTCGGGAACACGTTCTCGCGTCACGCAGTGGGGATGCCCAGGCGCCCAACGCTTCATGGCGGCGAGGGCGCGTCAGCCACGAGGGCAATGGAATGGGAGAACAAAAACCCACGATGTCTCCGGGCCTTTGAGCTTTGCGGCGGTGGTCCACCTGAGACTGTCAATTGTGCACGGGTTTCCCTCCAGCTTGGGACCTCCGGCTTGGAACCTTGGAAGCTGGTGGTTTGATGAGTCAGGACTTGGCCAGTCTCGGCACCTCAGGTTTGCAACTCCACCTGTCGAATCTGCACCCGCTGATGTCGTGACAATATCTCAACTTCATCTGGCATGATCGACGAGACGTTCAACAACCTAATGTTCCGACATCCGACATGCTGCAATTTTCGTCAAGAATAAATCGACGACTAGTTGCGTAGAATCGTGCGAGTCATGTCGCCGACGCACCCCTTTCAAAGTTGAAAACTACAAACCGTGAACCAAGATGCTTGGCCAAGCTTGGCGCCAATCCATGGCGGCGAGTAACACCAGACATACTACCATATATGTAACGGCGACGGCCTGCTTCATCGTGGATCATATTCCATCAGTCCTGTGATTCACGTTAATGTCTCAGACAAGGGATCTCTCAACGGGCGCATCTCGGGCCTGCCGCACGCGCTGATATCATGCCAGCCCCAATCAATGGGCGCAACACTCAAGAGATGGGAAACACCCAGGACCCGTTTGCAAACCCTGCATACAGCTTGCCCGAGCCACCAGAGTCTGCTGTGCTAAAGCCGGTGCGGATCCCTTCAGGCAGCACCGACTCCAGTTATCAATCCAAACATGGGCCAATTCTGGGTCAACAGGCGGCGCCTTTGGCATCTCTAGTCGACAACCCTATTCTGTTCCCCACACAACCCATGGACTTGAGCGAGAAACGATCATCAAGGACATCGGAGCGTAAGGAACATCGAAATCAAGCGCTGGTCACAGGGAGGGGCGTTTCAAGCCCCAGGCATTCACGGCGCTACACGGAGCACCGCGCTCGGCAACGTCGAACGGATGAGGAGGCGGACATCGAGGAGGCATACCGGCTACAGGAAGAACATGCTCTGAAGATTCTTCTCTTCCTCGCTATGCCGTGCGTGGCACTGTCTTTTCTCAACGCGCTCTGGGCCCTGGTTTCGTTATTCATCACACTCTTCAGTCAACCAGTGCGATTATGTGCAAAACGTCCGTCGTTCGGACAACAATTAGGCGGACTTCTCGGCCCATCGCTCAACCTCCAGCTCAAATGCATCTACTCGCCACTCTCGCCGCACACAAATGAGGACTGCTCTTATCATCCTTGGGCGTTAGTGATGGTGCAATTTCTCTCGCCTTTTCTCAGTCTCGGCGTGATGGTTGCCGCGTGGGTTGTTGCTGTTTTCTGGATCTCATCACTTGTCGTGGGGGATCCCAGCGGCACAGATCGACACGATGACGGAAGCGAAACGGCACTTGCACTTCGCAAGTTTTGGGAGAAGTGGCTCCGTCGATGCATTTGTGATGAATGATGGGGCATTGGTTGCGACTCTCATTTTGGGGATTTGGCTGGGTCTTTTTGATTTTCGGGCGTTTGACCGAGACGCCCACCATTCATGGGTCTGACTTTAGCGAGGTGCATATGGCGTTCGATCACGATTTTCGAGGAAAGTACATTCCTCCCCTACGGTTCATCTATTTTCACGCCAATGGGCAACATTGAACAATTTGTAAATTAAAGTACTAGGTGACTTTTCAGTGGCATGTGTAATAGCACGTAATTGCCTCCCTTTATTTGGTTCCCTACATACTTGGGTATCCTTTCATCCCCGCGATGAAGTGTCTGTGACAGCTCTAGTATGCTGCCCACGAACTGTAGGTGTGCAGGTACGGGTGTAGTGTGGAACTGTGCACATCAGGTAGATTGATGTACGAGAGATGAACTCGGAATTTTCCGAGTACGTCAATGGTGCCGAAGCTTCCGCCCTAGTCGCCGTTGTATCTCGCCATAATGACTAGCGGGTCGCAATGCAACGGATAAGCGACATGGAAGTTCACTGCCGAGACTGCTCAATGTTCGAACGATTCATGTCATCGCAAACGCTATGTGTATGCGGATGTCACACACGATACGAAGTTCTCGCAAGGTGCAGGCGAAACCTGCGTCAGCACGCGTCCGAGACCACGCCGATTTTGCTCTGAACCCTTGTGGTCAACATCAAATCGTCCTCGTCCAAAGAGACACCGACATGGTAATAAGTCGTCCGAGCTTCCAGTCACGGTGAACCCTCTTGCAAGATACCAGGTGTCTTGCATCCGGGTCCGTGGAACCAACCTTCACAAGCCAGACTGATGATACAGAATCGACCTGATACAATCGCGCGAGGGATTGATAACAGGCGTATAACGATGTCATGCCAACTTCTTCGCGCCCGACGCAGAACCTACCTCATGGATAGTAGTTCTCTGGGTTGGATCCGGAGGGGTCATCGGCCGGGTACTCCGTCGGGCTGACACGTTCAATACTTGAAAAGCAGCCGAAGTATGGGCCTACGTCTTGGAACTAGGGTCGGCGACATCGTAGTGAACGAGACCACTCTAGTCTCGACACTTCTGGTCGGAGCAGAAAGCGCAGTAGGTGGCCATGGACGGCAACTTGTGTAAACTTGTTGTCGGCCTAGCCGATATGCTTCGCTGTGATCAATCGTTGAACGTTCTCCATCATGTCATAGCAACTGCCGTAAGGCACATACTGGGCTGGTGATATTGGAGGCAAGACAGAAGTCAAATGGCAAGATTGACAGGTATATATATTTATTTGAAGCGCGCTGCCACCATGAATCGGTCTTCCCACCATTCACATTCTTCTCAGTCCTGATCTCGATTGGTTTAGTGGTTAGAATTTCCGCTTGTCAGCAATAGCTCACTTGCGCGGGAGACCGGGGTTCGATTCCCCGATCGAGAGAATGTTCTTTTGCTCTTATGACGGTCTCGAATCTCCTCGTGTGGAGTTACATTTTTGGTTTCAGTAAGAGATATTTATCTTTGAAATATGGAATGCACTGATCCTTGGGTATCGAGGTTATTTCTACCTCATTAAAAAGATTCGATGTCGCCGTTTTCAGGGTGTTGTTAAGACATTCAGCATCCGCGTTTTGGACCTACGTAGGTACCTAGGTAGGCTTCGGAAATAAGGTATGACCGCTGCGGAGACCCCTCCTCAGCGTGGGTTGCCCAGACGAGTACGGCACCACCCGAAAGGGAAATGTTGCGTCAATACCTCCAGCTCGACCGACCGACACTTCAAGCTTCTAAGGATTCGTAGTAGCACGATCTAGAGTTCATCCTCGCCAATTGGACTTCCTTTAGTCTTAGCTGCCTACTGTACGTCCGCTTGGGAAAGCCGCATCCCTCGACCGAGATCTGATCAAACTAGTGCAAATTGTTCTTCGAACTTGATCTCGTCACGCCCTACTGCGGGATTTCCTTCCAAGAGTCGAGTGATCCGACTGGACAGAATTCCAATCAAAACGCGACAGGACACACGAGCAGTCTCATTCGCATCGAAATCCGCTTGGAACAGGCAAGATGACCTCCTTCATCAACACAATGTACGAAATTTCAAAGCGCTGCTTCATATAGCGTGGAACTCTCCCTGTCACTGAGTTGCAAATTGGTGTAGACGAGGCCTCTGATCGCTCGAAGTACCCGTGTTCTTCATCACCTTCCCGTCGACGTTCTCATGCTTTTCTCTGTCGACATATTTGCAACCACACGCAAAAGTCTGTCGCTGATGTCAAGTTCATAGTAACAACAATGCACGAACGTCACGACAGGGCGGCTCATTCCAACCCCAGAGACGCGCCAAGGGCACCAACAGCTGGCAATTGAAACAATTTGCAGAAGCTACACTAGGCAGTGGGAGTCTTCGCAAAGTTGTGCAGCTGCCTGAAGGTGAAGATCGGGATGAGTGGTTGGCAGTCAATGGTAGGCAGTGGACTTGGCTATTGAAGGGCATGTCTGACATTCTCAAAGTGGTCGACTTTTACAACCAGGTCAATCTGCTTTACGGCGCCATCACTGAATTCTGCTCTCCCCAGTCATGCCCGGAGATGAAGGCAACGGATGAGTTTGAATACCTCTGGCACGACCCGCCGTCCTTTCCCAAACCGACGCGATTGCCCGCACCAACATACATCTCGCACCTACTCACATGGACTTCCAACCATCTCTCCAACTCGGCTGTGTTCCCAACACAACCGGGCGTACCGTTCCCTCCAGCTTTTCAGTCTACGATTCGCACGATCTTCAAACGCTTGTACCGCATCTACGCCCATATCTACTGCCATCACTACGGTGTCGTTCGCGGTCTTGGCTTAGAAGCTCACCTGAACACCGGCTTCAAGCATTATGTGTTGTTCGTGGAAGAGTTCGGGCTGGCGGATGAAAAAGGAAGCAAGAAAGGAGAATGGTTCGGCCCCCTGGGCGAACTAGTGGAGAGCATGCTGCGTAGTGATTGAAATAGGGGTGCATGACGAAGGGCGTTGTGAGGGATGAAGGACTACTTTTAGTTCACGACATGATATTATGCAGGCGTTATAAGGGGCGTAGGTGGAGTCGAAGCGGTCTTAGACCTCTGAGCCTTTTCCGAGGCAGTCCCACGGATGAATTTTGATTCTTTTTCGAACGTCAGGAGGAGCTTGCGTTTCTCATCCTGATCATTGCAATGCAAGCCTTGAATACAGTACTAGGACCCTCGGCTCATGCCTGGTCAAAGCCTCCAAAGGCGTGCAGGATTGTCGGCCTACAAAGCCAATGGTTGCGAACGCCCTGTTGTTTTATTCATGAAGATCGTGCTAGATACCTAGGTACCCTTGCGAGGCAAGGCAACACATACATCCAGACATATTGGTGGACTAACTTGTTAACTCAAGCTGTCGGCATTGCTTTGGTCAAATGGCAATTTGAGAAAGAGGCTACTAAGATGCAGTGCCTGGACGTGCAGGAATTCCGATGGTACAAATCGGTGCAGCAAGTAATAACCTCGCCTTGAATTATGTTCATTCGTGCTGTCCTCATCAGCAGTCTTCGCTGTCCCACACGCCAGTTGCTTTTGAAACACAAGAAAATGCAGATGATGAGCGTCAGCCCAAGGGATGAATATTGGGCGAGGAAATCAAATCTTTTGAGATGAGCGCCATCAAACGACCGCCCGCATGCTGAGACTAGTCGTTTCTCGTGCACATGAGAAGATTGAATCGGCGATTATCAGAACCCAACCACGCAACACCGATATGCAGAACGCCGTATGAGCTCCGCTCCAATCAACACCAAAAAAGCCAAGCGGACTATCGCACCACACTGCTCCTCTCGAGCGCCTCGAGGAGCTCTGGCCGATCCTTGAGTGACTCCTTGGCCTCACGATATGAGAGCCAGCGGCGCACACGCTTGTATGACTCGGGCCATGAGTCCTTTTCCGCAACGACGCAGACCTCGTAGAATCGGTACAGGGCGCGTGGCGCATCCGCACCATACTTGGCCAGCTGGGCCTCGGTGCGCATCTCATCGATCTCGCCGAGATCCCTGTCCACCCGACATTCGATGCCCGCTTCTTCCCAGGCCTCGCGGCAGGCCGCCTCTTGCTGGGTGTCCTCGTCTGTCTCCCAACCACCTTTGGGTAAGACCCAACCCTTGCGGCTCGAATTTTGGATCAAGAGGACTTGTGTGCGATCTGCTGAGAGGGGCACGACGCCTGCGACTAGACGCTCGCCGTTGGGTCCGTATCTGATGAGCACGTGACCAGTCAGGACCGACGTCATTCGGGAAGTGATTTTTCGAACACGCGTGAGAGGCTTACCTCTGCTTGTCCCTTCCCACTCTCGCTTCCATCGACCTAGGTGCGTCTTGAGCCATGGCGGGGATTCCTACGAGCAGCTGTCTTGGCAGGGCCAGGGTGCGGAGGTTCCGGACGATGCACGAACGTTGCTTCCCACTTGCTTGAAGGGTCGAGTTGGTGCAAGGGCCGAACTGTGACTCCTGGGAGCGCACAGCTGCACTTGCAAGCGATCTCGTCGTGAGAGACTTGACCTATAAGCTCCACGGAGAGAAGTGGAGAGACGGGCGGGAAGGAGGAAGCGCACACGAGGGCAAGACACAGGAGGAGATGGCAAAAGCCAGAGGACTTGCGGGCAAGGGAGAAGTTGCGGTTCAGGAAACTGAACTGCGAAGCAGCCGTGGGAGCCTGATCGACGACGAAGACATGATTATAATGTCGGAGCGAGGACGAGGGACGCCCACAGTAAATAGCTGGCGCGATGAATAGTCTAGCACGTGAGCGCTACTCGACGTGAAAACCACGACCAGGTCCCTGCGGTCTGCCCTGCACATTAACCTTTTTTTGACACCACCACACTTGTTCGTTAAGTGAAGGGAGCGGGCGGGCACTCGGGGGAGAGGAGGAGAGAGTACACTGTACAGTACGGTAGCAACCTTGGAAACAAGCAATAGTCTGAGAATTGTGTGAGCGGCAGATTTTAGAGAGCACGCGTGAGAGAGTGGGGGGCCTCTTTCCCGCCCGCGGGAAGAATAGCCACAGTGGAAGACCCGAATCATTTTTTGATCATTTCATTAGTCGGTGCACCCACCACCTTGAGCGAGTACCCGATAGTGCAGTACTCCAGGGCTGTCCACAATCATCATGGCTGTAAGAGTTATTAGTACTGTACATAGGGGGAATGTATCCAACAAGCCCGGGCCAGTGCACCAAGAAGGGGACAAATTGCACAGCGTCCATCGTCAAGAGAGAGATGAACATCAACCATACAGTATACGCTATCACAACATAAAGGAACCATCCATGGATGTCAGGGAATTCTATCCGACCATCTGCAGGTCGCAACAACATAACGACTTGCGTACAGCCATCATGTACATGCACTTTACATGCAAGGGTTCGTGGGCGGTTTACTACACGAACGACAGGCTGCGATACATGTGCAGTACTATACTTTGTGCCAATCGGCACCTCCTCCTCGCACACTGATCCTGGCCGTCTGCTGTGTCAAAGAAATGATGATGACAACTTGCACAGCACATCTGTCTAATCATCAACGCGTAATGTAGTACAATCACATATCGCATCCCTTGGAAGCACAAGATGCTGTTACCGCTACTTGAGTGCCGAGGTCTCACCTCCTGGTGACTCCTCGTGAGAGTATGTGTAATGATAAATTATAGCCTTGGTTGATAGGCACCTTTGATGTTGATGAGGAGCGCGCACGACCCTCGTCGACAACACAAAGCAGCTCTGTCCGGCGTTAAGCGCGAGTTCAAGCGGCCTTATTGATAATGCTTTGTTGCACTCCTCCACAATCACGAATCGCCATGTTGACGAGACCACTGTTCATCGACTGACCCGCTGGATTTGGCATGGTTAATATGAACATCGGATGCACCTGGAAAGAGGGGTGTTTCTCGCCATCCAAGTCTGTACCTGAAGCAGAAACGAAGCAGACACTCTGTGTCCATAAAGACCCCATGGGTATGGACTACAGACTTGCCCATGGACTTCGCGAACCCTCCCCCATCATTACCTGCGAGGCAGCCTGAATAGTGACTACCATCCATGTACACGAGCATGAACATTGAAATACATCCTGGGGGTACGTCACCTGCAGGCCCGGGGTGCCCTTTCGGTATTTCGGACCGTCTACACCGGGATGGAGGGATTGCATCGGGGCGAATTCGTGCTGCCTTGAACAAACAGGCGCAGCGCACGAAATTCCCAGGCGTATTCGGGCCCGATTTATGACCAATGTGGCCAGCGCATACTTTATACGTCTAGTCGGCACCCATTGTGGAGTCGTCAGCGCGGCGCTTCTAGTGATCTGAAGGTCTGGGAAATGCTGATGCATTGCTACAGTATATAAGATTGACAGCGGCCTGGACGCCCCGTACTTTGCGATGTATCAGCTCACCTCCTGCATCACGGCAATAATAATAGTTAAGTTGGAGGGCTTGATGACTCTGCCTATAACCAACCTTAGCACCCGGCCGTCACGCGAGCGGACAGACGCCATCATACCTACGGACCTACCTACCTAGGTAGGTCCCGAAATATGCTGTAATCATGAAGCCTTGCCGACACAGTTTTGTTTTCGCCCAGATCTCAATTTCGTTCCACAGTCCCACATTCAATATACGTAAAATCACGAACAAACAGGGAGGCATCAGATGGCTGGAGACCTTTGTTGTTGCCAATACGGAATCCCATCACCCCTTGGCAGGCCACGTCAAGAGACGCCTGCTGACTTGTGTCACTGGCGCTATTCAACATCTGCAGAGTTAACGTATGGTATCGTCTCACGCACTTGGGCTTGTCGGCTCGCATGATTAGCGTGGGTGAAGCTGCAGGTCATCGTCTTCCACATGCGCATCACCTCGTCGTCGCCAGATTAACTTTCAGGCGTGTCCGGCGACCGTGCTTAGCCGCTCACTGCTGGCCATCCTGTGCAGAAAACTTGTGTCTCTGGTGATGCTGGTATCCCACTGGGAGCCGGGTTTGACTTTGAGGTAGGATATCTGCCGTCGTCCCCACACGTCGATCGCCTCGTTCGCTGTCGATCAGAGTCGACCTCGATCCCACCTCGCGGGCGTTTGCGGACGAAGAGAATCAAACATAAGGGACCTTCTTTGTCTGGATCATTCCCTCTTTCAAGCTGGAAGGGCGACAGGCCAAGAAAGTATTGGATCATCATTGCGAAAGACCCGACTACTCTGTCTGAAGATCTAGAAGCTCGTATTGTTGGCTCTCGTAGCCAACGCTCTCCGCCTCTTCTTGTTTTCACCACTCATCACGTACTCTTATATAAGCAAAGATTTCTCGGTGCATAGCATTTCGAGGGAAGCAAACATGCAGGTGTAATAACCTTGGAAGTTTCGTGATCAGTTTCCACCATGGCAAACACTTGAAAACCCATCATACTCGTACTGCTCGCAACCATGTGCACCTACAGGCTAAGAGCATATGTCAACTCCCAATGTGTACGCGAGACGAACATCACATTCATCATCGCCCTGCCCTCCCACGTTCTTGAGGTTCAACACATTCTACCTTGACACATCACAATTGCCCCGGGCTTGATTGGTGCGGCCGGTCCATGCCACCGCCGCTCGGTTGCTGCAGCCGAGCAGACGCACTCATCCATCGTCCTCAGGGAAACATATTGAGGAACACCTGGGCACTAGCCTGGTCGATAGTTGCTGACGACAAATATTCTTTCCGTCCCTCACAATCCATATCGGCTGCAACTACACATCCGTTGTGAGGTACAGGCCCATCACGCTTGACGGCACGCCACGGCGCCGCTCCCTCCCACCTTCGCCTGGTCCAACGCTACGGCGCCTGAATCTTTTCTTTCTTGTTTCGCTGCGCACATTGCCAGCAAACTCGGCTATGGCTATGCAGACCAGTGGGTCTCTGTCTTTACTGACGCCAATTGGTGAGCTTGTCTTACACCCAATCAGATTCTCAAATTCGACCTCGTGCGCTCAATCGTTGCTCGGAATTGCTTGGACTTCCAGGCTCATTCCCCGAGGCTGTCGCTCACAGTGTGTTGGCAAACGACCAGAGAATGCCGGGCCTGCCTCACAATTCCGAGTGTGCACACACGATTGAAGGGCGAGTCGTATCCAATTGCGGGGTCTGCCCGCAAAGCTTCCGCCCTTTGCTATACCCGCCAGGCGATTTTGCGAAAGTCTATCTGCCCATCGCTTCCTCAATGCCCACTGGCTGTCATTCGAGAGCGCACGCTAACAAGTGTTCTGGATGTTTCAGGATATCAAAGTAGTGACTGTGGTTACTGTAAATCAGATGAGACAAGTCAGCGAACCTCCGACTCCCGTGCGTTGTCATTTCAATTTGCAGGCTCGTGTTGCAGCGTCCTGCGCAAGATCAATGTTCTTTACATTCGTGTATGAAACGTCTCTGACACTCTGTGCGCGCAGGTGCTTGCTACTATGCTCGCTCCAGCTCTCTCGATCCACAGCATTATCAGGAGCTCGTGGATAGAGGCTGGAGACGATCTGGGTCCTTGTTCTATCTCCCAGACGCATCTCGATCCTGCTGTCCCCATTATACCATTCGGTAATCTCTCGCGATATCATGACAATGCCTTTCGTATTGCCTGACTAGTCGAAAAGGCTTCCCGTTTCAGACTACAAGCCAACTCGTGACCAACGGCAGGCACTGAATCGCTGGAATCGTTTCGTGCTCGGCGATCGCTACATCAATGACCTCAGCATCAAATATCCTAAAACAAAGGAGTAAGATTGTAGTATTTGCCCCATCGATAGATCATACGCTGATGTTCAGCAGAGAGAAAAAACTCACATCTTCGCACTTTGATGTTGCGAGGGCTGTCCACGAAGCCGAGAAGGAGAATATCAAAGATGACGTTACGTCCAAGAAAGCTCTCGCTCGAGGTGAAAAGACCATTCCCGATCACATATTCCAGGTGACACTGGAGCCCGATACCTTCACACTCGAGAAATATGAGCTTTTCGCCAACTACCAGCGAAACGTGCATAAGGAGGACGATGATCAGATCAGCGAAAAGGGGTTTCAAAGGTTCCTCTGCTCATCGCCACTGCGCCGCACAGTAGACGACAGCGGCAATCAATATGGAAGCTTCCATCAATGCTATCGACTTGACGGTCGCCTTATTGCGATGGGAGTTCTCGATCTTTTACCTCACGCCGTCTCTGGAGTCTACTTCGTGTATCACCAAGACTTTGAGAAGTGGTCTTTTGGCAAACTCTCGGCGGTACGAGAGGCATGCTTGGCATTGCAGCAGGGATACGAATATTACTACATGGGTTATTACATCCACAGCTGTAAGAAGATGAAATACAAGGCCGACTACGAACCACAATACGTCCTCGACCTGCACAGCCTCAAATGGGACCCGCTCGACGATGCGATGCGAGACTTGATGTCGAACAGAAAGTACGCCAGCCTGTTACTCGAGCTTTCGCGCAAAGAGCGAGGAAACGAAGTCGAACCATCCAGTCAGGAGGACGAGTCACCATATGTAGAACCATTGGATGCTATGGAAGCCTATGTCTCAGGGGCATCTCTACTGGACTTATCAGTGCCCGGCGTTCTCAATGCCGACCAGGTCCGTGAGCAAATTGATCTTGACACGATAAAGATTCGCCTCAATGGCAGAACTTTTGAAACGCAAGTAAGTCGCATTCCTCGAAACGCGTTTCAGTCAATATACTAAACTTTCCAGGATACGAGAGGATGGGGTGAGCCCGACAGTCACCTTCGAGGCATCATTACTGATCTTGCGGCGGCTATTGGACCAGTAGTCGCGCATGGTATTAGTGTTGACTTCTCCTCTTGAAATCTAGACAAGCAGCCCATGTCGCTGATAGATAGGGGCATCGGTGCGTCGAGGAAATATGCGCAGAAGTATCCTGCAGTTGGCGTCCATGAATCAAATGAACGGATGAAAGAATTCAGACAGACGTAAAAAGACATTTCCTGACCGCTTGTTGTGACGTGCCCGCAAACCTGTGCTTCTGCGATTTCCACTACAATAGTAGACATGTTCGTTGAATGGGTACAGTTGCAGTAATCTTTCCGCCCAATGTGCAACGCACTCGTACATCTTCATACTCGGTCGTATGTCTCCCCATCGTGACGACGAGGTAGACCATTGACGTACCGTCAAAGTCGTCACCGCTCAGCCTGGAAACGACAATAACCTTCCCTATTCGCACAACACCTGGCATGAAGTCTCATTCTCTCCATCGGCACTGTCCTGGCGCGGCATGCGCGCGTGGACCATGCATAAGTCTGCTGCAGCACATATGTTCTCACTCCCGTCCCAACTCCATCTGCATTTCTTTCGCTCAATATATGCATCCATCCCACTCTCTCTCTCTCCCCCCCCCTTCTCTCACTCGGCATGTATGCCCACGCGACTCCTTTCCTCCTTCGGGCTGGGTTGGATGATACAACAATGGAGGAGCCTTTCTACCGCTCACCAATTCACTAGCCATGGAAGGATTTTTCTTCGGTCTCACGGAATCTACCTGCCAGCGAGCCCGGGCTTGTCCCAAGTTTCTCCGTTTCCGTCGAATCGGGAAGGCATGCACGCGACCTCTTTCTCTTCTCAGGAGTCGGGGTCCCGACGACTCCCGCGGGATGCACCGATCGGAGAAATTCCCCAGGTCGTGTGCGTCTTGGAGGAAACTTCTTTCTTCGAAGGACGCTACGCTCTTTTGCATACTTTCTAATATGCAAGGTTCGCTTGTGTGGGAAGGATTTGGAGATCGTCGATCTGGCGAAATGGGGGTTATTCGAAACATGTAAGATCTCCGGTGGGAAATGCGTCGTAGAGAAATCGTGGGGCGGTCGGTAATATCTTGCCTCCGTCGATTGGTGGCGGGGGTGGATTGTTTTTCCCTGTCCGTGTGTTGATGTTCTTGGGCGGTCAAGGCCGCATTGCTCGAGAAGACTCGACAAGTACGTGAATTCGCATGTAGGCCATCCCAGTCCTAGTCTCTGGTCTCTCGTATAACCTCAATCGAGCCCACCAGGCTCGTACCGGCTATCAATTCTAATCATCGGCGACGAACAGCCACGGAAAGGATGAGGAGTCTGGCTCGGAGCCTTCCACGCATGAAGGGAGCGCGCAACTGGGTGTCACGTCAGTGAGTCACGACGTGCGCGTAGTGGAACGACTCGTAGTTCATCAAGAATTGTGTAGCGGAGAAACGGCAGTCGAGGTTGAATGCTAAAACGCTGAAATCAAGGAATCGCAGTTGCCGAGAGGCCACAATATACAAAGTTCATTTGCTGTCCAATATACATGATTCTTCGACCGACCCGCCAGAAACAGCGGTAGGCCTAATGTACACTACGTCTGGGCATAGATCTGTGATCTCTCCATGATGCGGACTGCTTCCCGTCCCGGCGCGTTGTATACACAACAGCTTGTTGTCAATAGCCACGAGCCATGCGAGCCTCTTCCTGCGAGCGTCGTTTGCGTTCGATTGCAAGAACCACAGGGGCCAGATCGGCCTCACCGGTCACCTTGATGATGTTGCTGACCTTTTCTAAGGCTGTCCAAAACTCGCGGAAGCTGCTGCTCTCGGTATGCAGGGAGCAGTAATGGTTCTTGTCGTTCACAGACTTCGCGTCGAAGAGCGAATGCAGCCGGGGGAAAAGGACGGCAAGTTTGTTAAAATCCGCTGGACAGAGCTGAAACGAAGGAACAAAGCTTCTGCCATATTCTGGAGGTGCTATGAGGCCCATGGCGATCCGGAGAGGGTCGCCGTGGGTAGTAGCAGGGCAGCTGTCAGTGTCGGCGATGGTCTTCAGAACTGAAAAATCACGCAAACCCTTCTGGTGCGTCGCTGACCAGGCGCGCACCATCCATGGGAGTTCGAACGCGCACTTGATGCGGGCATTGCGATCTGGTGACTTGAATGCCTTTAGGTGGTCCATGAAAGGTGTTCCAACCATCTGAGCAATGCATTGAGGACAGAAGTGAACAGTAGGCGCACCGCGTACAGTCCTCCAATCCGGAGCGCCAGCTTCGTGATATTCCCTCGGGCAGTGGGGCGGATTGAGTCTCGCATCTCTCGCCAGCCTCTCAAGTCGGGAAGCACCTTCGCCAGCGTCTTGCCTTGGTTCTGCTCGGCGAGATGGCGGGACGGTGTTCCGGTCGTCCTGTTGAACGAATGAAACGCTGCTTGCCGTTGAATGGTATCCTTCAGCTCGACCGTAGTCATTCGCATACGAAGTGGTCCTATTCATCGGTGGAGTCACAGTAGCAGCAGATGTTGTTCTGTACAGTGAAGGTGGATTGGGCGCTAAAGAATGAGTATGGGGAAAGGTTGCTGCGGGACCTGTTTGAACACGGGAAAGACGATTCGCATCCGATTCCACAAATTCTGAAGATCGAGCGATATAACCAGTTTCCGGCTGCCACTCCAGCTCTGGCTCCGATGGCATTTCAATCCAGGGACCGGCCATGATATCCTGCTCAGGATATGGCAGACTCGAGGCCTGACTGGAAAATGTGTCCGAGCGACCCAATCCGGGAATTGGGTCATATGGTAAATCTGGAGCCGCTGGAAACAAATTGGCTAGTAGGGGGTCCTGGTCGAATTCGACATATGGCATGCTCGTGATCATGTGGGAATTGGTGATCAGAGCCGGCGAAGGGGCTCGAGATCTCAACTGCGATGAGTTTAAGGACCCTGTCGCTGACCGACCTGATGAGAAATCACCACTCGCTCTAGGCGACCGAGGGGGCGTCTTCTTAGTATGCGGGTTGGAGATTTCTGGAGTTCTAGAGCGCAATCCCCCATGGGCATGACGGTGTGGTTCAATTTGCGCATCATTCATCGATGCAAACACTGCACTTCCGGCTGCGAGACCAAAGGTACGCTGAGGAAGACTCTCCGTTTTCCTGAGGAACTCATTATTTCGATTCCGCTCAGCATCTTGATCAGACGTATTCGATCTGACGGGTTGAGAGGGTGCGTGCTGACGTTGTAAATTTTCGTTCGCGTCGTGTTTGTCACGATCGACCCGAATGGGCAACTGCCTGGCGTCGGAGGAATCGAATACACTGTCCCGTGGTTTGTGGTAATCACCACTGCTCTTATCACTCGTACGTTGTTGTTGGTATTGCGCACTGCTGCCGTAGGCCGGGTCAGATAGTTGTGTGTGGTTGCCGCGATATCGCTCGTCTTTCGTCGAATGAGCTCTTTGCAAGGGCTCGGGAGGAATTGGTCGCGATTCCGTTCCTAGACCAGAACGTATGACCGGCCTTTTGGATGCGTCACTAGCATACACAATTGCTTCTGGCGATCGAGTCCGCTCCAGGTCGAGAATGTTTGTATCGGGCTGAGCTTTCTTGCTGAATGTATAAGGAGATGATCGCCGATCGCGCATTTCGGGTACGACATCCGATAGATTTATTGGAGGCTTTTGTGACGGCTGCTGCTGCTGCTCCTGTTGACGCCGGCGGGTCCGCTCGTCTTCGCTGTGCGATGTCGAGGAGGTTTTGTTTGTGTCCGAACGTGACGCTCTCGAGTCAGTGCTCGCTTTGCTGGATGCTTGTGGCGGTGGTAGGGCATATTCTAGGACAGATTCTTGATCTATTGACCCTCGGAATGGGACCGGAGTTCTCAAGTGTTGTCGTACCCTTCGCTTTGACCAGCCAGTCTCCCGGTGTACAACATCTTCCTCGTCTTCCACATATGGCTGCGGCGGCCAACTCCGTCTCCGCCTTGGCTCGCGCCGTGATGCAGCTTCCGACTCGTAGGCGTTCGACGAGCTTATGTGATGGTGGTGATGAGAGTTGCTAGGATGTTGTTGTCGATATCGCGAATCATATCGGTCGTCTCGACTGTGCAAAATGTCCGTGTTGGTGGTTGTTCCGCACGCTCGACGTTTAGGCTAGCGTGCACTTACCTCGTGGCATCGTAGTGGTCATGTCTGTGCGAAGTGTCTGGGCGTGATCGCTGAGGTGAAATATATCGCCTGGAGGATCCGTAGGAGGTTGACATGTTCCAAGCCGCTATGCGCAAATCAATGTTTTCCAAGACAAAGGAAAATGTCTGAGTTGGTGCTTTGTTTGGGAGTTATGCAGCAGAAGAGACGAATGTCGGTTGGTGTCAGTGCATTGGTGAAAGAAGAGCCAGCCGCAGCCGCAGCACAGTAGTACAGTACATAGAAGCAACAGTAGCAGCAGCATGGGCATACAACAGCAGCAAGCACTTGAACCTAACGGGCATACGAGACGACAACATCCGCACTATTATTATTTACAGCGGCAGGGCGCCCTACACATGCTCATCAGTCCAATGCAATGCAATCCAGTCCAGTCCAGTTCAGTCCAGTATGGTGATTATTAGTGCATGTGGTGGTTACTTGCACGAGATGTGAGAAGGCGGGCGGTGGGCGGGCGTGCGACTAGAGAGCAAACCCTCCACGACAGTGACATCGGGGGTCATCATCAACACCACCACCGCCGCTGCGCCGCCTTTCTCTTCTTCTGGCGCACGGTTCACGCCTCTCTGTCCATGTCCATATTTCCCCACCATCGCGCGTCTGATGACGGACTGCCTTAATTTAAGTGCGGTCACTTTCGCTGTGTGTATGGAGCAGTTGTTCTCTCGTGCCGTATTATAGCTGGAGCAACAATACATGAAGCCCATCACAAATCTTTTGATTGCTTCTGCTCCATGATTTGAAGGTCTTGGTTACGCCGGGAACGACATTCCCCAATGAGCTGCGCCCTCCCGAAGCTCCAGACTCTGCCGTGGCTTGTTCCCCTGATCATATCGGCATAGACTTGCGTAGAGGCCGATGTCCCGCATGTGAGATGAGCTCGACTACGCCGCAAAACCTTGACGGACTGGAGACACTCTTGTCCGTCCCGATTCCTCCACTCAATCAATCAGCCCAATTTGCCAATTTGACAATTTAGTACTGGAAGCCAACATGTCCTCTGCCATGCTCGACCTGAGCGCTCACGGCGTTCCATAATTTCATGCACGAGAGATTTCCCGCAAGCACTCGGCTGTGGACCACCGGTTCCGCGCTGCAGCCGTTCCAATTGCGTTTCTGTCTCTCCGGCCTATACCATACCATGAAATCGCGCGGCTCCAGCCCTGCGATGGTCACAGCAGCCACAGATACAGTGCCGCACGGAATATCATTCGCTCTGTTCCATTGGCAGCAGGCTTCGCGTGATAATGGTACTGTAATGGGTTTGCTCGACATGCAATGCACGAGGGTCACGTCGTGGTGCAGTAGCAGCATTACATGCAGATCTAGCCCGGGTCCATGGTGGCTTCCACCAGTGGCAACACGTGCAACGTGACCCGCCCCAAGCGAATCCGCCTCGTCCTGCCAGTGCCTGCCAATGTTGCAAGATTAACACGAGCGGGTCCATCGCCAGCAGCGCCGGCGGAAAATCATCGAGTTTAAAAATAAATATATCGCCGTCGCCGCCGCCGAACTGGGCAAGCCGGCACGAGCGCATCGACAATGAGCCTACATTGTCGTCATCGTAGATAATTAGACACACTGTTGCAGACGAGCGCTCGATGTTCTCGTCGGTAAATGGCGTGTGTGCGGCGACGAAGTTTGCGAATCTGCATCCAACACCCTCATGTGACGTATGCGTGGGCTATTCACGTCAGACGGCAGGATGTGCCGAGAATACTAAGATCCGAACTCGTTCGCTCACTAGCAATTGCGTAATAATCCCGCCGATAAGCCCGAGTGCTCACTCCAGGATTACATGCCTGATTCAGCTATAGACAAGCTTAATTAGAGGCCCTTGTCGAGGCATTCAGGCAATGCTCTTCTTGCCTTAACAGATGTTTCAACGCTATCACAGGCGGGACGAAAAGCTTCCGCAGTGGTGAGGAAGGCGGACCACTCTCGAAAGCTATCGTAATACACAGAGGAAGCAGCTCGTCGAACGAGGGTATGTAACTATCCTCAATCTTCCGGTACCTAATCGTGCAGTCTCACTTTACCACAATCATGAACAATTTGGTTTCGTCTAACGACTTACCGAGATGAGCATTTGATTTCCAGCTCACGATCGATTGAATACGAAATCCGCTCATAACACAGCAGTAGGGCGCCACATCGGCTCGTTCTTCACAACTCCCGCTGCGTGACATTCTGTGACCATCATCCATCTCAAGATCACCCAAATCATGCGCCTGAGATGCACATAAAAGTACATATATCACTGCAGGCTCGATCTCAGAATTTATGATACTCGTCGTGTCTATCGTACCAGGCTTCATGGGTCAATGAGATGCCCTTGTCCCTACCGGTCCTATATGCTGCCACGAAATTTCTCCGAGCAGGTCGTTCTCCAGCACGCTGTGGCGCAATGCCAGGCTCAACAACAGTGATATCGCCGAGCCAGAGCTCTTTCGGACGGTGGCCGAACTCGTTCTTTGTGTTTTTCCAGCGGTCATCGGCCTCGGGATGCTTTCGGAGCCAGGCAATTAAGTTGTCGTTGACTAGTCTTCCGGAAGCGAGAAAATGTAATGGTGTATTGCCGAGCCAATCCTGAGTGCATGCGATCTCTATGCCCGAATCTTCCACGAGCATCTTCATGATGGTCACTTGTGCATCGAAGAAATCCACATCCGGCACCTCAAAGTTGTATCGACTTGCATCGCTACCGAGACGTCTGCTCAAGGATAAGACACTTTCCTGGTGCCCATTCACGACAGTATCGCCTGGGCCGTCACATTCGGGGGTATCGGTTCGGAGTGGCTGCGGGGCACGGTCCTGGCTAAAAAGCGTATCGACATCTAGCTGATCCTGTGCCCGATCTCCCGAGTTCAAGCGGCGCACATCGTGAATCGATTGACGGACTTTGGGCGCAAAGGACTGTACATGTACCATGCTTAGCGGCATACATGGGACATGCCCGAGTGTATGGCCCAGGGCTGTCGGTGGTGCAGCACAGAGTGGTACTCCGAGCAAGGTGAGCATTTCGACATCCAGTTGTGCTATCGCTAAACGAAGGACATGAATCCTGTAAGCTGGCGTCAGTAGCGAGGTGTCAAGTGACGGAAATTCGCGAAGGGTCTTGCATGCTTCGAGATTGCCGATCCTGACGGCGTGCTGCAATGGCAAAAATGCTTGACAACCAGCGATCAAAGCGCGAGCATACGGGTCGAATTCACGTTCATGCAACGACCTGAGCATGGCTATCTTTCCAAGTGAAATCGCCTGATGGAATGACATGGAGACGCAAAGAGCGGAAGGTGGTAAGCGCTCCTCTGGCAACGCTTCCACGGCGGCCGTCGTTCTCCAAAAGCTGCTGTCTGCACCAGCAGCAATCAAGCAGTCCAGAAGAGTTTTGGTTGTTCCTGCCGCCAAGACCAAAGAGTGAAGGCTTTCGCCATGTCCCGAGACGTTCAAAGCTACAAGACGCGGTCCGCACCAAAATCGGGAAAGTGTCGTTCTGCGCTGAGACATCTCGATGTCCATGAGTGGAAGCGTTTGCGTGCTCGGTACGCCCACATCATCAGCCTCGATTCCGATATACGGACGTCCCAGATTGGATGGATTCTTCGCTACGCGTCGGAAACGGAAGCTGTAGTCCTGCTAGTTTACTATAGCAATGCCGTTGGGGTCTGCGCTGTTTTGAAGCAGAAGTTCAACGTTGTTCAATGTTTGACAGCGAATTGCGCGCAAAAGCGACGTTTCCCAGTAAGGCTGGTCAACATCGACATGTACGTCGTTCGCGAGCGTCTCGGCCCACGATTAATATCTCGCCTCGTAGAGTAAACGACGCAATTCGGATGAATTGGCATCCCCTACAGCTCGAATGATCGGCGAATCCTCGTACTGTGCATGCGGCAGGTTGACTGTGGCACGTAGGTATTTCGGCATCGTTGTAGCATGCACGGTACGATACCGTGTTTCGAAACCACCCGAAGCTCGTGTTCTTGTGATGCTGCGATGTAAGAACCGAAATATTATTGTTGGAGTAGTTATTTTGTTGCTTGCCAAACTCACGCGGCGTAGCCATCCTTGAAGCTTTACAGATCAATGCCAACAGTTGCGCAGACCTGCGGTGACCACATTGGGAAACCAACACTGCATCGACCTGTCAGAGTGCCACCTTGTATTGTGGCATCAGACCAATTGAGGTTGATCACTGGGTCAATAGTTAACGACGGAAGGACATGGACGAAAGTTTGTCTGTACACGCAACACGTAAATGAAAGCTAGGTCAGAGCAATGCAGCAAATGCAGAACATGCATTTACGCGGACGCGCGATGGGCCATGCGAACGCTGCTCAATGCTTTGAAGGCTTCGATGCATGCAATGTGCCCATTAGAGCTGATGCTGTGCATGAACAAGGAATTGATGATATGCGATGTCCAGGCGAATGGCAGCAGGAAGCAAGGGAAGCATGAATACTGTGGTACAAGCACAAGCCGCCTAGTTTACGAAGTGTTCGCAGCTGCTAACGTGACCAGACGTGCGTGCGTCGTGCATCCGGCGTGTGGGCGGTTGACGTGACTTTCAAGCTCTCGTGTCGCCCAATATGCATGCTCACCTGGGCAGATACTCAACCAGATCGAGTTGTGGCCGTGCAGTTCTCGCGCCACGATCGGCAAAAGTACACGGGCGTCAAGAGCTACTTTCGCGCTATTATCCGATCAATTACTGCGAACTCGACGACGAATGAACTGTTCCCGCCACAATTCATTGAATAACTGGCTGATACGCAGCTTAAGATGGCACGACGTTTGGACGACTCGCGATGCGGTCGTGGGACATTTGCGTTCACGTCATGTTGCATACATGCTGTGATTCTGTCCAGCCGTGGAGTGTTGGGGATATATTACCCGATACAAGATCCGGCGCGTTGCCACGTTGATGTCATCGTGGTGGTGACGAATCGTGTGCGAGTACGTACATACAGTTTCCAGGCACAAAGACAGAACCTGTATGGTTGAGCCAGGTTTCGAGAATGGTCGGAAGGCTGCGGTTGTCCCCGTGAATCATCTGTCTGTCGTATTGCGCCGATGACACCGCCGAAAGCCGGAGCGCGCGGGTGTTCCATGGCCACAAATTTATCTTCGCCGGCAGGTTGCGTGAGGCATTCAGGGTGTCGTGGAGGCTTGCACCGATGCGCGGTGCTATCGTAGTTGGTCACGACGATCGCAGGAAACTCCATCAACCTCAATGACCATTGTTTAAACGATGAACGGACGGCATAATCAGTAGAAACAAAGTATTTTCATGTGTAGGAGACCAGTGTTCAACGATCCATGAATCATGACTGCAGGCAATCGGCTGCACAGAGATTGGTTCGGCGTGGACAGATCGGTAAACCAGAAAACTCTAAATGACCGAGCGCCACAATACAATCGTTTTCATTGGCCGAGGCCCAAAAGGTGAGAGCTCCCGGGCAACATTTCCCTGGACGGCTTCAGAACTTATTTCCTGGCAACTGCTTCCTCCATCTCATCATCTGCTCTCCCCTACACGCAAACATCCATCTATCGCTATCACATCGCATACCTCCAATCAACCTCATCAATCAATCTACCAGTCAAAATGGGCAAGGACAGCTTCGCACCCGGTACGTTACGCTTTCGCGATCTTCATCACGACAATTCTTGCCGCCCGCGATTGTCATTGCGCCTCAGCAGGCAAGACAGTCGCTTGCATGCTCGCCACAGGCGGCATCGAACAGCCCCATGCTAGCCATCCTTCTTGTTGCCGTGCATCATACACTTCATACATGTTTCCTCAATCGGCCATTCTTACTGACTTACTTGCAGGTGACGCCAAGAAGGGCGCCAACCTTTTCAAGGTATGCAACATTCGCAGTCCCTAACGCGCTTTCACCCAACGCACGGCCGCCGCCATGGAATAACCGACTTACAATGTTCGACAGACTCGCTGCGAGCAGTGCCACACTGTCGCTGCCGGCGGTGGCAACAAGATCGGCCCTGAGCTTCACGGCCTCTTCGGCCGCCACAGTGGTCAAGTCGCTGGTTTCTCGTACACCGACGCCAACAAGCAGAAGGGTGTTGAGTGGAAGGAGGACACTCTGGTAAGGACAAATATACCAAAGCGAGATGGACAACAGGCGTCTCTGCTTACGCTGCTCTGTTGCCACTGACACGTTTTGGATCTAGTTCGAGTACCTCGAGAACCCCAAGAAGTACATCCCGGGCACCAAGATGGCCTTCGGCGGTCTCAAGAAGGCCAAGGACCGAAACGACCTCATCACCTACCTCAAGGAGGCCACCGCTTAAACGACCTTTTGACGACCACTGTTGATACACCTCGGTCTGGCCTATCTGTCGTCACGACGATGTACTACTACTATTTTAGATGAATCGACATTGCGAGGCTGCCGTGGCATTTGCAGTGCTCGATCAGGGCCATTCATGCCGTTGGGCGGGCTATAGAGAAAAGAGTTTCGCTTCTGTGTGTTATAACTTTGGTTCCTGCATTTGCGGAGTTTCTTCCCTTTGTTGGAGTGGAAGCGGATATGTTTGTGTGCATTAGATCATCTCACCTCATCAAAAACCAATTCTCTGAATCCTTGCCTGCAACTTCTGGTACCGAAAGCGCTCCTTCCCTATTGATGCTGCCAACGTACACAGATCGAGAACGCAACAACTTTCCTGAGCGAGTGGACATTACATACGTCGAGAAGGTGATCGTTGACTGGTGCCAAACAGGTACCTACGAAACACTCGAGTTGGGGAGCTCGTCCGCGTGTGATGCAGAAATTCTGGGAGCTTCCGCAAAACCCAGAAACCCGTGGACGTCAGTGAAGGTGTGACGACTGTGCCTTCCCTTGTGAAACTCATGTTTGGAGCCCTGTCACATGCTTGCTCGCCAACCAGGCAGATCCACTCCAATTGCAGTCACAAGTGCTGTTCTGAACAACATCCTGGACTTGCCTTCGAAGAAATTTACCATACGTGCCAGATGGGTTTCACAATTCAAGTCGATTACCCAAGTGATTTTCAACCATTCATCCTTGCACACCTGAGCAGTTTCGGCTCTATCCCAGATCCATCTCCACCTTGACTGGTGCTGTCACAAAAGTTAACACATCATTAACATCACTCAACTCGTGGCACTCCACCATGCCTTCTAAAAAATTCGCTCGGCAGCCATTCAAGCTCGATGGCAACAGGTAGGTTTCGGATCACATCGCGACAGTCTTGATCTCCAGGACGCGTTCGTTGACATGCCTCCATAGACGGTTCCTCCGAGGATCTATGCCATCACAGTGAGTAAAGTACTCGTTTGCAAAAATGCAAAGGGGGTTTGTTGACGGTTATATTACAGAGCTAAATGCAGTCTTTGTCATATCATCAAACCAACATCGCCAAATCACTTTTCGGACCAATATATCGAATTCATCGACCAAGGACGGTCAGATGTCCGTTGCAAAGCTTGCACTTCCGGTGCCCTTCGGATCGACCTCGAATGCAACGACTGCCACGAAATCAAGCCGATCACTGCGTTCTCGGTCACGCAACGCAAAAGAGGTGACGATGCGGTATGACACACACTCACCGGCCTGCTATTTGATCACGGGACTGTCACTCGCGTTTCACGCATTATAGCTGATATTGTCCTGCAACCACAGGAGTGTTTGCTGTGCCGCAATCCATCGGCGCAGTCTTCTCACAACATCGAATATGACTCCGATAAATCCAAAGTCAGCAGCAAACCTCGCATGATCGACGTCACATCGAACAGAAGCATGTCTACAAAAGCGAGCACCTACGCTGCACCCTCAGCGGGTACCTCCGTGATCGGATCAGACTATACTAGTCGCGATGGCGGTGTGCGAGTGAATCCTGTGGGCAGCAGCGCTCCGAGTTCCAGCGCACAGTCAAAGTCACAGTACTTGAAAAACTACGACTCTGATGAGGAGGATGACGTTGTTGCCGAAGGATACGAGGATTGGAAATGATGAACAAATGGCCGCGAGGCGTGGGTCGTTAAGTACAACATCATGAGAAAGAAAAGAAATTGAAGTGAAGTGGGACAAACGCCGCCTCCCAAGGAAAAAAGTACAAGTAATGTGAACATCCAACAGTCTGATTGTCACCCCAGAAGAAAGAAAAGAAAAGTGAATATCGTCGGTCAATCTTGTTCAGTCGTCTTCCATGCCTGCAAATGTTGATAATCCATCCCAAAGCTCATCCCAAGCGGATTTTCTTTTCGCCAATGGAGAAGACGGTGCCATAGTAATCGCTTCTTCCAGGGAAGATCTTTCGTCCGGATTCGACAGATCGTCATCTTCCGGAAGGGCAGGGTATAGTTCGTCGGGGAAAGCCAGTAGCGGCAAATCAAGTAGAGGATCGGTCTGCGTGCTCTGATCAACATATGCGGATGACTTGGGCTCAGTGGCACTTTCGACAAAACCAGTCTCGAAATTTTCGACTTGCACGGATTCAATCTCGTCAGCAACTTCGTCGTCGTCATGGTCTCTGTTCGTCTCTGCCGCAGTCAGGCCCGGTGCATCTAGCTGTGGCTCTGCGAGCTCTGCGAGGGGTTCCGCAGCCCCGCCTACGAGCACAAGTGGTTCATCATGCACTTCATCGAGCTTCAGGCTTGATTCCTGGGGATCACGATCCTCGCGCTCGGGTCCAGCCTCGTTGTCGAGTATTTCTTCAACGTCTGGGACGCGTTCGATTGTGACAGATTTGACCCGACCTGAGTGATGCTCATCCTTCGTAATCGCAAGCCGCCATTGCACGCGTGGATCAGTTTCTTGTCCGGCTTTGATGGTCTCGAGGCCGACAAATTGATTCGGACTGAGCGGCCCATGCGGCGAAGACCCCTTTGACAGCACAGTGTCTTCATCGTATCGGCTTTTCCTGCGCTCGAATCTCTCCGCTACGTCTTGCCAATCTTCCTGCCACCGTTCAATATCCTGAAGGACTTGACTGCTTTCCTGTTTCTGCTTAGTAGCCTCCGTGGTGCCATCGTGCCGAGATGGGTCGCTTCCAACATGCAGCTGAATCGCCTTCATTTGTAGCTTCAGGAACAACAGCTCGCAATTCTCCAGTTCCAGGTCCGCCCGAAGGCTTTCGTTCTCCGACCTCAGTACGTCCAGGGCACTCTCTTGTCCCTCGAGCTGATCTCGGTGATGCTCGTTGCTGAAGCGTGCGTCAGCACAGCGCTGCCTCAGTTCGGTTTGCGCGACGCTGACACTACGGACAATAGTCGCCATTTGTGTGTGGAGACGCAGCGGATGATTCATGGTCGTGGCGGTGGCGGCGCTGAATTGTGGTGGAGGGAGCGGTGTCGTGTCCGGTGAGGTTGTCAGACTGTCCAGCGTGGCGGCCAGGTAGGGCGAGTCGTTGAACGGTGAGGTCGGATTGGATGACGAAGAAGTCACCGAGCCATCAAAAGACGTGTTGATGTTGTGGTAGTTTCCGCCGTCATGGCTATTGGTATCCTCGTCCCCTTCGTCCTCTGCTTCAAGCTCCACGCCCGAATCACTGAGCTGCTGGCGCGTGCGATTGCGCCGCGATACACACGATAGTCCGCTCATTGCTGTGTCAATCTCGCTCAATTTCTGCTCCACCAGCGCCAATGCTGCGAAACCCTCGATTTTACCACCATCCGCCCCGCTTCCATTCGTTGCATGGCGAATCAGCTTTGACTGTAGTTTTGCAAGGTGCGCAAGAACTTGCTGAGCAGCGGTCGGTATGACTGCCTGGTCGACAGATCGCGCCTCATCGGTGAAGTAGTCAGAAAAGGGCGAGTCGCGGGCGACACGGCGGCGAGAAGTGGAATTTTTGGCCGGAGTGACGGGCTGTGAGGGATGCCGGCGATGAGCATGGTGAGCATGTCGAGAGTGGGACTTGATGGTGTCGTGATCGTCAGGCAGGTACCGACCGAGCGGGCTTCGCGCATGGTTGGAAACAGGTCGCGGGGAGGAGGCCGCCGGTCCATGTGGGGTGTTTTGAGAAGAGGTTTGAGAAGTTGTATAGCTCGAGCGCGTACGGCGGTGAGCACGAATCTCGGTCGCAAGCGTCGGTGCTGTAGATGCGTAGTAGTATGCCGGGCGTGAGACCTTGCCTTGCGAGTTGGAGCGCTCACGAAGGTGGTATCGCGACGAAGGGCCAGGGAAATGCCATGACGGCGATGCAGCTGCAGGACTAGGCACATCGGCCATCGTGCTCGCTGTTGGTGATGGAGACTGAGCGGGAGGTGTTCTCGCGACAGAAGGGGCCATGTTGTCGCAAGTCGCAATGCGAATATCCAAGTGAATTCGTCTGCGAGTTCACCGGACGTCGTCAAGCAAAAGACCTGTCTCTAGCCAGGTCAGACGAAATCACGCAGTTCTGTACTCATAGACCACGGCGCGAGCCTGTGTCGTTGTTGTTGTCGCCGTCATCACACTGCACAGCGCATGTTTGATGTCACCAGTCGCGTTTGGTAAACAGTGACTGGCGCGAACCAAGATAGGATCCGCGATGCTGGCAAAGCGCTAAAGTGATGTTTCGCGGTTTCAATGAGCATCAGATCCCTCTGGGCGCAGATCCCCTGGAGAGGCTCTAGCACATGGCCCGCGTCCTCACTAGCCCCTAGGACCTGAGCCGTTTCCTGGTTCGTCAGGGTTTACCGCGGTGATCAGTTTCATTATTTCATTATTTCATTCTGCACAGACTGCTGCATATGCAAGTGCGCCCGTTGACTGTCAAAACGTGGACGCGCTTCCTTCCACACGACTGCACGGAACAACCAACCACCGCACCTGGGCACGCCCGGCTCTTAGGGTTGGGGTTAAATTATGCTGAGACATCGCCTTGCGCCTGGACAACTGTCGACCGTCCCAGTACTGTTGTTCGCGTACGTGGTCGTGCGTGTTGTGCATGAGGATATCTCATATGTACAGTGGATAGCGCGATGTTCGATCACGACATCGAAGCGACTCGCTATTTGTTTGTCCGCGCAAGACTGTTCAACGATCTGCTTGAGACGTTGGTATTCAGTTCGTTCATTTCGTGGGCGGCCCAATTTCGAATATGCGGACTACTCATTGGCTTTTTCATGTCATGTGGGGTGACTCCAGTCCACATGGAGATGGTTCTCGTTCGTGACATGTATATGTGCGCCAAGTAGATTAAGCTGTATATGCCCACGGTGGAAGGCTCTGCGCTACCTAACCGGCCATGTCCACCCTGACAGGTTTACCGTGGCCATCACTGCCAGTAGCACCCCCTCGTCCTTCCGTGCCTGTTCCAAGCGATGTCCCCGCCGCCACACTTCCCACCTGGCCTGCACCCTGTTGCTGCTCCTCCCAATGTATCCGCTCGGCTTGCTCAATACAACGCATGTTTGCCGCCAGCTTGTTGATCGTCTCCTCATACTCGTCGCCCTCATCCGAATCGAAGACGATTCCGCCACCCGCTTGAAGGTAAGCGACGCCGTCTCGGTACACCATCGTGCGAAGTGCGATGCATGTATCCATCGCGCCCTCCTCCAATGCGCCTGACGAGGTGTCGATCCGATCGTGACCGAAATATCCCACAGCGCCGGCGTAGACACCACGCTTTTCGCCTTCTAGCTCGGCGATGAGCTCCATTGCGCGGACTTTGGGTGCGCCGGAGACAGTTCCTGCAGGAAAGATGGAGCGGAAGGCGTCGAAACGAGTACGCTCAGGTCTCAAGACCCCCGAAACCTCAGACACGAGGTGCTGCACATGGGAGAAGCGCTGAACCAGCATGAGTTGGTCCACGCGAGTGGTCAAGGGATCGCAAACTCTGTTGATGTCATTCCGTGCAAGGTCCACCAACATGACGTGCTCTGCACGATCTTTGAGAGACGCCCTGAGAGTTGCAGCCAACTGAGCGTCCTCCTCTGGCGTGGCACCACGTTTGACAGTCCCGGCGATGGGGTGAGTGATAATCCGGCCTCGGTATTCTTTAACGAGAAGTTCGGGACTGGCGCCAATGATCTGAAAGTCGGCGCAATCAACATAGAACAGGTAAGGCGAAGGATTGACTGTGCGAAGGTGTCGATATATGTTGAAAGGATGTAAGCTGGTAGGCCGAGCGATGCGCTGCGATGGCACGGCCTGGATAATGTCACCCTCGACGATATGCTTTTTGAGCTCCGTGACGTGTGCCTCGTAGCCAGGTCGACCAATGTTGCTCTTGTACTCCTGATCCAACTGAACCGGGGGCTGAAGAGGCAATTTCATTTCGCCGTACTTAAGAGTGTGCGTCAGGCGCGCGATGATCTGGCGCGTGCTCTCATAGTTATCCTTGACCGCCGAAGCCGGTGAGTCCGCTGCCGGGACGTGTAGATATGAGATGATGATAATCTTCTGGAAGAAATGGTCTATGGCGACAATTGTATCGAAAAGCATAAAGTAACTCTCAGGCAATTCCAGCACATCTTTCATCTCTCTCTTCGTCTTCGGCTCAAAGTACTTGACACAATCATAGCCAACGTATCCAATGGCTCCGGCGGTCATAGGCGGTAGTCTCAGTGAGGGAACATCGGCGACACGATGCCGAGCCAACTCTTCAGCCAGACGTGGCAATGGATCGGCCTCAAGGCCATGCTTCGGACCGGACGCGAGTGTCTTACGGGGATCAACGCCGACGAAGCTATATCGTCCGATAGTCTCGGTCGTCGCCGCAGATTCGAAGAGGAAGGATTGTTTCGAAGGAGATCTGGCAAAGCGAAATGTGAGCGACCTTCCCAATACTTTCGGCAGAGGCCATTTGGATTGGGTATCGTTCCAGGTAGTACCTACGAAGCAGCGACCTTCAGGTATATGGCCGAAGGCGTAAGGAATTCGGAGGTGATTGAGGTACAGATTGGAATGAGGTTAGGCGCATCTTTCCAGGTTTTGCTGCGATTGATTATGTCCTGCACATCCTCAAGCGATGGCTGCACATTGACAGCAGCAAATGAAGTGGTCATGACTGGGTCAAATTCGGGTTTCGTGTCAAGGCACTCGTGAGAGTAGTTTTGTTGGCACCGTAGCTAGGACAAATTTTCGAGTGTCTGTTGTCGTGTGCTCTCACGGAACCGGTCGTGGTGAAGTCAGGAACACGAACAATGGCACCGAGAGTTGCATGAGGTAGCAGTGAGAGATACGCCGAGAGTGCTACCAAGATCCAAAGGCCAGCATGTCTTGGATAAATCCTCGATGGGAGAACGACTGTTGACTACTGTAGCGCGATGATTCGCATTGACATTCGGTGAGTGGATGACTCGCGCGGGCAATTTTTGTTTAAGCTCACGCCCCACCTGTTGCGTCAGTGTTTTTCAGGGCTCTGAAATCACAGACCATTCCTGCTCTCACATTTTTACAATTGTTGTTGTGCGTTCGTCGGCAGAACAACCAATTGAAGTTACAGCAATAAAGCTAGAGAGGATATGGAGTCTCACGCATAGCGACCTTCGTGGAGGCTTTCATTGATGGATGTCATTTCAATTTCCGAATGTATCGTCTAATGATGTACCTGAGGGGTATGTATATAATAGGAGACGAGCGATGTTTCTGTCCACGATCGTGGCGGAAGAGCATTCGTCACAATGTGCATCATTCTAGGAGTGCTCATAGGTTTTCCAGTGCCTCAATCTCACCTGCCCCAATGTGTTAAGCTCAGAATCCTGTGCGAGCAATGTGGCCGTGAATCATCTAATCCCTACTTGTGGCTAATTCCTCCGCCTGTTCATTGCTCTCATGTGCCTTCAATCGTTCCAGCTGCTCGCGGACATAGCGGTTGATCGGATCATCTGGATCCTCAATGTCGCGTGCCTTTCCGGCTTTTCTAGCGCCGTTGGCGGCATGGGCAAGCTCGTCGCCAGCCTCCTTGTAGATCTCCCCATCGGCCTGGTCCTCCTCATCGCCCGGTTCCGATGGCGGCGCAGTGCTACCATTGCCCCAGTCACTACGCTGGCCAATGGAGCGCTGGCGTGTGAGACTGCGAGCCAGACCCGTCGGACGTCGTGGGCCGAGCGAAGCGCGGCGTTGACGCGAGAAGGTGTCGTCGAAGTAGTGCTCCGCGGCAGAAGATGGAGATCGTGGGGTTTGAGGAAGGCGGCAGTTGGTACCAGTGTCCTGAATAATCTTTGCCATAAGACCAGTCCATCCGCACTGGTGGGACGCACCCAGACCACGGCCAGAGTCGCCATCAAAATATTCGTAGAACCACAAGTAATCCTTCCAGTGTGGATCAAAGTCGAGCATATCATTTCCGTCGTGCATGGCGCGGCGACCTTGATCGTTTGAGGTCATAAGGTGCTGCAATCGGTGCTGAATCTCTTCTGCGACGTGGCCGAGATGCATCTCGTCCCCAGAGCCGGTAGGACACTCAACCTTGAATGTGTTGCCGTAGAACATGTAGAAGCGAAGCAAAGACTCAACTAGCAGGAAGTTGACAGCGATCCAAGTCGGTCCACGCCAATTACTGTTTCCACCGAAGAGACCACTGTCGGAATCGCCTGGGATGTAGGACACGGAGTAGGTTTGGCCGTTGGCGTCCATGGAAACCGGGTGATCCTTGTGGTACTTGGACAGCGAGCGGATGCCATGGTCGCTGAGGAATTCTGTCTCGTCCAACATGTACTTCAGGATCGAGCGCAGGCGGTCTTCGTTGACAAGGGAGAGAAGGAGACGCTCATCCTTGCCTCGACGCTTCATGCTGGCAATGTTGCGCTGCACGAGATCGTGCTTGTTCTTGATGAACCAGTCGACATGCTTCTTGAACGACGGGAAGCGGTTAATTACCTGAGGCTCAAGCGTGAGCGTCGCGTACATAGGAATGAGACCGACGAGCGAGCGCACGGGCATCTGGTGGGAATAGGGACCACCCCAGGAGATTGCGTCGTAGTAGAAGCCGTCCTCGTCGTTCCACAACGATTTGGCCTCGCCACCCTTGCGGTATTGCATGGCGTCTGAGATCGAGAGGAAGTGCTCGAAGAATTTACAAGCAATATCTTCGTAAATTCGGCGGTGTTTGGCCAGCTCGAGGGCGATGTTGAGCATACTAAGACAGTAGAAAGCCATCCAACCTGTGGCATCGGCCTGCTCAAGGGTTCCACCAGTCGGGAGAGGATCGGATCGGTTGAACAGACCAATGTTGTCGAGTCCCAAAAAGCCACCTTCGAACACGTTCTTGCCGTCAAAGTCCTTGCGGTTACACCACCATGTGAAGTTCATCAAGAGCTTCTGGAACACGCGTTCCAAGAAGTCGAGATCTTCGCGGCCGTACATCTTGCGCTCGATTTTGAACGTGCGGAATACAGCCCAGGCGTGCACCGGGGGATTGACGTCGCCAAAGTTCCATTCGTAGGCCGGCAGCTGACCGTTCGGGTGCATGTACCACTCACGAGTGAACAGGTCGAGTTGCTTCTTTGCGAATTCGGGGTCGATCATGGAAAGCGGAATGCAGTGGAACGCGGTATCCCACGCGCAGAAGAATGGATACTCCCACGAGTCTGGCATAGACAAAATGTCGTCCAGATGAAGATGCTTCCATTGACCATTGCGAATTGCCTTTCGTTCTGGTGGTGGTGGAGGCATGGCAGGATCACCGTTGGCCCATTGATCCCAGATGAAGTGGTAGTACTGTTTACACCACATCATACCGGAAAGCGCCTGGCGCTGGATGTTGCGAAGGTCGTCTGCCATGGGCATTGGGTTGAGCTTGAAGAAGAACTCGTCCGCCTCCGCAATACGCTGCTCCATGACCTCGTCGAAGCGCTCCTCGTCAAGGTAAGCATCGTCATGCTTGGTAGATATTCGCATACGGACCACAGCGCACTCGCCTGGAGGCACACCGTCGCCATGGTCGAAGGCGTACCATGCCGCGGCCTTGGTACCGAACTTCTCCGGGTTGACGGCTTTCTTGTCACCCTTGATGACGCGCTTGTGGAAGGCGTCCTTCACGTAGGCGGTCTTGTTGGTCTTGCTCTTGTACAGATCGACGTAATTTGTGTCGTTGTCAGTGAAAAGGAATTCAGGCTCGATGTCGGCATCGTGACCACAGCTGTTTGGCGAGGGCGAGCACTGGAGGAAGCGGTCGCCAATATCGCGATGTTCGATATGGCACATGAGGCTGTCCGTCTGCTTGATGTTCGGCTTGTAAGAGTCGTAACCCCACGCCCATGTGTTGCGGAACCACACATGTGGCAGAATGTGTAGCTTGGCCGATTTCTTGCCACGGTTGTACGCGGTAACACGGAACAATAGCTCGTCCGGATTGTCCTCCTCCTTGGCCGTCTCAATGAAGATATCCCAGTATGCGTCATCCTTGAAGATGCCGGTGTCAATCAGATTGTATTCCCTGTCCTTCTTCGTCCGTCTCGCGTTCTCTTTGATGATGTCCTCGTACGGGAACTCGTTCTGGGGAAGTTTGTAAAGGAATTTCATGTACGAGTGGGTGGGTGTGTTGTCAAGGTGGAAATGGCACTCCTTGATACTCTCGCCGTGCACACCCTGTGGGTTGGAGAGACCGAAAAGGCGTTCTTTGAGGTGACCACTAGACGCATGTCAGCCAAAGCTCTCACTCAAAGTGACGTACCAACTTACTCCTTCTCATTCCAGAATGCAAAAGCAATGTTCATGCGGCCGTGAGTATCTGAGACTCCAGCAATACCGTCCTCACCCCATCGGTAAGCCCGGCTTCGCGCCATGTCGTAGTTGAAGGCACTCCACGCATCTCCATCGGCACTGGATCCTGGTCAGCAAACGCTTGAAGATGTCTTGGTCAAAAAGACATACGAATAATCTTCTCGTACGGTACCCCATTGTCGTTCAGCGGTGTAGGGACCCCATTTCTTCCAGTACTTGACACGGTCCTTGTCATCCTTGAGACGCTTCTCTTCAGCGCTCATGACTTCTTGGCCATCGATGAACACCATGTTGGCGGATTGAGCGAGATCGCTCCCGCACGCAGATCGTCAAGAGCCGTTCCAAGGATTGACACCCCGCTATGTGATGTCTTGCTGTCGAGGAACAGCCTCAAACAAGTGGCTATGCTCGTAGGCTGGATGCTGTGATCGATTGAACGGGAAATCGAGCGTTAAGAGCTGGCTCGTAATTTGTCGTTGCCCCGCTATAGACAGAGATATATACCACGGAAAGGCAATTCAGCTGTAAGAAGATGGATACCGGCGAAGCAATTTAGCGAATGCTCCTCTAAGGAATGAAGAGACAAATGATGTTGCAGGAGAGGAAAATCGGACTCTTGGTAGATACCGCAAACAATCGTGAGGGAGAGGGATGAGCAAAGGAGAGGAGGGAGAGCATACGAGGACAGGAAGAGCCGGGCAATATAGAAATGGAGGTGAGAGCGGTGGAAACGAATGTTTGGGCCATTCCTGCCTAGCTACAGCAGTTTACCCGACCTACCTACCTAGAGATGATACTGCCTCACCCATTGCTGGAATCCATGGATGTCTCCATTGCACCTGGTATCAGCATAATGATGACGGTGGGAGCAGTAGGCACGGACGGTTGTAGCAGAAATGTCTCGATGGGCTGACACCTAGGTAGACATAGTTCACTGGCCGAAATAGCCCCAGCCGATATGCCTCACGATTCCGAAGTTGCAGTACAATACAAGCTATAATAATAAAAATAAGCTGGGCGTGCCCGGCCCGCACGTACAGCACTACCGCCCGGCGGTGCACAGGTGGGCGGTAAGTGTTTCGTTATCACGTCGCACTTTTTCTCAACCTTACGGCGCCTGTCCGCCATCCCATCTCGGATGCGCGTACAGTCCCGGGACGTCCGATACTATCCAAGGTTGGACTGGATAGTCCCGGACTGTGTCGTGTACATCGACTTGCCTTCGGTGTTGGTCTAGCGCTCAACCAGCAGTGGCACATGCCAGCAACAATAATTGCGTGCCTTGAGCTTCGATGATCTGGGGAAGTCGCCCAAAACTTCGAGGCACAGCAACCAGAAATGGTGGGGTTGGCCTAGCTTTTGGCCCAGCACTTTGTGTACGGGCAGTACCTGATCTAACGCCTATCTCATCTGTTATTTACAATGACCTGATCTCCGGCCTGCTCATGATAGGTATGTACCTGCATGGAGGAGGCAGGATTTGCGCTCTCAGTAAGATCTCGTGAGCCACAGAAAATCGAATGAAACTTCTCGTTGAGTTCGACTGAAAATCGATCAATATGGACAAGACAGAAAGATTGCCGCCACCGACGACGTCGTGCATGATAGATCACCGGTGAATTAGGCTCGAGGAGAACGCCAGCACGTGTAAAGACGGCGCCGAGGAAGTTTTGGGGCTCCCAGACCGTGTAGAGAAGGAGAAAGAGAGCCAATGCTGCCCAGGTGAGCTAACAAAAAGCCCGCGGCGGATGGACTGGAGACGAACAGTGGCCATCCACCTCAATATTGTCCGATGCGTCGGAGGGACGACTCACACACACATGCAAACGGTACGGTCTACTTCCGCGTCAATCGTACCACTCCATTCGATCGTCGCTTCAACAGCTTCATCCACGGCGACGAAGGCAGAGACAGATACTACACCTCCTTCCTTCGACATGCTTCATCCACCGTTCGAGTCGCAGTGTGAAGTAATGGTCCTGATCGGAAATCGCCGCCTCGAGCGCATGTGTTTTAGTTCGAGTAGCCGCATTTGTTAACAAAGTGTACCTCGATACGTGCGAAACTCATGGCCGCACTGGCCATTCTCCCAACGTTTCTCTCCAGCTCCCATCAATGTTTCCCCACTACGGCCACCTCCGCTCCCCGCGTGCCCGCCGGCACACAGCACACGGACTGTGGCGTGGATGGCCTTCTCGTCGTATTTCTGTATGGATTGCTGAAAAGCACGAAGGCGATGATTTTTTCTTTGTGATTAGCCTGGTACCTGCCGTGGCCTCCCGGGTGCTCGCACCGGGCTCAGCATACGGACCAGATGTCTCAAATTGTGCAATGTTGACCGGAGGCGTTGTCGTTGAATATCCTCTATTGTCGGACGTTCTCGATCGGACAGACCTACGATATCGTTAATCGCGTGCTCCTTCGATACAATGGATCTGCTTTGACCGTGTGCTTAACCAGCCAGCACGGCACTAGCATCAGAAGCCAATCCGGCAAAACGAAAGTGAGACCACCTCCATGCAACGGGACAACCACATGCTGTCTGTCCCGTCGCGCAGCAACAATTCCCTCCATGCACGGAAGGTCGAGAGAAATGACTTGCGATCGATCCTATACCTGTCTTCGAATTTGCTGTTATCAATGATCTCTTTAACAGATTGCCGATGCCCAAATGCTTGCTCTTGGGAAGGCATGAGTTGATCAGTTGAGGCGCGTCGTCGGAATTTTGACGTAGCGCGTCATCATGATGAGTGATGGGACTTTTGCGCTAACAACCAGGCCTCTTCCTCAAGACATACACAATCCGTGCGCAGCGCGGCTCAAGTTGCTGTCCTCGTCCTCCGAGATCATTACAGATTCGATGCATGCATGCATGTGTGTATGTATGCATGCCCCGCCGCATTCCTCCCGCAGCTGCCGTTGATTCTCACCGCATTTGCATCCATTGGCACAAGACACTGGTGATGCTGCTGACAACCCTCACCATATACCGCTCTTTCGTCACACAGCTACATATGAAATCCAGCTTCAGATCACAGGCCGTGAGTCGCCGACAATCGTTGTTCGTGAGCGCAGTATCACTGCTTCGAGGAGTCTTGCACACGCGAAGATATAGCCAGTCATAGCCACACTGCGCCTAAACTCATGTCTGGAGCGCATTCAATCTATGCCGAAGCGATTGCTGAATTGAAATTACGTTATAATCTAGCATTCTATCCTAGCTCAGGTATCAATATTTAAGTGGTGTAACCCGTTCCCGGTTTCAACAGAATTGGATCCCGTCGTGTAGTTCCAGATCACCACGTTCGGACAAAGAGCACAACCCTCACATGATGGGTGGGAATGGGCGAAGGACGTACTGGCGAGAGGTCTGGCGGCTGCTCGGACGAGACTGGGTGTCCTCGCAGTGCTCAATCTCATGGTCAAACTCACTCGCTTGAGCGTCAGAGAAGACATCGCCTTCGTCAGCTGCCGAGTCCGCGGTTGATGACCGTCTGCGCCCAGCCTCGAAGCGGCTTGTGTTACTCACAACTCTGTTCTTCAGTCGAAGGGGTAGAGGTCGTGCAAATCGGTTCCGGTCGCTTAACGGGCTCCATTCGTCTGGGATTCCGGCCTGTGCATCTTTGTGATTGTTTTTATTTTCATCGGTCTTGGCTGATCGGAAATCCGACGTATCACTTTGTCCTTTTGGAAAAGCTGCCGCTCTGATCTGGTCGTCTGCCTGTATCCCACGACCGAGACGTCGACTAGGCCCCTGAGCGTCGAGCTCAGCACGACTTGCCAGCTCAGCCTGCCGGTCAAGCACGCTGGATGTCCAGAACAGATCGCCTATGTCTGCGCCGTGTGTCGTACCAGCGCGGGTACTCCGTGGGCTAGAGGAATTGGAGCTGGATATTCTCTGACACATCTGTGGGCAGAGGGAAGCGGTTGATCTTTGGTGCGTGAGATGGATCGTAGCGGGCGGTGATGCACTTTGACCACCGTCGTAGATCGGAGACTTGGCACGGCGCAGGTCGCCGAATATGAAGTCCGTTTTGAAATGACCATATTCGCCCGCGTCGAGGACACATGGATTGCCCTCCGAGGGGGCGTCTGTCACTCCGCGAGGGCTGAAACCACTTGCCTGAATATCATTTGTCTGCGCATGCTTTGGCGCGAGTAGTGAGACCGATCCATTCTTTGCTATTTTTGAATTATCACTTGCGAGTGCTGAGTCTCTGCGTATAAAGCTTGATACGCCAGCGAACTGCCTGTCCCCAGAAACAAAAGGGTCAAGCATGCTGGGCTCCTCTCGGCCAGTCTCAGAATACATCGGTTGACTATCGATATCTGATAGATCAAGTTGAGAATGAAGGACAATGTGTTCAGCTGTGAGAAACCCAGGCGAGTTCAAGGCTTCATCTTCCGTGCACGCGTTAGTCAGGGCGTCCAGCGAGCTCATGGTGCGAAGAGCGCGAGCAGTCTTACCCTCTGTTGCTGGGCTTGACTCGACCGCTCGCTCGAAAACGTTCCCACCGTCGGATTCTTCATCTTCAAGCTCAAGACCGAGGGTTGTGCCCGGCATTGGGGATTCAAATGTGGGATTCACGAAATCGAAGGCTTCCGATGGCAGACTGAGCAATTCTCCAGGAGTTACCGGTCGTACGATCCGGCCCGATCGAGAAACGAATGGATCATCCGAGGGCTCACAAGTCGTTGTGATGTCTTCGCGACAAGATGATGGCATTTCATGAGATGAACCGCTTGAGTCATAATGATTCTGGTCGTCTTTGGGAGGAGACGCGAAATCGTCAGGAAGAAATGCAGCAGGGCCCAAGTCAAGACGGAGAGCAAGTGACGAAGCAGCCAGAGGAATGTCAATCGGCGAAGATGGCAGAGGTATATCGACAGACCGCTTGGTGGGCGATGAAAGATTGCTGATTGAGGATATCAACTTTGAGGAGACTGCTCGGCGTCCGAAGCCCCTGATGCTTCCTACCAGACTGGTTGCAATACTGGAATGACGCGCTGGTGTAGCCACCGCCCCGTCCGGGCCCAGAGTATCATGCGAATCCACCCCTTCTCCTCTACCCTCAGCAGAAATCAGGTCGCAGCTTCGTCGTCGACCATAAAGCTTGGAAAGACTTCGGTGCCTCTGATGACCACTTGCGGACAAAAGATCGAGGTGGCGACTGGTCGACCTCGTGCCTCTGCAAGTGAAGCTGATCGCGCGCCGCCAGCTAGCCCTTCCGTGGCGTTCCGTCTTCGATAGCTCGGATGCATTGTTCGTCTTGACTATGACTGGCGATTCGTCGCTATTCCTTGACAGGGTAAGAACGGACAGGTTCTTGGCCTCATTAGTTCTGCGAAGGTGTCAGTCGAAGTCAAGACGTGTCTCAAACGTCCATTGGTGTACTGCTCAGCCTTTGGGTTTTCTCTCCTCAAAGTATCTACGAAGCCTTTGGCATGTAGAGCACTTTTGTGCACGAGGCCACGAGCAGCGTCATACCAGGACCCCTTCCTGACCAATTCCCCTTTCTGCTCAAGATTATTCTGTAAGGCTTCTTGAGCTGGCGACGTCCCGGTAGCGCTCACGTTCAGGAGTGAGAGGTGATCGTCGTTGTGAGCCATGATACCGAGGGTCCGAAATGAGTAGACGTGTGAGTATCACCGTGGTGTGCTGCTGACCACTTTGTTCGTGTAGGTATATCACGTATTGTCGTCGTCAAGCGCCGTCAATCCCTGCTTGGAGCATCTATTGAGTAAGATCAATGTTCGATGGGATGGCCAAATCACCTCATGTTACAAGCTGGAGATGGAAGATAGAGCTACAAATCACAAGTCAGGAACGTAGTCTCCAGAGCTGCCACGAATGTTATCTACGATCGAGCATTGGTGGAAGGTGCAACGCCAGTGGCTTCCCAAGCTGTCTTCGATCGACAAAGTGCGCAGATGTACAGATACCTAGGTAGTCAGGCTTCAGGGCTACCTAGGTGACTAGGCATCTTGTTGATCATCGTGCTTGTCGGGAAGTCTCTAAAAGCATGTAAATATCGGCAATGACGATGCTGTGAGCCCCGTAGCCACTGTAGCCATTTCAGATTTGCCGTACGGTCACTGAGAACATCGGGTGGCCAGTGTCCGAGGACTCTTTGTAGTTATCTCACTCAATAAGTCCCTCGCCACACAAAAGACCTTATTATAGCGGGTGCCACATGCGGGAGTTTGCAGGTGAGAATCATTATGCTTGACAGTGAATCGACTCCATATACATGACGAATGCTTGAGAGTGCGATCTTGGATATTGCGTGTTCTGATGTAGCCACGTCAGACCTCGTCGGCACGTTCCCGACACATCCCAACATATTGATCGAGATATTTTCGATCGACATACGCGAGATTGTGTTTACTGGGGTAGAATCTGCATCTGTCCTGGACCAGGTCGAGGAAGAGGAATGGGTTGCACCTGCGATTGCTCGAATGAGGTTGGACGAAACGTCGGGAGAGGAGCGAGTTTCTGGGCACCTCAGGCATGAAAGCTCTCCAGGGCTCATTCTTACTCTGCTGGGTCGACCGCGACGCGCTTCCGGCTCGAGCTTCGTCTGACGAAATCCGCCCGCCCATAGTTTGCTGGATATAGCAAAAGCCATTTTATGTACAGGCACCGTTACGCTCGTGGACTCCTAACATCACCTCCTCACTCTGAACTGCTCACGACGAGACGCTCGCTCGCTATCTCAATTACCCACTCTGATTGTATCAGGCAATATCTACCAAAAAGCTTGTCACTCCCGCGCTGCCTACATAATGGCCGCCAAAAAGCCCCAAGCCGTCTCGCTGGATACTATGCTCAAGGAAGGTAAGTCATCTTATGTTGGTTTGTGGCCACCCGTGATGGTCGTACAGATCCACTGACCGCGCATTAGATCGCCAGAAGCGAGGAAAGAAACGCGAACTCGAAGAATTGGCCGAACAGATTTTCAAGCGGTCACGTACTCCGGCTGGCCGCGCTGCGCCCACCCCGGGAGCCAGTCTGGCGAGCCGTGTCGGCATTTCGAAGGTGGGTCACTGCGTGAGCAGTACAAGTTGAATCTATGATCGCAGACACTGACCGACTCAAAGAGACCTGCATCTTTGCCCCGTACAAGCAGCGCACCAGCACGCGCACCTCGCCCAGCTGCCCATCTGAGCCGTCCATTGGCGAGGGAAGCCCCGCGACCGAGCACACTCTACACGTCTGATGTCGTTGGCGAATCTGTTGACGACATCCAGCTGGACTACGGAGACGTGGCTCCGCATGGGGCTGCTGGAAGCATCAACATCCGAGGCGCTGCCTCCACCGGACCGCACGTTGTCATTGCACAGAACTTTGCGCCTGGGACGACAGCTGCCGACATCGAAAGTGTGATGCAAGATGTTGGAGGTGATATGACGGAATGTCGGTTGATAGCATCCAATCCCACTGTGATTGCTGAAATGCATTTCGTGGACAAGAGTGCGGCGGACAACGTGGTCAGGACGTTCAACAACAAAAAGGTAAGATTGGGCGCACAGAACTACATTGCCGTTAGACTAATACCTTCTCAGGCCGATGGCCGTGTTCTGCATGTGTACTGGAAATCGCAGACAGCAGGTCCTGCGAGAGCGAATCAGCGCAGTCGACGATCGATGCCACATGCTCCAGAACCGGAGAGAGCGTTCGCAGCAGAAGAGATGGAATTGGACGACAACGTTGCGGCGCGAGAGGAGAACAATCGTGTCCGTGAGGAGCGCCGACCTGCTCCCGCTCGTGGACCCGCCGAATTATATCAAACAGCGCCTAGAAGAGATCGGGAGTTCGAAGAAAACTACCCTCGTGGCCCGGCTCGCGTCAATGAAAAAGGGCACCAAGCGAACTTCCGGGGCAACGGCTACAACCGTGAGGATGGCTACAGTCGAGGCGGTGGTGCCGGTGGTCGGGGACAGAATCGTCAAGAAGGCCGCCTTTACTCGGAAGACCAAAGACGACAACAGCAAGGCTGGCGCTGAATTATTGTGCGAATCTCAATTGCTGTGTATCGATATTCCGTAGAGAGTCGAAATTTATGTGCATCTTCACATGAAAAAGGAGACAGAGGCGACGTGGCAGCAACGGCACATCCGCCCATGCTACAATGGGTGACCTCAACTCGGCATTATTCGATCACAGAGGTGCCGCTACGCGAATGATCTAGGTATAATTCACGCTCGTATTGCCCACCAGCAAAGCAGCTTGACCGAGTCTCTCATCGACGGCTCGACGGACGTACTGTTTGAGAATATTGTCCATATGCCGCGCTGTGCTCAAATGGCGGGACATCGCTCGCCACATGCAAAACTTCGGATCCCATGGAATAGGTCACTCGCATCTCCCTCACCCCAGACACCATCCACGCATATGCTACTCATGCGAAGACATTCGCCACACCCTTAGCTACACACGCCTTGCTGGCGAAGACTCGACCTGTATGCAGCGTGCACTCCGGGTCGTATTTGTCTTTGATGTCGATCAGTCGCGGAATGTTCTTACCCCAAACTCGCCGACCAGAGACATCTCCAGCTATATAGTTCGGATAGTCACATAACTTTGTGCCTCCGCACAAATCGGCGTCGGACTCATCATCATCGGACATTTTTGGCCCTGCGGCGATGGCCTGTTCGGCATAGGTGAGTGCGGTGATACGAGTGTTAGTGGTCGCGGCAATGAAATCACTGGAGGGAGACGACCATCCTGGATCGAATAGAGTTTGGTGTCCCGCGTGGCTATGCGGCCAGGCGGTCTCATTGTCCGATTTTGGTAGATTGCCGTTGAGACCGGGAGACATGTATTGCAGTGTGAATGTCGAAGCTGTCGGGAAGTCACCATTGCCGATAACATCGTCAATAAATATCTTGAACTCGCGCTGAACGTTCTGAAGGTACGGAGCGGAGATTCGGCTGGCCTGTCCGCCAAAAAAACCCCTCCGAAGACCGTAGGGGAAAAAGGCTGCTCCCAGTGTGGCGAGATTCGCATACGGTACTGTGTATGTTGTACTCTCGACAAATTGAAGACTTGACAGAACCGGAGCGAAAGTCTCCTCGAATGACTTCTGATTTGGCGCGGTCGATTCAGGCTCCTCAAGCCAGACTGTGGTCATAAGGTTCAGGAGGGCAAAGTCAGATGGCTTGGGATCAGGATTGCTAGAATCGGCAGGCAGGAAGCCATATGTGTAGTACAGCAAGCTGAAAGGATCGCTGTGTGACGCATAAAACTCGGCAACATTCTCGTATGACTTCGGGATCGATTCTTCCGCCAGAATGTAGAAGGCGACACGGGCCGACTTGGGTTCGGGGATGGCCCGCTGGAAGAATGTCGTAACGATGCCAAATTGACCAAGACCTGCTCCTCGGAGGGCCCAGATGAGGTCGGAGTACTCGTTAGTCTCGGTCGCGAAGACGATCTCGCCGGTTGGTAGAACAACCTCGGCAGCAACAACACGATCGCTGGCATATCCATACGCGCCTGCGAGATACCCAATGCCACCGCCGGTCGAGAAGCCGCCTAGACCAACCGAGTCAACCCGAGCAGCAATACCAGTCCAGCCAGTGCCATTGAGTGCTGCTTGAAATTGACCGCTTGTAGTTCCTGCACCATAAGCGATGGCTGTGAATGTTTCATTGCCCAATTCAAAGTCGTGCACGATTTCGGTGTGATTGAGAAACTTCAGATCGATCACGAATCCAGAAGAGCTTGAGGAGTTGGTCATGGAATGTGCCCCAGAGACAAAAGCATAATCTCGACCAAGATCCGTCTTTTGAGTAGCGCGGACAGTCACACTCACGTCGCGTGCGTTGGCAGGAAAGACAACCACGTCGGCGTCCTTGCCATACTGCTTTCCCCAATAACGGTTTGCATTATAGATTTGCGAAGGCTGCCCGCGACAGGATATGATCGCATTGCCCGACAGCTTGCTGGACAGCCAAGTCAGGCCCGCATCCCTTTCAACACAGGTGCCCTCAATGCGAGGCTTCCCGTACCAGCCGCCCAGCATGGTCAACAGTGACAATACTTGTTGTTTCATTTCGATACCGCTTCCACGAAATGGGAAACATAAGTTTTGAGGGATCACAGCACGATACAGGAGGAAATGAGAATCGGAGCAGCACCTATTTTGTTTGATGTTGGAAACATGATTTATCAGAGACCTTACCGCCGCCGACACTGTGGATCTGGTGGCGGTATCGTGCCCATTTTGCGCAAAATGCAGCTAAAGAGCTTGTGACGCAGCATGCGTTGGTGCGAGATACTGCATGGTTTCGATATGCGGCGTAGTCGCGGCAAATCTGATTCGTCGATGTGTTCTTAGTGGACATGTATATTGCAGAGCAAGGTTGTTGTCGAGGCCCAGCGACGGAAACATCGAGAACGCGCCGAGGAACTCATTTACTTGCTTTGTCTGCGGCATCAACCTTGACTCGTCACAGGAGCGTTGCCGTTTTCAGTTCGCTTGATTGTGCCTGCAGTGCGTGAGCATACGTAGCGGCGGGTCGTTACATTTCAGGTATTTGGACCTTGGGCATCGACTTGACTGGGATCAATTTATGCACACCTGGGCGATGTTCAAGGCGGTACTGTTAGCGCCGAAATCGGCATAATTTCGGTACAAGATACCTTCTCCTGGACTCTGATGCAGCCATTCTCGTGACTGCGAGAGGAGGAACAAAGATCGTGCGGCAAACTTGATCAGGTACACAAACATGCAGTATCCGCTTGCGCTGGTGAGTATCATGGTTTGAATTGATTGTTCGGATTTGTCTATGAAAGTCTAGTCAGAGATCGTGCAATACACACCTACCTAGGTACCTTGGTAGGTATCGCAACCATCTGACTCAGCTTCAACCTGCTTACGATCAGCGTGGGCTAGCACACACCTCCAGTCATATCATGGAGCGCATGATGTATCTTGATATCGCCCGAGCCCCAACTTGGGTGTGTAATGGCCCGTGAGCTGCGCTGGGATCGAGCAATCATTTTCACTGAGACGATTTGCAGCTGTGTGCGCAAGGTGGATTATATCTTGCAATGGCAATGTTTGCTCTGGTTACGGCGCAAGACCAGCCGATGAGGACGTAAGCGGTGCTGTGCCGCTCTGTCCAAGGTAGGCGATCCGATCTGTTGGTGATGGGGCCTGTTGGTGGTCAGCAGAGCTCAAGGCATCAGCTAAAGATTTTTACGGATATGCGAACGCGAGCAAAACACTGAAATACCACCGACCGACAGCTATTCGGCCTTAAGTTCCAGCTATCTGTAGCAATCTCTTGAGCCACGTCAACCCCCGTTCTATATCTCCAAATTTTGTCAATTGCCTCGATCCGGCAGCAGCGGTTTTCTCCATCGGCTTAACCTGGAAAGCTGGCCAACATGCCTTCGGCAAGATACTTCGACCAGTGCCCCCCTTTTCCTGAAGATGTACCGGTCGCCGAGATACCTATCATCAAATTGAAAGCGCTCGAGGGAAATAGCGTAGAAGAAGGCTCCCGTTTGTTCGACGCCTGCTGCAAGCATGGCTTCTTTTTGCTTGATTTCAACAGTAGCTCCCAAGGAGATGGGCTGTTGACCGACGCTGAGAGCATGTTCGACCTCGCGACGGAAACTTTCAGTCTCGAAAAAAGCGTCCTCGATCAATTCGCCTATCGGCCACCCAAAGACCTTCTCGGCTACAAAGAGGCTGGTAAGCTGAAGACCGATGATGGCAAACTAGACGCCACCGAATTGTACACGCTCGGGCAAGATGACATGCTTGGCACACTCTTGCCCCGGAAGAACCCCGAACCAATTGAAGGTCAGCGAGAAAAATGTCGAGACTTCTTCGAAAAGGCCCATGCTGCTGTCGCGACCGTTCTCAAGGCATTAGATGGTCCTCTTGGCCTACCTCGTGGCACTCTGGTGGATCTTTGTAGGCCGGGAAGGTTGTCCGCGACCTCTTTACGTCTACTTCTCACACGACCACAAGAGCCTACCCCGAGGAGGATCACGCTCGGAGCACACACCGATATCGGTCTAATCACACTCCTTTTCAATGTGGCAGGTGGTCTGCAGATCTTGCCAGCCGAAAGTGAGAATGTCGACAAGAATTGGCGGTATATCAAACCTCAACCAGGCTGCGCCGTAATGAATATTGGAGACACTCTGGTAGAGTGGACGGGTGGGGTCCTACGAAGCTCGCTCCATCGTGTTGTCACCGCCCCAGGCATGCAGAGTACTTCGTCAAGGGTTAGTCTCGCGTATCTGGTGCGGCCAGCACGCGGGCAGTCGATGCGACGCCTCCAGGGCGACGGCAAAGTTATTCCTGTGGCGGCCGAAGAAGACACGCGCGATGTAGATGAATGGGCAGCTGAGCGAGCTGGCCAGATCATTCGCGGCGTGTTGAAACCACGAACGACTGGAGGCATACTCATTATGTAGAGATCGTCTGGGTGAAGCTATGCACGAATGGATTAGTTCTTCATATGAGAGTGTTCTTTTTAGGACCTAGTGTAGAGATTCTTGACGACAGAGAGTTCTTGAAGCGGGCGCTCGAGCGTGCTCTCTGACACTATCCATAAACTATCATAATAGATCTTGAACATCCGTTCGGCGCGTTCTTGATCAACAAAGCTCTCGCTGAAATAAACATCGAGCTCCCCCGAGTCTGCAAACTGCGTCACGGCATGATTTCATGGAATATCTGCTGTGTACCAGTCCAACTGCTGCATGGGATCCAAGCCAGCGTCTCGCAGAGAAGCTTCCAGCTCTCGATCTCGTCCATCCTCCACAACAAATTCCGAAACAGCTTCTTCTGTGCCGTCGAATACGCTGTAGGCACGCAGTCCGATGTTCTGGTGCTCTCGGAGGATTAGAGACTCGTCCGGCACCTGCGCGAAGAGTTGCTGCACCGCTCAGGGTTTGGCAGTCTTACTCTACTGGACGTCTTGATCATCGTAGGACAGGCCATAGTCCCGACACGAGCTCAGGCTGGTCTTCCCATTGAGATCGATTCAGACAGGACCGCCGGCGGCATTTCTGGAGTAGCGTGCAAGTCACAAGCCATATATAGCCCGGCACACAGTCACTCGCGTCACGGGCAGGCCGGCTCCCTTATCCTGTCAGTTCGGGGTGCTGGGATGATCAGTCGGTAGCGCCAGACATTCATTGGGGATACCTTGCTGGCTCACTCAATCAGCAGTAAGGATGCGATTCCATGACGATGTGCCTGCATTACCTGCAATTGCATATTATCTAGCTACCGAGACCCATTGGACTTCGGCTACTGATTAGGTGTCTGAGGTATAGATTGGTGATAATACGAATAGCGAGGGGGTCCCTTCTTGCCAGACAACTTTGGACCGTCACGAAATTGCTATGTAGTTGAATCCCAAACTGCAGGATCCTCCCTTCGGTAAGTCGAGCGGATTTTTGCTCAGCAATCTGGACGTGATCGCAGATCACCTGTCAATGCTAGACGGCGAACCTGATAACGTCAATTAGGTACAGCGCGTGTTTCGAAATTCAACATGGACCGTGAGCGATGACGAGACGGTGCCACAGCGCTCGAGTTCCGACGATACGCTTCTTTGACGACCATTGACCTCGGAAGGTTGTCGAATCGCTGAGTCGAGGAAGGCTTTGGTAGCGCATTCCATCCTCGTAAAAAGGCTGGATCTTCTTCTTTAACCAAGTCATGATGAGAGCAGTGGCAGAAGTTCGGCCATGGAGACTGCCCACACCATGCTAGACGTGTGGAGGTATCATATACGTGAGAGGGAGTTGGTTCAATCACCATGCGTGTGGGTCTGGCTGCCCGAACAAGTCAATATACCCATCGAGGCGGAAGTCAAACATGTGTCGCACTAAAGTAATACATGCAATGCTGCATTGGAGTTCAGCTCTGGAATGCCAATCGGTGATCAGTGGGGTATATATATATCCCTATCCACGGCTGTGACTTTTTTGAACTTGGACCTGCCATCGCACCACTCTCACCACCTCGATTGTTGAAGCGGAAGTCTTTCACCATGGGTCACTCTATTGACCCGCGTTCTATCGATCCAGCGCGCACTGACGACCTCGATGCGGGTCTTGCTGAATTGCGACGCTGCAGTCTGTCAAACTCAGCCAGTGAAAGGATGGATGTGAAGCTGAGTGATCAAAGTTCAGGATGGCAAGAGCTCAATCGAAGACATGTAGCTCTTGTGTCGCAAATCAATTCTGAAGATGGATCAACGGATGAATGCCCCGGTGGGTGAGCTTCAAGCGACCAAGATCGCCAAGTAGATTGGCTCAGAGGGAGTGATTCCGACATCGAGATCTGGAAACTACGACTCGGCCTGGCATCGAAGCTTTCAGCTGGACACTGGCCCGACCCGCCAGTGTAACATTGGTCGCTTGCTGAGGCCGAGGTGGCCATGCTTGAAACGTATATCGAGTATGTACAGATTCGAGACGGCATTGGAATCTTGGACGTTGGGCCGGAGCTTCACGAAAAGGCTTTACAGAGTTTGGGCCTGGGCTGACAAGGTCGGGATAGGTGTGCCTATAGGTCCACAACCTTATACCTTGCCGAACGCGTTCCCAGCTCCCGAATCAGGGCGATGACCATCACGGCTTGCCAGATCACTTTCTGGAAACGGGAAGCGGCTCGTCGGGGCTTGGGCAAAATCATCCCGCTGTGCACCGACATCATCTCCTACGAAGCAGCGCCGGAGTCTACATCAGGTGAGAGCCATCTGGTTCCGTTAATTTCATACATGGGTTCTTTCATGTGCCTTTCTGGTGTCCTATCATTGCTGACCTCGCCGACGAACTGCTGCTTGCGCTGGGCGAATCCGCGACTCGGATGCGATGTAGCCGACGCTTCGACGGGGTAGAATTTGTGCGGGCCCCAGAGGATGATGTTTGACCGGCCATGGATAATGTGTTGTTCCAAGGTTCTTGATTATGCGACAGGTATGGATCAGATCGAATGGGGCTCATAGATGGCTTAATAAAAACGAGACTTCCCCTAATTTTGCCCGGGGACGTGAAATGTACCATGTTACCTGTTGTGATCAATCAGCCCTAGTATCTGTTAAGTCATCGGTGCGTCCCGCACGAAATGACCAATGTCCGTATCACTAAGCCTTTTCAACAAGTCAGCGAGGCCATCACATTCCACAAAATGTCCGCTGGTCTGTGTTATCATAACCGCCACGATCGTGACCGGCTCGACATCGCTGGCCGGACACAAAGATACGATTCTTCGCGTCGAGCTTCCGTACTTGACAAATCACGGGCGCAAAGAGTGCGATTCGAGCATGGCGACCAACTCCTCGGCGAGCGGGACGCAGCCGCCGTCGCAGTCGAGAGATGAGTCTGCGATTGAAGCCGATCTCCAAAAACTTGAGAATCTATCAGATCAGGTGAATATCCTTTGTAATTCGTCGAAATGGTGTGCTGACCAGGCGACGTCTGAAAGTTGGAACGTTTGCGCAATGCTCTCCCGATGATTGTGGAACCCATGACGCGCGCTGGGTTGTCGGATTTCGAACGGATCGAAGAGCTCAAGAATGCTTGCGTGCAGACATCAGAAGGAATCAATTTGCTCCGGACCGGAATGATGTCCGAAACGACCCAGGCTATCTTAACTGGTGCTACCGAGAGTTTTAAGCAAGATGGAGACCTCAGTAAATCTACAAATGTGTCGCTCTACGGATACAATGATGCAAAATAGGAACCAGTGCGTGACCACTCCCTGGCTGTCAAAACAAAGAAATGCAATTTTGGCAGAGGCGTCAGCTTGGAGTCGTCAGTCACAGTCTCCCAGGCAGTTCAATGGTAATACATTGGCAAAGCATCGTGCGAGAATGTCTCCCAAGTCCCATCAATATCACGCGTCGAAACAGGGAGATGGTGCAATCCGTCCCGGTGTTCATGCCCGTGTCGTGGCCACACAGCATGACTCCAATAATGATCCGACGCCCTTTTGTTGACGTTCTCATACCTCCGCGTTCGGAAGTTGTATACTTTTCCAGGATGGCGGGCCTGCCAGGGCAGATCCAACGAAATGTCCCTCTGATCTGAATCAGACTCGAACGGCCCTCCCAAAGAGTCCCAATTGGACCACCGATTGTGCTCAGGAAAACTGTTGTGCAAGGTGCGGGAGTCGGCGGCAGCTACGACGTACACATCAGGCCCTGAGCCGGTCACGCCGTCTTTGATTCGACCCCAGTATCCTTTGCGCTTCCCGTCGACTGGCCTCACAAAATACTTCTGGGATCTGCAACCTTTCACACTTCGTCCTTCGCGTTGCCAGCCACCATTTCTCTTCGGTGTGATGACAGGCTCATCCCATTTGTCGATAGGACCAGCTGGTATTCCTGTCCATGGCGGAGGGACCTCGGAGGGCTTCGGTGATGTTCCCTTCTTCGACTTCGGAGTTCTTCCTGATGTGTTGGATGTTTTCGATAACTTTGAGGAGCTGGACGATTTTGATGACTTCGATGAATGCGATGAGTTCGACGAGCAAGACAAGCCTGACGAGCAAGACGAACTTGACATGTTCGAAGAACACGACGACTGTGATGAGCGTGAGGATTGTGAAGAGCTTGAGGAGCTCGAGGAGCTTGATGAGCTTGAACAGGTTCTCACGCTCCGACCTCCCGAATTTCTCGAACAGCTTCTCGGCCCGGTCGGCTTAATTGAACACGGAGCAGATGACAAACCGGGCGGCATCATGGGGTGTGCTGGAGACCAAGTGCTGCTCGACTCAGGAGACCCTAAAGGAGGCGTAATGTACGTTGGTTGCGACAGTCTGTGTGGGATTTCGAAAGGTCGAGGCCGCGATCTTACACCGCCGCAAAGGTTTTCTCCTCCGAAAGTGGAATATGCTGTGCTCGGAGAGTATGGGACTGCGCCGAAGATGGATGATGTTGGGCTTGAGGGGGCATATCGCGATTCTTGAGCCTTGCGAGCGGAGTGCATGCTAGGTATCGATCCAGGAATCGTCGTGTCGCTGCCTTCACGGGTCGATGCAACACTCTGATCGGATGGGAAGGAGCCGAACAATGTACCTTCAGCGCTTGGGTGCAAGTTGAAAGAACCAAAAAGGGTATCATCGGCGCTCAATCTAGAGACCCTCTGAGAGGACGGCCTCGATCGACGTGATTGTGACATTGAGATGAACGCGAAGAGAGTATTGATCACTACTGATTATGACGACGAACGATGTGGCTTGGAAAATGTCGACTGCGTATATCTTGATTTTGTTTCAATGGTGTTGGATCTTGAGATGTTGTGGAAGTAGGGTGACCGTACAATCTGATGTCGACTTCCAATCGTGGTCTCACTGATGAATTGCGAAATAGTCTGCGAGATGTGCGAATGGACTTTGGGGAATGTTCATCCTCTGAGAAGGCAATGATGCATTTAAACCACATTTTGATATATACATGTTTCTATGCGGTCGCAATGAGGATGTGCTTGTCTATGCTTTGCATGTCGAAACAACTGCAATACAATTGCACGCAATCTGACCGTCTGTAGAGAATGGAGATTTGTTTCGGAACAGGACACAAAGGCATAATAAGCGCGAGTGGCATCTGACCAGATTCCTGGCCAAATTCAAATCCGACACAAATTCCAGTTTCATGTCGAAATATTACTAGTGTTACAAACACCTACAATTTCATCATACAAACATTCTCACCGCAACTAAAACTGTCTATTTCTCCGTGCCAATCTTTAATAGGCATTCAAGTCTTGCCCTGCCCTTGCCAGCGTCTCCCAGACTCTGGCGGGTAGTTTGTAGCGAATAAGACCAGCAAATACCATGACATCCTTGGCTGTCTGAATACAGCGCTGGATGGTGGATTGCTGAATGCCATTCTCAAACTCCTGTCGTCGCAAACGCTCAGCAAGATTGCTGCACGACATGACGGTCCATACCATGACATGACCAACAGTGCGGGAAATGCATGTTGGCAATACTTCAAACGCTTGCGCCTTGTTTCGGATCGCCGTTATGCTACCATCGACAACATTTGTGGGTAGAATGTCCGATTTGGCGACAGCCTGTTTGAGCAGTTGTTAGCGCGCAAGTTGTAGGAATATTGCAGACAGCGTCTCAGACTTACATCAACGACTTGCGACCACTGGCAGGCCTCTAACAACCGACGCGCCTCTGCCAGTTGCAAGAGGACCTCGCATGCTTCGCTGTTCTTGCGCTCAATGCGATTTGAGTACATAGCATCACTGTTATATAATTGCTTGTAATCTCTGGCAAGCTGAATTGGATCGTCCACTGCGGTGAGGCTCAAGCTTGCTTGTATTTGACCATCTCCCAGGTTGTTTTGGCTATTCGTGTCGCGCGGTTTCAAAGGTGTCAAACGAGCGGGCTTCTCGCCAATGTCCGTCGTAAGAGCTTGTGAGACTGCGTCATTGACCACTTGTAAAACTTTGTTGTAATCTTCTGCCAGATGGTAGAGCAGTGCTGCATCAGTCACGCGCCCTTGTTCTTCTGCGGTTCTGGCAGCCACGAGGGTGACATGCTTCAGGAACTCCCTCTCGTCAGCCAAGCCAATGAGCGGTAGTCGGGCTTCAATTGCGCCCATGATGCGCTGGCCGTCTGCGCGAATGTCACCTAGTAGCTGGGCAAATTCGCGGGTCTCCAGCACTACCTCAGCCAAAGCTTGGTGACATAGCTCGCGCTGGGCTCTCCCGATATCACCTGTCAGATCAGCGTTCAGGCAGATTAGGGTGATGTAGTCGACTGCAGCGCTGGCGTTGGCCGTGCGGAAGTCGCGTGTGTACAATCCGACCATGCTACCAAATGCGATCTGAGATTGCTGTCTAGTTGTGGTGGTCAGGAGATCGTCGCTGTTGCTGATATCGCTAACACGCAACAGTCCATAGAAGTCGAGCCCGATCGCGAAGTGCACGGCCGAGACGTAATTGTGAGGATAGAGATCTGCGACAGCTTTCTCGAACATGCCAGCGAGAATCTGCATGAAGAAAAATGTCGTGGGCGCGTTCGCGATTTCACTGCCAGAGCCGAAGTAACGGTCACCAATGTCCTTAATGGCATGTCGCACATCTTCCAGACCAAAGGATTGGTGCTGGAATTCGTCAGCCCGAGTGGATTCTCGCGCGAGCGCAAACTGCAGCCAGATCCAGTCCATCATGTCGTTGGTGATTCCGTCTAGAGATCTGCGACCCAGCTCGCAGCGGCCAATGATTTTGCAGCACATCATCTTGTAGGGGTCGATAGCGTCCTGAGGGCCCAATCGTCGGCGTGATGAATACTCATTTTCGATACTTGTACTCAACTTTTCTGGGAGTCTCCGATCATCGCTGTTGACATAGGCCTGGAGATAGACGATGAACGAACGGTCAATCTGCCGGAATGCTGCAATGTTCTCCTCAACGTATTGAAGCGCTTCCTGAAACAGGCCACTACGCAGTAGGTAGAAGATCACGGCCCAGCAGTAATCGCCGTTGACCTCCTGCAGACTTTCGATATCAGGCCCAAGCTCTTTACGCGCCGCGCGCACTCTAACGAAACCCTTGACCTTTGCGAGCGAGGTAGGGACACCGCCCATGTTCGCCTCCCTGGGGTTCTTATTCACGACAGTTTCTAATTGAGCGAAAAAGTTATTCTCGAGAAATTTCCGAGATCCGTCTATGATACGCTTGCGAATAGCCATTTGCTGAGGCGAATTGGGATTCTCGTCCAGGTAACTATTCATGAATTGACGCTCCTTCACAACACCAGGCTCCGAGACACTTGTTTTGCGCGCGTCTTCTCCAGTGATGTCGATCAGCGCTTGATAAGCATTGACAAGCATGGTGGTATCCTCGTTGGATGGCTCATTTTCTACTTCCGCAAATCGAGTGAGAATAGGGTATGCTCCTTTCTGCAGCCGGGCGACGTTCAGGTCCTTGATTCGATCAGAATACAACCCTTGCTTTTTCCGCTGCAAGCTGTCCTCGTGTGCAGGGCGCGAGCCTTCTGGCAATCTGTCAGACATATCGCCAAATACGCTGCTGTGAGCACCCCGCGGACCAGGCGTCCCAATGACGGACTTCGAGATGCCGGAAACGCCATAAGCTGAGCGACCTGCACCTGATGCACCACCGCCAAATCTAGAGTGCCGGTTCGAACGTCCAAAACTGCTCTGACCTGCAAGGCCGTCGGCAGCAGATGCTGACGTTGAATTCTGTGGTCGCTTCAAACCAAAATGCTCGTAGATACGCTGGCGATGTGCGTCCCAGTCGATTCCGTGCAATCGCTCCTCGATCATCTTGTCAAAATCCTCGTGCGCACGTTTGATGTGTCCATCAACCATTTTTTGAAAGTCACTCTGATATTGTTGCGCCAACGCTTCCTTCACTCCGCCATTCACGGTTGTACCAGGAGCCTCGTGCGCGGTTGTTCCGACAAGCTCTTCCAGTTCGGCAATCGCTTTGCTGGTGTTGACTCCCGAGGCAGAGAGCAGGTAATGCGCCTTTGTGTCATTTGCTAAGTGGGATGATGGTCCGCCTTTACCCAACTTCCTCACTTTGCGCGCGATATCCTGCAATCCGAGCTGCAGTTGAGGTTCGTCGACGTTTCGTTTCGTGCCGCGATCCAGCATCGCCTGAAAATAAGATGGCGCTGGCTGAAGTGATTGATCCATGTTGGGCGGCGTTGCTCCGAGCGCGTGTTGGGCTCCTGGTGTTTGCAAATGTAAATAAATATAGTGGAGCGCTCCAAATTATGATAATGGATCGCTCGCGTGGCAGAAGTCGTGACGGCGAAGCTCAGATACCAACCACGCAAACGCGCCTCCGAGCTAGCTCTTCGCAAACTGTACCTAGGTACCTAGGCAATGCCTATGATGTACTTCACAGGGCCAAAGTTCTCCGGTTCCTTGAAGCAATCGAATCTCTCGTCGCTTGCTATATGGCCGCACAGGCGATGATCGTGGACGAATAGTGTTGAGCTTCACATAATGAATTCTGGACGTGGGCCTCCACATTTCTAATGAGAAATCCACAAGTTGGGAGACAGTTGCTCCAAATTCACGTCCACTTGAGAGATGTTCTGATGGACCTGCATACTCCCAGTGAGTCCAGATAGATCTCACAACAAGGAAATCTCGGAACGCTATAACAGTGTTTCAATTCCGGAAGGACACATCACAGTGTTGAGTGAAGATTAACTAGTGATTTATCACGGGAACAGTGCGCAAAGGGTCACAACGCCTCGAGCAAGGAAGTTCAGTGACTTGGAAGGTTTTGTAAGACCACGGCGACGCTCAAAATCATCATTCATTCCGATGTTAATTGTATGCTAACTTCCCATTTCATCCCGTTGAATCTTCGCTGAATCAGGTCAATCACTCGCTGACGGATCCTGACACCGTCCTCGCTTGACCCATGTCCAAAATTACTCTCTTGATAACGCAACTTGAGATTGGCCATGCAGAGGCCATAATGCACTTGCCAAAATCTCGCTTCCTCAACCCGCGTCACCGTGGGATCCAGAGCCACTATTTCAGCAATGACGTTGCGCACGGCGTGCTTGTCAGTAGAGGGCGGATTGAAGCTCATCAGCAACATTGACGCTAAGCTTGTAGCCAGGCGAACCCCCAAGGCAATCATGAGACCTGCCATAAGAAACGAAGCCAGTCTATCGTAGACATTGTATGTAATTTCCGGCAAAAATGGCATGACCAGCAGGAGGAGCGAACAGGAGAGTGTTAAGAAATGCGATGGGTTTCCAAACACTTTTCCCCAACCAGCGAGGTACTCGAAGTGCATAGCTTTCCCGATGCGTCCATGGTTCTTGAGTAGAAACGCCGATATCAGCGTGCTGACCACTGCTAAGATGCTTGCGATATCCACACTTCCTGCGGTGACTCGTTCATGGTGATGCGAAGAGTGTGGAACGTGGTTTCCGACGTTCTCGAGCGAATGTTGAATACCGTGGCTGATGATGTCGAGCCCCATGAATACAATGAAAACTGCCATGCCAAAACCAGCAAGCACATCAGCTCTCTCCAAGCCAAAGGGGTGCTTGATGGAGCTTCGTTGCCAAACCTCGAAATTCCCCATGACATCGACGGCAACACAAACGGTAGCTGCTGCTGCGTCGAAAAGGAGAAGGCGGCTCAGTGCCGTCAAAGCAAGACTTCCACCGGCAACGGATTGAACGTAACCCGCGACAGCGAAGTGACAAAGGCACCACGCCAAGCGCTTAGTCTGCTCCCGATTCATGCTCCACCAGGCTTCATTGCGCGTCGGCATCGGTAGAGATGCAGGTACTGACATAGATGTCCGTTGATTCGAGGGTGTCTTTGTAATGGCCTCCATATGTGATGCGTGTACTGACGAATGTCGATATTTATGACCCCGACGTTTCCCAATAGCCTCGCTCTTACTGGTATTTGCCTTACCAGCGGTATATTGAACTGGCACAAAATTGAAAGGTCCGCCAGAAATGGTTCCATCGATCGCCATGTCGGCCTCGTCCATGGCGCCTTGACTCGGTGTCTGCGGAGGGCTGTAGATGCCGCCCTGGTCACTTGAGTTGGCCTTGATACCGACTTGATTTGCGACTGGCGACAAGAGATTTGCTTCATGGAGGCTCGTTGTGTTCGTCCCCTGACGCCGGAACGGCGATCCCTGTAAGCCTTTCCTGAGATCATAGTCGTGGTCCTCGTGGATGCTCGGCGCAGGCGATCCTAAGAGTAAGTCGAATCGAGACGCTTCATCATGGATGGTGAGGTCAGGTTGGCCTGGGCCATCAACAGGGGTGGAGTTTTCTGCCATTGCAGCGCTTTCACTACAACTCAAGGAACCATGGGTAATGTGAAGGGAGATGCGGTTCCCCAGCGACGAGGCATCTGGAGCCTACAACGGTATCTGGCAGTGCGAAGTGGAAGACGTGGAACAAAGGCGCGTGCCCTGGGGACGTGAATTGTGGCGCCGCCAACAGGGCTGAAGTAACCCTGCTGCTCTGTGTTTAAGATACTCATCTTGCATTCATCTTACACTTTAAGACTTCCTTGCTGTTTCAGATTTACATTTCAACTCTGCCTTGGGATTATTCACAATGCAAGGGCTGATTCCGAACTGGAGGGATATTGACCACCTACACACCTAGGTAAGATTATATTCCTTGCGACTCGGAGATCAAGATGTGCTGAGCGCAGGTCTCTCGCACGTGGCAGACGGCCCGCCGCTTGAACCGTGCGGTTGCTAACAAGACGGACGCGGCTCACGTTAGACGATCTTTCCGACAAGAAGTCCGACGCCATCATTCCATCATAATTTTTATTATGCAACATCTCGGAGATGGCAGATGGGATCAGCCGCTCGACTGGCAATGGCACAGGTGGCCGCCGTAGGACAACTATCTCGGGGCCGCTTCCTCAAATAGAAGAAGCAGGACGCAACAGGCCCTCGCCGATTAAGTTGTTGAAATTGGCATGGAATTCACCTTCGGCTCCAACATCACCCTCGCTGGCCACACCGACATCCCCTGCGAGATCATTCTCGCACCGGCGAACACTCAGCGCTAACATTTTGGCTAAGTTCAACCTGATCAAAGATGCCAATGATGGTGCCGAGCCAAGTGAACGAGAAGATCTGAATGAAAAGGAGGAGTCAGTGGACTCAGCCCTGCTCGCCGCTGAAGATGGCCTCGACGACCAAGGCGTATTATCATCATCCTCTGTCAATGCCGAACCTCTCGTCGAGGCCCCGAGCAAAGGTAGTAGATTCCGAAAACGTAAAGAGTCACTACGCAAAACGGCCATTTTAGGCGGGCGTAAGCTTGGACCTGACAGCAGAGAAAAGAAGGCAATTCCATCACAGCGAAATCCTATTGTCCCGCCGACAACGACGCAGTACACTTCCACAGATACTCATCAAGCTTCACGTGGCACAGTCGACAATTTAAGTCATCCCGGGACCCAAGGGACAGAGGCGGCAAATTTGCATCGCATTCGGCGACAGTTTAGTTATGAAAGCGCCGAAGCGATGAGCAGTAGCGATAGCGGGTGGTCTATTCCGCTCCCCGCTACTACTGAGAGCTTTACTCACACTGCTGAACAGCGCACTCAAATCCCATCACGTTCATTCACTGAGCTAGGCAGCCCCGTCGAGTTGAAAAGCCCGACCGGCCATGCCAGTTATACGAGCGCGAGCACAACGGATGACGATGATGTGCTGACATTCCATCGCCCCAGCAAGGGCTTCGGAGACTCTCAGAGAGAGATGCCTCTGCTAGCGAAGCCCCTTTCATCTGCTGCCACAAGTTACTTTCCTATCGTTTCTTCACCCGCCGAAGTCTCGTTAACGCGACGCCGGAGCTCGAAAAAGTCGCGATCTTCACCATTGTCCCGGAATATATCTGCACTCCCTAGCACACTTGAACCGGAGCCTCACGACTATACCGAAACGGAGTACTGGGGTTGGGTCATCCTCTTTGTGACATGGCTCACTTTTACTGTTGGCATGGGCTCATGTCTTGAAATATGGAGCTGGGCTTGGGACGTGGGAGAAACGCCATATGCACCACCAGAATTGGAGGACGACCCTACACTACCTATTGTTGGCTATTATCCTGCGCTCATCGTGCTGACTGGTGTTGTGGCCTGGATATGGATCACAGTCGCCTGGGTGGGTATGAAGTACTTTAGGCATGCGAAGATTGAAGTTTAATCATAATGATGAGACACGAAATATGAAAAACGCTGTGCCGTACAAGCCTCGCAGACTGATACTTATTATGTGGCAATATAGGGCGGCGCTATGTCATATCGTTATTGAGTTCTGACGATACGTATGATGTGTTGCGGCTGCTTCGCACGCATCCCACTTGAGATAGACCCCTCACAGATCGACATTGAGAGACACCACGCCGACCTGAATTTATGCTAGTAACGCGATCCTGCATCCACGTTGCCTTCCCGGACTTATTACGCGGCTGGTAACGTTCAGCACACTGAAATAATCAATGTGCAGCGCGAAAATCAGATCGGGGCCTGTAAGCTACCACGGAGTCAGAACGTGCCATAAATGTGGTAAATGTGGTACATGTGCAGGCATCATTTAGATTGGACGGGATAATCCGATGACCCATTAAGTTCCTACATAAATCAACGACCGAACCTACTATTAACATCACAAGGCAGAATGGTATATAGCGTCGTTTCTGTTAAGACGTCAGATGTCCACGTCCGGTTCGACCTATGCCTGTATGCCTTCGAGGACAGGTGCGGGCGGTTTCCCGATAGTTTCCAATGGAAGCTGCGTCGGAACCTGCACCCAAGACGCTCGGACCAGCACAACTTTGTGCCGACACCATCACCAGTCATCGCTCAAAATATATAATTCGGCTTCAGGCTGTAGAGCGGGTCGGCGCAATTCTTCGGAGCATTGATTTGACCGTCCACTCTCTTTGAACTTTCAAGGTTGTGTTTGATTGCGCTCCAGGAGTATTACTGTTTCGTCGAAAATTCCATCTCCTGGGGCCGCATCATCTGGACTCTGCAAGATCTCACACATTTTCCGAAGTCGCCTTCTTTGATCTTCTTCCTAACAAACTTCGACGATCCTGAAAGTGCCTAGGTCATGAACTCGAAACACGATGGAATTTCGAGCCAACCAGCCAGGAAAGCTTTTCCTGCTGGTCGCGTGGTGCCGGCACTGCCTCTTACCATGACGAAGCAGAAGCTCGCCAAGGCAAAACCCAGAAATCATACGACCGGTGCCGCAAAAGGGGCGAAGAAAGACACGGAGGATGGAACACAGGAGCTGTGTGAATCGAAAGTCGCTCGATCGTATCAAAGCGTTGCAAACCCTTCCAATGGCGTTTCAGCTCATGCGGGAGGAGTCTATGGCAAGAGCTACGAAGCGCGTGAGAATGAGCTGGAGTCGAGTAACAACTATGTGAAAGGGTCGGAGACTGCGTCGAGAGACGGAATTTCAGCGATCACAGAGCGACTTGCAGATACATCGCAAAAGATTCCAGAGGAATCTGAGGCCCGAATACCCAAAAATGAGCTTCCACCCGCATTTGTGGCACATGAACATCCACCGTATTCCTCAACCTCGTCACAAATGCCTCCGAGTCTATCATCTTTGCAGATCTCCCATCCTGAAATTGTTCGCGGCGGACTGGAGGACGCGTCCATTCCGTCTCCAGCACTTACATACTCCGCAGGAAATCCGTCTTTCGTGCCTTCTGTACCGTCCATCCCCTTTCAAGGTCACGCACATCATTTTTCGGAATCTCAAATCGGGCCGGCGCCTTTGGGCTATCAATCACCCCCTGTATCCTGGACCCAGCGATCAGGCTTTAACCCTCCACCGGCCAGCAATGGCCACAATATCCACAACCACACGCGACAGTTTCCGAGAGATTCGGTCCAAACAAATGGTTTACATTCACAATCTTTTCAGCGCTCTCGCACCGAGTCTCAAACTTCGGGATTCGATCCTCGGTCACCCTCTGTGTTCGATCCGCATCATGAAGGCAGCAATCACATGCTGCACGAGGGCAACTCTTTTATTCCTCCTCTTAGAGCACAACAAATACCGCAAGTTCAGCCGATGCAATTCGCTTCAGCGGCGCTTCAAAATGGACTCCAGTACGACCATGGAGACCCCTTGAGAGATTATCTGTTGAACCAATTCCAAGATGCGCATTCATCCGACTGCATTCTGGAAGTTGTGAGTACTGGTGGCGGTTCGCTCAAAATCGAGGCGCATAAGCTTCTGTTGGCTCGGAGTCCAATCCTTCGTAAGCTGATCCAGGGTCGTTACGAGCAGAGTGGCCGGTTCAGCCTCAACATCGACTTTCCGGGCAAACATTTCAACGGGCGCTCCTTCGCAGACGGCATTCGGCATTTGTACGGAGGGCCCCTGCCCACTCTTGATTCGCTTCATGGAAGTGCTCCACGTGACAAAATGGCAGCCGCTTTGCAATTTCTAGCGGTTGGGTCGTTTTTGAGTGTCGACGCCATCTCGATTCGATCCATGCAGCTCGTCTTTGGACTTTTGAGATGGGACACTGTACCAACCGCACTCGCATTTGCACTCGAAGGCGGTCTGGGCCCAACTTGGCACAAGCAACCGCGATTTCCAAACGGCCGTCCAGACGATGATGTGAGCCGTGCATATCACAACAGCCCAATGTACGAGCCGTACTCCACTGATCTCTTATTTCGATTAATCGACTTTGTGGTGCACACGATTCCCCAGAACTTTTACATCGATCCGGCAGCTCCTGAACTCCCTGAAGCTCCGAGACTCCCCTCTTTCGTCGAGGCCTCGCACGGAAGACACCATTCACGGCACAATCCTCGCTTGAGTCAGATACGCTTTGGCTCAATTACCTCCGAGGAGCTGCAGCGTCCATCTCCTGAAGCCACGATGATTTCATCTATACTAATCTCACTACCATTCCCTATTTTACAAAACATCCTCGAGCATATTGGCCTCGTCCATCGTCTAGGCTCCGAAACAGCTGCTAGTGTCACGCGACAGGTAAGAAAGCTGCCCAAAAACGTCGTAGGATGTGTTCACTAACTTGCCTTAGGTTGTGAATGAACGAGAAAAACGTCGTCAAAGGGCGTATGATGGCCATTTGTCACGTGGCTCGAGCAATGGCGCAGAAGCACGTGAGGATTCGGCTCTTTACTTGGCGGAATCTGTCGTGCGGTCAGACCTGCACCTGTCTGGCTGTCGACTTGAGCAGATGCAAGTCGATATTGGGACTCCTCTTGCCGAAATACAATGATGCGCCTGGATGTATAACATTGGATGCGTTGATGAAAACTGCATGTCGATGAGAACACACTCCTAGGGATATGACATGAATGATGGTATGGATAGCATAGCAAGCGATTGGCGTCTGGACTTCTGAGATTCTGGCAGATAGTATGATCCATCTGCATAATGGGGTAGCCGATCACGGTTTCCATGAGTGAATTATCACATGTCCGTGTTTTCTTGTGTTATACACGAGGGTCTCAACCATAACCACGGATTTTCTATTCAACTCGTACGATCATCTTCCCATTTTCACGTCCGACGTTTTCCTGCCTCACACCTCACGGCTGATCTAAAGTCGCAAACCTTATGTTGCCAACCTCACATTAAAACCTTATATCGTAAACCTCACATCTGACAGGTCACGTTCAATGGTGAGCATGAAACGTCGTGTAAGGTAATCTCATAGCGGTTTCAGCGAAGTGGCAGCGCGCAGGAATCAAGAAACCGCGACTCGTAGTCGCCATCATCGCTCTCGCAATTCGAGGATGGCAATAAAACATTTCTCGCTGACGAGGACATGAAAGCTACATTGGAGATCATGGTATCGGCCCAACCAGCTGCTTTTGGTCCTTCGTGGTCATGCTGAATTTTTCAATAAGCGAACTTGTTCATCTCGGAGCTTTTGGCTGGTCTGCCACCGCTGTTTGGCTGGCGGGTGGCGAAATCGCATATACGACTACAAGGAGTGCGCATGGTGATTGTCTGGTGTGTAATCATTTCGCTACTCATCTCGAGCGCGGGTGGCGTGTATCGTCTCATGAATCGTCTCGTCATAGCTCTTGCTAAGGTATCCCTCGCTGAGACGCTCCGGATACGGCTTGCACACTGTTACCTGCTCAAGGGTGTTCAGCGACCCATGTCGGCACGATCAAATCCGCCTGATGACCTGCAATAATCATCCATTTGTTGTCGATTCCGATCTATGTCTTTGCTTCAACTTCTTCTCAATCTTCATAAACTCCCGAATGCCCACAGGAATGTCCGCAAACATGTCATCCTCGCTCAAAGCTGCCTGACTGCCCAATCCGTCCTCATCGCCGCCGATCCCACTGTCCAGACTCCGAGCCTGTTGAAGGTTCATCTCGCTCTCCTTCCGCTTGGCGCTCCACTCCTCAAAGTCCTCCCGGTACTCCTCCCATACGCAATTGACACATCCCGACATGCAGCAATTTTCGGGCTCCTCCGGCCGCGGCGGGACTAGGATTCCGGCGATCATCGTACTCTTCTTTGCGATTGCCTCCTTGCGTTCGTTCGTGTCGGCACGGAGGGGCCCGAAGACTTTGCGGGCGCGGGCCAGGCTGGAGTTGGGATCCAGTTCCGCATCGTCGGAAGGAGCGGTGGCGGCGGCGGCAGGGGAAGGTGTTGTCTTGGTTATAGGCGGGCGGAGTTGGGCGAGGGTGTCGTTCAGTGGGTCGTAGGTGTAACCGGGAAAGCTAAGCCCTTGTAGTGTCGCTTGCTTGTCGTGCTGCGAAGCGGCGGAGGAAAAGCATTGCGCATGATGCCGTCGTCGCGGCAGCGGCCACTGTGACGATGTCCTCCAAATGGCGCGAGACTCAAGGTCTGCGCGCCGCACGAAGCCTAGCGAGGAGCGCATCAATCGAGTCACATACGAATATGCAAATCGTAACATGTAGGTGCAGGATTCAATGAGGTACTGTTACTTTGCTTCACAATTACTGCCCTTGACGTCACTCCGCTGCCGAGGCACGAAAATGTCCTAAATACTGAGGCATGATCGTGAAGCTCTGTCAAAACCGTCACCGATATCGTTGAGAGGTACCGCCAGGTAGTCTTCAAATAGTATTGAAGAAGCAGTCATTTCGTGGAGTGTGGTCATGTTGTTTACATCGCCATTCAAAATGAGATCATGCCCAGTGTAGGTGGATCTCGGTGACGGGTCAAACACTTCAAACAAACCTTGGAAGTAATGTAATAAAGATCGTTATATCGAGAGGCCCAAATATTCGCAACAAGTTACAACGAATCAGATCAATAATAACAAAACACGGCGCATTGGGTATATAGTAAATCCTCCCTCGACCGCGGCGCGAAGAAACTTCCCTTACAACTTGCTTGCAATTTGGGGTTGCTGCCATCCGAACTGAGTCATTTCCATCAGTCGCTTCTCGACCTTAGGCCAAGCACTCGTTCGCAGCCTCCACTGTAACCACCAGTTACCAGCAGAGTCTTTGCCGATGACCGGGCCGACATTGCGCAGATTCATCTTTGAGAAGGTGTTGAAGAAGCAGGTAGCTGGTTGACCCGGACGGGTCGTTCGCCCCTTGCGTGAATCGGAACCAGGTTTGATTGCGCCAGAGAAATCGAAGCCATAGAAGTCGAATTTGCGCCAGTTTGTGAGCAGAAGCTGGACTTGGTTTGCAGGACCGAGGAACTGTGTGCCGCCAGCAGCCTTGTCGAGCGCCATCTTGGCCTCGATCTGCTTCTGACTTCGCAGACGAACCATGTCGTTTCTCGTTCGCAGGCTGATGTCCGTAAGAGGCTGTTCCAGTAGTTCCTTGGCAGAAATAAATGTGACGGCGGTATCCAAAGCATTGCCCATGTACATGCTGTTGCGAGGGATCTTCCCGTAGGTGAAATCACGGATGTCCATAGTGTTGGAAATGGCGATAGGGACGTCATCAGGTATCTCAAGTGCTGCAACCACCGTCTTCGACCACCAGCTGAGTACCACGTCGTTCTCGCTGAGCCAGATCTTTGCATTAGGGTCCGTCGCTTTCGCCTTTGCCTCCGCCAGAGCCATCCTCTTCATCTCTTCAAAGTATGCGCCTGGAACACAAATGTAGCGCTGTTCAGCCTTGTGCAACGCCATCTCCGTGATGAAGTTCACGGCGAATTTGGCGAAGACCCAGCCGCTGCTACATTTGTCGTGAAGTGCATATTCCTCCCCAGCGGTCATCGTAGTGAGAGGTAGGAGAGGATCCTCGTCGAAGCCTGCGAATGTCGGGATTTTCTCTGGCTTGTTGGCGAGCACTGCGGTAATACCCTGCCAGAATGCCTGAATTGTCACACCATCCATAGTGGCGTGTGACCACTTGATCGAGATGAAGCTTGCATTGCTAAAGGTTACGACGGTGAAGATGATCAGAGGACAGTCGCTATTGACCCAATGATCGACACCACTTGGGATTCCATGCGGAGCGACAAGCTGCTCTAATTCGGTCGGGCATTTGAAGGTCTGTGGTACTCCGGATGCGCGAGGAATCAACGGGTAGATCGGATGGTCTTCAAGGGGCATAGGATGGTCGTAATGGTGAAAGTCCACAGCAGGCCGCGTGTTTCGGTCAAAGTGGGCGGGAATGTGGAAATCGGTCTTGCCCGCACTCTGGTCTAGGTCAGCATTGTCCATGTAAGCGACTTGAGTTTGCATCGAGAGTCTCACGTTTGTCCGGATTCTAGCACCGCACTTTCTCCATTGCCCATTTTGTGTGATCAATTGCTCAATAGCAGAGTGTATTCTCTCGGGATCGAGAACGTCGTCGAAGAGCTGGTAGAAGTCCATGATGACGTTCTTCATCAAAGTGTCATCTTTGAAATGAAACGGCACGATAGTATCAGTGGCGATGAGCGCCGGGGGTGTAGGTTTCTGGCCGAATAGCATTGTGTATGGCTGCGGTGCACTGGTTTCTGTTGGATAGGCGAGGACACTCGAGGCTACGAGCTCTGGGTTTTAGAGGCGACGCTGTGAGTTGCGATCTCTTTGCGAGAGAAGTGTTAGCCAGATCGCAATGCTCAAGATGTGCCTGTAGACGGCAGTGCGGTGGCCTTACTAGCTTCAGCGCAACGACATACAGTTGTACAAGTATCGTGAATTGATTGCGCAGGAGGTAGAGGCGATCAAGGCGTTTTGCGACAAGTTTATCACGATTTGACGAGGCCGGCTCTCTATGTGTGTATCAATCGGCGGAACGAGAGTTGTCAAACGACGGAGAATGAATGGCAGGCGTGGCAGGAGGCTGTACTTGAGTATGCATCGTACCGCCGAAGCCCTGGAATTAAGTATCGTATGTAAAATGATCGGCGCTCATGGGGGAACGGATCTGTCCAACCACCCGCAGCACGACCCCATCGTGGACTTATTTTGCGGGGTCGGGGATGGGAAATCTCGCCGCATTGATGCGGAGGTGCTGCAGGTACTACAGTATGCTGCACTGTGGCGGAGAAACAAATGGCACTATCGATTCACCCAAAGCATAACAATCACTCTGTTCATCAGGGCCCACGAATCTAGTTATGATGATAAGAGTCTTCCATACTCATCTGCTATCGGCACCATGACACGTCTTGTGAATGGGCTACACACAATGATTGAACAGGCAATGAGCGGCCGGAGTGCATGGAGTTTCCCCATCAAGTTCCGCTTGCGACGTGTGGTCGGTGCTTTGGTTCCTGCATGTGTCGACGTTCATCAAACGTGTCCAGGCACACATCCTGCGGGTCAACGTGACCAACAAGTTTCGCAACTCCCCAAATGTCATGATACACCATCATGGGAGCCTCAGCTCGTTCAGTGCTGTATCCAACACATTAGAGAATAAATCTCGCAGAGGTGATATAAGGATGTAGTCGAGGCAGGGCCAAGAGATGGGGGGTTTAAACTCCGCAGAGAGCGAGGGCACATCTGAACAGTTGCGACTCCAACTAGTCATACAGACTACCTCGACTCACGCGATTCATGGGATCACTCGTGTTCATCTAGCATGTACTGGATATCAGATGGCGATCGCTGATGTTCGATGTCCAAGTAACCACACACAAGACGACGATAGTCTGTGTCTTGAATATGGAGGCGAGTCTATCAGATCAGAATGCCGAGGCGCCTGCAGAACATGGCTTGAGCCTGCCCTGCAGAACGGAACATGGTTGCATGCTGCGCAACTTTCAGCGCGCAACTAATTCCAGATAATAAGCTTTGAATAGCATTTCCTTGACAGGTCCCTAGGTAATTCTAATATTGAGATAAGGATAGCTTCCCAACCTTAACTTCATTGACGAGGCACTCATGCCGTACTCTCTCGGATCCACCCATCTACCAGAAAATAGCTGACGACCCGTGGGTTCTTACCTGCGGCTCGGGGACTTCGGGTGTCCATGTGTCCCGCTCCTCGAGAAGTGTCCACTGCAGCCAGCCATCGTCTTCATAAGTGTCAACTTTGTCTGCTTCGCCATCGGCTGGTGCCTCAATCTGCAGATATTCAGGCTCCTCTGCGCAATCCCAACACCAGCAATCCTCACCATGATCCGCGCTTGTATACGTAGCTGCCTCGGAATTGGACGTGGCTTCGTCAGTCATGGCACATGAATAGGCCTCTTCATCAAGCTCCGAATTCTCCGAAACGAGCGTTTCCGTCTCCTAGACGTCGTCCATGGTAGCATTTGCTCGCGTTGGGATCTGAACTCTCACGCCAATATCGACGGATTGCTGCTCCGATGGCAACCCAGTCCACGAATCATCCGGCAGCGGAATATCGGCAGGATTCAGATCAACCGACATTTTGTTTGCGCTTTGATACCACGAGACCGGTGCATTCATGCAGATAGCGGAGTCGATCAGAGACCCAAATGGTGCAGCGGCGTCATTTGCAAAACCAGTAAGGCTGTTTGCATGAACGCAAGGTATCCCTCGGGCGTCGAGTCCTACGTATTCAGTCTCTTCACGCTGGCTTGATGCATCATGTCGTCCATTCTCAGATACAAGATGGGGCCGAGAGGCTGCTTTTGTGTCGAGTATGGTCGCTCCGCCTGTCACTCGTCGTGCTTCGATCGAAAGGATGCGCCACAGATTTATGGCGGTCTGAAGCTCGTTTTCATGCTCCTTCTCGGTATTGGTGGAAGACTTGTCGGGCGCCGAATACGGATTCGGTTGGTGCACTTGGCGGCTCTCTTCGTCCAGACTCCCGCTGGTGTGACGTACCTGCGCCTCTTTCAGTGGGATACTATGCACTATAGATGCCTGAACGCCGTGTTGAGGAGCTGATGGACGCGGAAAGAATCGAGACTGCCTCCTCGGCCCAAATTTGCCTTTGAAGACGAGATCGTGAGCGTTCTTGTTGGTTGACGACGATCCAGGCTCTGGCAACGACGATAAATCCCAGAAAATTGGCACGCGGTGTGGCCAAACGCAATCTTGGGTTGCGGTTGCCAGATCAGACCACCATTTCGGTAGCCGCTTGTCTATGTCCCCGCTCGGCGGAATGCGCGCTGCCGGTGCGAAGAAATCGCTCTTCAGGATATCAAATCTGCTTAACTCTAGCTCAGGGAGTCGCGGGGCGGCTGAAACGGCAGCAGGGATTTTTGATGCTGGGACGATGGCCATCGATGGTAAAGACGCAGCATCAGAGACACGATGCACAGGAGGAGATCGTTTTTCGTTCTTGCTTAGGACGTCGCTGATGTTTCTGGACAATGCCTCGTCGAGTGCTCGCGTAGCATATCTTCCCCTGTTGCGTCGACCTCCCCGACGGCTCCTGGAGGCCATAATGCGCGATCGTCGACGTGAGTCCCGTGTTCTGCATGGCCTCTGCGGTCTATCCAGAACCTGCACGTTGGTCAAAGCATGAAAACGATTGTCTGGATGATCGTCAGCAAATGAAACCCTCGTGGTCCAGACAATGTGTGACGCACGGTTCGGTACTGATTCCTGATGCATGCTGTACTCCATGTCCATCGTGCAGATTCCATGTGACGGCGAACGGTACGACTGCGGCCAGAGATTTCGGTGAGCAGCATTTCCGTACCTTGAATGGCGATGACGACCACGACGAACCTCGGGCAGAGTCGGCCTACTGGCACGGAACATCGATTATTTGTCGGCCGGGTTGAGCGTCGACTATGCAATAGGGTAAAGAATGTCAGCTACCAGACGGTGATCGAGGCAAGGTTTCAGGAAGATGTCACTAGGTAGGATACACGCTGCTTAGGATGTTCAAATGCAATTACAAAGACGACAATAACAACAAAACAAGTCGAAGAACGGAAAGCCGATCTGATCACGGGTAGGTCAGGTGCGATAGGATTTGGGGTTTTAATCAAGGTAAGTGGCACTGCAGAGCAGTGGAAAGAAGCACGCCCAGATACTCAGACGACTGGGCTTTGGAGAGAAGCAGCAAGCGTTGGTGTTTTGATTTCCGCGATGCCAACTGCTCGGGTGCTCTCCTGCCTAGGTAGATACACTGGTGGATGTCCATGGAGTTCTATTATAAATGCGACTGCCTATCACCAGTACAGGAAACGGTCAAAACGCCAGATCTCGGGGTAAGGAGCTCCAATGACTGACCTGATGTCGCTGATGAATTCGAAGTTTGAACTTGAGGCATGGAGGCAACGCTTCAAGGCCACGGCACCTATAGCTGCAAAATAATATATTTCGGTCGTTATCATTACTACTCCAATGGCTGATGTTTTCGAATGTCATTGATGACTTCACAACACAACTGAAATGCGTCAAGATTATCTCCACAACTCCTGCGCCACCACCATTCAAATGCCTCGCAACCTCACCAAACGCCAGCATCCCCAGCTATGCATACAGATAGGCTTTCATAGACTCTCAAATCGATTTCCGTACCGACAACAAGACAGTCGTCGTCCATATCGATCATGAGCGCTTAGTGAAGTCGGTCTCGAGCTCAGAGAAGTCGCCGGTCTCGGTACCAGAGCAGGTACATGAGTCTATGATTCGCGTATCAGCCAAGCGCTTATGTGCAGGATGTGATCAGTGAAACGAAGCTTACCAGCCGAACGCTTGCCACAAGCACACTTCGAGCCCGTTACCTCAGCGTTCTCGTCTGAGGCACGCGAGCAGGTGCATTCTCCAGCACGGCGTTGATCTGTAGTCAAATACGTCAACAACTTGTTCTCGTATCGTTGGAGTTGATCAGCACGTACTACATGAGCAGCGAGCGCCATCGATCTTGTTCTCGACTGCTGCTTTCTCACAGTTGCAGTGGAGGGCAGACTGTTTGCCGCAGGAGCACTTGGCCTCGTTGGCACAGATGCATCCACCATCACGACGGCAGCAGGTTGCTGGAACGGCGGCAACGGGAGCAGACATTTTGTTCTTGATGTGGTTGGCGAGAAAGTTTGGGACGTGAAGTTATGCGGATTGATGTCTTGATCGATTGAGAAAGGTGTTCGTTTGCAATGCTGTGGCACAAGGGAGACGATGATGTTGGAAGAGAGACGGCAAGAGATCGTTGCAGGTGGTGTGAATATATATATGATAGCACCTGCCTCGAGGGTCTGCCACTTATTGACTCAGCTTCATTAAATTACTTCCTATTGGTTCAAGAATACGGCGCGCTACCGGAGCGGCTGATAACGGCGTCGTCATTTTGGAAGAATTTCCCTTTCTGGATTGTGCTGGAACCCTGCCTGCAGCTGATGTCATGCGTCCGAAACTCAAGCCCTGGAGCTTCTAGATTGTCGCGTGACAACCACAAACGGTGTGTAATCCGTTTCCAATACTGTACAGTACAGCACAGGGATCGGTAGAATCGGACGGGGCACTCCGACGACTAATCAATGAAAGCGACCTCAGTAGTTGATATTCTGTTCTACAACAGAAAGCTGCGTAGGTGGTGGGTGTCGTAGAGACCTCAGCGTAACAAACATCAGATTAATCATCGCAGTGCCCCATCCGATTTGACTGATTTCTGTGTCTCGGGGCTCCAGCAGAAAGGTGAACTGAAAACAAGAAGATTTGAACATCATTTATTTTGGATATCCATGAGTCCACGCATAGGTCTTAGAGCTCATCGCTCTTCAGACGAATGAAAAATGACTGCTCGAGTGTGAATTGTTCAGACTGTTGCTTGTGAATTTCGCGCGAAAAGTGCCATATGAGATTTCAAGATAACCTTGACGGTTTGCCAAGACACATGCTTCAATGTGACAGAGGTGCTGACCGAAAATGCGACGTGCTCCTTGTACATGTGCCTCCGTACCGATGTCTCCCGCCCAAAACTCCACACCCGGCCTCCCATTGCACGTTTCATAACCAACCGAGCATCACAATCATTCCCATAAACCATGCCAACTCCCGAGCTCTTCGAGAATCGATCCAGAAATGCTGTTTAATCAAACATCAATCGTCGAATCGGACTACTCCTCCCCTCGATTTGACCATAACCGCCAGCACTCGGCTGAGGCTCCATGTTAACGGGTGGTTGATGCCAGGGTGTTGACGAGCCGTAGAATCCCACTTCGTGGCCACTAACATGGCGCTGAGGAGTAGGTGGCGGAGGCTGATGGTAATATTGCGGATATTGGGCTCCAGCATTTGAGGCCTTGTCGCGGAATATGCCAAAAGCCATGTTGGTCGTGAAGAAGCACGCAAAAACTAGGCCGAAGGTGAAAATCTAAAGCGGCACCTCAGTCAGCGGTGAGATCCCTCGCATACCAGAATTGAGAACCACGTACCATAGCTTTCCAGCTGATCGGCTCCACGAATGAATTGAAAATCTCGGCGAATGTGTGCGCTGAGACCTTTGCCCTGCCAACGCGTGTAGGATCCTGGTTCATGCACTTGTCCCAATTGTTGCAGACCGTCTCGAGCGCAGGTAGGCGCATGCTCGGATCGCAACGGTTCTCGCGATATGATTTGGCACACGCGGCCATCTCAACCATGATGTCTGCCATCGCCTCATGAGACTTCTTGTCGACATCGCCTTGTACCGCCGCCCAGAAACAGTATATGAGATAAGCGCAGCCACCGAGAAGGAAGATGTTGAAAACGAGCTGGGCGTAGAAGGAGAGGATGTGTGGGACGGTCGGATGTTGCGCGATGAAGGTGAACATGGAACTCAGCCAGTGCTGTTTGGCTTCCCCTCCCTGACTTCCACTGCTCTTGCGACGCGCAACATCGCTGTCGTCCTCGGAATCAGACGCACTCTGCCGCCTCTTCCGTGCGACTTGGCGATGGATGTTTTTCTCCCGCCGTTTTTTGACCTGCTTCTCAACCGCTCCGCTGTGGTTCGGCCTTGCTATTTCGCCTCTTCCAGGACTGAACGCCTTCTTCATCCCTCGCACCAGCCAGCTTTCGCGACGCTGGGGACTTGGCCGCTTCTCCTTGCTCGGACTTCCCCTCTCCCGATCGCGGGCTCGATCCTTCTCTGCTGGTGAACCTGTTGCAGTGTTTGTGAAGCTTAGTTTCGTCATTGCACGACCTGTATGTCTCATCTCGGGCGTCGCATCGCTATCCATCGGTTCTGGCGATCTTGGTGTCTCTCCTGCAGATGAATCGTCGAAATCGGGATTCGTTTTGCGGGGCGTATTGTACAGGCTATTGAATGCCGCTATTGACGACTTGCTTGGGCTTTTGTGCGGTGAATCGAATGCATTGTAATTGCCTAGAGGTAGCCACATACTCAGCAAGACTACTCAATTTTGGCGATGAAAGGAGGTTCTCAACAAGCTTACGTTTCCTTGATTGCGCTTCTTTGGCTGTGCTTCTTTGGTTCTGTGCGAGCTTCGCAAATGGTGACTGCATGTCCAACGGTCCCGTCCGGTTTTCGTATTCAAAGTCCATGCCGGACTCATTTCCACGTGAACCCATGGCTGGCTGAATAGATTTTGTTGATGTTCCAAAAGGCTCTACTCAATCTTGATGATCGTAGGAATGTATGAAGTCACGAGAAATGGTCTGGACACACTTGGGCTGCGGCGAGACACATCTGAACGCAGGGTAACCTAGGTAAATAAAACATCCCGCTTGGACCAATTATGATGCGCGTTGCTACGAACCCCTCGAGTGCCAGTCCGCAATATTGGTACGTATTGCCTGAGGTACGTACCTGATTATGTCAGCCACCGGTGGGCGCTTACGTCACTCACCGGTGGGCAATCTGCTTACGTCACCCACCGGTGGGTGACCTGACCTGAGCCTGCATAGTGGTGAGGCATCCGCATTTCCCCCTTTCCCTTCTGTACATAGAAATTTCCCTTGATGGGGAATGAGGAGACACATATCTTTCAATACAATTTTGGCTGCGTCTGCATGCAGGGAGCCCTCCCGCATATCACCTGTGCGGCAATAGTACGACTTCTCGACCGACCGGCACAGCCTGCTGAAATACACGCACAATTATATAATAACTCAATGGTAGTGATGATACCATACAATGTGCAGAGAGACGAGCGGTAAATATTTGGAATCGTCTCATATCCTGAATTGAGCACAGCATGCCCAAGAGCAGCAGCGTGGCCATCGCGACCCAACTCGGCCAGCAACGCAACCCTAATAGTTCCATGTCTGGGGTGGTGGTGGTGGTCGCGTGAGCTTTAACAGCCTGTGAGATCAATCGTGAATTGTGTAATCAAAGTACACCGTGAACCACAGGGTCGATGATCGGCCCGGTTCTCAATCTCGAGCACCGTGATTTTGAATCATTCCGGATGTGAACATTGCCACTGGCTTCCGCAACTGCTCGTCGCGGCGGACGTTCTTTTGCGAATATATCATGGTGTCATTTTGTATCGTACTCATCTAACGCTATTACTATTACGCGCCTGATTCGTTTGCAGTCATCAGGTCCAATAAGGAGGACGCGATCCTCTGATACAAGTTCTCATCGATCAAAAAGTCGACAATGCGACGGCGATGACCTGGGCATCGCTGTGGCTGATGCTGACGGTCGTCGATTTGACGCCAGCGCGCGAAGCTGCAGATTGGGCTTCACCGTGGAGCTAGACGAGAACAGGAATGTTAGTCTGCAATCCAGATGAAACGACAAGGGATAACAGCAATCAACTTACAATAACGACGGGTGCACCGGTCTTCTCGTCACTGACGATCTCGATGTCGCGCAATGCGGCTCCAGCGCCACGGCTCTCAACCTTGAGACTCTTGAACACGGCTTCCTTGGCGCTCCAGCGTCCAACAAAGCTGGCCTGTGGCGAGGGTGCTTTGCGGCAGTATTCAATCTCCGCGGGAGTGAAGTTGCGGGCGATGAATGTCTCGTTCGAGATGTCGATGGTGTCGATCGATTCCACATCAACGCCAGGATTTGTTTGCCCAGTGGCCGCGCCAGCGTTGGCCTGCATCAGCCTCGTGACCATCTCCGAGGTGGCTTTGTCTTGCGCCTGCTTCTTGGGTCCTGATAGAGGGTAGACGAGCTGAGCAGTCTTCTTGTCGATGGCGACGCGCGCCTCAGGGTTAAGGAAAACGCTGCTCTGCTGGCTGTCCTCGTATGGGCTCTTAGTCTTCGCACGGAACATGGAGTTGTTGATGAGGCCATCGTGATAGAAGCGGTATGCCTTCTTCTGTCGTGCCTGAACCTTCTGCTTGTAGGTCTGAAACTGAGCCTGATCAAGTGTAGCGAAAAGATACTTGGGGTGAATTCCGATCGCTTGAGCACCTTTTTGACCGAAGCCGAAAGAAGTCACGGAGAAAGCTTTGATTCCATCCGTCTGAATGCTGCGGCCGGGGTAAACGATGTAGTCGAACTTCTCCATCACTTGGTCGACATTGTCGGCGTTTCGGTTGCCGGGCACGAGACCAGTGTTGAGGACTTGCAAACAACCGTTGAACATCCAAGCACCAGCAGCACCCTTGGGGTGGCCAGTCAGGTACTTCTGGAAGATACCCATGACTGCATTTCCCTTCTTGCGTCCCAGATGCTTCATCTGCTGGCAAACCACATCCGACTCGTTCTTATCATTTGCGACAGTCGATGTTCCGTGGAAGGACGCGACCCCAAGATCATCAATGGTGAGACCCCAAGTTGCGAGGGCACCACGGAGAGGAGCGATGCGGGAGTCCTTCTTCCAGAAACTATTGCCGAGACTCTGCAATGCCTCTTTCTCCTGTCGGCGTGCTTCCCGCTCGATGTGAGCTGCTCGTTCCTCAAGGTACTCTTGCTCATTGAACTCGTCACCTTGCTGCTTCATGGCTGCGAGCTCCTCCTGCATATAGATAAGCTCGGACTCTTGCCACCCCTTAATCTGTTTGCGGCGCAGATCAAGCTGTCGCTTGCGGTATTTGATATCCAGCAGGGGCGATGCGAACTTGGAAGTCTGCTCACGAGCGGTGGACAACACACCCTGACCAGGTGCAGGAACAGAACGCCCAATCTTGTCTGTCGCGGTGGCTGTGAAAGCAAGAATGCCGTAGATCGGCACGCCCATGTCAAGTGCAAGCTTGGCGTCCATGATGACCTGCATGCCGCAGCCCTGGGCCTCCATGAAGCCGTTACGGGTTGTGGTAGTTGGGCGAGACATCTCCTTGGGTGTGCGGCCGTGGGCGAATTCGTCCTCGGCATTGCTTGTCGCTTTCATGTTGGCGAATTCGTATGAGCCTTCCTCCTGGAAGTCGTCAAAGCCACCGACAAAGCACATTCGAGCCTTGCCTTCGACAATGCAGTCGTAACCAATATCAATCGATTCAACAGCGGTCGCGCACGCACCGACCGGCGTTCTGATTGGTCCGGTAGAAGACATGAGAAGCATGTTGATCCAAGCACTCATAGTGTTGATAAACGATTCCTGCAGGATATCCTTCTGCAGCGGTTTGTCGAGGAAACGGTCCTTGTACATGCCGCGAAGTGCACTGGTACCACCAATACCAGAGCCGATACAGTTGCCGACCTCCGAGATGTGGACGTACTTGTAGAACTCGTACGGATCGGTGATACCAGACGACAGTAAACACTCAGCAGTGCAGACCAAGACGTACAGCGTGACCGGATCGACTTGTTCGATGATGTCGTCGGGAACACCATAGCGCTTTGCATCCCATCCCGTGGGGATTTGACCAGCGACAAGACGATCGAATCGAAGTGCTTTGGGAATGAGAAGCGTCGCGCCTTTCTTGAGGCGGACTTGGTATTCGCCGGACTCGAGTTCGAAGATCTCGACCTTTTCATCGTGCTCACGCTTGAATTCCTCGGCAGTCTCCTTGGAGGCCTCGAATGGATCGAGGTCTTCTTCGATCTGGATCTCCTGCAGAAGCTGCTTCTTCTTCGGATCATAGCCTTGGAACAACTCAGGTTCGATGAGGCGAATACCGGAGTGCTCCAGAATATAAGGCTCGTACTTTGCCTTTACATCCTTGTCGTCGACCGGGTCTCCAGACTTGCTATCAACCCAACCCGAATAGCTCTTGCCCTTGATCGGGCCGTTGAAGTTCTTGATCAGGCCCATGATCCAAGCCATTTCAACGCAACCCTCGAGTGAGAACTCGCCGTTGGCTTCCATTTCCCATCGTGTACGGGAATTTCCCCAAGGGCCAACCTCGGAGAAGCCAGTGACGACGACCACCTTCTCGAGATCTACCATGCCCTTCAGATCTGCGTTCAAAGGCTCGACTTCGCTCTTCCAGTCTGGCAGATTGGGGAAGTCGAACTTCAGATTGGCGCGCTTGTCGACTTTGACGGTACGATACAGGGCTTCGTGGTCCTCACCGTTCACAATCTTGCTCTCAATAGCAGTCTCGCGGGTCACGGCCTTACGAATTTCGGAAGTCTCAGTAATGTCCTTGCGGAGCTGAGTCATAAGTTCCTTAAGGTTCGGCAAGAATTGCAAGCCACCATTCAAGTCGGCGAAGACGGGCTCCTGCTGGCAGAGGTTCACGATGGGTGGTGCCATCAGACCGAGCAAGTTGAAAGCCATCTCTTGCTGAGAGAACGTTCGAACACCGTATTTCTCGACGCCTTCAGCAACGATATTGTTGCCGCCCATGAGGCCGGTACCGCGAGTCCAGCCGATAACAGCACCGCAAATTGTGAGGAAGTTGCCCCAGCTCTCGGAATGCCATCGGTTGAACAGAGTCTCCAATGCCAATTTGGATTCTGAGTAGAGACCATCATTGCCAAAGGTTCCGTGATTGGGTGAAAGCGGAAGAATGACTTGGGCTGGTCGTGTCTCGAAACGACGATCCGCCTTTTGCGCTTTGATTGCTCCGAGCATGCGCAAAAGGTTGGTCAACATGATACGATGTGCCAATTCTGATTTGCTGTCGATGCTGTCAATTTCGCGACCATTTTCCGGGATGGCTGCGAAAGGAACCACATAATCCAAGTCCCAACCTAGGCCCTTCTTTTCGTCATAGATGTAATCAATCAGAGCGTTGACATCTTGGACACTGCCCTGATTGAATGGTACTACAACCAGCTGGGAGCCTCGAGCACCATGTCGGGCGTACATACTTTGGTAATATTCAGTGACTTGGCGGGAGAATCTCGACGTGGTAACGACGACTTTGGCACCACCGCTGATCAAGCCTTGAAGGACGTCCGCGCCGATGGAACCTGCACCGGCGCCAGTCATGAGCACGTTCTTATGCTGGAACGTGACGCCAGATCGGGCAGCTTGCTCAAGACCCTCCAGATAGATGCCAGTAAGCTTCTTGCTGTATTCCCATCCATGCTCTTTCTTACCCTTCAGATGCAGGAAGGGGATAGTCTCTACCTTATCGTGGCGGACGGCACCGTTCATACGGCCATTGCGAGGACTCCTACGCGAGCGCGCACCGAAATGGCCATTCTCTGATGGCATGATCTGTCCCTCGCTCATTCCCAACGATCTGATGATGTTTGCGTAGAGCTGCTTGATCTCGACCTGCGAAGATTTCGAGAGCTTGTGTTGCTGGCGGATGAGCTTGTACACGCGTTGCAGATCATGTTGCACCTTGGTGCGGTTGCCGTATTCGGAGATCTTTCCGCCATCTGCCATCTCTCGAACGTAGTGCTCAAGCTTTCGAACACTGGGTCGTGTGCCCTCTTCGTATTCCATGTCTCCACGAGCGTCGATGGTGAGATGAGGACCTGTCGGCATGGCCACGTCCTTGTATACGGGCGCCTCATCAGCAAAATCACGACAGTTCTCGATGAGCTGTTGCCCGAGAGCCTTAGCGAGTTCGTATGTTTCGCCGCGCTCGGTCGGGCAGTGATCGATATGGTACTGCATGAATTCGAGCAAGGTAGGATTTGATCGATTCATGATCAGAAGGCATCGGCTGACAATCTCTCGATCAACGATCTTGAGACGACCGAAAATGATGTCGTAGTACATGGTGAGAGCATCTTGGCGAGCCCAGTTCCAAGACGAGTCATAGATGCGCGCTTTTAAGGCGCTGAATGAAGGTTCAATGCCAGCGGCATAGAATTCGCCGTGTTCAGTGTTCCAAAGATCCAATTGTGCTTGCAGAGCAGCTTCGTTCTGTTTTCCAGCGATCGCTGCCTTGTCACCAGCCCTGAGGTCCATCTTGAGATATCGGGCGAGGAGCTCCAATTGTTGCTTGAATAACGCGCGCTGATCCTTCGTCAAAGCTTCGATAGCTTCAGGATCCATCATCATTCCACCAGCACCAGCTGCTTCGCCTGGTGCTGGGCCTGTGGAGAGACTGATGCCAGCCTGCGCCGCATACTTCTGAGCTGTCTCGTCGAGCCATGATTTGGCGTCGTTCTCGGAGCCCAGACGAGCTGCAGGTTCCATGGTCAAAGCCAAGAGTAGAATGCCATCTTGACGACCGGGTCCAAGTCCCCACTTGGTCTCTAGGTGTTTACGCACCGCAGTGATGTTGAAGCCTCCAGGCATCTTCGATGACACCATGCGTGCAATGAGCGATGTCGATTGCTTGCCGAGCTGACCATTGAAGACTGCCTGCATCGATGCACCAAGCTCGTCCAACGGTGTGTCCTCTGGTTTCTCCGGCGTCGACCCAAACTCTTTCCCAAGGTCTCCAAGGATCTCATTCTGCAGTGTCGATTTGCCTGGAAGATCCATTGTCAGTCATCTGCGCTCGTTCCATTGACACTCTATCCTAACGTACCTCCTACTAAGTCTTTGACGGCTTTGCTTAAAGGTATGTCCGCGATTTGCTTCTTGAGCTTCTGTGCAATGAGAGCTCGAAGAATATCCACCGCACCGACCGGTACGTCTGGGACCGACGCGGCGGGACCAGAGCTGGCTGCCGCAGGTACTGGTGTCGCTACAGGTGCTGCAGTAGTGGTTCCTGTAGCCGGGGCGCTTGTTGCTGCGCTCGTTGACGCACCGCCAGCTGCTGGTGTTGGCTCGTCCTCCACCGGATCGACATCATAGTAGATGTCTTTGGCGTCTTTGTTGTAACATAAAATCTGTCGTTGTACGGACCGCGCAGCGTCGTAAGCTTCGTATTTGGCAGCGAGCGTCCGCTTAGCCATGCCACCAAGCGTGTCTGCGGGACCAATCTCGACAATGCGCTCCGTTGTCTTCTCGCCCAAGATGACATCTTGCGTTTCGATCCATCGAACCGGTGATGCGAATTGATATGCGAGAAGCTCAACCAGGAGCGTATGAGCCAAATCTTGTTCAACTTCTGGACGCATTATGAATTATGATGATTGCACCTGCGAGGAGGGAGGAGATCCTCGAGGGAGATGAAACGAGGTTGTGAAGGTCTTCTGGGCGATGGAGCACCCTGGTGGATCCAAACGCAATTCAAGAGCACGTCTTGGGAGTTGCAGAACCAGTCCAAGACTTCCCAGTGGAGTGCAATCTCAAAATCGCAATAGTGTATGTATTCGCGCGTAGTGTGAATTCAATTCGATCAATGCAAACAGGCCGGCGTCTACAAAAAGAGTTTGCCGGCGATACAAGGTTTCAGAAATGGCACAACGCGAAGTCGAAATTGTTGAGGTCCTGGTGAGTGATGAAAGAGTCGGTCACGGAGGCAGAAGACGTCCTGCCTTGTGACCAGTGCAATGCAAGCGATAATTGATGGGAGGAGGGTGGGACCAGCTGTGGAAGCTGAGGGACATCAGAGTGCGGAACGAAGCAAAAGGGTGCTCAAGTGGTGTGGTTGAGATGCCGATGAGTGACGATTCCCACAACGGTCCTGATATCAGATCATGGGTTGAATAGGTGGGTGAGCGGGCAAGATGCGGGCAGTGAAGGATATCGGTGGGATAATCGTACAGGCAGGTAGCCTACCACGAGGTGTACAAGCTCCCTATGGGTGTGGCCCGAACTTTTTTTCATTATCTGCAGGGTCAGACGACTGCAGAGGGTTGAGAGCACGGTTGAGGCTCTGTTTATTTGGTACATCGCTGGATCCTAAGCATCGGCAATGGGCCATTGCTGCAAGATGTACGTAGCTATCATTCTCTGTCGCTGAATCACTATACTGTGACACCTCATTACATGTAGACCATTGTTGATCCCTCGCATGTTGGAATGCAGTGCATCTTTGTTGCTGAAACAATCCCGTCGCAATACAGACATGCGGATTGGAACGACATTCATTGCTCTCAACCGTCAGGGCTAGTCGCGTTGGTGTCATTGTTCTCATAATGGAAGGCGGCAACGACAAGCGCACGACTTTGTGCTTGCGTAGGACTTATGCAGGTCCAGCTACATCGTCCGAACCTTGTACATTACTCATCGACTCGCCGAAAACCTCAGAGTCGATTATTGAAGGCAACGTCGAGCATCTCGAGTCATCGGGCATATCGCTCATCGCTCAGGTCCGATGTAGCGCCCGCGCTATGAAATGACATTTGATAAAACATTGGAACATAATCATCCGTGGGCTCGGAATGACCATGACGTTGGGGTATGGAGGCGACACATGTACTGTTGACTAGTGCTAGTGGGGAAACAGTTGAACGGCAGCGCTCCAGGGCTGCAAAAAAGCTGAGCACCTGGGCAGAAAAGGGTCAAATTACGATACATGGTACATGTACAAGAGCTTTCCCCACACTGTTTCTACGGAACCAAACTTAAACCAGCCGCGTTGGGGCCTCCCCGGGCCTTCCCTGAAGCCGGGATGCGTCCGGCCGCGCAACAGGCACCACCATACCCCAACCAACGTTGAGAGATGCACTGTACACCGACATACTATCGAATCAACTCACGCCTGGACGCGTACGCAGACTATGCAAACTTGACGTGGGCTGTCATTTGCTCCCAGAATAGATTAGTTGATCCTTTGCTTCATCCTTGTCTGATACGAGTGCGACGATAGCACTGTGGTGGAAATTGGCCGCGGGCGAATAGCTTCCTCAACAACTTGGAATGCCAACATTGCCGACAATGGGCCCTCACCGTAGGCATCCATGGCAAATCTCGCCACGATACTTGTACGGATGAATCGCTATCATTCAATGCAAGCCGCTCTCATCCGCATGTCGCCCCATGTATCACCTCCAGACCATTGAGGTCATGCGCGCTACTTGATCATTCCGCATACACGCGGATCCGCTGGCCGCATAAGAGCCGACTCGAACCAGGATCGCAATCGATCGGTCCTTTCTGCCACCAGGGTGCACCAGGGTGGAAAATTGGAAAGCGGAGGAGGCGGAGCGCCATGTTTTGCAGTGTTTGTGAGAGCTGTACTCTTAGCATTACCCGGAGTTCGGCGGATAAAGTCTCGTCTGCACAGGAACCACAACGACTCGACAGCACCGCACTATTCGCCATGACATCGTTGGCTCGACTCTGTATCATCAATCAAGGAGGCTTTTCCATGGCGGAGAACGGCGCCAGGGGAGCCAGCGGCTAGTGCAACGTGCACCCCAGGGCTGTCAACGTTTCCTGCGAACCGCAAGCTTGACCGCCCGAGCGCCCCGTGGGCTCGATAGTGCCCCCATGTTGTCCCTTTCGAAATGCTGTTGCCTGTCGTATCTGTATTACAGTTACAGAGAAATTTGTTGCGCGATGCGGTTTTGACAGCGTCAGGTGTGAAGAAGTAAATTCAAGCTCACAAAGTGCCGATCATTCACCCAAAACCCCTTGGAAGCTGGAAAGCCCAGATAAACATGAGACCTCCACCTGGACAACGTGCATCCGGTGTCCCCCCACCTGCTCAACAAACATGCGGCCCTACCCCGGAGGCCAATGCATTTGAATTTGCGCTAGGAACTCGTGAACCCTTCCACATATCTCCGTTCCGCATTGCGCTTGCCCTGAACCGGGAAATTTTGGAGGTGCTCTGACGTGCGCATTGCAGAATGCATTGACATGCCCGCAGAGCCTCAACAACTTTCGGTGCGGTCAAGACATCCTTCCTGGCAGGTTCCGCCATTTGATGGACCGATGTCTTGCAAGGTTGTCATTTAATGGAAGCGAGCCATCCCTTGATCCGGTTGCTAAGTGCCAACGAAGGCAGTGTTGGCCATTGCGCCGGTCGTCCACGCAGCTCGAAAAATGTACCTGCCGCCGATTCTCAACGATGAGCGCGATGAGAATCACCGGTGTTGCTGTGGGCGGGCGAGACCCCTCAATGACACTCGCAAGCAGACTCCCAACGATCCGTGGTGAGGTTGTGCAGCCTCTAATTCGCAGCAGGTAGATGTCGTGGACACTCACCGTCCAACAGAAACTCCATCCCGTGGTATCTGCCGCATCTTGATGCAGATGGGAGTCTGTGTCATCATGCAAGGCGGTCTCATCATTTTTGCCCACCAGGTGTAAATGTAGGTCTGTCGTCGTCTCTTGATCAATCAAAGTAAACTTTGTTATTGTTCTTGCGATCATTCATCACTTCAATCGCATCTTGCTGTGCAATTGGTATCGTCCTTTCGCTGTCTTTGATTTTCGCGACTTGCCAATCTGTAGCGGAGCGTGCTCAGCTTCTGCTCTGAACCCACTCGCGTCAAGCTAATTTACGCCAAACAATCCACGGACAAGAAAAATAGATCCTGCTGTGAATGGGCGACCAGCAAGGATAGCTGGAAAATACAATCATGTAAGTTAACTTTACCGCCAGTTTGAGATCCCTCAATTCTATCCCGGCGTCGTCAGAAAGCCTGAAGCTCGCGCGAGTCCTTCAACTACGAGTCGGCAGAGTCGAGATGATCTGGCGCTCTCCGAGATTTGCATTGTCAGTGATCGATCAGAGCAACGTGTTTCTCGCACTTGACCACCTGCCCAAGTGACCATTTAAACGGGTTTCCGAGTTTGTTCGGTTGTCCGTGCCCCTTCCATCCAGTGACGAGCTACTTCATCGCTTCCTGCTCCAGGCCGCAATTTGTTCATCCCACCACCTCCCGCATCACTCGACCCTCGCCGCCGATTTCACATCTCCGTAAATTCCGTTGAGCTCGCTTGCACCCACGACACACCTGTCGAGCTCCTCACCTTCTCTGTCAAATCCTTCAACGCAGGCGAATTATCCTGATCAGCCTTGCTTGACGTGTCGTCTCAACTTTCGCATCATGACTACTCCCGTACATGAACTGACTCCATATGTCCAGTGGGACTCGCGTCAACAACGAAATAGCTCTCGAGAGAAGAAGATGTTTGCTTCAGGCGCGCAAACGGGTGCCAATACCCCAAGATCACAGGCGGTCTCGCGACCACTCGCTCTTTCGCATGGCACACTCGAGTACAATTTCCTTATTCCGACAGCGCTACATTTCAACGCTACACAATTGAAAGACGCCTTTCTAGCCAGTCTCCCAGAGCCTACCGACGAACTTGCACAAGATGACGAGCCGTCATCGATCACGGAACTTGTTGCGAGGTATATGCTATTCATCGCCAACGAGGTCGATGCGAGCGAAGACGCCGAACTCTTTGTTGAGGTGCTCAAGCTTGTCGTCACAGAATTCGAGCGACATTTCCTGCGCGGCAACGAAGTCCACGCTATTGCAGCGACCATTCCTGGCATCTATGAGAAAAAGCTGATTGTGGTACAAGCATATTACGCTGGACGGGCGGCAGTGAAGCGCACCATTCGTGCTCACGAGTCAGCTCTATTTCGTGAGGCTGCAGACGAGAATGCATTCATCTATGCGGTGTTTGGCGGACAGGGCAACATTGAGGAATACTTTGACGAACTCCTAGAGGTCTACAATGCATACCCATCGCTAGTACGCGATTTCCTCAACGTCGCTGCCCAGCATCTGCAATTCCTCGCCAGAGACCCCGAAGCTTACAAGAGCTACGCCAAAGGTCTTGACGTACTTCGATGGCTCGACAACCCCGATTCTCAACCGGATATCGATTACCTTGTTTCTGCACCTGTCAGCTTGCCTCTCATTGGTTTGACACAGCTCGCACACTACGTCGTGACCTGTCGAGTGCTTGGAACTCATCCTGGACATGTACGAGACAAGTTCTCTGGCACGACAGGCCACTCGCAAGGTGTCGTGACTGCTGCTGCCATCGCTGCTTCATCAAATTGGGAGTCGTTTGACAAGCAAGCCAGAAATGCGTTGACCATTCTCTTCTGGATCGGTGCGCGCAGTCAGCAAGCATATCCGCGAACTTCACTCGCACCAAATGTGCTCAAAGACTCCATGGAGAGTGGCGAGGGGACGCCGACTCCTATGCTGAGCATCCGTGACCTACCAGCAGCGACTGTCGAAAAGCTCATCGCAACGACCAACGAACATCTGCCGAAGGAGAGACATATCGCCATATCGCTGATCAACAGCGCCCGAAACTTTGTGGTCAGCGGTCCTCCCATGTCGCTGTATGGTCTAAGCCTACAACTTCGCAAGATCAAGGCGCCGACTGGCCTCGACCAGGCTCGCATTCCTCATACCGAGCGAAAGCTGAGATTTTCCAATCGTTTCCTGCCCATCACAGTCCCATTTCACAGCTCTTATCTCACCGGTGCCATCAAGCACCTGGAGACCGACCTTAAGGATATCAACATCGCAGGCAGTGATTTGGGTGTTCCTGTGTACCACACCTGCTCAGGCGAAGATCTTCGAGACATGAAATCTGGAAACATTGTGCCCACGCTGGTCAGCATGATCTGTCAAGAGCAAGTTCTTTGGGAAAAGGTCACCACCATGCCCAACGCTACACACATTCTCGACTTCGGTCCAGGCGGCATTTCGGGCTTGGGCGTATTGATCAACCGAAACAAGGACGGTACTGGTGTGCGCGTCATTCTCGCAGGGACCATGGATGGTACCAACACCGACGTCGGATACAAGCCCGAGATTTTCGATCGTGACGCGGAGCATGCCGTCCGATATGCTACAAATTGGGTCAAGCAATATGGCCCCAAGCTTGTTCGAACGTCTGTTGGCCAGATATATGTGGACACCAAGATGAGTCGATTGCTCGGTCTGCCGCCCGTCATGGTCGCAGGCATGACACCATGCACCGTGCCTTGGGATTTCGTCGCAGCCACGATGAGCGCCGGCTATGAGATCGAACTCGCCGGCGGTGGCTACTATGATGATAAGAGCATGACGGAAGCCATCTCGAAGATCGAAAAGGAGATTCCAGCCGGTCGCGGTATCACTGTAAATTTGATTTACGTCAACCCTCGAGCCATGGCGTGGCAGATTCCAATGATCCAGAGACTCCGAGCCGAGGGTGTTCCGATCGAAGGTCTCACCATCGGCGCTGGCGTTCCGTCCATCGAGGTTGCAAACGAGTATATCGAGACGCTCGGTATCAAGCACATGGGTTTCAAGCCTGGCTCGATCGAAGCCATTCAAGCTGTCATCAACATTGCGAAGGCCAATCCTAGCTTCCCCATCATGATGCAGTGGACAGGCGGACGCGGCGGTGGCCATCACTCGTTCGAGGACTTCCATCAACCTATGCTCGCGATGTACAGTCGGATTCGACGATGTGAAAATATTGTCATGATCGCTGGCTCCGGATTCGGTGGCGCCGAGGACACCTATCCATACCTCAATGGTACCTGGGCGAAGAAATACGGATACCCGCCGATGCCATTTGATGGTGTCTTGTTCGGTAGTCGTGTCATGGTTGCCAAAGAGGCTCACACCTCCAAGATGGCCAAGCAGGCTATTGTTGATGCACCAGGTCTTGAGGACCATGAGTGGGAGAAGACGTACAAGGGTCCTGCCGGTGGTGTCATCACCGTCCGTTCCGAGATGGGCGAGCCCATTCACAAGCTGGCAACACGTGGTGTCAAGTTCTGGGCTGAGATGGACGACAAGATTTTCAGCCTACCCAAGGCTAAGCGCATTCCCGAATTGAAGAAAAATCGCGAATACATCATAAAGAAGCTGAACGACGATTTCCAGAAGCCATGGTTCGGACGCAACCAGGCGGGCGAATCTGTTGACCTCGAAGACATGACGTATGGCGAGGTCGTGCGCCGAATGGTCGACCTCATGTACGTGAAGCACCAAAGCCGTTGGATCGACAAGTCCTTGGCGCGTCTGACTGGTGACTTCATTCGCCGAATTGAGGAACGCTTCACCCCGACAAACGGTGCAGGCTCTATCATTCAGACATACAGCGAATTAGACAAGCCATTTGATGTTCTTGAAAAGGTCTCTGAGGTTTATCCAGAAGCAGACGCTCAGCTCATCAATGCTCAAGATTGCCAGCACTTCCTGTTGCTCTGCCAGCGCCGCGGACAGAAGCCTGTGCCCTTTGTCCCGTGCCTCGACGACACATTCGAATTCTTTTTCAAGAAGGACTCTCTTTGGCAGTCAGAAGATCTCGATGCGGTGGTTGACCAAGATGTCGGTCGTGTCGCAATTCTCCAAGGCCCAATGGCCGTCAAATTTTCCACGACTGTGGATGAGCCAATCAAAGATATTCTCGATGGCGTGCACCAAGGCCACATCGAGAGGCTGACTCGGGATCTTTATGGCGGCAAAGTCAACAAGATTCCGCTCGTCGAGTACTTTGGCGGCAAATTCGTCGCGCCAAGCTCAAACGCCAACATGGAAGGTCTGACAATCCACGAGATTGAGCACAAGACTGTCTACAGATTATCGGCCAGCTCCAACACGCCGCTACCCCCTGTGCAAAATTGGTTGGAGCTGCTCGCGGGACAAGCTCGTACTTGGCGCCATGCGTTCTTCAACACCGATGTATTTGTTCAAGGCCAGCGTTATCAGACCAACCCAATGCGACGTCTTTTTGCACCGACGCCTGGAATGGTGGTAGAGATCATCCATCCCAAGGATCCTCAAAAGACTATCATCACTGTCAAAGAGCCTACTCATGGCATCCAATACATTCAAACTGTTGAGATTGGGCCGATCTCGAATGGACAGTTCACCCTGAACATGATCGAATATCGGACCGCATCTGGCATCCCTGCCGCGCTGCCGCTGCATTTCAAATACCATCCGGAAACAGGCTATGCTCCGATTCGTGAGGTCATGACGGCTCGCAATGATCGCATCAAAGAATTTTACTACCGCATCTGGTTCGGCAATGAACCAGTCCCATTCGACACGCCTGTCACATCTCGCTTCGAGGGCGGCAGGGTCACTGTTACCAGCGAAGCCATCAATGACTTTGTGCATGCCGTCGGCAACACAGGGGAAGAGTTTGTTGAGCGACCTGGCAAGGAGGTCCTTGCGCCCATGGACTTTGCTATCGTGGTCGGCTGGAAGGCTATCACGAAACCCATCTTCCCACGCAAGATCGATGGTGACTTGCTCAAACTTGTGCATCTCTCCAATGGATTCCGCATGCTACCAGGTGCCACACCACTGAAAGTTGGTGACGTTGTTGACACTACGGCCGAGGTCAATGCCGTTGTCAACACCGACTCGGGCAAGATGGTGGAGATTTGCGGCACCCTCGTGCGTGACAGCAAGCCGATTATGGAAGTGACGAGTCAATTCCTCTACCGCGGTGCGTACAACGACTTCGAGAACACATTCCAGCGCAAAGTTGAAACTCCGATTCAAATGCACCTTGCCACCACCAAAGATGTGGCGGTGCTCCAGTCCAAGGAATGGTTCCGGCTAGAGGATTCGCCACCTGAATTACTTGGTCAGACCATCGTGTTCAAACTCTCCACGCTGGTACGTTTCAAGAACAAGACTGTGTTCTCTTCAGTACACACTGTTGGCGATGTCGAGCTCGAGCTTCCCACAAAGGAGGTTATCAAGATCGCATCTGTTGATCACGAGACTGGCACGTCATTTGGCAATCCCGTCCTTGACTACCTCAAGCGTCACGGTTCTGCTCTCGATCAACCCGTGATGTTCGAAAATGCCATTCCTCTTCACGGCAAGGATCCCCTTGTTCTCAAGGCGCCTTCATCCAACGAGACTTATGCTCGTGTGTCTGGTGACTACAACCCGATTCATGTCTCGCGTGTATTCTCACAATACTCCGGCCTTCCTGGAACCATCACGCACGGAATGTACTCGAGTGCAGCCGTGCGAGGCCTCGTCGAGACATGGGCAGCTGAGAACATCGCTGGTCGTGTTCGCAGCTTCCACGCTTCCCTCGTTGGAATGGTCTTACCTGACGACGTCATCGAGGTGAGATTGGAGCACGTCGGTATGGTCGCTGGTCGTAAAATTATCAAGGTCGAGGCCATCAAACCCGAAACAGAGGACAAGGAAGAGGAGAAGGTCCTGCTTGCTGAAGCCGAGGTGGAGCAACCCGTTTCATCTTACATCTTCACTGGTCAGGGTTCTCAGGAGCAAGGTATGGGCATGGAACTCTATGAGTCCAGTCCCGTGGCGAAAGAGGTCTGGGATCGCGCCGACAAGCACTTCTTGGACAATTACGGTAAGAGACGATATGTGACTACATCATCTGAATTATACTGACGGAAAGCAATAGGCTTCGCGATCACGAACATCGTCAAGAACAATCCCAAGGAACTGACCATCCACTTTGGCGGCGCCCGCGGCAAGGCCATTCGCAAGAACTACATTGACATGGTCTACGAGACTGTAGCTGCAGATGGCAGCATCAAGTCAGAGAAGATATTCAAAGAGATCACGGAAGATTCCACCTTCTACACGTATCGATCGCCGACCGGCCTACTATCAGCAACACAATTTACACAGCCGGCTCTGACGCTCATGGAAAAGGCCTCATTCGAAGACATGCGTTCCAAAGGCGTTATCCAGCGTGACAGCAGTTTCGCAGGGCACTCTCTGGGAGAGTACAGTGCTCTAGCCGCTCTCGCTGAAGTGATGCCGATCGAGAGCTTAGTCTCGGTGGTGTTCTACCGTGGTCTGACCATGCAAGTCGCCGTTGAGCGCGATGCCGATGGGCGATCCAACTATGCCATGTGCGCAGTCAATCCCTCTCGCATCGGCAAGACGTTCAATGAGCAAGCCCTACAATACGTGGTGGAGAACATCAGCGAGACAACCACCTGGCTGCTGGAGATTGTCAACCTCAACGTACAGAACATGCAGTACGTGTGCGCAGGAGAGCTTCGCGCATTGGACACCCTCACCGATGTCCTCAACTATCTCAAGTCTCAGAAGATGGAGATTCAGCAGCTGATGCAAACAATGAGCATTGAAGACGTCAAGGCCAAACTTGTCGAGATCATCCGCGAATGCGCCACCCGTACCGAAGGCAAGCCTCAACCTCTGGAGCTACAGCGCGGTTTCGCAACCATTCCACTACGCGGCATCGATGTGCCTTTCCACAGCACCTTCCTCCGCTCCGGCGTCAAGCCCTTCCGATCCTTCCTCCTGCGCAAGATCCACAAGGCCAGCATCGACCCTTCCAAGCTCGTGGGGAAGTACATTCCGAACGTCACGGCAAAGCCTTTCGAGCTTACGCGTGAATACTTTGAGGATGTCTATCGTCTGACCAAGTCCCCACGCATCGGAAACATTTTGGACAATTGGGAGAAGTATGCCTCAGACGAGGAAGGGGTGGTGCGACCACCGGCCGGCAGTGAGGCCAGTGGTGCAGCCCCTGTCCTCGTCGGCCCGTGATGTCCATCCGTCACTCGTCGATGAGATTGATGGGAGGCAAAAATGAACGAAACGATACTTTGAAATTCAGGGCGGAGATAGCACGCCTTAGTCCGAAATAATAACGTAATGTCGATATATCCATGACCATGTATCTCGTGCCTTTTGAGGTGAATCTCTCCGTGACGGTAGAAGTCCTCGTCGAAGGAGTATGTATGGAAATTGACGTCGGAACAATGATGTAATGACGGTGTAGTGTGGGTGCGATGGTTCTTTCTATACCTTTTTGATGGTATGGCCTCACCCAATCAGCGATCATGCAGCTTGAACGTGTAAAGGATGTTTGCGTCAGCTCGAGTCATGATTGTGCTATGACTGCCATTCTCCATCTTCACCTGGGCGTGGTCGCAAACCAGAAGAAACCCCTGATCCGTAGACATTGTCCATATATTCGAATAGTAACTGCATCGTCATGTGGAGACGTATTAGAATCAGCTACAACATGTAAGTTCCAAATGCCGTTCTCCGCCGCATTGGGGAAATATACAGAAAGACAAGGTGCACCGATGAAGGATCGGCCAGTGTGTTGACGACATTGAAAGGGACGTCGTGGGTCCACGGTTTGGTGGTCGCTTAGGGTTTGGGTAGACTCGCGGAAATCGCGTTGCTTGACCGACGATCATGTCTTTCCAAATTTCTCAACCGAACGCTTTTGGATGCTGACATGCATATTTGCAGCTGCACACGTAGGGGCTCCTGCAGATCATTGTTCCAGGTGGTTTATTAGACCGCATAGCATCGTCACCTGAGGTGCATGATGTCGTAGCTGACGTGATACTGTATCATCACCTGGTTATTGACAACGGATGTGAATGATTAGTGATTCTTCGCGTGGTTGACGTGATTCCAGCCGTCAAGGATGTAAACATCCCGTCCCTGCCAGCATGTGTCGGCTGTGGTAGGGCCCAGAATAACACCATTCCGTGGATTAACTACCAATCCAACTCAAGCCAAACCTATGATGATCATCACATACCTACCTAGGTATACAATTCACACAAGACAAAAGCCAAAAAGAGAAAAATCTCGATCAGGCAATTCGGTCCGTAGGGTTGCCTGCCGACGCACGACACGGCGCGCGGATTTGTCCTGTCTGTCCCTCGATGATCATCCCGCATCCTTCGTGCTTGCGGGACTGCTTCTTCCGTGCGTCGCCGCGCATGTGAGTAGTCGGGATGTTGTGGATATAGCCACACACGTACGTATATGCAGTGCTGCATAATAGATGCATGCAGTCATACCTATGCTCCGTTCGCCTCGACTACTGATTGCTCCTGCATTGGTCGGCACATCTGACTGGGGCAAGGATGGTCTCTACTTTGCGGAGTCAAGTTCCAGCGGATGAAGGAGGAGAGAGGAAATGTGGGGGCTGGAGAAGGGCCATTACGTGCATCGCGGTGCGACGTTTATCGGGCATATTGTGATCGCTCATCATTGATTGAATGGAAGGCTGTGAGAGTGGACATGTGCCGTATGTCTGTGTAGCATTATTATAGCGCTGGATTTTGGTTTCGTGTGAACAGAGACGGCAATACATTTAGAAGGGCAGGATGCGATCCGAGAAATGCTGCGATCCATTCCAAGTCGGGGCAGTTGGATGTAGTGCTGAACTCCCTCGGAGCACGCAGGTGTGAATGCTGCCCAGGTGTAGGACAATCCAAGAGTTGAACAGCCCAGAGCATGAGTCAGCCGCAGGCAGTTCGCAGATCCAATGTTCGCCGCCGCCGTCGCCGCATTGTGCGCGCTTCGTCAGGCCGGCGTTTGCCCTACACGTCCCCGCAGCCCCCAAGCTCGCTCGAAGAACCTTCCAAGGTTGGGAAGCGTGCGGTTCACGTTTCGTGCTTCTTGCGGGACCAGAAGTGTCCGGCGTAGGGCAAAACCACTGCACGCCGATTACGCCACCAGGTACCATCGACGCGGACGTCGCTTTCGTTTTCGATGTGGAGGAGGAGGCGAGCAGAGATTTCTCCCATTCTATGGCTGGGTTGTTCTCGCTGTTCGGTACGATGCTGTGCCAGCGGGCAGTGACATGCTCTCCCACACACACCGTCCTCGTTGGGGGATCCAATGCGGGGATACGGGATGGCTCGTATCTACGGTCTATCTATCTGATGTGCCGGAGCGATGCGATGGAAGGGGATGTGCATCATCGCCAGAGAAAACGAAACCACCAATTCGCCGACTTGCCGCGATCCCGGCCGGATTTTCCCAGTTTCTGTGCCTGAAGCACATGTACAGTACATGTACCTTGCATGACGGCCCCGCTGCAAGGGTTATCTCCAGCCAACTTTGCAGACCCCGGCATCATACTAGCGGATACGTGCAGGGCTGTACTGCAGGAGCGGATGGAGTTGGGTTCAGAATGATACTACAGCGACATCATGACTTTCCCTCCTGTATCGGGTCGTTATCTTTCTCCACCTTCCTTCCGCGACGCTCCCTTGTCCGCCTTTCTATGTCTTCCTTGCGGCGGACATGGGTCGGCGTCTTGACCACGCTACAGCGTCCCGCAAACGGTCAATCGTGAAGCGAAGACCTCGGAAGGAAGAAGTCTCCGCATGGGATTCTCGTGATTGTGCTTGACGGCGATTAGGTCGCACGCGCGGAATGTCCCCAAGACTCGCTTGTGTCTGACGGTGTGCGATTTCGCGGCTCGGCGCTGTGAGGGGAAAAACGCGCTGAGCAGACGAGTCTCCGCCTTTGCCGCCTTGTTTGGCCAAATGCACACTGTGGCTTTGGCGAAGCTGGCGAAGCACGTTGGGTCAGAGGCTTGAATGCCATTCCGAGGAATTCTAGAACCGCTGGTGACGTGGAGATGCTGGTGTTCAGTGGGTGGAAAAAGCAAAGAGACGGATGACGCGTCAAACAGCTACTTTATGATAGTCGCGCGAAAACTCAATGCTCCGATGTGGTCGGTGCCCAATGCAACAGCTTTGGAGGTATGATACAACTGCATGATTCTACGGTAAGCACACCTGCAGCAGATGACTTTGCTAAGCAGCGGCATTCATCACTGTCCATCAGCTGAGGTTGATCCACATTGTGAAGGTCGGGAGTTGTTTTGGTCCCGCAGGCAGGGTGCACGTAAATGAAACAGCATGCAGCTGCACCTTCTCGATGCGGTTTATTCTACGCAGAGACTCCCTCCCGGTATGCGCAATTGACAGAGCACTCATTGCTCTTCAGGCTCCTCCATGGAAGCTATGCCTTGATTCTCCAATCAATGACAACCGAATGTTTCGATTGTCAATGGATGTCAGGCATTTGGAATCGTTGCGCTTGGCACGGCATTGTACTGCCTGCGCTGTTGTGTGGTGATTGCGCCGGTCTAGTGGTATTTCCGGCTGTGTCTGATGCCGTGCCATTGTTGCGGTAATTGCCCTCATTGTTTGATGTATGGTGGTGCAACGCTCAGATGTACTAGGTATGTTGGGCAAATTCCGCCTCGAGGCTCGCAACAACACTCCGTTACTCACGCATGTTGGTTGCTGATGGTCGCCCAGTAATACTTCCGCCATCAATGACATTGAAGAGTGATACTTTGTCCTCTACAGCTCCTCCAAAAGTAACAGCCAAAAATAGGGATTATCGAGCCTGCAGTAGGCGTCATCATGGAACTGCTTACATTCCGTTGAGGACATCTCATCTCCAGCCGATCCTGCACGGACTTGATTACCTACGTGCACGGCTCACCACCACATGTCAATGCAATCGATCGGCGCATCTCGTTGGCAGAATTCGCCTCGGTCAAAGTTCGACTATGTGCAGCGCTAGGTCCTAAAGGAACGACCGCTAGGTGTCTTCTCGCGGCGACGTTACGATAGGCTAAACGGCGACTACAGTCTTCTCTCACGCTTCTGGCGACTTTCAGGAACCAGCAAAGAACAATCGGTGCTGTAGCGCAATCGCAGTCTCTGCAACGCAACTTTTGTCGGCCGGCCTCGTAGCAAATTGTGAACCTTCTAGACTACCATAGCTTGTCTTGGCCACCCGGACATTGAGATGCCCCGTAATTCATGACAACGAATTAGCCCGAAAACGATGTTTTCAGAGTCCCGTGATCGGCATGGAAAGAAACAGTGCTGGGTAGTGCCAATGGCATGGATGTGCAAGCGAGGTACATGTACAATTGCACAGTACCTCACAGCTTGCACAACGACATGCCACTGTACCTTGCAGAGAGCGAACAGCGTATGTTTGTTTTGGAAAAGGTCAACGCGGTTTTTTTTCTTTCGAGGATGGACATACAGCGCACGATCCCTGGTTGCCGAGTTTCCGGACCTCGCGGCCAGAGACTATGCGACCCTTCTTCCATGTGAATCGGCCGCTACCTCTCTCGATGATACAGGCTTCGCGGAGGAAGACGTGGGACTGTCGTGCGCGAGACTCTCCCTTTCAGTCATTCGAGAGCTCCGTAGAGTCGATCGGGACCTGTCCATGCGACGAGGCTGTGTTAGCACGTGGTGTCAGCCGAACCAGCCTCAGACTCGGAGGCAGCTCTGAATAAAGCGGGCACCTGTCATACTGTACCTGCGACCCGATGAGAGGTGGAAAGCAGCAGGACGGTAATCTCGACCGCCCGAAATCTGCTGTGACCATGACGTGCATCGCCCTCATCTCCACCGCGACGTGCGAGAGCAAAGAATTTCCGTCCGCAAGCGAGTTCACGCGTTGGGGAGCTGCACTATTCCGGCTTAGCAGCAAAGCCGATCCCACCTACACGGTCCCGATGCGGCAACACAGTTCTTCCCAGATTTGTCGTCCGGCGACGAAGATGATAAAAGCCTGGACGTGCAGGTGTGACGGTCCTGGGTGTCCACACACCCACCGACTTCACCGTGCATCGCCCCCCATCGCGCTAGGTCATCTATCCGAACCTCCTTTGCGCACGCCCTCTCAGGTACCCGCAGCTGGACACCATCAGAACGCGAGTTCCCCTAACCTCATCGATACGGCGGACTGTCCTGTACCCCGTATACAATGCGGCGACACAGCACAGCATCACGGTCGGTGTTTGGTACAACGGCACAAACATGCCGGTGTGTCTTCACTATTCTTCTCGGCTTGTATCATCGCCACCCGAGGAGGTGAGATGTGTCTCTGTGTAGGTACGGTAGTCACGAAATCTCTTCGCCAAGCAAGCCAGTCCAGCCAAGCACCTCTAAGATGGATCTTAAGCCAAAACCCACCCTACAAGTCTGGAGGAAGGACAAGACTCTAGCAACGCGACTCAATCCTTCGTCCCGACTCGCGCGCCAGGCATTGCAGAAACATTCCCCATCGATGCGCCACACCGAGGTATAATGAGTGAATGTCCTACTGTGCGCTCCAGCTCTCGCTCAATGACTACGGTACAGCTGACTGGCCGACTGTCTCCTGGGGACCAATGCTGTGGAAGACAGGCGAGTGGCACGGCACATTAGTCATCGGTGAGAACCAACATCCGATGAGTCATCAGGATGCCCCGTCTCATTTGAGAGCATGTGAATCCAGATAAGAACAAACAAACAAAGTGTAATCAAAAACAGCGATCTCCCGGAATATTTACGCGGCTCCCAACGTTGTGCAGCTTCTGGCTGCATGCCAGTATGCAAATTGGGAGACTTCAGTCACACGTCATGCCGGCGTTTCAAAGCGACTCCACAAGCATGAAAAAGAAAAAAATCAAGGACTGGCCCCTGCGGGAGTTTGAGCTGGCAGGTCCGCTTGACCCCCGGGCTGAATGCATGTTGTGAGCGACTAGTCGGCGGAACAGGCGGAGCTTCACAGCTCAAATCCATTGCGTCTAGCATTGCTTTTCACAAGTGAACACTAATCGTCAATGCTGAATATTTGAGTTTACCTCGGTGCCTGAATAGCTTCGTTCAGGAAAGGCAAAGCTCAAATTCAATCTGCGCCACCCAATTTGCATCCATGATCACCCAACAGCCCCATGCTCTGCGCTAGTCCTATTTGCGCTTGTTGAGATTCGACCTCACTCCAGCACGGTCATTGACTCACGGTGGATCATGCTGATATCCTTCACTTTGACTCGCTTAGGTCGGAAAAGGTCCGCAATGGCGTTCGAGAACGACTGTCATCCCTGGGCACTGATGCTTCCGGCTGGTCTAATCCTGGCACCACTTGACGACGAGATGATGAGATCGGGCCGTGTTCTCCACTGTGATGTGCGAGGAGAGTTGGTGTGAACAGTCGTACATCAATGCGTCCTTTGGCTCACGCCCTTTAAAGCTGCCTTCTCCTGCTTCACAACCTCATCGTCCTTCTTTCTCGCCCGTCAAGGAGATTACTACCAACACTCGCTCGTGGACGACTTTCGACGACAGCTTGTCAAGCCTCCTCGACTGTGCTTCTTCCTCCCAGGATCATCCCAGGACCATTTCATCTCGAGGATATCCGACGACTCTCGTTAGCATAGCCGAGCTACTCCCTTCACAATGAAGTACTCCATCGTCGCGACTTCGGTCGCTTTGGCCGGTGTTGCCTCCGCCAGCCCAGTTGCTGCTGCCCAGGAGAAGCGTTTCTGGTGGCCATTCGGATATGGTAGCCCTACCACCACCAAGGCTCCTGCCTACACTCCCCCGAGCTACCAGCCCCCCGTCTACGCTCCTCCGGTCTACGCCCCTCCCGCGTACACGACCACCTCGTCGAGCAAGACCTCCACCGTGAAGACCGAGACCTCCGCCCCCGTCTACACCGTTCCCGTCCCCGTCTACACGACCACCTCGACCCAGAAGTCCTCCGCCGTCTCGACCCCTTCCTCGGTCGAGTCGCCCACCACTCCCAAGACCACCGTCAGCGTCGCTCCCTCGACCTACAAGCCGACCAGCCCCGCTTCCTCCACCCCAAAGACCAGCAGCGCTGAGACCACCAGCAAGACCAGCAGCGTCTCTCCTTCGATCTACAAGCCCACCAGCGTCGCTTCTTCCACCCCGAAGACCAGCTCCGTTGCTACTACTTCTTCCGTTTCTTCTGCCCCGGTGAAGCCCACCACCAGCAGCGCCGCTTCCTCGACCCCCAAGGCGAGCACCGCGGTCTCATCCACCAAGAAGTCATCGGTCTCAAGCACCGGCAAGACCGCCCCTCCATACTACCGCCCTACCAAGAAGACTTCCTCGGTCAGCAAGCCCGCTTCTACTAAGTCGGTGTCGTCCGAGAGCAAGACCAGCTCTGCCGCTACCACCACCTCCGTGTCCTCTGCGCCTGTGAAGCCTACTACCGCCGTCTCGTCTGCCCCGGTTTCTAGCTCCAAGCCTACCACCAAGAAGTCATCGGTCTCATCTACCGGAAAGACTGCTCCCCCGTACTACCGTCCTACTAAGAAGACTTCTTCGGTCAGCAAGCCCGTTTCCACTAAGTCGGTATCGTCCGAGAGCAAGACCAGCTCTGCCGCCACCACTAGCTCTGTCTCGTCTGCGCCCGTGAAGCCCACGACCGCCGTCTCGTCTGCCCCGGTCTCCAGCTCCAAGCCAACCACCAAGTCTGCTTCCAAGTACGTTCCCAAGTACACCACCAAGAGCAAGACTAGCTCCGCACCTGTCAAGCCGAGCTCCGCCGTCTCGTCGTCGCCTTCTTCCCCAGTGAAGCCGACCACCACCGCCGAGACCACCTCCAAGGCGACCACCACCTACAAGGCCAGCACTCCTGTTAGCACCCCCGCTAGCACTCCCGTGAAATCGGAGACCACCACCTCGACCACCAGCAAGACCTCGGCCGTGAGCACCCCGGTCAGCACCCCAGCGTCCTCTGCTCCTGTCTACCCTACCACCACTCTTGCCACCTCCACCAAGAAGACCACCGCCCCAGTGTACACTGCCCCGGCCTACACTCCTCCTTCCTACGAGCCTCCGGCTTACACCCCCCCGGCCTACCAGCCTCCGGCCTACACTCCTCCTTCATACAAGCCTCCGGTCTACTCCCCTCCTAAGTACACCTCGCCCTCTGGCGGCGACTTCTGGAGCTGGCTCTTCGGCAAGGGCAAGTCCGCCCCCCAGCCCAAGGGCTACTGAGCGTTACGCCCTTGATTGAATGCAAGGATGATTGTGTTATCTATTCTTTCCACGCGGCATGATGTTTGTTTCATCATGGCCTCCTTCTGAGGAGTCATGAACGATGACGAGACCGACGGCTCAATGCGAGATCCGGTTGACGATTTGCTGTTTCTGCCGTTGGGGGCGGATGTTTTTAAAACACTCGATTGTATGGTTCCGCGACATAAGGTCTGCGTTGAATCGGTTCGATTCGTAATACATAATGAGTCATGAAAACTCGTTTTACACATCTTCTATCTCATTCAATTTGCCTCGATGTACTTTGTCATGCAGTAACCTTATGGCCTTGCTTATGCTATGCTCGGTTTCCACCCCATCGTACCTGGGAGCCTGACTAATCCAATGTCTGGGTTTTCTGATGACCAAACAAATGTTTGCTTTTGTCCGATGAAACATACAATCTCTGTCTCCTTCCTCACCTCCAGCTACCTAGGTATGTAGACATTTTACTTTCCATCTAGTCCTAAATCACCTTCAATCATAGATGAAGTAGACATTGTGTACATACTAGTAGGAGGGAGAATGTGACCATTCCGCCTCAACTCGGACTTGCACGTATCACACTCGTCCCTCTCTTCTATCATCTTGTGAAGACCGTTCAACAGCTAGAGACGAGCTACGGTTTGTCACAATTTGGAAAGGTGAACCTTCTTACACACTTCGACATTGTGCCACTTGTTCACAACACAGCTGCGAGCTTTGTGTACGAGGCTTACGGGTTGTGGCATCGGTGATTGTGAGCATGTATATAGGTCGTGAGGCCGTTTCATCTACGCTGCCAATTGTAAGCACCGTTCACTACACGGGCCTGTTGTCTCACACCCTTGTGACGCTTGAAGTTGTATCCTGACTCACTCCCAGATTCGCCATACTTGGTGCAAAGCCCTGTCCCATACGCATAAATCATCAAGCATTGAGTATCAAATGAGGGCGTTCAATTTACGACTGTGTATTGATTCACGATCATCCAATAGCTGCCTCCCACTTTTTCTGCCAGGCCGTAAACTCATCTTCTTCTCCCTTCCAACTCAGCGCCGCTACACTGCCAGCGCCTCGAGCTTCCAAGATGCACCTATCCAGCCTAGACTTGGCTTGCTTCTCATCTAGATCGTAGAAAGAGCCTGCGAGCTCATCGATCAGATCTGGGATGGCCGTCAAGTGTATGAGTAATTCGTCTAAGCGGCCCGCGGTGTGATGCGCATTAACGGAAACGAAGGTCTTCAGCCGTCGTTTGATGACCGCCGTGTACAGCAGAACTACCTTCTTCAGTCTGCCCTCCGCATCTTGGACAAGTTCGCGCAATTCTGGCCGGTCCTTAGGCATGCTGTTTGCCGCATTGAAGATGTCCTCGATGCTGTCGTTGTCGCCATCAACGCCTTCATCATCACTGTCCAGTAGCACGTCTCCACGTCCTTCAGAGTCTAAATCCTCGCCCTCGCGCCATTCCTGTAATTCCGCAATCGCATCTTTGATGGTATCCCGATACTGTTCCGCCTTCTTCACAGCCAGACCAGCGATTCCCAGCCTCTCCAATTCGATAAGCGCATCACACGCTTCCCACACAACGCCTGTCGCACTCAGACTGCTCCTTCCGCCGGCCACCGAGCCGTGGCCGTCCGCAATAGACTGAACCTCTGCAAGCAGCCCCTCAACTTCTCGAAATGCTCGCTTCACTCGAGTTCGGATCTCTGTGCCCATGGTCGCGCCCCACGTATCCTTCTCCTGCTGGCAGATCTGTACTGCACTCATCATTGCTGGCAGACAGGTCCCACTGAGTTCACGGAGGACTTTCGTTATTGCAGAAGGCGTGAATGGCTTGTTGGTAGCGAGGAGCGCAATCTTAGTGACATGGGCTTTGAGTAGCTTTGCAGAGTCTCGAGCAACATGAAGGGCGTTAGGCGGGGAGGGTATCGTTTGCGTGATCGTTGTTTCCGAAGATGTGGTGAGTTGTGATAGTAATGCCTGCGCTGAGGCTATGGTTCGACCAAGTGCTGCCGTATCTTCTTGCTTTGAGCCGGCCATCTCAGGTGATGAAGTTGGGCGATACTCTAAATATCAAAGAAGGCGGACAAGGTTCGCAAATTCGCTGGACGAGTTGGCTTGAAATCAATTTCCAAAATGACGACCTGACGCATTCGTTTAAAATAAATTTCCACCCCGCAACGAAGTCTGTGACCCTGCAACAAATTCGCCCGCTCGACGCGCGACGTCACCTTCGATCCACAGATTTCTTCGAGTACGCGTCGAATGATTCAGGTCCTGCGAACTCACGCGACTTGCCATGGCCCGACCAAAGACGACATCAGCCTCAGCCTCAGCTCCAGCCAAAAAGTTATCTGTCAATGTAGCAACTAAGACGCTCGTGCTGGACAATGGATCTCATACTATTAAAGCCGGATTCTCCGCACCAGGAGTAGAGCCTGATCTCAAAGACTGCCATGTGATTCCGAATTGCATCGCGCGATCTCAGCGCGACAAGAGAACCTATATTGCGGCTGAATTAGATGAATGCATCGACTTTGGCGAACTTCAGATTCGCAGACCTGTGGAGCGCGGCTATATCGTGAATTGGGAGGGCGAAAAGGCAATCTGGGACCGCACCATTTTGGACAGTCAAAGTCCTGTTCATTGCGATCCGTCAGAATGCAATTTACTACTCACGGAAGCACCAAATGCGCCGAGTGCAGTGCAAAGGAATTCCGACGAAATGGTCTTCGAGGAATATGAATTTGCAAGTCTGTACAGGACGACTGCGCCTATGCTTAATGCCTATACGCAGTCACCCTTTGCGTCGACCAGTCTATTGCCAGCAGGCAGTTCGCAAGAATGTCTCTTGGTCGTAGATATAGGCCACTCTCACACCACCGTCACGCCGCTCTATCAAGGGCATCCGTTACACCCCGCATGCCGCAGATTGGAGATTGGCGGGAGGCTACTGACGAATTTACTCAAGGAAAGACTTAGCCGCACGATGGACATGCAACGGGAGGAATGGATTGTCCAAGAAATGAAAGAAGATACATGCTACGTTGCCGCAGATCTTGGTGATTTCAGTGACAGACTAGAGCGTGCCTGGAAAGGCGGCCAGAAGGACCCTCGAGAAGTCGATGCGAGCGTACTGGTTGACTATGTTCTGCCCGACTATGAGCAGCTGAAGCGAGGCTATGCGAAGCCTTATGATGTGAACAAGACAGCACGCATGCGCCTCGGTATCGGTGGCGCTGCCGAGCCAGCCATCACTGTGGGCAATGAACGCTTTACAGTTCCCGAATTGCTCTTTGCGCCCAGCGATATTGGCATGCAGCAGGATGGAATTCCAGGAGTCATACTGCAGAGCCTAGATGCTCTTCCGAAAGGCCTATGGCAGCCGCTATTGGCCAGCATCCTCGTCGTGGGAGGAACCAGCAAGATGCCTGGACTAGTCGAGCGCCTAGAGCGTGAGCTTCGTAACAAGATCGATGATTCGTATTCTGTTCGAGTTGTGCGAGCGGAAGACCCTACCAAAAATGTTTGGCTCGGCGGCGCACGTCTTGCGCAGGACTCTGAGTTGCTACGATCCCTGTCCGTCACACGTGCGGAATATATTGAGCACGGAGAGCTCTGGACCAGACGCAAGTTCGCGGGGAAAGTCCACAGATGAGAAAGGGAGAAAGCCTCGGGTCCCGGAATTGGCTCATGATGTGGTCTGCTCAACGGCGTCGGGCTTGGCTGTCACCTCAGCGGCAAGTGATCCGAAGCGTTTCTGATTCTCGGCGTGGCCTATGCAAAGTGCTTTCAGGAGACGAATGCCTTCGTGCTTGATTTGTTCCATAGGGTGTCGACAGAGAACTCTCAAGGCGGGCTCTGCACGATCGTCGCTTCCGATGATGTCTTTGCCATCCATCGACGAGCGCGTCAGATGGATGAGAAGGCCTGCAGATGAGAACAAGAGATCTGAGGTCTTGCCGGGGACAGCCGGCAGAAGTATTGCTGCGAATACTGCGCGATGAAGCGCTCGCTGCTCAACGAGGAACCCATGCTCCGTGGACTTTGTAGTCCAGAGCACATTGCCGATCATCTGACAAGCTGCATTGAGCATGACTCTCCTCGGCCTGTAGTTGCTTTGGTCGATCGCTTGGTCATCTGGTCGCTCGGCAGAAGAGATGCAAGACAGAAGCTTCTCGATGAAAGCATCGTGGATTGCGTATACCGTTGCAAATTCCGGCAGAGCAGCCATGTCGGATAGGCACCAAGTGATGCTGGAACACAACGGCACGATGATCTTCATATCCTCAGCTGACTCACTCCCTTCGCTATCAAGCTTGGAGGCAAAGGAATCGAGCATTGCCAACATGTTCCATACACGCTCTACGTGCTTCTCCAGGACTGCCTGAGGTTGAACAGTCTTATCTTGAAGGTACACCAGCGCGATCTCTACTGACGACGCCGCCGCGTCTACATCGCTTGTCGGAATGGAGTGAAGCGGCAAAGCGAGAATCGTTTCCAGCTGCTTGCTTGAGAGAGGTTTATCTAGTGTCTGTTCTAATTGAGACTTTTGACCTGTGATCAAAAACAATACATCGACAATCGTGTCGTTCAGTGTTTCGACATTGCCCTCTGGGGTAACTTGGCAGTTTTCCAAAAAGTCAAAATGCAACCGCTCTCGATAGCATTGTTGCTGAGCAGACTCAAATTCGTTACAGATGTTAAAAACGACCTGAGCCGCTAACGTGCGGGCCTCCGTCTTGCTTGAGCGAAGGCATTTCGCGGCCCAAGAAAAGCCCAATTTCGTAATATTGCTCCGAGCTTCGTCGTTGTCGGCGCACGCGTTTGCAACGCAACGTAGTGCTGCGTCTATGATCTTCAAGTCTTGATCGATTTCGACGTCGAGGTCGAACGTCCTCACAAACGCTTTAAGTATGCTTGCGTCTGCCAACGTAACTCTCAATGCTGCATCTTCTTTGCTACGTCTGGCCAGGAGTTTCATCGAACGCTCACGGTCCTCATATGTGGGGTCTTTTTGCTTGATGCAAGCGATAGCCTGACCAACTTCGTTATCGCCCATACTGTCCTCTACAAGGAACTTCTCGATGCCTTTTTATTGTGTGCAAGTAGATGTTGTGCTCCACCCTCACCTGCAAGCCTTGAGATCTACGATCACGTGGCGCTGATGACTAATCCCCCGAATTCGTGGACCCTGAACACTCCAAATCTACGAATTGCGACGTCGCGTCAACCCCGTTTCGCGTCAACTGTGCGAGAAAAAAGCATCCGTGAAAGCAGCGTAACAAGCGACCATATATTTCCTTTCGTCACTCCTTCAAGATCAATCTCATCCAAGATGACGCGCGCAACGCAGACCATTTCCCTGGCCCTTCTGGTCTCATCTGTACGCAAATTGCCAGTTGAAAGATGTCCCAGCGGAAGACCTCTAAACTTACATATTCCTACCTCCCTCTAGGTCTACCTTGTCTGCTTTCTCGGCCACATTTCCTTCCCTGCTGTGGTGCAGGAACAGGTTATCCCGGTGGTATGTCAACATGATCAATTTGATTAGGGAACTATGTTAATTCTCGTGCGAAGCTTCCGTTCTGGGCACTGGTGTCATTTGGCGCATTCCTCCTATTCAAGCTCGGCTATGGCGTGCTCACATTCAACGATGTCCCGGAGGCACACAACGAACTTATGAAAGAGATTGAGCTGGCGCGGAAAGAGTTGAAGGCTAAGGGTGTCTCGGTGGATTGAAAGAGCGATGTGGATTGGGACGTGTCACAGGTGCTGCGCTGCAAACGTGCTAGACGATGAATAATTACAAGCACTCCATATGTTCTCCTACGCGGGACGGTGCTGCCAGAGGGCACCGACTCGCAAAGCCATGCATCGCCAGCCTTCCACTTTACCTCCTGTCTACTTCTTCGTGTCCATCCGCCTTGCCCTGACCCACTCAGGTCGATCGACCTCGCAAATGGGACAATCATCGTGCTCCTGCAACGTGGGTGGTGAGGGACGAGGAGGTTCAATCAGGTTTGCCGCTGCTGAGCTATTCATGGCCAGGAACGCGGATAAATTCTGCAACCTAAGTGAGAACTCTGGGCTTTGTGACGGAGGATGCTGCTCAAGCCTATGTAGGTTGCTTGAGGATGAAGGATTAGTTACTGGATGCCTCCCACCAAGCTTGGATTTGGTGATCACGAATGAGTCCCGAACGTTCATGAGAGACTGGTTCAGCGTGCCCGCCATTTCCTGCATGTGCCTGCGGTCGCGTGCGAGGTCCACAGAATTCCGATGAGACTGAAAGTGAGTCTCCTCAGCTGCTAGATTGGAGAACTGCCTTGAAGTTGCTGGTAAAGCTGGGCAGCTGGTTCTTGGAGGCCACATACTCGGTCGGTCGAGTGTACTGACACCGGGGTTTGTGTTTGTCTCTTCATACAAAGAATCTGCCCCTGGCTTGAGTTCAGGTATCAACAAATCGATTTCGTCGTCATCTTCCTCATCTTCGAGATCAGCATCTTCCATCTCAGGAGTGCCTGACCCCAGGGCTCTTAGAGCATCTCTTTCTGCAACTGTCAGCTCCTCCTCGGCGGCTGATGATCGCTGAGTCGAGTGTCTACATGATGACTGTCCGCTGTGGCGTTCGGTATTGGGCGGAGGAGAGGGAACTTCCAGGTCTTCGCTCGGTGAACGTGATCTTGCTTGGATGAATGGTTGCGCCCGCGGGTGAAAGCGCGCTGTACTCTGTTCATCTGCGTCCTGCGCCTTTTCTATTTCCCAAGACCAAGCAGTCAGCTTCGTCTTCACCCTTTCGAGTAACGGACTCGGTGGGACATCAACCGGAAGATCCTCGCATTGAGCGATTGAACGCATAGGTTTGTTCATATGAGGAACCGGTCCTTTCTCCTTAGAAACCTCTCCTGCTGCGCCACTTGTACTGATGACTTTCTGGTTTTTGCCATGACTTGCCTGTGGTGCACGATTGCTCTCTTGTAGCGAAGAGGAGCCTTGGGCCCGTATGTCCTGCTCGGAGCTTTTGAGCGGTCGTTGGCTCTGGTCCTGCTGACCGTATATTCCAGGATCATCGTGCCGCCTTCTGTCTTTCTCAGTCAAAATGCTCCTATCATGCCTAGATGCCGATGGCTGACTCTCAGTGCCGACAGTCCCCAGCCGAGTAGAGGATAGTGACCACAGCGAAGAATCACTAGTGGTACCGCCAGGAGTGAAGCGCGTGCTATCTGAGATGCTTTCTTCGTTGACAGGGTAATCTGCATTTCCGGCCAGTGACTCGAATCTGAATGGCACCTCGATCAGGTTCTTGTGCAAAGAATGGTTCACAAGTTTCGAGCTCGGGGTTCTTTTCGCGTCCGCGTCGTCCTACGACGAGGTGGAAAAAAGTTCACCCTCAGAATCCGAGTTGTCTTCGGAGGATTGTTCAACTGTGTACCATTTCTTCGTTTTGATCGAAGACTGCACTTGCTCGGTCGACGGTGGGCTTGTAGAGGCGCGCCGTAGAGTTGTATCACTAGCCATGCTATCTTCTGCGAAATGTGCACGAACTGGTCCCCTCCTTCGACCGTGGCCATCAGCAATTGCAGAGCGTGTAGGTACTGATGTGTCATCGAGACCTCCATCTCCGACCACGGTGATGGTGGGCATGGACGTCGATCTTCGCTCTGGTAGCCTCGACCTCTCGTTCGTATTTAGACTTTCATCTCGAACTTGTTGTGAGCCGTAAGTGCAGCTGTCGCAGAGCCAAGCACCATGTTGCGGCAACGTGACTCCGTCATCCTGAGCAGGCCATGCAATTCTGAAGTCTGGCCAGGGCGATAGAGCACGCATATCACATGTTGGAGATGGACATGGCAGAGCATGTGCTGAATTTGTGGCATTGCTGTCTTCTGATCGGTATATCTGTAGCAGATGACTTCGAAGGCTTGGCCCATCCCGACCAAGGTCCGGCAGGATGCAGTTCTCTTCTGTCTGGTTACCTATGGGCGGCCTTCGCATCGCCGAATTTGTAGGTTGAGTATTTAGATGATCAAAGGTCTCCTCATCAACGCTCGATTGAGAATAGGAAGGTGCTGCAGGGTGATCGGGTTCGAAAAAGGTTCTCATGCGCGACATGCGCTGTGCGTTCGGGCGATCCACCACAGGGATAGTTTGCAAGTCGCAGGGCATTGAAGCTCACGGTGCTCAGGTAAGTTTGAAGATGCTTCGTTTTCACTAGGAAAATGAGTAATGTTGTGTACACGTAGGTGCTTCTGACGCTCCACTTCGATCCGCAATAATCCTTAGGAAGTCAGCAGTCTTTCGACACTCTGGGAAGGAAGCGGTGTTCCAAATATATAACTCTCAGTTGACACCGTAGATCCGCACAACACTCAGGTAAGGAGCGCGGCCATCTTGCCGCATGTATGGCGTGGAAGCACCTCGCAATAACAACGATGCCGTCGTAGCTGGGCTCATCCGGCACTGGCCCGGACGTAACTGCCAGTCACGAACTATTCATCGAGTGAAAGATATTTTGGTCACACGTGAAAGATTGCCATAGCTTCATCAACCACCACTCGGATGACCATGGGTTCACAACACGCCAACTCACATCATCGACGTCCTCATCAACTGCATTCTTGAGTCGGTGATCATCAATGGCTCCGAAGAGGTTTGGTGGCAAGGTTTTGGTCGCGGCTACTCACACATATGCTAAGGCAGTGCGGACAACAACGTCCAATGGAAAGGTCGGGTCCCATGGCACTTCAGTTCCGACACATCGACTTCCTCTTTGTCAAGTATCAGCCAAGATGCAAGAGCTCGGGACGAAGGGCTTCCAACAATATTCAGATGACTAATCCGAGGACGTTGTCTCTGATGAGTAAGCTTCTGTCGATCTCAGCATTGGGGCGTACATGTACCATTTCGACCGGATCCTGTAAACTTCGCGTTTGTCAAACGTAATTTTCAAGTTTTGGTCATAAAGGAAGGTAATAAATGCCTGGATCTGTCCAAAGAGCGTATGCCCAATGCAGTCAATGCGAAAGCTTCATGTTGCACGACTTGTCGGATTCGGGTGGACCATATCTACGACAGCCTTGCTTGAACTCACAGCTCAAGGCTGGGCGCCAAGTGGCCAGAGTACAAAATATGACGCATAAGGCAGGCAAGCATTCATGTAACTATAAAGCACTTGAGCATCATGGCAGAGTCACAAAAGATTGGCAATCCAAATGAACATGCAGCTCTAATTTCGCTCTACGAAGCGTTCTCGAAGTGACACCTGTATCAAAGAGACGCCATCATCAGCGCCAATGCTAGTGTTTTCTGAAATCAACTTGACAAGCCTGGCACGTGGGGGGATCAAAAATAAGGGCGAAGTTTTGGCACGTAGATCACAGCAAGATTTGCCCTTATTTTTTGTCGGAGGTGATTTCTAGTTCTGGGTTCTCAGATTTGGCTCCGCACAACACTCCGATGCGGCAACGCTTGGAACGGGCCTGTGCCGTAGCTGGCTGGTGTCATGTATACCAGGACTAAGATGCGTCGGCTTCTTCCCAACCAAACGATACTTGCATACGATCTAATGCAAATGGCTCCCCAATTCCTGTGATGGCGCTTGGGTGCCGGCTCTACATTCGCCCATGATTATCACAGTGACACAAATCTTCACTGCGACATATATTTTTTGAGGGATCATATACCGTGCGTAGTATCCACAGCAACAGTTAGCAGTAAGATGTTATCGTAACATCAGGCACACTCGGTCCCTCGCATCGATACGCTGGCACGCCGATCTGGTGAACAAGATAATTCGAATACGCCTCTTCCGAGTAGACGGGCTTGTAGCACAGTGGTAGCGCGCTCGCTTTGCATGTTCTGATGTATGCGAGAGGTCTAGGGTTCGATCCCCTACTGGTCCAATTCTTTTTCGCTCTCTGATTGTCTGCTCAGTGCTGTATGTATGTCACAATATATCTTGTGGTAATTGATATCACTGGGGACGAGAGCGGCGGGACGACGCGGTAGCTGGCGCTTGAACATGGCTTGGCACGACACCAGACGGAAACATCATTAGCAGAAGTTGCGACAGCGAGTACAGGCTGTACAGGCGAAGCGGCCTGCAAAACGAGCGCGTTCGTGACGGTTCGCGGCGTGATCTTCCGAAAAGGTGAAGCAATCGCGTTGACTTCTGCGTTAGCTTTCTTGCGAAACGCTTTTAGTTCGTTCTCCGTCGCGCCGTTCTTCTTCATGGCAGCGGCGGGTCGCTGCACCCGCTTCTTGTACAAGCTTCGGTGAGTCAACGCGACGGTTTGTTATGCTAGAGTATAGTTCGCCTCGACTGCCTTGTGACGGAATCTTGCCATAATCTTGGCCTGTATTAGCGGTGAGTGCGTCTTGGGTATGTGCAATTCTTGTGTATCCGAGGGTTTGTAGTTCATGGGCAGGAGTGACGGCGGAGTGGCCCAAGGAGCCACCGCCCAGTATGGTGTTCATTTGAGATCTGCCGGCACGTATGCCTTGAGCCAACCCATCAGCAGGCTTCCGAAAATGAATGAGCATGCTCGCATGAAGGTGATGTGATGTACCCAATGGAGCCGCTCTTTCACGAGCCCATTCCGAGTTTGAGGACCATTATGATGCGGTTTCGCCCAGGTTCGTCAATCACTTGATACAAATGGAATTTGACCCTTGCTCAGAATATTCGCACGGTTTGTGAGACGATTGTGGTTGGTTGCCACCATCTTACCGTGTATCCATTTTCACAAAGCACGACTGCTGTTAAACAACGGAGTATGAGTGGGACAACTACCAATGTAAGCAAACATCACAATGTAATGTCCGCGAATTGTTGTTCGTTGGTGGTTAGACTTCACGCAAATTTTGTTGGAAGAATTCAATATCGAGAGTCCATATCCTCGAGATCTTGCGTCTCCTCTTCCTCGCTTTCTTCATCCTCGCTCTTGGCGGGCTTGAGATGCGCGACTCTCTCATTCTCGTCATCAACATCATCCTCGTGACCATCTCCGTGGTCATCATCGTCACTGCTCCCATCTTGGTCGACAACAAACCTCTGCACAGTGCGATCCTCCACAAATAGTCCCTTTCCCATACTCTTCGATCGCCGCGTGCCCCAATCACTCCCCTGAATAGCAATGCCACCCTCGAGGCTATGAGCGGCCGCCATATGCCCGCCCCCACCAATCATTCTCAACTGCTCCGGCGTCAAATCCACAATCTCCGGCGCAAACTCTCCAATTTCATCATCCTCGTCATATGCTGTCGTTGTCGCGCGGACCTGTTCGCCGTCCTCAAACTCGAGCATTCCCGATCGCGCGAAGTTTCCACCGAACTGCCAGCCGTGTTGCTCGCGAAGGTAATCTTCCAGGTCGTCGAGCTCGTCAATCACATCGCTTGCATTTCCTCCAGTCATTGTTGAGCGTTCAAGTCCGCGCCGAAAGCGTATAAGGAGCGAGCCTAGAAGTGACCCGCCTTCGTCCGCGAGATCAATCAACCCACCCTCAGCATCCTTACAATGCTGTAGTTGTAGTCGAAGGGCGGCAATCGCTCGAATAAAGAAATCCGGCTGCTGGGCGACGGCTGTGGTCGAGGTGAAGATGAGTTCAAGAAGTCGCTTCCATTGCTCCAAGCAAGAGAAATTGTTTAGTGTTAGCAGCATGAGAAAGCAAAATTGTAGCTCGCCAATAATTTCGTCGAGATCCGGGGTGAGATTGAGCAAGGCCCATGAGCGGTCCTGGGCGGCTTCGGATCGCTCACGGCCGGTCGCGCCGGGACGCCAGGTTTGTTTGAGGTTGATGGCGAGGAAATGTAGGATCTGGTCGCGTTGATATTCGGCAGAGATTTCTGAAACACTGAATCCGGGGATCGCTTCAATGTCCTGGACAGCCGAGCTCCCGGAGCTTAGATTCCATCTCGAGCTGCCGATTATCCTATTCATAAGTCCGGGTGTGATACAAGATGTCAACGTCATCCAGTTCTCAACTTCGCCATTCTCTGATGTTGCGCTTGATTGTCGATACGGCGTGAGAGCCTCGCGCCAGAACTCTCCCAAATTTGCTCGCCAACGCAGATTCTCGGTTGCATCGGTATCGGCGAGCAGATTCTCATTGTTGTCGTCCCATCTTGCGATTACTAAAGGTTGCTGACTGTCGTCGGATTTGACGCTGGTGATGTTGAACCACAGCCCGTGGCGTTCGGAAAACACTGCGTTTGCACCCGTGTACGTGAAGTGTAGGCCTGACGGAACTCCCTTGACGCCTCGAAATCGAGGTGTAGTTGTGAACGATAGAAGATCGATGCCGACTAATGCAGCAGGCGTCAGATCGAGCAGCAATAGTACGGGACTGTTGGCGGATTCCATTCCTTGCGCCGCAACGTCAAATTTTTGCACCACTTAATTCCAAGATTTTGTAAATGCATGCGATATATGTTTTGACGAATACCCGACGTCAACCGAGTTTTTGGTCGTTGGTCTCACGCGAAGAATCTTTGTTTGACTCGCGCGAGTGATTTCCACAAAGAATATAATGTGGATAGTTTTCATCAAATCTGTGGAGGGTTCTATTAGAAAGTGGGTTTGTCCATCGCCATCTATCGTACATCACGCGAAGGTGTGCGAAAGCATCAGTTTCATCTTCTTTACCTTGTTGATCAACACGGCGACCTTTACGAATGGTCCAACCCGATGACTAATCTGATTTTCGTTCACTCCGATGACCAACACAACCTTGGAATGTTGCAATTTCTAACAGCGACGAAATTGCCACAGATACGCCAGCTTCTGGGATACGTCCGCCTAAAGCTTCTCGCTAAAAATAATCGTTTCACTGTTCTTTAACGCATGTGAAAGAGCGGATATGACAACATCTTCTCGGTGCCTCCAGCAAGTTCATCCCATGTAGGAGCAGAAATTCAGTTCCACTGCGGGCTCACTTGTACAGATGATCATGAGGAAGGTGACTCGCTATCGTACGAGATCGAGCTCTTGCTTGGTAGACCTATACGTGTACACAAAGATGATAGATGCGAGCTGCCAACCATTCCATAACAATTAGAACCCGTCCGACGAGCTCTAAACTGCTTTTGATTTGAAAGTGGTCCACGGCGGGCGAGTCTCATGCTGAGGTGCCGCCCCTTCAAAATTTCAGTAATAGAGTAAGATCAAAATGACTTTGTGGTTCTCCATTGTTTCTAGCCAGTCATGTCGTCCGCTCGGCTGCTTGCTGTGTGCAGCACCTTTAAACGCCATGACCGTCCACCTAAAAGGTCATGTGTGCTGTACGTCACGTTTCGTCAATCTTGGTATGACGACAAAACCCCGTTATAACACAATAATAAAAGGCATTGGCTAGGTATGTAGTCAAATCGGACGGAACGGGTTGCAACTCCGATGACTAATCCAATATCTTCGATCGTTGATGACTAATACAATGATTTGCACGCTTTTCCAAGGAGAGTAGAGGGGAACGTCGATCCGGTTTGAATGAATAGTTACAGTGCTGGTTCAACCGGTTTCCTGTATATCTAGGCTGTATGAGTATGCATTGTGTGAAATACTTGACGCGACATAGAAGTGCTGTCACGTGCTTGCGTTGCGGGTGCCTTCCCCTTCGGGCTGTCTGCCGTAATACTTCGAGGATCATCATCCACAAACCACAGCTCACTGGCATTGAATCGCCCTTACACCTATCGCACAACGCACGCACATCAGCCATGCGTCCTGCACAGCTCGCCACGAAGGCCGTTCATCTTGCGGCCTCATCGAATGGCCAGCAGGTTGTATGTCGCTCATGCATGAGCCGACAATTCCATACATCCAACCGACGGGATGTCGATCCGAATTCGTTCTTCGGCGGTCTCCAGGAACGGATATTCGGATCAAAGAAACCAAAGAAAAAGGTGCAAGTACAAGATGTCGCGGAAAAGCAGGAGGCTACCATCAAACCCTATCGTTTCGGGACCGTTCTAGGACTGGACAAGAAGAAATATAAAGTCGCCGCGTCTCCCATCAGGGTTTCCAAAACCCCAACGTATGAAGCGGCGAAGACTGCGGATGGCTTGCCGCGAGTGGGAAGCGATGCATGGGCGAAGCGGCAAGGTCTGCAGAAAACCGTATACACTGGGTGAGTCTAGTGTGAAGTGAGCACGACGTTCACGACGTTCAGAGTGCTGAGATTTTGTCCAGGTTCAAGCGACGTGCAAAGAGGACGTTTCATCCGATTATCCACCAGAAGGCTTTATTGTATCACATAGCGGTCGAAGTATTGGCGCTACACCAGCAAGGGCGTGATTTGTCGAATGTATGCTTTGGGCGCAAGGCTGCGTGGAGCTCCTACGACGATGTGCGCTTATGTGAGAAGGACGGAAAACTCGCCCTCGAATCTCTCGAGGAAGGAGCAGATCTCGCCATCACTGCGACTATACCATCAAAGTTCCAGGAGGTGTCTCCAGAGACCGCCGATGAAATTTGCGACAGAATGTCGGAGAAGATAGACTTTCCTGAATGGGATGGAGCAACGGATTACAAACGCTTCGAGCGCTTGCCGTTCCCATCACGGGATGTCAAGCTTGCAGTAAGCGTTCACTGTCATTGATGATGATGAGCTTGCCCTGTTTACTAAGGCTTCTACAGATTCTCAAGCGTATTATGCAAGTTTCCGGTCAATCGATCCCGGACCGAATAATGAGTACAACCAACTCGCTGAACGATCTAGTCGACGCCCTCAGCAAAAAGGATCCTCCCGCGCGACTCTTCGATGCACCACAGATCCAACGCGGCGCAAGTCTCCCCAACGTGACCGTCTTTTCAAGAAGACGCACCAAGAGGAATGCGGAGGAAGCAATTGGTCGCGGCAAACTGATCGAGCAGGCGCTCGGTGAGCAGGGCCTGCTTGACGCTAAACTGGCCAGGATGGCACAGAAGAAGGAGAAATATGAGCAATTCCTGGAGCGAGCCCAGCGGAAAAAGGAGACCTGGCTGAACGCCACAGAGAAGGAGAGGCGAGCGATCAAGGCAGAAAAGGAGAGCGGATTGCGTTTGGTCAGCGCTCGACCGGGCGAGGCTCGTACTCGTGGCGTGGAGAAAGCTTTGCAATAGGCCGCTGCTGAGCGTGGCACGTATGAAAGCAGCGCAGAAACAAGCGAGTTTGCAAGACTATGAAGGAAATCTGTCGATGAATGCTTGCATCAAGTGGTGCATTCGAGAGCTTTGTCGCCGGTCTTGCAATTGTACAAAACAAACCCACATTCCATGTGTGTACATAAATATTTCTTCGCCATCAAGACGATTTCGATTTTTCCCCTGTTCAAGAGCTCTTCCATTTCCGGCTTCACTTGCTTTCGCGCCTATCCAGTCACGCATACCCTGCTACCTCCCTCCTACAATCACCCTCACAATTTCAACGGATACTCCACACTCTCGATCGTCTCCGGAAACTCTACCCCATGCTGCCTCCTCACCTCATCCATGACCCGCATAATCACCAAACTCTCCTGCAAACTCTCAAACCTGCCCTCCTTCCTCCCATCCCTCAACGCATAAGCACACTCGTCCGCCTCCCAGAACATCCCATGCCCCTCCCCCTCGGCATTAAAGTCCCCGCCGAAGCCATTCTTCCACCCGCTCCCCCGCCCCGGCCCGGGCTGGAACCACTCGCGGTCCTCGACCGTCCCGTCTGCGAGAACAAGTCGTGTCTTCGTCGGCCGCGATGCCGGCGGGAAGATCTGGATCTCCCCGCGAGAACCCTGCACGCGAATCGTCGGGCCTGCGCTGCCCTTCCCGTCGGGATCCCCCGAGACGAGGAAACTGGTGGTGGCGATGCCGTGAGCAGGTCGGGCGGGCGGTGGCCGTGGGAAGGTCAAGAGGATGGTAGTATGCTCGTCGGTGCCCAAGTGATATTTCTCCACGGCGCTGATGACGGTGGGAGATTGTGGGTCGGACTCGGTTGTGTAGAGGGTTTGGAAGACCCAGGTGAGAGCATAGATGCCGAGATCGAGGAGGGCGCCACCGGCGAGGGACGGGTTTACCATTCGGTGGGTGTCTGGGAAGGTCTTCTCGGGTGGGATGCTGTAGCTGAGATCGGCGGCGGTGCGGTATACGGTGCCGATGCGGCCGGAGGTTATGACTTCGCGGACGTAGACGGAGAGTGGAAAGTAGCGGGTCCAAACCTGGATGTGGTCAGTAACGTCGCTTGACGGGGATGGTTCTAGAATGATGTGAGCTTACAGCTTCCATAAGAAAGAGATTCTTCTCCTTAGCCTTCTTGATCAACAATTCCGTCTGCTTCGCATTCGTCGTGAATGCTTTCTCACAGAGGACATTCTTCCCCGCCTCGAGACACAACATGGCATTCTGGAAATGATGGCTGTGAGGCGTGGCGACATAGATGATGTCGACGTTGGAGTCTTGGACGAGTTGCTCGTACGATCCATAGGCCTTCGCCGAGTCGGGGGCCCGGACTTCCTTGAGAAACGCTCTCGCCCGTTCGACGGACGAGGAGGATGCTGCTGCCACAACGACGTGCTCGATGTCGTCGACTCCGCGTGTCTCCGGGTTGGGCCAGAGATCGCGAGCAAATGTCTCAGCGATGCCGCCGGTGGCGAGGATGCCCCATTTGAGCTGGAACTTAGACATTTTCGCGGAAGAACTGGTTGTCTTGCAATTTACTCAGTTTTCTAAGCGACTCTCAAGTCGTATGTGGTGGCTGAACGATCACGCAAGCGTTGTCGGTGAGAAGATTGCCCTTTCCAGTAGACCGGTAAGTCACAAACGAATGCTTGCTTCTATTCGGAACTGTATTTACAGTTGGTCTTGTCGTCGACTAGCTGAAGAACTTCGCTGTCGTGTTACACAATATGTATACCTACGTACTGAGTACAATGATGTCAGGTGGGGGGCTGAATGCCGATGGTGGAAATCGGTGCTTCACAAGGACCCATCGAACAAATATTCACGACGAAACTTCGGCCGCAATCACAAAAAGGTGAAACCTAGGTGTTCGACTCGAGGAGTACCATTGGACTGCTGTAAATTCGATTGAGTTGGAGATGTAATGCTCGAAATAATTGTCAAATACCGTGTCCTCGGCTGTTTCGCCCATTGGCTTTCCCATTCGCAAATACAAAAGATAGTAGAGACATTCTCATTTTCAAGCCGAAAGGTACGACAATAGAGAGGGCCATCTTGGCCAAAATTCAAAGGGATAAACAAAGAACCTCACCAACACCGACGCTTGTGACGAAGAGAAAAGATCGCTTTGAGAAAACGGCCCAAAAAGACAGCACGCTGATAAAATCAAAACAGGAACCAACCCTCCCCACCTTCTCAATTCCGAAAATTTCCACAATCATGAAAGGAAATGATTCATATGGCCCGGCACCTGCAGACGACATTTTTCACAGTCGGCTCGGAAACCCATGCTGAAACCACGTTTACTAGTCGTGCTGCTTGGGCCCGCTCGTGCTGGAGAGTCCGCTCCGCTCAGGGCGCCACTACGTTGCCGTTGCTTGCGCACAATCAACTCGTGAGGGCTGTGGTCCATCGGCTCAAAGTCAATGGCCGACTCAAAGTCATCGGTCATTTCATCGGCATGTTGAGGTGACGCGGCGGCGTCATCATAGTCATGTGTGCTGCGAACACTGGCGACGGAGATGCTGGGTAGACTCTCATCGGCATCCATGTCGACGTCGGTGACGGAAAGCATGGATAGCTGTGATTCGGCAGTCTCGGCAGGACAAGGAGGAGGTGTCGGGACATCATTCTCATCTATGGGCGAGGGGACATCGAGAAAGTCATGCGTGGAAGCGTTGACGTACTCCCTCGGCTGATGGCGTTGGCGAAAATGTTGCTTGGCGCCGGTGACAAATTGTCGAGGACGAGCAGGAGACGGCGGAGGGATGATCATGGGAGTCGCGATACGTCGCATTCGTTGCTGCTGTTGCTGTTGCTTAGCCGAGCTTGGTTCTGGGGGCGATTCATCAAAGTCACCAACCATGGCTTCGTCATCGGAGACCATGGAGAAGTCTTGCGGACTGCCAGGTTCGGAGACCAGCGAAGAAAGTTCATCATCGCTGTCATATTTGGCTTGTTCGCGAGTGTGTGAGATGGGAGTGCTCAAGACGGAGTCGTAATGACACCAGAAATCATCCGTGGTAGGATCGGTAGTAGGGCGAGATTTCTACAAGAAAAAGGCGATGTCAGCTGATGGTCATCATCATCACCGTGCCGGCTCATAGCGGCATGTTTCCATCTTACCTTTTCATCGCGACCGGTGAGCTGCGCGACATGTTCGGCATCGTCATCATCGCGCAGTCGTTTCCGACGATCCGGTGTGGTGGTCATTTTGTGTGCGTGTAATATGTGTAGTGGTGGTGGTGGTGATGATGGTGGTCGGGTTTAGCGATGAGATTATGTCCGCTTTCGGCAAGAACCTCGGGAGCAGCTCCAGAGGGAAGACGCAAGCAAGCGGGTAATGTACGAGGCAAGTACCGGACGGCACTGCAGACAGGAAATAATAGATATGTACACTGGCGAGGATAAGTAGGTAGAGTGCTGATGTATCGAGATATTTATTGTAGATGGAGTGTAGTCGGTCGTCCGGATTGCGGAGAAGGTAACAGAGCGACACGAACACTTTTTTTGGTTGGACCCTGTGGTTAATAAATCGAAAGCAAAAGCTCCATCATCGAGGACAATTGGGGGACTCGAAGCATATTTGTCTTCCTCTTTGTGGTCCGATTGCTGCAGACGGTGGAGATGTACTCCGTGAGCGGGCCGTGGTGCAGGCAATGGATCGACGTGGCCGGAGGAGAGACGGAGAGTGAGGAATGGGCGATAACGGTCTCAGTGGCGGTGGTGGAGGTGGTGATGAAATCAAAAAGAAGATGGTTGACCCGCGGGCGACGACGATGGCGATGGAGCAGCAGCGGTGCGGGTGGGCGATGATGATACACCCCGGGCCTGGCGCAGTGTCAGTACGGTATCGGTGGAAGGATGGAAGGAGGGAAGGAAGGAGGGGGTTGGCGGCGGGCGGACCAACGGCCAGCTTTCCCGTGTAAACTCGAACTCTCCAGGTCTCTCTCTCTCTGTTGCATATCTACTGTACCTAGGTAGGTACTCTCCCTAATAATAACTGTAGGATGTAGCTGACAGATCTGACAACATCTGCTGCATCGGGGATAATAACAATAATAATAACTGGTCCGAGGAGACGTTTCAGACCGAGTACGTACAGTGCATCTCCTAGCTCGGCCCTTCTTGTCATCGATCACCGTCTTTAACACCCAGGTAAGGTGTTGTTCAGAGGTATGCTACTACAATACCACAATGGGATTCATCACTCGTACAGTATTATTATGACCAACAATGGCTCAATCCTCCGCTACTATTATGATCACACACTGTCATCGGCTTCGGCAATCGACAAACGAAGGTTAACTCCGCTCAGTTACATAGGCCGCAATGTGGAGTCTATAGACGACTATACACTCTGTCTGCCTCCTACATGTTCTCCGTGGCATTGTCGGACACATGCACACTTGATGTTTGCCGAACTGCGGAGTATAGCTGGGAGAGGCTGAGAGGTCAATTCAGTTCCGAGATGCGGCTGGATCCCGTCACGTGCCCCATCGCCCAATGCTGGCAGCTGGAGGACAGCATCTCAACGCTGAGCAGCCGCGATCCTACCAGGAAAGTATTTGCAGGGAGCCTCCCCTCCCCTACGGAATATGCATATGGATTTACAGTTGAACAGTGTTGATCCGAGGTAGAACATCGGCTCCGTGATGAGTGGATCACCTACGTACAACGCGATGCGCGTTACGTACAGAAGTTCGAGTCACGGCTCGTGCCAGCCGAGCTCGACTGCGGCTCGGAGTAATTGAAGCTTCCGATGGTTCTCTGCTCAACGCGTGCCTGCACTTCGCGTGCCATAGTTCAATAACAATTGACAACAAATAATGCCGAAATGTGTCTGGAAACCCTTCAATATTGCTACATGTCATGAGAGGCATGTGTCAAAATGGAACATCACAGACGACAGGCATTTGTGTAGGTACATCCCAGATTGAACACATCGACAGGGCTAGTCTGCGATGAGTGAGATACATGTACTGCATGCGTTGTGATCGTATTATCTACGTGACAGACGGAGTATTACTCACACGTACGCCAGAGTGTAGACAGAGTTTTTGGACACAATGCTTTTCTGTGGCATTTCTAATATGTTCATTGGAAAAATGTCATCTCTACGTGGGCCATGGGCGACTTAATCTCGCTTCCATGAATTTGAGCAAGATCGGTGGCACCGCTTCGTCAGTGGCGCGAATCGTGAGGCGGTACATCTAGATTGAGCATCAAAGGTCAGCAAAATAGAACAGTGCGCAAGACAGACGACGATATCGCCAGGATCCAAACGGAAGAGGAAAGAGAGTGAAACGAACCTTGTTCTCCGAATTCGGCTCCAACCGCAATAGACATCCGAACTTGCCTCCCGCCGTATGCAATACCGTCGCGCCCACGAAATTCCTTGCGTTCGGGTCGACACCGTCTAGCACGCACCATCGGAAGCCCTGAAGCGCTCGGCGCGTATGTTCCGCCGAAATGTCGTGCGCGAGGAAGATCTTCTGAGCCTCGCGCGGCGCCCCGCCGATCTGTTTCCATCGCTTGAAAAAGTCGTCGGCCGCTAGCACAGCGTGCTCCATGTACTTGTGCAGCACCACCGGCAGCTTCAAAGTGAGCGCCTGCAGCGCGCCCGCTACGTACGAGATTCGGATTGTTGGCGGCTCGGTGAAAACACCGCGAGCTTCGAGCATGATCGTCTGCGACGTCTGTTCACCAGAACGTACCGTCGTCTCCGGGAGGCTTTTGTTGTCAATTTTGAGCTGCTCTGATGACGGATTATCCAGAGTGGTTGTGAAGGATTGTATAGGAGCAGAGGATTTGTTCGTGAAATAGAGGATGACGCAACCAGCCTCGGCACGATACTCAGACCGCAAGCCGATCTGCATTTGAGCATCCTCGTAAAGTATTCCCTCTGATCGGACCAACAGCCGATTGTAGCCTTCTTCCCAACCAGGGGAAAGATGTGAAGCACTAGCGAGGTTGGGCGCTCCGAGATCGAGTCCGGCGAGCTCTTCAATCGGTGTTCTCGCTCCACCGTTGATACCTCCCTTAGGGCCATTCGTTGATCCGTCTGGCGAGAGTGCGGTCAGTCCACCACCGTTGGTGAAATTGCGCTTGAGGGTTGCACTTCGATCTAGACCGGGAACGCCGTCTTTACCGACCACAGACCACGTCCGCTTGTCACCGTTGCCAGATCTCTTGTCCAGTCGTGAGAGTAGAGCCGACGTGCGTTCGGGAAAGGGCGGCATCTCGTCACAGACCGTCCGTAGCAGGTCATCGTTGGGCATCTGAATCATGGCCAAGTACTCACATGACCTCTGCTGTAATTCCGAGTCCAACGATCGACTGTATACTTGCAACGCGGCAACAAGCTGTTTCTTGATCTCGGGAAAGAGGTTAACGAATTTGATAAATGCGGAGAGAATCATGGCGCGAGTGTTTGGAGAGCATGACCCAAATTTCCCGTGAAGTGCCATGAACTGCTCGATGGGGCTACCACCAGGACTGTCCGCGATGAGATGTCCAAATTCGCCGAGAATGTAACTCCCAATCTTGACAAGCGTCTCATGACAATGATCTGCTTTGCAATATTGCAGGATGTTCTGCGCAGCATAGACTTGCAATTCGTCGTTGTTGGTGACGATCTGGATGATTCGCTGCCATACTTCATCGCTAACATGATCACCGGCCATGGCAATCAGGCGCATGGAAATATCGACATACCACTTCACATCCGTTGCATACTTTTCCGTCAAGATGGCAATCTTCAACACCATCTCTTCTCGAATCGCATAGTCGGCGGATTGCAGGTACTTGAGCAATTCGTGGACGATTGTCTGCGAATTCGAAGAATCACACATACTGTACAGCAGATCCAAGCCCTGCCGCCGTACTGTGATGTCTCGATCCCGGAGTGATCCGATGATGATGTCCTGATGCTTCTTGATCGGATCCAACGTCTCTGCGCGTACCGCCAGATGAGTCATCGCTTCCAGCCCAAGATATCTTACATTGGTCTCTCTAGAACCGATGAATTTGCCGAGCTTGGCTGAGATCTGTAATAAAAGAGCTCGTTCCGTGTCGAGGTGAATAATGAGGTTGATGGCTTCGAAGAGGACCGCGTTCTGCGCGTTATTCTGTTGCACGTTCTTCGGTGTCTCCATGGCATTGTCTAGAATCGCCTGCAATGACTCACGCATGAGCTGCCGGACATGCGTGTCCTCTGAAGGTGGAAAATATTGCATCAGTCGTATGAGTTTCACCTGCAGCCACGGACACGGCACTTTGTAGTACACATAGTCGCCAGAGTATTCCTGGTCCACGACGATTTTGCGTAATCTTTGTGCGGCTTTAACATAGCTCCCCTTGTATGCATCCGGGTCGTCCTGAGCCAACGCCATGACCAAGGATGTCACAGATAAAGCGACGCCCATGTCTGGATCATCCATGATAGCGATAATTCTTTCTCTCCACTCCGGTTGGACCACAGATGGGACCTTTCGATAAAGACGCAACAGCGTCAAAGCCGCCTTTTTCTTGACGAACGGTTTTGAGGTTGCCGAGATGAGAAGTCTGTGAACGTCGGCGCAAAGGGCCTCGCCCATTTCCTTGCCAGCGACATTGGCGATTGCATGTAGCGCAAGGCAGTTGTTGAGCTCATTCTGGTCAGCAAGGTCCTTCCGTATGCTGTTCACCACAAGATGTAGCAATTCGTGTTGTTCGTGAAGGAACAATGTAACCGCCAGATAACCGATCTGTTTCTCTGAGTATTTGGACGCCGAAATCAAATTCACCGCCTCCAAGTGCCCAAAATCGACGTTCCAGCCGAGGATGTAGATATACAGCAACTTGCACACGTACTTCTTCTTGTCGTAGCCAGACAAACTACCGCCTTTGAATTTTTGTCGAATGTTCGCCAGCTCTTTGTTGATGCGTTTCTCCTCCAATTCCCTTGCTCGTGCATTCCTCAGATCCGCAATGAACGAGACCAGTCCTCGCATAGTATTATCCTTGCCACCAGCCCCCATGCTCCCCATACCCCTGTTGAAAATAGCCGACGCTGCTGTTGCCGCCATCTTGAACGCGCCTCAAAAGGCTCGTTCACAAGGAACGGCCACTGCTGGTGTATGCCGGCGATAACACAGGTTCTATTGCGGGATGAATTTCTTCCAGAGTTGAACGATTGCGAGCAGAATATCCGAGAAGTCGAAATGTGTGAAAGCGTAGGACAATGTCAAGCTCGGGACCTTGTCTGGAATTTGTCCCAAGTTTCCTATGGGAGTGATTAGGCGCGCGAAGGCTCGACCCAACACCGGTGCATCTGCGCAAAGATCATCCGTCTGTTCGGTCAGAATAGAACATGCGAATGTTTAGTCGTAAGCAGGGGACAATCGAGTCCGACGGGCTATTGAACGGCCAACGCGCGCGCGCAATTCGTTAATATTTGGCCATCCCCGCGGTGAAGCCGCCACGAAAGGGTGTCAAAGGTGGATGTCTTTCCGCTTCGCACACCACGTCAGCCATCCCTCTTCGCCGCGTTGAGATTGGCGGCCAAACCTTTATTTTGACCCATGGGTCTGTACAGTGCATGTACCTGAGCCTCATTCTGACAGCTTTATGACAACGACATTTCAATTGACTCTACCATTTTGAACTAATTGAACTACTGTAATCAGCAAGAAGCAGTATCTGGTGAATCACCGGAGTGCCCCGTCTGATTTGATCGATGCCTGCAGAAGAAGCTCCTCGATATTCGTAAGCAGACGATGAACAAGAGCACGCACGGGCTTCCTTGTAATGAAAGTCAGAATATTACCCAAATAGCGAGGTAGTACAGGACAGCAAGGTAATATAGGACAGCGAGGTAATATAGGATATATAGGATGGCGAGGGGATATAGGATATATAGGATAGCGAGAGGACATAGGATAGCGAGGTAATATAGGATATATAGGATAGCGAGGGGATATAGGATAGCGAGGAGATATGGGATATATAGGATAGCGAGGGAATATAGGATATATAGGATAGCGAGAGGATATAGGACAGCAAGTTCAACAAATTTCACCAGGACACAAATAAAGTCTGCGAGTCACAGCCTGACCCTGGAACACAGAACGAGTATGCATCGTTGAAGCTTTTGAAAGTCATCGTAATAAAGTGAAGCATTGCATTTTCCTGGCTCACATCATTTCCCTATCATCCACCCATTGCTCCTTCTCCCAAATGTACTTCCACCGCGCCTGAGCCAGACGCCTCCAGGCCGGGTATATGAATAGTTTGTAGAGAACTAATGAAGAAAAAGAACAGCGAAATCATAGTAGAAAGCTAGTGGGAATTCATAGATTCCACTTAGCCAATTACCGAATTTTCATCCGTCATAAAAAATACATGAAGAGGGCTAAGAAACGATCTTGAACATGCCCATCGTTGAGTGTGCGGAACATGGTTATGAGAAATATCAGAACATGCCTCCGTCGGCAGAAACAGCAGGCCGGCCGCGATCTGGTGTGTTTCCGGACTTGCGGTCATAATTTTGGTCATATTCGCCAGAATTCGTCGGTTGCGACAATGCGGAGCGTGAAGGCACACGCACGACGTTGCTGGGTGGGAAGTGAAAGTCACTGTCGGGGGTCTGCGAGCGTTGGCTTGAAGACTCTTCGCCTCCAGAAGGAGTCTTGATCGGGCTGCTATAAGGATGGGCCGAGAATTCCTCGGGATCGTTCCGACCGCCCATGCCGGTAAAGAGTTTGTTGCGGGTACCACGACGCTTTGGGTTGATAGGCGGAATTGGCGGTGCGCTGGTCATCCCGTTCTTGAGTGAAGCGCCCTCTGGAAGATCAACCGTCTCGAAATTCGCAGTAGTCTCCAGCAGTGTAGGCTCGGAGATATCGGCCTTGGAAATGGTCTTTTTCCGAAGGGTGTTACTGCGTGACCGCATGCTGCTAGGCGGGACATAAGCTGGGACAACCGGAGTACTGGAGCTTGACAGCAAAGGTACCGTGACTGATGCAATAGGCGCAGGACGAATTGGATTGTAGCCATTGGGTGTCGCAAAGGCTGGTGGTGGTCGAGTGTGAACTGTCGGAGACGATCTAGACTCGAAATAATTGCCAAGAGGACTCTTGGTGTCGTTGCTGAACCGAGAGTCGTTATGTGATGCGCCTGGGTCGGCCGACAATTTGGGGGTGAGCTCGCGTGGGATCATCGGGGAAAGATCGTGCAAGGAGGTCGTGCTGTCCGCCATTCTGTCCGATTCATCCCTTCTCAATGCAGGGCGGCTTCTTGAACGTCCAGTCGTAGCGGTTGAATTGGATCGACTTCGGCTCCCACTCCTATCGCCATTGTAGCCGCGATGATTGACGCGATCTTGACTGGGCTGTCGTTGGAATGCCGGGTGCTGTGAATTTGGGGGCATTGGCGGTCTCGGAGAAGAGTTGCCTCTCGATCTAGTGCCATCGAAACTGATGCCAGTCCTTTCCGCTTGAGTCAAATTTGTGTTAATCGACGTGGTCGACTTGGCGCTTCTCAATTGCTGTTCACGCATATGTGCGAGCGATTCGCCACTAGCTTTTGTTCGCAACATGCCAAACGCTTTGAAGGGACCGTTACCCGAACTGCTAGCAGGTGCTGGACTGGGATCTCGGCTGTGATTGTCTTTTTCTACAATGCTCTTGATGTTCTCACGGATTGCATTTCGGCGTGCCGCGAGTTCAGTTGCAAATGCATCTCGTTCCTGCTGAGTGGCAGAACTGATATCACGGGTATGCTGCCGTCTCAATTCTTGCTGCCAAGATGTGGCATCTTCGGACTCTGCCATAGAGGCTTTGCGTGGTTGTTCGGCAAACGGAGCGGACGATTGAGTCAACCCACTTTGGATGGGAGAGATGGGTTGTCGTGCCGCGTCTGTCAGTAAACCCTGACTCGAAGGCTCAATTGGACTCACAGCCGCATTGTTGACTTGTGTGTTAATGTGCAGCGAACGATTGTCGGCTTCGTCGAGGTCCCAAGGATTGGAGCCGGAATATGTTGAATCGTGGCTGCTCTCGAACTCGAATTTACCAATAGATGGCTTCCTCTCCTCTACACTCTGAGTACTGGATGAAATGCGAGGGATATCAAGCGAGTGATCTTCGTCCGCTGGATACATCGAAGAGGCATTGCTTTTTGACCGGAGATGCTGCATCATGCTCGAAAGAGGCTGCGATTCTTGTCCTAGAGTCGGCGACTCGACTTCATCCGGTTGAGACGGCGCAGTGTTTTGACGACGCAGTGAGAGCGTAGACGATTTGGTCACGAGCGGAGCAGGCTGAAAATTCTCATCACGCTCTTCTTCTGAGCTGGACTGCAGTCTCGTGCCTCGGACAGCGGGGTGTTCCGAAACTGAAGGCATTGCAGGTTGCCATCTGGCCGGATGTCCATTATTTCCATTTTCGGACTGCTGAGCACCGTAAGCACTGTCTTCATCATCCTCACTGTCGCTCGCGTGGATGCTCCCAAAGAATGTTCGATGAGTGTCAGGAAGAGGAGACCGGTTTGGCGTGGGGGCGCCTTGTGTTCGCTCCTGTAATTGACTGACTGCGTTTTGGAAAACATTATAAGATTTGTTCTCCGGTTTCTTGGGCGCGGCGTTTGCAGGCGTCTGTGACGAGCTGTCCTCGCTCCGCTTCTCCTCCGCATTGTCATGCTGGTCTGCATGGTACGATGTTGCGGGCGAAGGCGTTGCGCTTTTACTAAAAGTGTTCGAAGCAGATTTCATAAGCTGCCTTTGACGTTCAAGATACTGATGCTCGTCGAATGCTTGCTTCGGTTTGTTGAATGCACCAATGGCAGTAGCCTTGCCTCTGTCTGCGGGATCTAAAGCCTGCTGCAGGTCAAATTGATTCGACTCCAATTGAGGATCAATCGGAGAACTCGGGACAGGGCTGGGCGTATTAGAGTTGTACTTCGATGCATCACCTCGGGTTGGTAATGAGCCATTCATGGTTGGTGATTGTGTGCGGAGTGCATAGACCGGCTGTGCAGCTCGCTCGTTAAGTTGACTGGTGCTCTTAGCGCCGTGCAAGTAAGGTGGCGATGTCTTGCCGTTCTGGGGCCGCTGGCGTTGAAAGGTGTTGAGGCGTGACATTGCAGATATTTGATCGTCGCGCATGTGCTGATCCAGTCCTTGATCGTAAAGACGGCGGCTCTTGGTATTGGACCGATCAAGCGACGGTTGTTGAAGTTGTGGAGCTGTAGACGAAACAGGAGCAACACTGACCACAGGCGACACCGCAGGCAAGGATGCAATTGAGGTCGCAGCAGTTGATGAGCGTGCCTCTGATCGGGCAACGGATGACGTCGTTGAACGGTTTTTATCATATGACGACAGAGATGGAGAATGTGAGAGATCCTTTGCCGAATCGTTGTGCAGAAAATTGAGACTGTTGTCGTTCGTGCCCGACTCTGTATGACTGAGTCCAAAGTCGAAACCTTGACTCTCGTCCGATGTCCGGTTGAAGGAGCTTTCATCCCGTTCGCGTTCGCGCTGTCGATAGCGCTGGAAGGCCGATACACCTATATCATCTTCGTATACGGCTTTTCCAAGACTTCGAGCGGAGCCATTTCCAGTTGTGGCTATCCGGTAGATCTTTTGACGCCCACCAAACAAGATGTTGCCTTCTCCCGGTCGTGCTCGACTCATCACACTGCCACCAACGTCACTGCCATAGCCATCTTCTGATGCAAAAGAGCCCTGTCGGTCATTCGCAAAAGGAGGTACGAAGTCGCCACGAATGGAGGAGACCTCATCAATGTCACCGAGAGCGCGATTGCCGTACGCAAACTCATTCATTCGTGACTTTCTGCGTGGCTGCAGGACACTGTCATCGCTCGCTTTGCCAATCAAAGAATGTGGATCGTCCTGCTCTCGTAGCATACTGAATCGGGCCGACAAATTTGGCATGAGCAGACTGGTTCGAAAATCGTCGGATGGTGGCAGAACGCTTTCGAGGTCGAATTTCGGCTTCACCTCGACTTGTTTCTTGCCCTTCTTCCATCGACTCGTCGACGGCTTCTTCAAGCCCGGTGATAGTTGTGATGGTGCGGCATTGTTCAAAGAGTTCAGCGCATGGATGTTGACGGACGGGCCGTCGGCCGTCGCCGTCTTCTTCTTGAAGACTTTATTCATTGTTGATCTGAGGCTGTCAGCATATGTCGTCGTCGGCGTCGTGGCCGCCATGGGCGAACAACCTGACGGTTGCTTGCCAGGCGACATGGACATCTTGTGGAGGATATGAGAGATACGAAAGACAGATGGCACATACCGGGCGATTATTAGAGGGAGTTTGGTTCAAGATAACTCCAGATGCGGTAATGCGCCAGGTCCCGGCTATGCCAGTCCGTACACGCGCGGAGCAGCAGGACTGCCTTCCGACCGTGGGAAGGAAAATGTGAAAGCTTATGCAGTGTTCCTGACGCTGTGCCTGATCGGCGACTCGTTCGTGTGGTGGTTGTACGATGTTTATCGTTCTTTGTTTCTGCAGAGCATTTCCAAGACTTCCTCAAGTTGGAGGGTTGATGATAATGCAAGTTTCTGTCGAGGACACCAGCGGGCTGATCCTTAATCTCGGTGCGTCGCTGGGTAGACTCGCAGCTGATTGAACAACTGATTGAATGCGTGTGCTTGTCGGAGGAAGCACTAATGATAGCAATTGGTAGTACGCTGAAGACCTGATCGAGAGTGGCGATAGGATGGATGCGCGAGAGCGAGGTCTGTGGTGCTCTGAAATTGGACGAGGTCAGGTTCAAACGGAGAAAGATTGGCGAGATGGTTGATTGCAAGGTTGGTAGGCCGCTCTCTCAGCCCAGTCATTTACTATGAGTATGTCGTGTCGGAGTCTGCAGCTGTCGTGATGGCGCTGTGCGTTGTGCATCCGTAAGTTTTCCTGCAACCAGGCAAAGAGTGTGCGTGCGGATGAACGCGTGAGAAAGAAGATCGGTACGCGACGAATATCGGGCGTTGGCGCGGGTATGTTGGAGAAGAAATCCGTGCGTTTTACAAGTTTTGTTAAGGAGCAGGCGAGCGAACCGGGGTCAGGCGCGTGCACATCGGCGACGACACACTCACTAGGTACACATAGATGAAATACCCGTGGTAAAAATACAATTAAAGGAGAGTGATCGAAACTTTCTCTTCCTTGTCGGAAGGCCGGTTCCCTTGGAGTCGTGTGTCCAGGAAGACCCTCTCCTATAATGAATAATTCCCCACAGCAGCAAAACATGAGATCTGCGTATAATGCTTCGCACGAGAGGTCGGCCAACTTCGTCACACACTTTGTTATGCAATGCATCCATCCACCAGCCATACAAGTCGATAATCATAAAGCTCAAACCATGTGTGGCCACAAGACGAGTGGCTGCTGTTCAACTTGGTCCTTGGGATCGACCAACAGGGAACGTTTAAAGTGATGCCATCTTTTAAATGCGAGTAAGCACAGCAGCAATTTAATCGTGACTTCCATCGGGGACTGGAGGGGGCGCGTATCCGTTGTACTGTACAAGGCTCGAACAACAGTCGGGCAACATCGTGTTCTAGACATGCCCAGGTGCCCTCCTAAAGTCACTTTACACAAGTCATCCGAGAACAGGTATTGGTCGAACAGGCCGGGCACGCCGACCGCTCAATTAAAACGATGTCACGTAGCCATGCCTGCACAACATGCCGATACGGACGAGCAAAAGTATTAGTCATCAGCAGAAAGGCGTATCTGATGAGTCATTTCATGCCCCCGTCCGATCCAAGGAATGTCTTCATATCCTCACAATGGTACACAATTGGTCCGCAGTCTCTCAAGCTCTTGCCCAGTTGAGGCGATTAACGTCCGTCTATTGTTTTGTCAATAGTGCAATCTCCCTGTAAACGCGATCAGTATTCGAGGCTGTCGAGCGAACGCCCCCTCCCCACCTAGACCACCACTTCATATTGGATGACAAGAAGTTCTATGTCATCCCATGGCTTTTTATCCCTGATGAGGTGCTCTTCCGCACCCAGTCACAAACCTGCCATGCCTGCCCGCAGCGGATCAAGGAAGCAACCGCACCTGAGCAGGTTTAAATCTCTGTTCGACGCCTGCCTCTTCTGCACCACATAGCCGCTCACCTGTAGTCCTACTGAACAGCACGTCTCGTCTATTTGGCGAGTATTCAATGTGCCAGTTCAAAGAGAACGTGGCACACTGCTGTGCACAACTTATTAAGTCAATTCCGCAGGTATCCCTTGTATGCTAACAGCCACGTTGTGCAGTTAGATGGTGAGAAAAAAAATGTGATTGCCCCTGCGTTTGACGATTGCGCTCCCCCAGACGGACCGTGTAAAAAGTGAACTCCTGGCGAAAACCATGGTCGAGCCGGTATCCCACACACGCATCTCCATCCACACGTCAGGGGTAATGAAACAATCCGTCGGGGATGCAGGAACCCGCTGGTAGTGGCTTCCATGCCGCTCCTTCGCCTAGTGTGCCGAATGCAATCAGGGGAACCGCCAGCCGATGCAGAATTACAGGGCCTAAGACAAGCACGCTGCCCTGAATCCAGCATGGACGACTCTCGACATCTTCGATCGCTGTGGACGATGATGCGGGCGTTGCAGTACTATAATGAAACTGGGCAGCCAAGTTATTCGTGTCATGACGTGTACAGAGATGGTCGCTTCTCCAGCAGCACAGCACTAATGCAACAAAAGCATTTGCTGCTTTTCATCAAGCGAAGAGTTCGATAGGTAAGGTTTGCTTGGCAATCGTATCTCTCAACGTGGTCGCATACAACCATGTAAGCGATCCTCTGCGGCGTTGTGTCTGCCGATTCAAGAAAACCTTGGTACTGTAGGTCAGAAAAGATTGTGAGGTCTGGACTCACACCTGCACGCATTGTAGCAAAACCAACCCTTGTGTCGGAGATGAGCCTATATAGAGCTCTGCATCAAAGCCGTGTTCACACAGATGAATACAGTGTGAAGCATACATTTGCTTTACTGCACAAATGGAGAAATCCTTGCACGCATGATAAGACCATCACATGGAGCAATCAGCATAGTATCTACATACATGAGGCGCCGAGTGGGTGTTTCGGTAGATTTGCCCAGCCGCATGGCTGTCGGGCCTGATGAATGCAACCACCCCGGGCCTCTAATCACGCGCCGGGCCAATCAATATGCGCGCATCGATTCCTAAGGTACCTGCACCTGTGACCTGGGCATCGAATATCGATAGAAGCCACCTCGGATCGTTCTTGCTCGATATTCACTCGGCACTAGTTGCAGGACTAATAATTTCCCGGGATTACCGGAGCACAATAGCTTCAACTGCCGCATATAAACGGTCACTACTACAGCACTGATAATTATTTTACAGATTCCGTTCATCTGCCTTGTACGCCTGCAGCGTAGTGAGCGTGTACAGTCAGGCATCGGTCAGGTCGGATGGGGCACATCGATGACTAATCCGATGTCTTGTCTCGCTGATGACTGACACTGTATTTGTACGCTTTTCCAACGGTTGTTCAAGGAATTCATGGATCAGATCAGCAAGATGCGGCCTTGGCCAAAGCCACGGCTTTTCCGGCAATGGAAGTGCGCAGAGAGCATCGACCGATGTTCGTTCGCTTGACATCAAGAGAAATTTCCGCGTCGCACCAGCGTCAGGACCGTTGGCCGCTGACTCGCACTCGTCGTTTCGTCTATCTTGTGATCTCGTATTGCAGCATCGAGTCGTAAATCGTCTACACCGAGACTGCGACGACATTTGCTTCGAGTCATCAACCGCATGAATCGGCTCACGGCGGGAGATGTAATCGCAACGGTGCTCGACTCGGAGGGAAATTTCCATGTCTCACCATGCGCGCTCTGCACCGGAGACGCGAAAGTAACGCGCACGTCAACAGCCACCCAGTGTTTGCTTGCCACACAACCACATGGCGTTGAAATCATATGACACATGAATCTACAGCGATGATCTGCAACCTTGGGAGTCCACACGGGCACAGCTACTGACGATTATTCTGGACATTGCTGCAGCTTTGTGCGAATCCTTCACTTACCATATATCTGATCGCTGTTCATAGTCGAACGTACAAGGCGATTGTGCTCCGAGCTGGAGTGTGATGAACCCATCATTCAGCCCTGCTGGAGTCAAGGATACCATGCCTCAAGTACACTTGGTAATCCAACGTCCGCCTTTCGTCCGGAAAAGCGACGAGACAACCATTGTACCGCCCTCTTTAGCTTTGGGAGGTTGAGTCCCTGTGCCTCTAAGCAATCCCCGTCTCTGTCTTCCGGGAAGCATACACTGTGTCAGTTGACCACGCCGGCAACACGATAGTATTCAGGTCTCGACTCCGTAGACGCTAGACCACACGGGTGGAATTTCCCACGAGGAAGTTTTTCTCAACGTGAATTGCAACCAGATAAACCGCAACAGCTTTGCGCGAGATCTCAAATGTTTCTCAAGAAAATTGTCCATATACACACGAGCCCGGATTTCATGATACAGCAAGTCTATGTCGAAATCTAGCAGTCCGCTACAGCTCATCATGACCTCCCGCTGCGGCTGTTGCAGGATTGGCTCCAGCCTCAATTCCACAAACCGCCGGCGTGCCAACCTCCATCCTGTAGACACACTTCTCCTCCTCCACAATTTTCCAGATTTCGTTTTGTTCGCTACAGGCAAGAACCGCCGTGGTACTTCGCAGCGGACCGTTCCAGCAATGCTGGCCGTTCTCATACTTCAGCGCAATACGCTCGCCTTTGCCTAGACCCTTGCCGTCCGAACCGACGTCTTCGTCGACCGTGATCCTCTCCATGCGCACGTAACGACCCATGTCGGTGTGCCCGCCGCCCTTCTTGGACTTTTGCGTCGTCCGCTCGAGGAAGCAGTGTTCGTAGGTGTATTCGCCTGAATCACTTTCGATGCATGTGCCTTTGAGGGCGCGGAAGATGTCGTCTGGACCAAAGTCCGCAGCCAGGTCGTCTTGGCTTTCCTGAAGGCTTTTGCGGTGGTTCTCTAGATCCTTCTGTGCAACTTCGACCCGCTGGCGTGCTTCAGTGACCTTTTTACTTTCGTTGTTGTCACCACTGGCACTGCCAGTATCTGCGAGGATGCCGTTAGCGACGAGCATAGCCTTAAGCTCGCGGATCTTGTCGTCGAGCCAGCTGCGAAGGGATGGTGGAAGGTAATTTGAAAGGACGTATACTGTGGTTTGGTCAGCAAAAGAAATTGCTCAAAGAGAATTTCGTCAAAGACAACACATACGGGCGTCGGTCTCATCTGGCTGAACGGTTTCCTCCGATGCTTCATAGCTGTCCCAGTCAACGCCATTCTCTTTGTCATCTTTGACAATGCTCTCGATATCGCGAGGATGAGCTGAAGGGATGTCGGCCGAGCCACTGGCGACGTATTCTTCCCAAGCTCGCACAGCGCGCTTCACTCCCTCATCATTGAAGTTGGGGTTGTATTCCTCTTTGAATGTGGTCATGATCGCCTCGAGTTTCTCCAGACGTGCTTTGTTGATAGACTTCTGTGCAAGCTCTACGAGCAACGCTGATCGCAACTCTTGCGTTCTCCGCTGGGCCATGGCGATCAAGATGCCCAACTTTCCACTCGTCTTCCCGGCTTTCACAACCTTACCCGCTTCGTTCCTGCGAATCTCTTCCAGTTCCCTCTCTAGCTGTGTGAGCTTGACTTGGCCGGCCTCGATCTGTGTGTTGACCAGCTCAACCTGCTCGCGCGCCGTCTGCTTCAATCGAGCCGCTTCCTTGACAAGCTCTGCCCTCTTTTTCGCAGCGTTGCTTGCGCTTTTGGCGCGAGCGGCGTCCTTTTTCCGCCATTCCTTTCCAATCTCATCGCAGCGATCTTTGCACTTCACTCCTCCAATGTTCTCCCACTCCTCAGAACCATCGCAGCACAGATCGTAATCGCAGACTCCGTCGTTGACGTTCGCAAACGGAACATAGCTGGGCAGGTGACCTTTGTTCTGGCAAAAGAACCCCGGCAAGGCGGCGGATGCACTCGGTCCATTCACGGGCGTATCGACCAAAGTATGGGGTGAAAGAGGTGACAGGTGAGCACAGGCGGCAGTGCCAGGTTCGTCCGAACCGTCTGGGCAGTCGCAGTAGTCATCGTTCACGCGAGCGAAGGGAATTTCTATCGTAGGATTCGAGATACACTTGAACGTTGAAGCACTTTCGTAGAACTTGGCGACTGCCGGAATATGTGAGTTGAACACCTTCGATTGCGCTAATATTTTGGAATTGTTCGGGACTCACACTCGGGGCCGACGCCTCTAGGGACAGATGCTGCCGATGCCACCGCAACATATTGCAGGCTCGCGAATACCAGAGCTGCACTCCTCATGATTGAAAGAGTAGGAAAGAAAGACGAGAGGGAAACGGGCGAGGTGGTGGTGTTCTTTGGGCACTCGAGGGATTACTTCGAGAGTTTCGTCACATACAGCTGTCCCAATGCACCTGCCAAGTTGCCTGAGGGGCCAGCTTGGACCCTGGCATCGTCACTTTCCCCGAATATTACACGGAGTAAACAGACATCGAGGTATGCCCAGGTGCCAGCCTGTACCGCTTATATGCCAGGGTAATTCTTGCCAAGGGCAGAGTCATCATGTATATTGTCCGTTCTCTTCGGTTTGCGAGCTCGATGTCTGGTTTTACCGATGCGTGCAATCGCCCTGGAGCGCACTGAACGGGCAACTTCAAATAAGCAAGATTCGTTGTGGGCCTTCCTGTTGAAGTTAACAGATCAGTAGGCCATCGCAAGAGACTACAAGAATCGTGCAGCCCTGGAGGGCATTTCTATGATTTATCTGACTTTTGTTCGCTCCGATGACTAACAACACAATACTTCCCAGGTTGTCCGCTTCCAATTTGTAGCTGGCTTCTACCTGTGAGAATGAACATGTAATATATGCCAATATCACTTACTAATGATCCCGGTTGTATGTGTTCTATGAACAACCACACAGACAGATCTATGGGAAAGAGGAGAGAGTGTGTATCACACGCTCGTTTTTGTTCAGCTATCGGGCTATCGGAGTGCCGCTCCGATTTGACCAGTTCCTGTACTTCCCAGTCAGCTTCAGGCAATCACTCTCTCTATGGATCTGCCACACGTTACTCTGCAGTTCGGCTGATGTCAGCGATTTATTCGTATGATATGTATATATCACATGACTGTCCCCTCCGTGTATGGCCGTCATGGTATCCGAAATTACAAATACTGCCCGCCGGTCCTTCCTCGTGTGAGCCAAAATGTATATCCAACAAAACAAACAATACATAGCCGTATATCCAAAAGCCCGCCGGTCCCCGTTGCAAGAGAGCTCGCTCAATATTACCTCCACGTAGACAAAATAACCTCTCCAATGCAATAAAATCATTCTATCCTCGCTCCTCAATGCGCCGGGGAAATTTGGCTCGCCTCCATAACAGCCTTCTTCACGTTCTCGTCAATCTCAACAGGTGTCACAGCAGCGGCGTCCCCGTTCGCCTGCTCGACCTTGGTCAACTTCTGCTCCTCGGCGTCCTCCATCAAAAATCTCTCGCTGAGGTTCACCGCGGTGAAGCTCCGGGGCAACTTGACCGTGTGGAACTTCGCACGCAGGGTGTCAATCACCTCCTTCCAATCTCCGTGCGCCGTCAGACCGCGACGGGCTGCACAACCGATGCAATGCTTGCTGTCGAGCTGCACGTCCAGCGGATCAAATGTGTGACAGCCCGGAGAGATGGTGATACGGATGGAGTAGTTGAACGCGTGGGAGTGGTTGGGATCGTCTGGGTTGATATCAGCTTCGGCATTCTCGGACTCGTAGAGCTCGAAGCAGATTTGCGAGAGATAGTCGAGCTCGGGGATGGCGTTGCGCGAGATCTTGGTTTGAATACCACCCTCGAGGATACAGTTCAGGAGGGTGTATATGTGAGATTCCTTGGTGAAGTAAATGAAGGACTTTGCGGCTTCAGAGGCTTGTACTTCTTCAAGGTCAAGGACGATTTCCTTTAGTAGAGGCAGGGAGGTGAGTAAGCCAATCTCGAGCTTTTCTCGATCGGTGATACCGTATTCTTGCGGGCCAATAAAGTCGAAGAGAATCTTGGACAGACTGTAGAGTTCATTCAATTTGTCCAAACGAGCGTCAGATTTGACCTTGGATTGGCTTGAGGGCATACCACCTCGGTAGAGGTTGAAGTAAGATTGAGAAAAGTCCGGTTCGGCGGTAGATGCGACAGCGCTAGGATTGAGCGTGTTCCGCGCGAGGTTGACAATCTCGGTCGAGCGACGACGGAAGCCGAAGCGTTGCGATAGTGTCGTCCGATCACGGGCTTCCTTGGCCTCGCCCGTTGGCGACAGCAAAGTAGACTTGGTGCTACTAGCCGAAGTGTCCTGGCGTTTCAAGGGAGGAAGATTTGCAGTGGCCTCTTCGTTCGCGTCCAAACTATTGGAGCCCTGCTTGGGATGCGACTGCTCGAATTGCTCGCGGGCTTCGCTAGATTCCGTCCGGCGCAGTGGCACTGCCTCTTGCTCACCTTCTTCGGCCAACATGGAGGACGAAGGGGTAAAGATCCACTCTAGGAATTGACGGTTATGAAGGGCATCAAACTTCATCGTATCGTACAGTTCGCTGATTTTGCTCGGATCGACTTTTTCGGTGTCTGTGAATTCATTGAACAGCTTCTCCCACCGCTCCTTGAATAAGTCCGCATCTTCGCCAGTACACCAGCGTGACTGGATGGCCGAGGCAATGACCTCAGTGGGTGCACCGTTGGCGTCGGCAGTGGGAGACTGCAAAGGAGTGCGGAATTTCTCCAAAGACACCTTCGCATCAGAGGATTGCAATTTCGCGAAATTGTGCCGCATCACTTTGCGATGGAAATTAACCAGCTCAACCACTCTTCGTGCCACCAGATAAGGCTCAGGGGTGCCATCTTTTGGCCAAGCAAATTGCTCAGGAGCTTGGTGACCTTCACGAAGCAGACCCTTGAGCTTCTTCTTGACCTTGTCCATTTCATCCTTTGCAGCATTCGAGTCATCGAGAAGATCCTTGCGTACAAGAATTTGGCTCTCGTCGACTTCCTTCTGATCGAGAAAAGCTGTGGCGAAGATTTGAGCCGATGTCTTCACTCGCCGCTCGGAGGATGAGAATATGGAGACATCAGAAAGGACTTCGCGATTCATGAGTCGCAGATCATTTCGCATGTTCTCGCCAAGGTCTGCAGCTTGGTATCGTGCAGAATGTGTAGGCTCTCCACCCCATTTCATAATCAATTGTAGCTTGTCAAAGACGAGATTTTGATCAGCAGCGGCAGCACGCGACATGGTAATCTCACCAATCGAGTCGCTTCGGACAGGCACGCGAGTACCGTCAGCGGCAATTTCCTCAGATTGGTCAGATTTGGGTTTTGCGTCTTCGCCTTGTCCCTGGGCATTCTCAACGTTCGATTTAACCTCCCCAGCTTCCACTGTTCCGGTTTCCTGAGACTTCAAGTCCTTATTTTCTTTGGGCTTCTTGAACATTGGCTTGATTTGAACTTTTGTCCCGGGCCAGGGACCTTTCTTGGCCAGCGCATTCTGCAGAGTTCGTAGCTTTTGGACATCCTCAACACCTTCAGCCAACGCCAAACTCACTGCATGTTGAACTTTGTTCAACGCAGCTTCACCCACAAGTAGCACTTCCTCCTGGTGCCCACGGAGAAGATCAACAAAAGGCTTGGTGTGAAAGGTGAATTTGAATTTTTGCTTAGGAGTTCTGTCAGCATGACGGATGACTGCCACCATTCCCTTTAGCTTCCATTGGCTCTTGGAAGCAGGGGCAGGGATGGAAGAAGGTGCCTCGGAGTAGACAGATCCTTCGAACTCTGCAGAGGATGCACTCTTGACATCATCGCCGCGGAGAAGATGGCGAAAGGCAGAAGCTGCTGCGGGAGGTAAGGCATCGTCCAGCTTAGCCATGTTTACAGGATGGCTGTGCCTATAGCTCTCTGGTCCACGCTCAGCAGTTGGCGGATTGACGGCGCCTGCTGCGACAGGACTGCTGGTACCACTGGCACTCTTTGCTGCAGGTTGAGGGTGACCAACACGTCCAGCCGCTTGTTGTACACTTTCGCGAAGCTGAGAGATACTCCTGCTGCGGAACACACTTCGAAGTGTATTGCGATGCCCACCTGGGTTCTCTCGGTCCCGCTGACTGATGGACTTGCGACCAAAGAGGCCCGTTCTCTCTGCAGGGGCTGAAGTCGGCGTCTCCGAGAGGATCTTTTCTGATTCGTCAACTTCGCTCGGGGTTGCACGGCCATCCCACTTCATACGCTCCCGAATGAACATTTCCTTCATTATGCGTGCAGAAGCATCGTAGTATTCGTTATTGTCCTTCACAAAGGACCAGCCGTTGACGTCAATCACATAGCTGCGATCCTCTACGCGCAAGAGGTCAAATCCGCACACTCTTTGCCCGAACCCGGATGCGATCTTCGAGGCCATCAGTTGCTCCTCCTTCGACAGCTTTGTAATGTAGCGAATTTCCTTGCCGTTAGGATTGCGCTTGACGACACCATCAACAACGGGTGACTTGCGGGTTTCGGCGTGGCAGAACTCCGTGCCGACGGTATAAGCCTTGACATCTTCCGCATTTTCGACCTTTAAGAACCGTTCGTAAATGTAGGATCCTTCCGGCTCTGTGACGCATCGAGGAATTGTCAAATTCTCGTCCTTTTCACTTGATTTGTTATTGACCTTCCGGAAAAGTCGGCGGCCTCCGCCACCTTGAGAGCGTGGATAGTAAATGTTGATGTTGTGATCTTCACCATTGGTGGGCTTCTCGACAAACGGCTTACTAAGTCGCTTCCCGTCGACGACGAGTGTATCGTTGTCGTCTTCCATGTAGACACTCTTTGGTGGAGGTAACCCTCCGCCTACGCCATTCTCACCTCCGACCAGCACTACTCCTGTCAATTGCTTCATGCGCTCGGCAATGTCCGCGCTGAGAACCACGGGCCCACCATCCCGATTGACTTCTATCCTTTCGGGCGTGGGTACTTCCAACTTATCGAGGATCATCAGACACATGCGCCGATCCCACAAGACACTTTGCATAGGCAGATCATTGACACAGAATGGACGTCGCAACGCCGCATAAGCAATGGCCTTGTCGAGCGGGAAACCGTCGCTGAAGAAGCTGATGAGGAAATCGCAGACAGGCCAATTCTCAATGTCCTCGTCCAAGATCACCTTGTCGCCGAATATGATGACGTCGAATTCGCCGTGGTCGCCCAACAGACGATTGAGAATGTTCCGGGAAGGCTTACTTCGAGCCTTGACATCCAACGCACATATTCCTATTGTACCAATCTTCATCGGATTCCCTCCCAAGCTCATTCGATCGACCGAGGGAGAGGCGCTGTCAGCATTGCTCAAGGAGATCCGTCGAGGCCGCGCGGGTGGTCGTCCGCGTACGGTGCGGCCTTGTCTCGCAGTGATTGAGGGAGGTGACATGGCGCCGTTGAGCGACGAGATTGCGGGAGTAGACTGAGAGACATGGAAGTGTGGGTCTCGACTCGGCGAGGGCGATAATGCACCATTCTGGCTAGTGGTGGTAATGCTAAGAGTGTTGGTAGCCGTGGTGGCCCGATCGCTGCCTTCAAATCGAGTTGAACCTAGAGAGTGGTAAGTCATTATCATGATATGTATCGCTGTGCTACATAGGTATGTGAGCTCGGTGATTTTACCTTCAAGATCAGAACCTCCAGCAGAAGAGTCTGGCCCGGCAGACAGCATTCCTCGGCCAGGGTGATACAGCGAGGAGAAGGACATTCTGCTCGGATCGAGGTCGGCAGGCTCTGTTCGTTTGTTCTGCGCAGTAGAAGCCGCTTCGACTGGATCCGCCATGTTGATATGAGGGAGTGTTGTGGCCTCTAGCTTGGTGTCATCTTGGAGTGTGGTTTCTTTATTAGCGTCGTCTGCCTCTACTGGTGCTAATGTTGTGTCTTCTATGCCCGACATGGTAGTGGCTACGAGGGATGGGTGCCGGTCGCGACGACGACGGGAAGAGGTGTCTCGTCACGAACGAGAATAGACGGCCGAGTAGACACCAGTAGCAATGCTGACAATAGTAATAATGCTGCTGCGAAGAGAAGCAGCGAAACTAACGGCACCTGCAGCGATGTACTATGGTATCATCGTGCAGGACACGATCGCGGCTATGGATAACAGAGACCAAAGTCAAACGGCGAAGCGATAGGTGAACGGTGGCTTCACACGTTCTTCCCGTTCGCTTGCTCTCACTGTCTGTGTCCTCCGATCAATGTTCCGTCGTCAGCGGGGCAGAGTGCGGTAGCGAGAAATTTGACTTTCATCATAGAACAAAATTCCGCGAAAAAACGGCGGGCGGCGGTAAAGACTGCATTGGCCATTGGTTTCATTCCGACCCTTTCTCTCCTTCCCCGCTGTCGTCGGCAACGACAACCGTGGATTGGAGGACCATGCTGCACATACGGTACATGTAGATCTCACCTGCACGATGATCTTTATCCGATGAGATTACATCAGGCGGTTGTTCGCACCTGACCAGGGCCTATGGTCGCAGCAACACGATACCGGTCAAAAACCGCCGCGAGGTTCTCCCGGGCCAGACTTGTTTGGTGGAACGATCGCACTTGTCCACCTCGCCCGTCGCCAAGGCCTTCAATTTACCACCGACCAAGAAAAGCATTACTTCGCCCGTTTCTTCTTCGTATTTGGTCTCATACGTACATCAGACCCTCGTGACAATACGTACATGAATCGGACGATATGAAATGCTCGCTGTACGAGCATTCGCTACAGTTGAATGGATTGTTGTCATCTGGCAACAGGTTGGTCTCCATGTGCAAAGCTGCATGCCCATGTGCTGCACAGGGCAGCTCATGGCGCCGAACCACTGTAGGGGAAGCTGCAAATGTGGTACTCTACCTCGCATGTCAGCATCATCAGATCACCCGGGCACTCAAAGCCTGTGAGAACACCATGCGTTGCGTGAACAAGAAGGTCATGTCTGCCTGCTACCAGGGGCAGATGCATTCGAAGGCAAGCCCTTTTTACCCCAACATCAACCCTACTGTACATATATCCTTCCAATGTTGGTCAAATCGGACGTGAGAAGGGCACTCCGATGATGAATCTTATTAATCATATTGTCGATACCGAACACGATGCACCCGTAATTTCGAGCCTGATATGTGGGAAAAGCGTAATTTAGTTACTTGGTGTTTTGGTATGATATTGGTATGGAGGTCTGGAGTGACTTGACATAATTATCTTTGTGCAAGACTTCCGCAGGCACCTCCGCTGCTATCGGCATTCTATCGATAAGCCAAACCCTAATGCAGCAGCAGTCGAAAAAGCTGGAGATGTCAAGCTCTAGCGCTTCCGCGGCAAAGGAAAAAAGTTACAGAGAGCAAACTTCGAGTTCCGACCAGATCGCGCGGAGTGCTGACAGCACGAGAACAGCCAAAGGTACAATATTGCTGGACAGCCATGGAACAGGAGGGGCGCATCGCAAAGCGCCAAAAGCTTGTCAATGGCAGCGCAACGAGACAACAACGCGCATCTACTGCCTCCCGAGTCTTTGTGCCCTACAGGACAGTGGGATTAGTATCGCCAACTGCTGTACCCTTCACCACCGTGCCATTGGGAAAAACCACCTTCCAGATCACCACATCCGTCGGACGTAGTCTACAGACATATGACTTGAGAAGAGGATTGAACCTCGTCTTCGTCACACGACCACAAACCCCCCAAATCATCACTGCAAGTGTCGCATGGAAGGATAAGCTTCTGGCAGCATGGGGCACAGATTCTGTAGACGGATCAAGAGGAGTGTGGGTTTATCGTCGGGGAAAGAAGGAGACAGAGCTCGAGTTCCCGTCAGACGCGAAAGAGATTGTCAAGGCCTTCTGTGTCTTTGGATCATGGATCATTGGAGTCTGTGAGACACAATTGATGATCTGGAAGAGCTCGACCCTGGAGCTTTACACCTGTCTAAGAGGCGTTTCCCCTATACCGTTCACCAAATGCATCACGAGCTTGCCAACCTTCCTCAACAAAATACTGGTCGGCCGACAAGATGGTAGTGCAGAAGTCTGGAATGTGTCGAGCGGCAAGCTTGTCTACACCATCCTTCCACCGTCAACAAGCTATGGTGCTGTCACTGCCGTAGAGCCCACGCCTGCCCTATCCCTGGTGGCGATTGCTTTCGAGAGTGGGCCTTTAGTTATTCATGACATCAAGACAGATCGCGCTGTCATACAATTGAGCACAACTACAGGCGCGCCGGTGACATCCATATCATTTCGTACCGACAGCTTGGGCGCTGGCGACGATGGCCAGAAAGCTGGCGTGATGGTTTCGGCTTCCAACGCTACTGGCGACATAACTCTGTGGGATCTGAACAATGGCGGCCGAAGAGCAGGTGTGTTGAGAGCGGCACACGCGCAGCCTTCGGCAAAGTCGCTAGGTGGCACAAGCAAGGTTGAATTTCTCGCTGGCCAGGCCATTCTGGTTAGTTCTGGTCTCGACAACAGCCTAAAGACATGGATCTTCGACGAATCGCCATTCAACTCTATCCCACGCATTCTCCACGAGCGAAGAGGGCATGCAGCGCCTGTCAGCAGACTTCACTTTTTACCATCTGCGTCGGACGGCTCAGATGACACCGGAAAATGGTTAGTTTCAGGAAGCGATGACCGCAGCCTGTGGGGTTGGTCATTGCGACGGGACGGTCAGAGTACGGAAATCAGTCAAGGTGCGATACAAAAGAAAGCAAAAAAGCAAGGACTACTTTCTGCAGGTAAGGAGGATTCTCTGGAACATCTCAAATGCCCGCCCATAACGGCTATTGCGTGTTGCTTGAATCGTGATGGCGGTATCGGAGCTATCCCAGGCAAGCACCCGATCTGGCAGCCCAGTGGAAAAGGCAAGCAGGTCAGCGCCGAGACCAGCGCAATGACAGGCTGGGAAAGTATACTTACTGCTCACGCCAACGATTCAAAAGCTCGGACTTGGTTTTGGGGTCGAAAGCGTGCCGGCCGTTGGGCATTTGAGACGGGTGATGGCGGAAATGTCACATCTGTAGCCATGTCACCTTGCGGAACGTTTGGGGCTGTCGGTTCGGAGAAGGGAGGTATCGACTTGTACAACCTGCAATCTGGCATTCACCGTCAAAGATTCCCTGCCAGGCTGACGCCGATGCAAGCGAAGCAGTTGAGGATAGACGTGGAAAAGAATGGGCTCGTGGAAGAGGACGACGGCAAAAAGAAAATTTATCGAGGTCAAGGCAAACATGCTGCAGCCGTGGTCGGCATTGCCATTGACAGTCTCAACAAGACAATTGTGTCGGCTGGCGCGGATGGGAAGGTCAAATTCTGGGACTTCAACACTGGAATGCTGCAGCACGAGATCGATTGGGCAGGGGTTGTTCGCATCACCTCCATGCGCTACCATCGCCATTCTGATTTGGCTGCATTTACCTGCGAAGACGGCTGCATTCGTGTCATTGATGTTTCCTCCCAGAGACTTATCAGAGAGCTCTGGCCAGCGCGGAAAGCTGTTCCCGAGCTGAGTGATGTTCGATTCTCGGACTTTTGCTTTTCGAGCGACGGACGCTGGATTGCAGCATGCGCAGCATCTTGTGTTCTCCTATGGGATCTGCCTACTGGACACCCGATCGATGCCTTCAAGCTGCGGGCTACGTGTACTAGCTTGGCCTTTTCGCCTACAGGCGAATACCTCGCTACTGCGACACAGGATAGCCTAGGAGTGGATATTTGGACCAATCGTGCTTTGTTCACATATGTCCCATCACGACACATCAGCGAAAAGGAACTTGTTCGCGTACTGCAATCAACCGAGACCCAGGCACCAACAGTTTCGGGCGAGAACAGCCAGAATTTGCTCATCACAGAAGCTGGAGAAGAGGATGAGGAGGACGATTCGGATCTCGACTTCCAGACAGAGGATGCCTTAGGGGACCTTGCAGAAGATCTCCTATCGCTTTCATTGGTGCCTCGGTCACAGTGGCAAAATCTGCTTCATTTGGACCTTATCCGACAACGGAACAAGCCCACAGATGCACCCAAGAAACCCGAAAAGGCACCTTTCTTCCTACCTTCGCTGCAAAACGGCAAACCCAATACAAGTGAAGGGACTGCATCATCAACTGCCCTCCTTGACTCTACATCCGCTGTAAAAGCCGCCGAAGAGCTCCAAAAAGAGCAGTCTCGCATCCTCACCCACTCCCGCCTTAATCAAAACCAAAGTACCTTCACCACGCTTCTACTAGCTACGTCTCCGGAATCTCACGACCACGATAATGAAGCCATCGATTCAGCGACACAAGCCTTGTTCTCCCACCTCTCTTCTCTTGCACCATCTGCCGCCGATGTTCAAATCCGCTCCCTCGCATCAACGGAACTTCTCCCTTTCATCCTCGCACTGACATGGCTCGCGCGTCACAGACGTGATTTTGAGCTTGTGCAAGCTTGGATGGCTGTGTTTTTGCGCGTTCATGGGGACATTCTCTTCACTGAGGACGATGAAGATGAGGACGAGGGGAGTGATAAAGAAGATAGATCGTCGACATCGATCCGGAGTGCGTTGGAAGAGTGGCGAGCTGTGACCGAGGAGGCGGTTGATGCGACGAGAAAAAAGGCGGGTTATGTTAGAGGCTTGGTGGGTTTCTTGAGAGCTGGGAGGGTATGATCTGCTGAGAGGGTGTTATCGGCTGAAGATGTATGTGTGTTCCTGACAAACGTGGATTCGACGAAGCAAACGATAATTGTATGTTTGAAGCTTCATTTACTTGCTCGTTGGCTTGTGAGCACTGCATCGAGCTTGCTCACTATTACGGAACACCAAGCGATCAAACTACCATGCGACGATTTCGTCCAGCGAATCATCATCGTCGCCGCTGGAACTTGGCCAATGAACATTTTCGTCAATGACAACTTTCTTCCCTCGTGTGCTCGGAGGGGGAAATGTATCATGACGCCCGTCATCTCGGCTGTGACGGTCACCATTGGCGGCAGAGGCGTGTTCACCATTCTTCGCTCCCCCTCGGAGATCATCATGCTCACCACGAGCACGACTACTTCCTCGCGCCGTCGTCTTGTCAGCTGTCGTGCCCCTTTTCCAACTCGCATTCGAATTATCTTCCTCTTCGAGCACCGCCGCCCAGAATGACATTGGCCTCCAGCGTCTCAGCCTCTTAGCAAATTCCCTCAAGCGCTCACTACAAGCTTCCAACTCAGCAGCCGCCTGCTTTGACTTACTCAACGCATAAGATCTGGGCGGCCCCGCCACTTGAAACAGCGATTTTGGTCGGGGAATTCCCGCGCACTTGTAGAACGCATACCCCGACACATGTCTCCATCCAGGTCTCTGCCACGGTCCCACATAACCCTGATTCTCCAACCTCCTTGCCGCAGCCCGCATGTCGTCACGGTATCCGCTCGCCAGCAAAAGCGCCGCATCGGTCTGCCCGATCAGGTCGGCTTTCCACTGGGCGCGGAGACCGGCGAGGTGGGTGAGGGCGGCGGAAGTGCGGTAGCTTTGCCGGTCGAGCAGTCGATTGTCTTCGCGCCGAATCTTGTGGAGACTGCCTTCAAATTGCCGCAGCAACAGCTTTTCTTCGGCGCACAGCATGGTCACGTGGTGTCGGCATAGCGAGGCTAGGTCGTCGTCATTGTTGCAGGCGGAGAATTTGGAGGATCTTCGAGCCATGTTCGAAAACCCTGACGGGACCGCAGCGATGGAGATGACGATGGCACCGTTCCAGTATGGCCTCAATGCCTGAAGAAACTCCTTGTCTTGGACTTGGGACGAGCATGACTCCGCCTTCGTTTCTATATACCCACTCTTCTTTGGAGGCCTTGCCATACCGCCACTCTTTGTGATACCGTTGAACAATCACTCCATTCCGGAAATCACTGCCCGCACTCGTACGGCAGCCGGTTCGGCCCCGTGTGCGAGGTCGCCGTAATTGCGATTTCATGGCTTTCAGAGACCAACGACGTTCCATTCCGATGCTGAAAAACGTGTGTTGTCGTACTCGCGAAGAGCTTCACTCCGCATCTGTGCTTCTTCATGGACGACTGAGAGCATCACATGATCCCTCCAGGCTTGATCCTAGCCAACATTGAGCTCCAATTTGCGAGTTGCCTTCTTGGGTCATCATCGTTGCCGGAATTCATAGTTCCACACAAGAATGAAGGTTGCTATCGAAGGCGTGCGCATGCCTTTGGTTGGCACAAAGCTTCTGAATCCGGTTTTGGTGGGCTGCACCGTTGTCGAAACAAGGTTTGGCCTCAAGAAAATTAATGAAGAGCGCGATTTGCTGTGATTCCATCACTGCAGAACATCTTTCGTGGCGGTGATGGCTGTGAAGCATGGCTAACCGGCATTTCACCGTTTCCGAAGTATTGTAGTGCGAGCATGACACAGATTCGAAATTCCATACCACATTGTACTTCAGCCGCTGAAGTACAAACACTTAAGAGTACGCCTCTCACGCTCTGTAAACTTGGGGACTTCTGCTTGCGTCAAGGCAACCTCCAGTGTGCTGCAGAAAGCGCAAATGATCATCCGTAACTCAACATTTGGAGACTGGTCTTCACTTGACGAATGCACGAAGGTCGTTGAAGATGCGCATCCACGCGCGGATCATCACGAGGTCGGAGATCATCTCGCTGCATCCAAACGCAGCCACAGGAATGTTGAGCTGGTGTTGTGCTACCCAGTGCCGTTAGCGATCACTCACGAAATTATGTAAGGGCTCAGGCAAGTGCAGGGGTGTTGCCTGCAACACAATGGAAGAAAATCTTGCAGTCCACATGCTACGATGATCCTGAAGAAAGTATCGGGTAATCTCACTACATACCATACCATTCCTCTATATGTAGTACAAGATAGAACGAGTGAAAGGCACTGATTTTACATTCTAGAGCTAAAGGACCGCAGGTGATTACTGTAACAAGCAGACTGAGAGCAGGTAGAACTGAAATTTGAAAGTAGTTTAACGATCACGCAACAATTCCACGAGTCGGTTTGGCACTGAACCTATTCGACTTGTAGATTTGTCCTGTAACAAGCCGATGCCGACGAACAGAGTGTGACAAACTGTGATGTCTTAGAGTCGTCTTATGCGTGAGTCAGCAGGCTATTCACTCCTGCGATTTGTCATCATCATGCTGCCTGAACAAGATAAGCTCTGTTTCGAATATATCGGGGCAATGGGGAACATCGCTTGTGGCTCTTCGTCGCAGGGCAATCTACTTCGTCTGTTCCATCTCGCGTAGTAGATAGACGCGGAGATTCTTGAGATTCTCCTGCATGTTCTGCAGCTCGTGTTCGACGTGATCGATGAGTCGACGCTCGCGGAGGAGGAAATCCGGCCAGCAGTGATGCTTGGCGACTTCTACGACTTCGAGTAGTTCGTCATACATGTGAGTGAAGTGATCGGTGCACTCCTCCAGAGCGGTGCATTCGCCATCGAGTTTGTTAATCTGACCGAGCAGATTTTCGTTGCCGCCGGTGTACAGTGGGTTCTTCATGGCCTTGTGGATCTGCTCCAAGTCGGACGCCATTCGCTGATGATCGAGATAGAGATCGAAGGAGCTGTAGATGGTGCTGTCGAATGAAGGTTGACGGCCCGGCATGTGAGTATAATTATAGCTCTGCATGTTTAATGTTGCAGTCGAGATGCAAGATCGATGAGATTGTTGTTGACGTCAGGATTGGAAGTTGAAAGGCGTCCAGTAGTTTGTGACTGAGTGAAGGAGCAAATGTAAACCGAGAGACGAACTGAACGAGTTTATATGTGCCTCTTGATCCAGTTAAGAAAAAGTTTCACTCCTGGTCGGAATGTGCAACGATCACCTGCTGTCAATATCTTGCCTTCGTGGGCCTGAAAATTGTCAGTCCCAACCGCCGGCGCCTGACAGAACCAGGACATATTTATCACGAGACAGGTAAAACCGGGTTGTACATGGCGATATCTTACGCAGGTTTGCACGTGGATCGAGCTGTTGTCCTCGGGTTCATGCTGTCCTTGTCAGTAGACTCGAGAGCGACTCGTGGCCTGTATTAGGTAGAAAGAGAACATGCATGGATTCCAAGGTTATTGGAGTAATCGCCAGCGCGTGCTCAAACAAGGCAGATAAATGACATGGGTAGAGCAAGCTTTACACGGCATCATGCATGGCAGACCATGTCCACGCTCGCCCATGCGACTTGTTCGCGACTAGTTGCGTGGCATCACGTATGTTGAATGGCACATTCTTCCACGTGTGCAGATGCCATAGGTTCGTTTCTTTCATCGCTATGAGGAAGACAAGGACGTTGAATGCAAGAAAAATGACTTGCCTGAAGTAGAAACAGAAGGACCTTTTGAAGTACGAATTTGGGTCGAATCAGCTTGTGACCAAGTGACCTGATTCACATCGTCTTGACTTTCTCAAGGTCACATCGCACGACGCAAACGCATTTGTAGGCTTTTCGTTTGGATATTCTGAATACTGGCGCTTGTGGAAATCGGTGCATGAGCGCTGCGGTAGGTGCACGAGCATTGTGATGTTGCACGAGCGCAAACCCTGGCGTCCATGCAAATCCTCCAGGGCTATCATCAGAGTGTGACAGGTCGGATTTGCTTCCACGCCCGCCTTCATGATTTGAAATTGCTCGAACGGTCCTTTTGCGATTGTGCACTTGGAAAATGAGGTGTATGCTTTACCGTACGGCATCTGTTCTGCTGTCTGTAATCAGCGATGGTTGGTACGATGAATTTGATGCTTTTGGACGGCAGGACTATTGGCATGCACCATGGACAACATACGCTCGAGACTGGTCTCAAAGCCTTACGGGCTCGCGTTACACGCTTTGAGATTCATGGACAGCAGGCCATCTAAAACTCGTATATTCGGCGAAGACTGGTCACCGATGCGAATCGAAGACCGTTGAGTAGGTCTCAATAATGTCACGTGATTTCCTCTCGATGCACCGTGGAAGGAGTTTCTGGCCTGCACTGATAAACGTGTCAGATGAGATGACCTCGAAAGCATAGGAAGCTAACGGCTGTTGCGTGATGCATTGTTCAAGAATCTTGTTTCCATAAGTCTCTCCTGGCAACTTCCTGCTCATGATTTGATCGCACTTCACTTCATCATTACAAATGAGAATGGCTTTTGTTCTTGCACGACAATATCCACGTTGGTTCCGCGATGTATTTTACATGTCCCGTGTGATTAATCTTCGCACTCTAGTGGTGAGCACCGCCTTCCTCCTCTTCCTCCTCCTCGAAGAAGTCTTGCTCAGCTGGCGCAGCCTCTCCCTCGCTGCTTGCGCCGACCACATCCGGTGTCTGGGCCTCGTACTCGGCGAGACCGCTTTGAAGGTCGGTCTCTTCAGGGGACGCAGGTGTAGCAGGAACGGCAAATTTTAGAACTTGGCCCTCGGAGTCGTTGGCCTTGAGTGGTGTTGGTTTGTAAGCCTTCAATTCCTTGAGGTAAAGTTCTTGGACCAAGTCGGCTAGCAATTGCTGTCAGATACCAAGTCTTTGAATGATGATAGTCTGATAAATACCCTGTCGCACGGCAGTTGGGGTGATGAATGTTCGAATCATAGCCGGCTGGCGGAATGCCACTCGGGCAATGGTCTGGCGCTGCAGGTTGTCAGAAGCGTCTCACTACCCGTATCGAATCCAAGAGAGGTTTACCGAAGCCCGCAGAGCTTGGGCGTACATGTTTGCGACGTGTTTGCGACCGTGATTGTTGGTATTCAAAAAGATCCAATGTCTGCTGCCGCCCAGGGAGCTGCTGAAGCTTGTCGCAGACACGGATTGTCCCGTCAGCCGAGAAGCCGTAACACGTGACATGGGCGCAGCCGCCCGCTGCGTGCGATGACACAGATACTCTTCTTGTCTCGCTTCAGATGAAAACTCTTGCATCGACACACACTCTCTCACCACAGGCATCGTCACAGTTGTTGACAATATCTCCACGATCGCTATTGTATCTCTCCCGGCCGCTATCTTGTGAGACGACCATCTGTCGCCTCTAGGAAGCCTTTATTGGTTACGCGGCCCCAAGAACTTGCATTACGACATCGCCACGACAATTGATCCTCTCCGCTCCATCTCGAGATCGCAGCCACGAATATTCGACTCTCGTCGCACCTGAAAACGGTGTTCTCGTGCATCCATTTCGAGAGTTCTGGAGCGAGGGGTGAGTGAGGATTCATTTTTGTAGAACATGCATCATACATACACGCGCATCTGCGATCTTGCGCTTATTGCTCCCAAGATAATCAATCCCAAACACCCGCTGCAAAGCAGCACGGCACACGCTCGCGTGATCATTCCATGTTCTTCTCATGTCTTCCTCGCTTGATGTTTGCTAACGCAGAATCATCATTCAGCGTTCACTTATTAGCCGCGCAATTTTCGATCTTCTGTGACCTTACCATAATTGTACAATACCGCCACAACGTATTCTCCACTTTTTATCCGCTGTTGCGCCAGGAACCCCAAAATCAACAAGTCCTTCAAGGGCATCAAAAGACGAGCAACCACTCGATTTGAGAAGGAACATCCAAAACCCGACGTTGTCAAGCGGGCTCCGCTGTCAGTGATGACACAAGGGCTGTCACCAGGCGCTTTGCCTGAGCCTGAAGCCCTGCCCCCAAAGCAGGAAGAATGGCAAGAGAATCTCAATGTTACCTTGATCTGCCCAGACTGTCGAGAAAGTCCACCAGAGTTACGTGAAGACCACGCGAGCGGCGATCTCATCTGTGCTAGCTGTGGCTTGGTCTTGCAGGAGCGTGGGATTGACACCACTTCTGAATGGCGTACCTTTGCCAACGATGATCAAGGCAATGACGACCCCTCCCGTGTCGGAGATGGTCCCAATCAGCTTCTGAATGGAGGTCAATTGAACACCAACATTCAATTCACAGACGGTAGCGCTCGAAGCAAGGAACTCAATCGTGCACAGAACAAAGCCAACCTGGACAAGGGCAACAAGCATCTCTTGCTTGCGTACAAACAAATCGGTGCTCTCGCCGACAATTGGCAACTCCCCAACGCCGTCGCTGACACGTGCAAGCATATTTTCAAGGAAGCCGAAGAGAGTCGAATCTTCAAGGGCAAGAGTCAAGAAGCCCTCATCGCAGGGTGTTTGTTCCTAGCTTGTCGCCGGAATGAAGTCCCGCGAACCTTTCGTGAGGTCATGGACCTGACCAGAGTGTCGAAGAAGGAAATTGGGAAGGTTTTCAAACTCCTCGAGAATTTCCTGATGGCAAAAGATAAACAGAAGGCTGGCACAACTTCCATGGTTGCGGGTGGTGTCACAGTGTTCAACGACACTTACAAGGGCAGCTCTACATCCGATCCTGCCGATCTCTGTTCGCGTTACTGCAGTATGTTGAACATGGACAACCGGACGACCAATGTTGCCATTGCACTAGCGACCAATATGACGAAGCTGGGCCTCCTCGCTGGACGCTCTCCGCTTTCAGCCGCAGGTGCCTGCATTTACATGGCCGGCTTCCTGATGGACCAGCCTAAATCGCCCAAAGAGATTCAGAATGTTGCACACGTCAGCGACGGTACAGTACGAGCCTCATATCGTCTGCTGTATGCCGATGCGAGCAGAATCATCACTGAGGATATTCTCAACCGCGGAGCCGATCCCTCGAAGCTGCTCAAGCCGTCTTAAGGGATTTAGCTTCGAATCGAAACATGTTCGATGCGTCTCCCAAAGTCTCGGTTTCTCAATATTCTGCCGGCTGGTCAAATCAGCAGGCTCATGTGCGATAACACCACATTACCAAAAAGAATGGACGGCGTTGTTGAATTTTAGCGTTGCTTTGTCAGCTGGGTTTCCAGCTGTCTCAGGTTTTGTTTATTGCAGGTGGCGTCTCTGTTTTGCTGTGACATCTTTTAAGGGAAGAAGGTAAGCAATCAAGGAGGCGACAGACAGCCCTGGAGTGTGGCAGGCTGCGCAGTTAACGCGGAATGTTGGAAAAGCCGCTTCCAGCATGCGTTTATGTAACGAGATAATCAACATAGACTAAAATCGGATATCGTTCCAGCTGGTTGTCTGAGGCTTTTGTCACGAGCCAAAATCCACCGAGTCCCATGTGATCGCTGCGTGGAGGAAATGTTCTGAGCTACACTGTTCTACTACATGTGTACATGTACCATAACGTACCGTATATAAAAACCTGGGAATGTGCACTACTATTGTGTGGGTGGCTATTGATCTATACGGTGAACGAGGGAAGATTGGCGGGGCAACAAGCGCGATTGAGTCGCCAGCGTCCAGTCAGGATCAAGATGAAACGAGTGTTTTTGACGTGCATGACCATTCCTTTCCCCATCTTTCAATCGTCCATCTGACCTCGTGCCTCGAACGCGACCAAGCATGGGGTAAGAAGTCTTGAGCATGCGGGCGTCAGTAGTACGGTTTACGGTAAGTCGCGACTATCTTATTGTTTTCATGTGATACTCTTTTCATTCCTTGCTCTCCTCTCCTCGCCCGTCCTCTTTTCGTTGCTGGTTGTCTTGCTTGGATTATATTGGAAGCGATTCCGGCGGTGGCGACGGCAACAACAACAAGGACAGAGGCCCCAAAGAGTTCAGATATCTAATCCGCGACCATGGCAATGGATGGCGCCGGTGGCATGGCGCTCTTGAAGATCGTCGCTCCACAGATTCCAGGTCTCGCATATGCAGCGCTTCGACACTCGTTCGGGTCTTCGCCGACCTCTGCCTACTGGGACCTCAGAACGGAGATGACAGTCTCCTTCCTTCGGCGACTCATCACAAGCAAAGGAGGAACTCCACCGCAGGTCGGCAAGATGCAAGCCATGAGTAAGCAAGATCGACCAGTAAAAGGCAAGCTCTGGGTGGCAAAGTCGCATTTTCCAAAGCCGGCCGAGGATGATGTCCAGCAACTGGTTTTGAAGGCTGTGCAAGACATGAAAGAGGGTGAGGTCTCCTACACGATACCTGGGTCAGCGGATATCCCCTTCGAGTGGACAGGATATCGGTCCGACGCGGCTGAGGACGAGCCATTGCCCAAAATCAGCGAGGAAGAGAAGTACAAGCGATTGATGAAGGAGCCTACACGAAGCAGCGCCACAACCATTCTGTACTTTCACGGTGGAGCGTACTACCTTTGCGGTGCATCAACGCATCGAGGACTCTGCGCTGCGCTTGCCAAAGGTTGCAAAGGCCGTGTCGTCAGCGTCGAGTATCGACTCGCGCCCCAGACGGCATTCCCAGGACAACTCCTTGATGCGTTCACAAGCTACCTCTCGCTGCTCTACCCTCCTCCTGGCTCGTTCCATGGGGCCGTGCGTGCCGAAGAGATAGTCCTTGGAGGTGACAGTGCTGGCGGAAACCTGTCTATGGCGCTGCTGCAACTTCTTCTTCAGCTTCACCGATCTGCATCCGGCGTGCCTGTTGTCAAGTTCAATGGCCGGGACGTCCACGTACCGCTTCCCGCTGGTGCGAGTGCCAACTCGGGCTGGCTAGACATTACGCGGTCCTTCCCTAGCATCAGTGGAAATGCTGAGTTCGACTACCTGCCCGGTCCCAACATGGACGACGCTGTCTCCGAATTCCCTGCGGATGACATCTGGCCTACTAATCCGCCTCGCGGCGACCTCTTCTGCGACTTGAGCCTATTGGATCACCCACTTGTTTCGCCTGTGGCCGCACCAGACTGGTCACAGTCGCCGCCATTGTGGATGTGCGCTGGTCGGGAGATGTTGTACGACGAAGTCGTCTCGGTGGCGTCACGTGCCGCGCAACAGGGAGTCAAGGTTCAATTTGAAATGTATGAGGCAATGCCGCATTGCTTCCAGTTGTTGATGCCGTGGCGGGCCAACAGCGAGCGCTGCTTTACCGACTGGGGTGAATTCGCACGGAGATGTGTCGAGGATCCGCAGAGTCTTAAAACAGTCGGTCGTGTTGTCAAGGCGAAAGGTGGACCGGACGATAGCTTGGATGTTGCTTCGCTGTCGAATATCGACTTGGCTGAGGCAAAGAGGCTGATCAAGGAAGCCAAGATTCGTCGATTGAAAGGTTACGAGAAGGAGGGCAAGGCTATGCCCAAGCCTTCAATTTGATCGCTTCCTGTCTGCACACTTTGTTGTAGAGGCGTAGCCGTCAACTTGCATGTAGTACGGTACAGTGAAGTCGTGCTCTACTTAGTGACAATCTTTTGTAATCTTCGACGACACGAATACAAATCGGTTTCACTTCGAGGTCTACATGTACAATCACATTATTGAGGTGCAGTTCCAAATTCTTCATTATTGGTGCAATACTATCATCATAACACAAGCTCGGTATCATTACAAAAGAAATATCTCTATCATAACAGTCGTGATGCCCATCTAGTCATCAGTGGGCAGACCCTCAGTGTCGCCGGGCTCGCGGTAGGTCTCCTTGGCAGCACCACGGGTGCGCTCATCGATGATGTTTTCCTTGTTGATGGCATCGGCATCATCCTTCTCTGTACACAGCAAGACATATGATTAGCCAAACTGTAATACCACATATAGCTAAATCGAAGTACAGTGATTAGACTTACCGAGTTGAGCATCGGAGTCTTCAGTCTCCGGGTTCACGCCTGACTCGACAGTGTCGGAGTCCTTCTCGACGGGTATCTCGGACTGGCCAGGACGGGAGACGTAGTCGTTGTCGGGAGCGGAGGCAGAGTCAGACATGGCTGTGGATTAGGTTGGATGGTTGGATTTTCGTGGAATATTGATTGTGAGAGGGATTTGGTTGTTTTCGAAATAATGAGCATGAATTGCGGTGGCTCAAGCACCACTATATATCTACAAACTCTGTAGTGATGTACCCCTTCTTTGCTTCACACGCTGGCGATGATGTTATTGATGATGCCGATGGTGCTAAGCACACACTCCGCAGTAGCTATCCCTCTCGATATGTGAACGGATTGCCGCTACTGCTGCTGTAGAGACCATCACTGCATCATTCTGACGACGTGACGTTCACTTGGGACAATGGTGGAATAAGGGATCATCACCGTTCGTTGATCCATGGTGCTTCCTGATCTTTGTCCATGTATGTGCCATACGTCACGAAGAATGCCTATCATCAAACCATCACTCATCGGGACCGGGGACGCTCCCTTGCATGCTGTTGCCGTGAAGGAATAACACAAGCGTGACAAGCCAGAAGAAAGGGCATGTATGGGCACGAGCTATCGCGGGACGAATCTCTAGAATGCAGATCGATGATGCGTACTGACGCAGCAGCCCTGCGACCATAGGATTCCTCAATGGGTCTTCAAATCTGCCAGCCGCATGCAGCAGTGTAGATCGATCGCATTCGCCGGGGCCGAGACCGCGTGAATGGATAAATGGCTGGTGAAACCAAAAGATCAGATGGTTGGTATCTCTCGCCCAGCTACCGTGCATTTGAAGAACTAAGGATATAGTGGTCGTAACAACAGTAGAGATTTCGCATAGATTGCAATAGCCTTGGAGGACGCGACGTCAACGACTGGCATGAAGTGGTTTAGCGTCAGGCACAAGTCTGACCACGGCCCGCACGATGCTCTTTGAGATCGATCGCGCTTATGCATGCACTACCGAAAGCAGCCCTGGAGTGAAAAATACGAACGGGGATTCGCGAGCGCGACGCCTCCACGAGATCACACTTCCTCGTGTATGTGTGACGCGTTCCGGACGAGGGATGACAAAGGGTCATCTCGCATGACATCAATAGCCAGGGCAATGTCACTCCGAATCTTATCAAACGCCTCGCGATATGGTTGCACGCTGTGCAACCGGACGAAATTGCGAACGCTGATCTTTAACACGATTAAGTATTGCACAGGTTGGATGAAGTTATGAACGGGTATCTATGACAAACATGAATGCTCCTGCAAGGCGACCCTGCACACCACCCTCGCGAAAACTTCGAAAGTTGAGCAAGATCAAACAAGCATAACTCACTTGATCAGGTAGCTTTCTTCGCACGGCCTTTGCGTGCCTTCTTCGTTGGTGCATCAGCATTGTCGACGACCTCGTCTAAGGTCGCGATTGGTTTTGCATTGGCCTTCCTCTCAGTAGCCGTAGTTGGGGTATCTGCTAAGATGGGATCACTTGACGAAGTCGCAGCAGCGGCAGACGCTCGCTTGCGTCCTCTGCCAGTAGTCGGCGGTGCTCTGCTTCCGATATCCTTAATGTGTTTAGTTGTTTCTGACACCAATTCCTCGTCGTCCTTGTCAGCCTCGGCCTCACTCTTGAGCTTCTTAGCTCGAGGATTCGTCCTGGTGCGACCTTTCTTGCTGGCAGCAGCGGCAGCTTCTGCAACGTCTTCGTGTTCGACAGGCTCTGCTTTGACCGCTTTTTTCGACTTGTTCTTTTGAGCAGGCAATGTTTCTTCATCCTCCACTTGCTCAGGCTTGATCGAGTTCTTAGAGCGAACTTTCTTCGCTGGTGGAGCAGAAACTGCGACAACGGCGTCGTCTTCTTCCTTCGGCTGTGCCATTACACCCTTCTTGGTGCGAGCTTTCTGTGAAGGTACGTGATGTTCTTGCTGGCCGTCAATATCATCGTTCTCGGTCTTCGTAGCTTTTCTGGATCGCCTTTTCTTGGCTGGTGCCTCTCGTTCGACCTCTGCTTCTTCGTCTTCGTCAATGTCTTGGCGGCCTCGCTTCTTGCTGGCCTTCTTGGGTTTTGGCTTAGCATCAATTTCGTCCTCATTTTTCTGTAGACGAGCAATCAGCAGCGGAACGAATCATTTATTCAAGATATGGTCACGCACGGCCTTTCTGCTCTTGTGAAACATGCCCTGTTGTTTCTTGTCAGGATTGTAGCGGTTCAGCTCTGCGTCCTATGATGGTCAATAGGCTTGATTTAAAAGAGACTGCGTCAAGCACGTACTCCATTCCAATCTTCGTCATCAACATGACCTTGCTCGAAGCAGCGTCTGACTTTCTCCTGCAATTCGTCTGGCAATTCCTCATACCCATCGACCAGGTCCATGTCACCATTCTCTGCGCCTGCTTTGTCAATCCAATTATGAATAACAGTTGGTGTCACGCAGCCCCTATACGATGCGGTTAGACGGAAAATTGATCACGACGACAATGGGTTGCTTACCAGTGCCGCCACTTCCAGGACGTGTACTCTTGGATGGACACCAAGACTCCATGACGAAGTTCACCCTTTTGAATCTTGGCCCCTTCCTTTTTGCAATGCGTTGCTTGACAACCAGCGCGGGCGGAGACCGAAACCTCTGATTTCGCAACGGTCATTATAACTTCAATACAAGAGTACGCATCGATTTTGCCTCACCAACACGGTAAGTTGCCTCCGACATTATGCCCGTTGTGATCCGATGACTGTGACGACAGTTGCAGACTTGCGAAATTCGAGGTCAGATGCGTTCGTGCCCTTCGCATCACGACCATCTAGACAGAATTTCAATTGGTCTTACAAATCGTTGTAGAGAGAGGTCTGTGCCGGCAGTGAGTTCGTAAGGTGACTTGAGAATGTGAGAGGTGGAAGCCGTTGGTGCTTAAGAGACGCAGATCACCTCTCTCTCTCTCGATGATGATGATTTTTGATCATTTATAAATCATTGCAAGTTTGTTCTTCTGCACCTGGGCAGGCTGCAATCCATTCACAGCGCGACAAACCCCAGGCAACAAATGCGCGATAGGCCGCAAGTGAAGGCACAAATTTAGGCCCGTGCGCCCGTGTCAGCAGCGCGTTTTCATGAACGTCATGTCGAAATTTGGCGGCAAGCAGCTCCTGACGGCTAACAATTGATGGCGGGAGAATCATCACGACAGTCATTCTTTATTCGTGATCCATCGCCGACAGACACATCCACTTCAAGGCCATAATCAAAAAGATCAGATCTCGTCAGATTCGCATTATTGATCGTTTGATCTGATGATGTTCAAGCGCCAATGAAAACATGGCTAATTCGGCAGGCCCCAGTGCTGCACTGCTTGAGGCGACAGCGTCCACCGTTCACAACTTTAGAAGGCCGACCACTTGCAAAACCACCGAGATGGGCTCGCTTTGCACACACACAATGCTACCGGCCAGAAAGTCATGCCAATTATGCCGTCTTCGATAAAATCGATAGGCCTGATCACACCTTGGACGGGTGGCTAGGGCTTCTCGAACAGTCATTGCCACCACATCTGCGTCTGCAGACTACACCGCCATCGGACGTCAAGCTGGACTCTACTGATACTGCGCAGATAATCCTCTCTGCACAGTATCCTCCAAATCCTTCTATTGCAGGGTTCGATCTGCTGCACAATTTGGGTTTGATTCAAGGCCGATGGGTAGCAGTGATGTGGTTGGTCAAGGAGTTGACCGAAGATTATCATCAGTACACAGAAAACAGTGCACGCCTCGCACGCCTCGCGCATGAATGGCCGCTCTCAAAACCTCTCGCCGAATTAACACTTAAGCCAATTGAGCTGAGTAGACAATTCAACGATGCGTTGCCACAGCCCACGGTCTTTACTGGATTGAACGACCTCTGCTATCTTCCAAGCAAGAATAACAACCTCGCCAAGAGGCTTCGACATGCCGCTGTGGGTCAGATATGGCGCAGCATAGGTCGTATGACACAGGCTTGTGCTGGTGCAGCCATAGCCCCCGAAGTCCTGGAGGTTATCGCCCATCTCCATCACAAAGAGATCATGCCGACATCAATTTATCAATTTGAGCCCAACGTAGACAATCTGGCCATCCGGATGCCTCCACTTCTCTCACTCCTCTCCTCCAGAATCTTGACCTCTTTGTCAGACGCTGCTTGGCGCGCGCACGAGAAACTCATTATTCAAGACGCCAAAAGCAAAGGAGATGCATACGCAGCGCTACGCCCCGAGATTCCCAGCTCTGTCTATCGCGTACACGTTGCTGGACTCAAACCCGAACTATGGATGGAGTTGATTCTCTGGTCGTGTTTGCGTGGCGGATGGGTGCAAGAAGGCGTCCAGATTTTGCTGTCGCTGTCGGCCGATAGATCCTGGAAGCCTATCTCGTGGCAGGAGCATGTGTCAAAGTTTTCTTCAAAAGCTGCAAAGGCCAGCATGCCTGAATGGAATGAGTGGGATTTCCAATTCAAGACCCGCTCTCCTGATACCATGGATGCTCCGATTGCCGCAGAATTTCACGTTGATCGCACAATAAGTGGTGAGGTCGTCAGCGCGTTCGCAGACGCCTTGGTAGGTCTGGTTGACGTGGGCGTTGGAAATCGAGGGATTCCGATGCGGACGCTTGTTGCATCGCTCCGCGAGCTGCAACGATTCCTTAATGTATCGAGATTGAGTCTCACTACCGGGTCTTGGGATGCACTCTTGCTTCGTCTTGCTGACACTCATATTGTGGATGCGAGATTTGACGGGGCAGTCATCCAGGAAATCGTCTCGCTATCGCCCGGCATGTCTCGACGCTTACCATCTACAGTCAAACAAATGGAGAGCAGCACCTTGCCCAATTATGTTTTGGACGGGAATCTGGCCATGCAGGGCCTGCTTCACACAGCTCTAAAGGGGCAGATCGGCACTGGTCATTTTGAGTCGGCTCTCCAGGTATTCAATATTATCCTGGAGCGAGCAGATGAGGACAAGCGCGATTCAATCACCAGCTTTCTGCGGAGACGGAAATCGCTCATGGACACTGCGATTCGAAAAGGTCATTTCACAAGTAACTTTTCAGGTATCGATTACCCAGCACTGAACGTACAAATACCTGCTTTCGTTCTTGCTGCGCTGCTTGATCTCGCCACTGAAGCCAGGTCCTACGACTTTGGCAATTGGCTCATCGCTAGCGAGGATGTCGATGGGCCTCTCATCACCCTGCCGATGTACGGCGATGTGCACATTCAGCCAGCGCTTCTCAATTTTGCCCTCGAAACGAACAATGAGAAATTGGCAGAGACTGTTCTTAAACAATCGTCATCGAACGTCAACATGCAGACCTTCTTCAACAGCCGAGTGAGCACCTTGCAATGGGGAGCTGCAACAACTTTGTTGGAGTTGCTGGTGAAGTCAGGCCGAGACGATGTTTGGAACGCTGAGAATTTGGCGAACCTAGGCCGAGTGATTATCTCTCTGGCAGCAGATCCCAAGCACGGTTCATCAAAATCCGAGAGTAGCCTGGCCAAGGCGGAGGGCCTCTTCACGGCCATGGTCCTAGGCAAGTATGATGGCGCGGGCGCCAGAAAACCTGCGAAGATCCGAGAAGTACAATCAATCATCTCAGTACTCTCCACGGTTACTAGGCGGATGGGTAAATTCTGTCTCTCCATTGGACTTCCGCCACGACAACTGCGCTTCAAGATGACGTCTGCCAATTTCAATCTAATGCTCGAAGGGATTGTTGAAACTCACGGTAGCATTGCGGGTCGTCGTGTCCTGGCCACCTTCTGGCCGTGGCAAGCCCGTTTGCCGATCAACAACTCAACAGCATTTGGCACGCGCCAGAGCACAAGTATGCAGACCGAACGCCCTCATGCCCTGCGGAGGCTCTTGGCCCACACTCTCCGAATATCTGTCGGAAATCGGTCGAAACGCTCTGGCGACACACGCTCTACTGGAAAGTCGACATCGATACAGGGTACGGTTGTGCCGAACACACGGACGGTATTGATCATCTTGCAGAGAGCTTTGGAAGAGTTGGGACAGCAAAGCCATGAATCCAAACCTCAAACCTCGGGCATGACCTCTTCGCTAGCGCCAGAGTCCATTTTCCCGCAAGCAGGGAATGTTGCGTCACTCGCAATGGCCTCGTCGTCCAACTCTTCGCCAGCGAGCGTCGATGACGCAGGCCATCGCATCGACGCAAGCGACGAAAATTTGAACATCGATACTGACAAAAGTCCCGAGACGGATCATTTCGACCGTGATCTTGGCGATAGTAGCGTTAGCGACGCCGAAATCGCCGCCGGCATTGCCGCCGACGAAGGCGTTCCCGTCGTTGACATTTCTGCGCGCGGCATGGTTGCCTGGGCCGTGCGGCACCTGACAGAGCTTCCTTCCGTCGAAGAAAATCTGGTACGACACCTAGACTTTATTCTCCGTCAGTACGGATTGGAGGAGATACGCGCAGATCTCTCCCGGATCGTCCGACAAGTTCAACGGACTATGGAGAGATCGCGCGAGGAGGAGGACGACGATGAAGTTCACTGCACAGAGGAGGTTGCCTCGGCTGCTCACCAACGAGAAAATAACGCCTCGAGACTCAAAGGGCCTCATCGCTGAGGTGATCCCATCGCGACTGTGCTGGCGGAGTTTTATTAAAGCACTGGCGGTGATCAGCATAACGCTTCATGGCGTTATATCGGCTAATATCTGGGTGGTCATCTGCTTGTTTTCCTCGCAAGGACTAAGCAGGAGCAGGAAATTGCACTGTGGGCTACACATTTGCGTTCCGATCTTTTGCCTTTCCAGTTTTGGTCTCGAGGAACAAACCTCTGTATATTGATGTGGCTATATGTAAATATTTGAAAATATGTGCATTTCGAGAGTCCCTCGTCCGGCGACACTCTTCAACTTGGGGCTGCTTTGCTATGCATTGACATTCTCATGTCCCAAACACTACTCGGACGAGTCATGCAAAACATTCTCGATAACCCACGCGATCTATCATGGTGTTGGTCATCGTAACTCCGCAAGGCTGTCACACGCGACGAAGTGGGTCCATGCCCACACGCATTGATATTTTGGCAACTTGGGCCCAGCCTCAAAAGCCTTCCCAAGCGGGAAAGCACGGAACGATTGAAAGAATGAGGAATCCATTCCAAGGTCGGTAGGGTTGGCCGGCAGACACTCCGACCGCACAATTACCCGAGGTTCCGAATTCGCCGTCGATCGTCGCCAGAACAAGCACTCAGTTGCGGAAGACTCACCGTCTCCACGCTGTTTGGATCGGACAAACTCCGCCCACGATACAAGACCTCATGGTTTGATGCACGGAAAACTCTTCCAGAGCATTCTCCTCTGCAAAGACCTTTCACACGTAGGCAGAAGACCCACAGAACTGTCCCGGACACAGGACGGATGCAATCGACGAAGGATTCCAAGCGAGAAGTGGATGCTGAGTGAGGCGCGGGTTTTGCAACGCGGAATCGACGTCATGACGCACGGCCCGGGCCATACACACATACATGCACACACAACCCCCGGGGACACACACACACACACATATCCAGCTGGGGGGCATCCTTCCCTCTGACAGAGAGTGGATATATACTACAGTAGCACTACCACGCGCGGCGACTAGAGACGCAAGACAAACAGCATGACATCGCGCGTGGGAAGAAAGTCGGTGGTGGACAGAGGAGTTCGCCCTCTCAAAGCCTTGAAATGGAACCATTCACGGGCCATAGATCAAAGGACATCCCGGCGAAGGGTCGATCTCTTTCCTCTCCCGTCACCACTTCTTCACTACACCACTCCACCACTCCACCTTTTCTCCCACTCGTCATCACGCCCTACTGTACCACGGAAGAGGTGTCGTCCTCCCGGCGGCCTCTTCTCTCGAGTCTCGATAATACATCACTAGTCGAATTCCGATCTTATGCTTCTCTTCATCTCTGCTTCCTTCAACATCCTGCTACTGCGTGCGACGACAATCTCGGCTTGACGAAGCATTCCGTTTCCTTAGCTACTTACGCAAGATACTCACGAATGGGACCCGGCTTCAACATCCTTCCGTCTTCAACATCATCACAATCGAAGGTGACAGGCCGGTATACTGAACGTAGATCCTCCTACACTGCCAGTGCGCCAGCGTCAATCCTTTGAGTCTCGACCCGCAAGCGACAAAACCCGAGCATCCAAAGCGAAACCTAGCCTTGCGACCCGTCCCTTTGCTTCCTTGCAACACAGTATCGACCCTGACTCTATCCCGCCATTGCGACCTTCGCCAACCTATTCCTCTACCACCAACGGTTGCGTCAAATCGTTCTCTAACCAGCAGACCCCAAGGACATCCACTAAAACTCGATCGCGATCGTCTTGATTCCAGCTTGTGAATTTTCATCTGTGAGACTCGCAATCTGGACAATATATCCGCAGGACTTCACCCAAAGCAGCATTCCGTCGCAATCATGCCGTCGAGATTTCGAGAACTTAACCCGTTAGTAAATATCCACAATCCAATTCCTTCCTCTCTGGTGCAATCGCACTCGCCAGATGGCTCTTTAGATAGTGGCGCACCGACATCACTTCAAAGACGATAGACAAGTCCCAAGAATGACGACATCACGTGCTCGGAATCAGCTTTTGCTCCCTCAGCACTTCTACTAATCACATCTTTGTGCCGTTCATAGGTTTGCCAAACATGACGTTAGTGAATACCCTGGCGTGTTGATTCCGCTCGCCAGAGGCACCAGCACATCCTCCGCGCCAAAACCTCGCTCGCCCTCCTCCGATGAGGAAGTCGACAAGACGTCCTTCGACGAGAAGAATGCAGCTGGCCTACCTCAATACAGCACAGCTGGCGTTGCCGGCAACAACAGCGCTCTCACCAGCACCAACACCGGCGACCTCGAATCGCCACGCACTCTTGAGACCCTCCGCGCCGAGATCGACGATGACATTGCTTCCACCGGCACCGACACCGCCTACGACCGCAAATCCCACATCATCAACAAAGCCCTCGCCGACATTGGCATGGGCCGGTACCAATGGCAACTCTTCGTCCTCTGCGGCTTCGGCTGGATGGCGGATAATCTCTGGCTGCAGGGCGTCGCCTTGACGCTGCCACGCCTGAGCGCTGAGTTCGGCATCGATTCGAATTATGTTCGATACACCACTCTTGCGCTTTTCATCGGTCTGTGCCTCGGAGCTTCGTTCTGGGGCATTGCTTCGGACATCGTTGGCCGCCGACTTGCGTTCAACTTCACGCTGCTTGTTGCGGGTGTTTTTGGTATCGCGGCGGGTGGGGCGCCCTCGTGGGTTGGCGTATGTGCACTATACGCCTGCTTGGGATTTGGAGTCGGAGGATCTCTCCCGGTTGATGGCGCTCTTTTCCTCGAATTTCTGCCAATGGCTAGCAACAATTTGCTGGTAAGTAATTGTTCCTGAGATTCGGGTTTTCAAAGGGCTCGAGGAAAGCTCGGGTCGGCATAATCGGCGAGCATAAGGGCACGCCCGTATGTATACATGGCGCACTTCGCTGACAATGACAACCTTCTAGACCTTGCTCTCGGTATGGTGGCCGATCGGACAGCTGATTGCCTCTCTCGGTAAGGAATCCTCCTCAAGATCTTTGAAGGATCAATGCTGATGGAATGAACAGTCGCCTGGGTCTTCATCGTCAACTTTCCTGTGAACGTCGGCTGGCGATATTTCATCTATACCATGGGAGCCATGACCACGGGATTTTTCTGCTGCCGATTCTTCTTCTTCCACCTCTTCGAATCGCCCAAGTTCCTGCTCTCCCGCGGACGACAAGCTGAGGCTGTGGCCGTCATTCACGGCATTGCCTACAAGTGAGTATTGCGACTAGTCACGACATAAGGTTAATCGGATCTGACGAAAACACTAAAAGAAACAAGACAAAGACTTGGTTGACTGAGGAGATTTTGAACGAGATTGGAGGTGAATAATACTGCTCAGATTTCTCTTTGATTTGTGGGCATTCTCTGACAGTCTCCTGATATAGGCCACCCCGATGTCGTCACTGATGGCAAGCTCACCGTCATGCAAATCATCAAACGATCGCTCTCCAAATTCAGCGGACAGCGTATCGGTCCTCTCTTCAATACCCGCACTCTTGCCTTGTCCACAAGTTTGATCTGGTTCATCTGGCTGACGATCGGCATGGGTTACCCGCTCTTCAACGGTACGTCCAATTCCAGCGTCCCTGTCAATTTCCATGACTTCCAATCAAAGTAACACATCTGACGTTTCCCATTCCAATAGCCTTCCTCCCGCAATACCTCAGTCGCAGCGGCGCCGGCGAGAATGACGAGAACACAACCTACCGCGACTACGCCATCACCTCAGTCGTAGGTGTGCCCGGTAGCATTCTTGCCTGCTACACCGTCAACCTGAAATACATCGGCCGCAAGGGTACCATGGCCATTGCCACAGTCGTCACGGGAATCTTCGTGATCCTCTTCACCATCGCATCCGATTCAGGCTTCCAACTCGCCATGAGCTGTACGTCCCCCCTCTTGCAACTTTCATGACTTCCATACAGAAACCCTCTTCTTGCTGACACGAAAATTCCACCCACCATTCAGGTCTCGAGGCTTTCTTCCAAAACATCATGTACGGCGTCCTCTACGCCTACACCCCCGAAGTCTTCCCGGCGCCCAACCGCGGCACCGGCACAGGAATCGGAAGTTTCCTCAACCGTCTCGCGGGTCTTTGCGCGCCGATTGTGGCTGTCAATGCCGGCCAGGCGAATCCCAAAGCACCGATTTTCGCGTCGGCGGGACTGTTCTTTGCGGCGTTTTTGGCCATGGTTGCTTTGCCGATTGAGACCCGCGGGAGGTCGACTTTGTGATTTAAGACGTAGAAGGGTGTTTGGTGGATTTACAGGGGCGCGGAATAGGTCACGCCCTTTTGCATATTTTTGGGCAAAGTTTCGATGAGATAATGATACCAGGAACTGTAAATTTTGCCCCGGCGTTGAGTTGTGATGTTGATCTGTGCCGTCGTGCGAGACATTGTATCATCGAGCGGGCGAAGATTTCGCTCGGCATCAAATTATGATGTTCATCTATGACTTTATTCGACATATCCCTGCATCGGTAGAACGATCATGCCAACTCATGGAATTCAGATCCCCTACCGTAATTGCCAACAGCGATAACTACCCGGTCGCTGTGCATTGCCTTGTCAACGAATCTCGAACTCGACGATATTGCTTTCGTCATGCAGACACTTCTCTAAGTGGCCGTGCTCCATACCGTCAATGTAAGCGCAGCCGACGAGAGTGTAATACCGACCATGATTTCGAAGGACAAAGGCTTCGGAACCACCGAAAAGAAGGCAGATCTTGTCACCTGATAATATACCATAATCTCCCAAGACAAATTTCCCTGCGCTAGTTTTGAAGAAGTAGTGCTTTTCTTCATCCATGTCGCCAAAAAAGTGTTTGACGATATGCTGTTTGAACTGATAGAACGTCCGCTCAGACTCTCGTGCAGTGTCGTCCGCAAGAAGCCTCCCGATGGACATGTCGGCGAAAAGTTTCTCACTCGATATGGAGCTCAAAAGTAATGACGCGAAAATTTGACGGTATGAACCACGATCGAAAGGTCCAAGGCTTTCATTGATACAACCGATCACTGCTCCTTTTGCGAACATGGTTGTGCAATCTTCAGACCAACGGACTTGTGGTGTCTTCCCCTCAGTCGTGGGGCATCGAGGCCAAGCAGGACTATGGCGGCAGAAAATACTCAAGTCGACACCACGCGGACCAAGAGCCCACGAGGAAAATCGATCCTCGGGACCCAGTGGACACACACGGAGTGCGTCGAGATTGCCCTTGTCGCAGATCTCTCTCATAGTGAACCTACAGTAGACGTTCGCTGGCGGTAAGCTATAATCTGCATGCATGGCATCTGAGAGCCCGCAATCAAAATAGCCGAGAAGTGCGAATATCTTGTCTCGCGGATCAGTTGCCTCCATTTGATGCAGTAGAGCGCAAACGGCCGAGTAACCCAACCGCTTTCCTTCACGGAGGCTAGCGACGTGTTCAAAGAACCCAACATTGTATTTGCGAAGAAACCCCAAACTACGAGCAAGACGCTCCCATTTCGACCACGGAGCCTCGACGGTACCACATCGGATCATAGGCTGTTGGCTGGCGGAAACAGCCTCCTGAAGCACCCATATTCTCTGCCACCAAGCTCGATCAAATATCGATTTCAAGGGCGAATGCAAGTCCCACAAAATGTGGGAATTGAATGAGTCTAATGCGCTCGTCAGCCATTCTACCTCTGTTTCTTGTCTGTGGTCCCCTAGCCACGCAACGACTTGTCTGGCCTCTCGATAAATCGTCCTCATCTGTCCGATCTGGTGCATCTTCTCGACCAGATCCTGCTGATTGATGCATAGTGCATCGACCCAGAGCGCGACCTCGCTTTCTTCGTCCCGAAGTGAGCGTAGTGCCGCATACAGGTTGCTGGTGATGACTCTGGGGTGTCCATCGACAGAGATCGGGATGTCTGACATCTCCGTGCCCCAGGCGTATGAAAGGGCTCGATAGTATGGCTTGACTTCTGTGACCAAGGAGCACAACTGGAGCGAACATTGTATCGGATCGTCCGCGCTACCAGGAAAGATTCTAAGGACTCGTATCTCGCCCAGCTGACCGTCGATCGGCGAGTAGAGGTCCATTGTAATGAACGCGAATCACACTCATGACGGCCACGAACTCGAAGTATGAAAGTGCCTCGAAGCTGATGTGTCCCTACTTTTTGTCGTCGTCGGGTACTCAGCCACAGCGGTACCTTGCATGTTCGCAGTGGGGCACACAGCAGCCGTCACGAAGCCGCAAGAGGTACATCACAATCTCCGGCCTGGCGTTCATGTCGAACTTCAATCCGTGGTTATGAAAGCTCATGCGCGAAGACCATTGGCGTTTGGGTATTATAATTGCAAATCGAGCTCATTTCAATGAGTAAATCTGAGCCTGAGTTGATATTGAAGACGCCAGCGGTCATCGGTCCGAATTTGAATGCATCCGAATGACATGCGTGTGTACATGAAATGCGGCTATGCAAGACTCCTGATAATCAGTACCACTCTTACTTGATGATCGTCCAAACGTCTAGGCGTGGATGCAAGCGACAGCGGCATCTGAAATTGGCCAAGAGCTCGCATGCCGCTCTTGAATTATGATGTCGGCGGGGTGACTCCACCATCTCTGGAACACCGTTGAGATGAGCAGCGCAACACCGGAGCCTTCACTGGCAGGACTATCCTTGGCCTCGGGAAACAACCCAGGCACTTTCACTTTCCCCCGATATGCCTCCTTCCGGCCGTTCTATTCCATCCAACGAAATCTCGCTACCCGCGAAAAACAATTCCAGCTATGGGCTGATCTGATCACGGCCTATTGCGCCCACCACCACATCTTCCGTCTCGATCTTTCCTCACTTCCACCAGATCTGTTTCATAACCCGTCCATCGATCGGAAACTATTACCAGGCGATATCCGTATCGTCCTCGATCACCTCAGCACACCCGCCGGCGGCTCCAAGATCGAGTGGATCTCCGCCACAACCCGCGGCGAAGTCAGCGCAAGCTGCTATGTTTACTGGCGCACTCTTGAGGACTGGGCGAACGCATTACACAGCTGGGTGGATGCTACAGGACAGAAGGGTGCGGTTTTGACCATCTATGAACTGCGCGAGGGCGAGGCGGTCATAGGGCAGGACTGGAAGGATATGGATGAGGGCCTGTTGAGGAAAGTTCTCAATGTCCTCGTCAAGCGAGGAAAGGCGCAGATCTTTGGGCAGGAGGAGAATGCGGGAGTCAAATTCTTCTGATGAGGAGGAGGATGGATGGAGGCAAGACAGCGATGATGTTGATTCGGATGAGGAGTATGAAGACGATGCTGAGATTGAGGGAGACACGCGAGGCGGAAGTTCCACTGCACGAAAGAATCGCCAAACGCCCACAAAGAAGCGCCAGCAGCTAAAGAAGCCGCGGACAGACAAGGGCAAAGCACCAAAGCGCCAAGAGTCGCCAACTGCTTCCGAATCCGACAGCAAAGACCCAACACAGGCCCCTCGCAGCAAGCGAAATCGCGAAGGAAATCTCTACGACGCTGTAGCCGGCCGTTTGGGCGCCGAAGGCTTCCTCGGCGACAACAACCGCGGCTTGAAGCCGCTCAGACCCGACGAGGTACTCTACAGCCGAGCCGGAGCGCCCGTCCGATACGAGGAGGACGACGAGTACACTCAGCATCGACATTTGCCGCCCGACGCTCTGCCCAGCTCAGACCTGCTCAAAGCCATTCATGCGTATGTTTCGGACTACTACGGTAGCGGGCATTTGGGTGAGACGAGTTTCGATTTTGAAAGCATGGACGAGACGGCCCTCATCGCGTTTGGGATCTTGCTGGAGGAGACAGCTGCTTCGATTCTGGGCGAGACTGGGGATCTGGCGTTTACAGAGGCTCTCCCTGAAGAAGAAGAGGCATGATAATCGTTGCCTGTCGCAACTATTGCAGCGCATATCTTATTGAAGCATATTCGGATTGCGTGATGGAGCACGGGTTCCCTTGCGTTGGTTGAAGGATCGAGTATTACAGAAATGCTTTAGGGTGATATTGATTGCTTCGGCTGTGAACTACCGGTCATGGCTTCGTTTCCACATAAATCATGTTCCTTCCTACAAAAGTTTCTCCAGCATGGCCGGTCGTCTTACAATTTCTCCAACCAGCTAACAACGGTTCTTGCTGCCGTAAGCTCTACTTACGCAGCGTCTCACAGCAACCACTTTTCATCAAAAGTAATCTGCTGGCTCATTGCAGCATTCAGCAGCCAGTCCGTCGTGACAATCCTCGCCTCGACCTCCTGCCTGTGTGCCACGTTCCGGAAATTTCTCCAGAGCTTTTGGTCATTCTCACTGTTCCCAGAAACAAGATAGACGTAGTCAAACTCATCTGCTCCACCTTGGTTCTGAGACTCCTCTCCCGACTGTGGATCATCGCGTAATCGACGCTTGGGCAGTTGCATGCCAGTGCGACCCTGATAGAGGAACGCGGCCCCACCGTTGACAGTAATGATCTCCTTGAAAGTCTCGAAACCGCCGTTGACATCTTTAGTAACAAATATGGACCATCCGCGCAGGAGTTTGCCCTGATTCTCTCTCGCTCGTTGCAGTGCATCGACAAGTCGAAATCCCATTCGCTCTTCGCCTTCACGATCATGAAGCAGTGCTGGCTTCTCAATGAGCTTCGATTTGGTCAGCGCTGTTTCGAGATATTTAAGATCGACGACCATAGGAGCGCACGCAAGAGCGGAGACAAATTTCCGAGTGCGCAACAGCCGCGGAGCGACCAGCACATCTACGGCATTTGGTTTTGTGGTGAGAGCAACGCCAAGCATGCGCAATTTGTCTCGATCTGAGGACTCTATATGCTTATCGTCTTTCCAGCGATCATATCCGGTGACCATCATTCTGGTGTGAATCTCGGGAAGCGTGGTTCTCGACTTCTTGCTTTGCTTGGTGGCTGATTTTGGTGTCTCGCCGTCGTCAGCCATCTCTTCGTCTGTTTCTGAATCGTCAAATTCTTCACTTGTTCTCTTCCGTGAAGTTTTGGTCGCCGGTGCAGGGGATGCAAAATCATCGGCGTGACTCGATCGTCGCCCGCCATGTACTACACCTCCTTTCCTTTTCATCTCCTTCTGAAATAATGCAATGTCGCCAGCTTGCTGGTGAAGGTTATCCATTGCTCTGGCTTTTGATGCACGACCGACGCTGAGAACCATTGGCGATTCGTTCTCTTTGTCGTCACTAACTCGTGGTGTTGACACGGGTTTACGAGGTCGCCCACGTTGTTTCTTGGTCGTCGATGGCTCCGCATTATCACCTGTGTCGTTTTCTTCCAGGGGTGGTGTGGGACGCTCAGTTGTTTCAATAGTCTTTTTCGCTGGTGGATCGGCGACAACTGGATCAGACGGTCTTGCAGGTGATTTCGGTTTCTGGGGCGAGCGTGATTTGGGGAAATAGGCTCGCTCAACACTTTTCATGTCAAGTGAGATCTGACCTGCGACTTCGCCGAGGTTCGTCCTAGCTGGGAATGTATTGTACTTCGGATTTGACAAGGTCTGTACCGCACACTTCGCATAGCTCTCTTCCAACCAGAGATGATTGACAACATTGATGTTCCACTCCTGTGCAGCCTCGCATTTTTCGCTCTGGGTGTGTGCTGTCACCAGGTGGGTGTTGTCCTGTTTCATGGTCTTGGTAAACTCGGCACCACAGTACCTCACCAGATTTTCCACGTAAGTGCGTGCGTCGCCGGAGTAATTTGAAATGCTGATCTTCATGTTCTCAAATCCTGGGATTCCATGTCGCGGCACTGGATAGTGAAGCAACTTGTTGAGCGGATTTGAGTATCGATTCTGATTGATGACATGGTAGAGCCAAGAGAGATTTGCAACTTCCTTTCCGGCGCGAGAGGCGGAGACGAAGTCAGAGCCGTCACGAAACTGGCCAATGTAGATGTCGGCAGCGTCGATATTACTGACGCACGACCCACCGCTTGAATGAATCAAATCCTTGAGCGTCTTGTGTATGTGCGCGCTGATTTCCAGATCTTTGGAAAAAAATACCCTCTTGCATGATAGAGCGTTGAGCGATCTGCGAGATTTCGACGGACTTATCGGAGGTGTTGAACAAGGAAGTCCTGAAGGGGTAGCTACTGTTGCTCCTGACAAATGTGGTGTTGGGTAGCTCCGAATGGAGGTTCCATGCTCTGCGCGAAGTATCTCGGGATCGGGAAGCAGGTATGGCTTCTCACTGATCTTCTTCCCAAGTTTCAAGCATGCATCTATCCAATGCGGCAAAACGATCTTGCAACCTAACTCCTTTTCTTCGGCAATCCTACATCGCTCATCATCTAGACTCATTGTCACAATATGAGTGACAATTTTGGTCAAAGGTCCACTATATTGCCCGCCCAGCACCATGACACCAGCAGTGATGGCGCGAACATCGCCTGGTGGCAGGTCTCCGCAAGTAAAGACCACATCTTGAAAGAACTGACTTGGATCGGGGCTGTACTGTCGCGCTGATACTTGTTTTCCCTTGCCCAAGCTATGCGCTACCCACGATGGCTTCACAACATCGATGCCATGTTCAAGAGCGGCCGTGTATTGCCGGAAGTCGATGTGAGTTGAGATTATGTGTGTTACTTGTTCTAGTCCAGGGATGTGTTGATCGTTATCGTCCAAAGGTCGGTACTCCCCTCCCTGACTCTCGATGATCCTTCGGTTACGCTCGATCTCGCGATTGTCCAGCTCCTCACAGGGTATGATCGTGAAGATAGTGCCTGCGAATATGCCTGGCGCGTTCCCCGGTATGTTTGTCATGGTGAAGCGACTCTCAGTATGTTCGAGTTTCTCTCACAGTATGCGACTCTAGCGTGCGCATTGACGAGTGTGTTCGTGATCGCTCAGATATGATCTATTGTGTTGTGATTTGGCGATTGGAGGTGATCTCCAGGATTTGGTGATCGGCGGTGATTCCTGCGATTTGATGATGATGTTGCAATATTGCAATATTGCATTTGAAAGCGATTGTCGTATGCGGCTGTTACCTCAATAACTATAGTGAATACAGTAGTGGCGATCCAGCACGCGACATATTAAGGTCAACGCGTCTGCCATATTTTTGGAATTCGTGCCTAATTGCGCTCGATGACGAGACGCGTTGGGGGGTACGCGCGCACGTGACTTTACACACATGTTCAGGGTCTGCATAAATTCTGCGGAGCCCGGTCTTGGCTTGAGGTCACGTGCATAAATATTGGAAAGTGCCTCCGGCATTTTTATTCTCAGAGATCTAGGATACTGAGTGCCGCCTCGAAGTGTCGTCAATGGCATAGAAGCGAGAGGCTCTGTAGATAGAAGTCTTGTCGATATGTACTGCTCTAACGGCGAACGATATGTCCTGGCAACATAGGAGACTCGTTGCGATGTCATTGTGTGATTAATCATGTATGAAAACCTGCCTCGACAAAGAAGCAAAGAATACCGTTGTTGGAGACTGGACCATCATCGAAGAAAAGGTTGAAAAAGCTTTCATGGCTCAATGCTACGTGATGGAACGCCAACCTCTAACGCCCGATGCAACCCCGAAAATAAGCAGCTGGAATCGTAACCACAATTCTACAGCCTTGCTTCCATTTGGAGAAATCATCAAAGAACACACATGATAATCTATTTGTGCATGCTGGAAGCACGACGCTTGCGGATCTCGGCCTGCTTGGCCTTCTCGTCGTTGACGCGCTTGTGAAGGATCTGGGCGTATTCGTTCTGCAACCATGTTAGCGCTAATGAAAACGATAGTACAGAATGACTTTGACTTACGGCGGCGTCCTTGCTGGCCTCTGTTCGGCGACGCTTGAGCGCGAGACGGTGGCGCTTGTGCTGGAGACGCTGGGGAGTAACGAGGCGCTGGATGCGAGGAGCCTTGGTGTATGGCTTCGCACCCTCCTTCTTGGGCTGGACCTCACGACGAATGACGAATTTACGAACCTAGAGCAGTTCTTGTCAGCAAATGACTGGTCTCAGACTCAACCGATGCCGCGAGGCAGGTTGGCGAAGAGGAGTAGAGGCTCATAGAACTTATGAGTACTCACATCGTCTTCCTTGCTGAGACCGAAGAAGCGACGAATCTTGGTCGCACGCTTGGGACCCAAGCGCTTGGGGTGGACGGTATCCGTCAGACCCGGAATGTCCGCATCTCCCTGCTTTACGATCGAGAGAGCAAGCACCGACAAGTCCATGGCGACGATGCATCCACGAACTGACTTCCTCTTTCTCTCACCAGTTCGGCGGGCGCGGTAGCAGCTGTGACCGTCGGCGAGAAGAAGGCGGACACGGGTTGGGTGCATAACACCCTGCTTCATTGGGAAACCCTGCTTGTCGTTGCCACCAGTGATGCGGAAGATGTAGCCTTTGAACTCGTCGCCGACGCTGTCGCCAGGAACTTCCTGACCCATGCGACGGTCCATGAAGATACGGAGCTTGCGCTCATCTTCGACCTCGATCAGCTTTTGCGAGCCATTGGCCGGGAACGAAATGTTGAGCTTCATCTTGACGAATGCCGGTCAAAATGGTGCTGATGTGGTGATGGGGTGGTAGTTGACAGGACGTGTCGTGAGCGCAATTCAAATTCTTGCTCCGCAAAACACAATCGGTGTGTGGGAGCTTTCCGGGGCTTGGCGTGCATTCGCTGTGTTGACGCTTTGGTCTTAGCTTGGCTTACATGTAAGGGTCTGTGCGCTCCTCCGACGTTCTGCGGGCTGACCTGTGCCCTTGAATATTGTTGGAGCAATCCATCCATTCGTGCCCGTGCCTGATGTAATAATGCTGAACGCCCAGGTGCATTTCATCGTAGGCTTCATCGTGATCACTCTACATCCACATGAAGCACAGCGCAGTCCGACTACATGATGATACAGTCAGAGCGACTGGCGTATTGTGCTGAGAACGTGGGATTACATCGTGCAAATGCAGGCAACAGTTGCGCCGCCCATCGTCCTACAATTGCTATTCTTCGGTGCGGTCCACCAAAGAGAGAGAAGCATTCCGATTCTTCAAGCACCAATATTATTATCCATATCCTTCTCACCCTCATATCCGCTCACCTCCCTCGCGTGAGCCGAATCCATGGTCCCCTTCTTCCCAACTTCACCAGAATGAGATTCTTCCTGTAGCACGTCTCCATGCAGGTGCTCCTGAGTGGTCGTCATGCCACCCACGCCCTGTTCGCTGATCGCCTGGCCATAACGCATGTTCTCAGCTTTGCGTTCTCCAGTTCTATGCTGATCTTGCACATGGTCTTGAGTCTTCGATGGATCTTCCGTGGTCTCGGCCTGGCCAAGTTGGCCGCCAGACTTCTTGTGAGGCTGAACATGAGACGCTTCCCCCTCGTATCTGCTTCGATTAGAGGAGTCATGGAGATGGTGATAAGTCATACAGAGCGTACTGAGTTTGTTCACCACCAGGCTCGGTGTCCATGAGGTTAGTGGACATATTTGTATCGTCGATTGGTCTGTCAATAGTATCCTTCGAATGCTCAAACTGCTGGGCGTCAAAGGTATGCAGGTAGATACAGTGAAGGCTTTGGTCGGCGTTGGTGTTGTTTGCATGCGACAAAGAAATTCGGGAGTTACGATTCACATTTATTGGTACGATGAGCGTCATAACTGCACATCTTGTGCGACCCCTTGATGCGACCAAGCATCATCCTATTTCATGCGCTCAAGTATAATCACTTCTAATTCCCAGCCAATCTTGAAAGTAACGCCGCGCTTAGACCGAGAAACAATCAAAGAGAAATCGCACACACGTCACAGAGCTCGGGAACACCCAACGATTGAGACGCGACCGACATGATCCCATCCATGTTTTTTAATCATCAAAATCCAGGTCCATGCCCATCAGATGACCTTCGTATATCCTCATAAATTTGGCTACGAAGGCTTCGAGATGGAAGATGACTTTCTGTAAAGAGCCGGTCATTAGTGACGGAGAATGCATTCGTTCCCTCGGGTTCACTTACACTGCCGGTCCGTATCCGGTGCTCGTAGAAAGCACTCCATTTGACGACTTCGGTTTTGAGGCTGTCGTCCAACTTTGGCATAAGCTTGAATGTAAGAGTCTGTTTCATAATCGTTAGCAGTTGAAAACGAGACTTCACATTTATCATAAGCCGCATACCTTCAAGATTGTTGTTGCCGGTATGCAGTGGGTAAGCAAGTCGTAGAGCTTCGCTCGAACCTGTAAGATCCGCGCTGGTGATCTTTCGTCAATTATTTCTTTTGCAATGACCTCGATGAGAGCTTCCCAATCTGGCGGTGGGATTGGCGTCTTCTCGTTCACACTCTCACTATCACACGATTAGTCTTTGCGTTAGATGATCGTGACGAGTTTGGTGAGACTTACTTCTGAGCATGCACTGCCTCAAACATGAGTAGAGCTCTGCGAAGGTTTCTCTGGCTTTCATGTGCTACCCTCCGCTCCAATGCCTCACACGCTGGATATCTTTCCTCTTTCCGTACTTTTGCCAGTACTGTTGCAATTTCTTCTTCGGAAGGCGCCGCTACTCTCACGAGGAGACATCGTGATCGAATAGGAGCGATGATGTTGCTCGTACTGTTGGCCAACAAAATCAAGCGGAGGTTGGGACTGTACTTTTCCATGGTTCGGCGGAGGGCAGCTTGCGCATCGCGAGTCAGATGGTCGGCTTCATTGATGACAACGACTTTGAATCGTTGCTTGGCTGCCAGATCGACCTGTTGAGTCTGAGCCACCTCCTTCAACAGATCCTGTACCACAACGCGATCATAGTTTCCCACATCGGAAGGCGTTATCTCCAGGTGGTAGTTCGATGACACAATGTTGAATTCGAGCTTTCGATTGCTGGTGGTTTGAAAAACACGGCTGTCGATCTTGATCTTCTCAACGCCGGGGCCATATAACGCGCGCAGTGTTGCAGTAATTCTCGTTTTCTTGCCTGCGCCAGAAGGGCCATAGATGAGGAGATGGGGAAAGTCGCCGCTGGCAGCAAGCGAGCGTAATCGGTCGGCAAGTTCAGGATGGTATGTGAGGGTGTCTAGTGTGCGCGGACGGTGCTTATCAACGAGGAGAGCCATGTTGAGCTGTAATGTGCAAGGTTGCGCCAAAGTCGTAGCAGTTGTCGATGTCAAGTCACAATGCAATCAATCATCGCTTCACCTTGAAATTCGGCAGGTGTTCTGCGGAGACGCGCCTCTGTCGCGCTTACATCACGTCTGCACGCGACAACAATTTATCTACGGTGGACTACATTTATATAATCTCTGCTCACAATCACGACACCTCCGACTTCCATCATTGCGTTCGATTAGTTATTAGTACCGATAGGTCAAGCCTGGTGCAAATATGCCCCCCCTCCCCGATCGCATACTGTCATCGCATCTTGCAAGAGCGTTTTTCCTATCGAGCACTGTTTCGATTGCATGGTTGACGCCCGTCCGTTTGCTGCCAAAGTTATCCGGATGGAATGGTCAAGCTCCACATGGCACATCCTACCGCAAACTCGACGCTGTGGTCTGGCTCGAAGCGTCCCAACTAGCATCCATAAACGATGACTATGTGAACAATTGCTGATCAGGTGCACCTGGTCATCTTGCCCGAAACAATGGCAGTCTCTGTTTTTGATCGTCTAGCAGCAATGTCAGATTGTTGACGCTTCGCGAAGGGCCATCTTTACTTTACGAAATTTGACATTACGGACAATGGCTTATTTGGAGAATCCGGTTGTATATTCATTACGAGAAGCGGGATCGATCATTCTGGCCTTTGCTTTTACTTGACGGAAGTTGTAAATCGAGTAGTAGGCGCCCCAGTGGCTCGGCATCAGTGATAGCGTTCGGAGCTTCCTGCGGGTGGGTAATATCCTCCTCCGAATTCAAGACTGCCATTCTCGAATTTGTCCTCTCGGACTAGTCGCCATGGCCCGAACCAGCTACTCTGATATATCTCAACCTCAATAGTGGCTCGGAAACTTTGTCCGAGATAATTCTCTCTGTGACCTTCCGGAAAAGGCGAGCTCAAGGAGAAAAACGTTCCTTTTGGAGCAGAAGCCTTGACCATCAGCTTTTGCTGGAAGCTTTGCACACTGAGCTCAAATGTACGATTTTCCCAGTTATGAGAATATGATAAGAAAGGGCTGAGTCCAGCGAAGCGCACTGCGAAAGGAGGTCGGAAGTCTATGTTCAAATCCTTGCTTCGGTAGCCTAGCAGGAAAGCCTCCATACCGAGAATCTGACCTCCCGCGCAGCAGAGCCCGTTCGCGCCGTCTCGACCTTGTACCCAGATGTGCGCTGAAGGGAAACTGAAGGCCCAGTTCTTCTCTTCGTGCACAGTCGCATGGCCAGAAGAATCTGCAGATTGGAGCTCGATACTGGGGATACTCAATGAGAAGGAACATGCAGAAGCTAGCGAGTGGACGTGCCAGTGCAATGGGAGTGGAAGATGTACAAGCAGACTCTCCGGTGTACTCGTTCCGTCCGCCCACGGTGTTCTTGATGTCGTCTTAGCTTTGAATGTAAAGTCTGGGTGTGAGAGATCATATTCAGACAGAGAATCGGCGCCCCATCGCACGAAGCCTATGTCGGGAATATCGAGTCGAAAGCTCGTGTTGTCGGATTCCGTGACCATCTCGATTTTTTCGGCCCATACTTCCTTCTGGTACACATTCGTGGAATCTTTCGGGACGTATGTGAAGGATACCATGAATGGTTTGCTCTTAGCTCCGCGAACTTCGCAGATTATCACCGCGAGATGACCACCGGAGGGCAGATCGAATTTGCCGTAGTAGCCCTCAAATACGGCTCTCTTATGGGGAGCGTGATGCTCCATACTTTTGATTCCTGAGCACGTTGATTGGATCGATCGAATCGCAGAACTTTGAGATATGGAGCGCAGGTGGTCGGCAGTCTTCCTGAGCTCGATCCGCAGATCGTCATCAACTAATGTACGGCAAACGCGAACACTGCTCATCGATTTCATGAATGCGTGGCTGCCCAGGTGACGATGGTCATTATTACCATATTTGGACTAGCGTTGAGGTATGACGCTTTAGTGATGCTTACCAAACATTTAATGTTGTGCAGTGTAGAATGTCCGAACGAATCTGGAATCATCACCGCAACGAATCGTCAAAACATCATATGGAAATGGTTACAACATATAGGTAGTCAAAACGAACTCAAAGAAACATCATCATCATCGTAAGGTATCATTAATGGCCAGTGGAGAGGTTCCGAACGCCTGTGTGGCACTGAGACATGATGCATGGAAAATGATCAACAAGATCACTTTTCCTTCTTCTCCGGCTCGCCCTTCTGAGCTTTGTTCTTGTTCTCGCCGTTGTCCTCGTAGTCTCCACCTTGCGCTTCATATCGTCGTGCAAGTTCGCCGGCCTTCCATGCCGACCAGCTGCCAGCGCCGCCGCCTAAAATAACGTCAGTATCGAGGTCTCGTCCAGCTGGTGGACCGAGGGGATATTTTCAGCGAACCTTTCTCTTCGGCCTTGACTTCCTCCTTGATTTTCTCACGAAGTTCGGGGTCAGTCGGGGTTCCCTTTGATGAAGGCATTCTTGTGAATTGGGTTGATGTAAATGTACGCTGGTAACGTGAGATAGCGATTATAGAAGAATGAGGACGAATCATGAGTTGACCAATGCAAAGAGACAAGGCGAGAATTGCGCGGATACGATCATATACATATCATTGACATTATGCCGCTACCATAATGTCATGATGTAATGAGATAGATACATCCCTGGGCTAAATCATTGGTGCTCTATATGCTGATGGGCATGGGTTATGTTCGTCGTTTGCGCCAACTTCACAGTAAACGTGTATTGTAGATTATGTTTCGGTGCTGCATCATGACCAAGCCTGCTGTTTGAAGTTATATACATTCCTGACGCGATACGCTGGCTTCTGGCATTCCATCTATGTGTATTTCATGCACACAATACTCACATGCGGGACAGAAGAGATCTCACGAATGAGTGCAAGTGAGGTCCGAGCGTAATACTGATGAGCTCATTGACGCGTGCGCGCGTCTTCCCTGCCCTGAAATTCGACTGCGCGCTCACGCAGCGACACTTACGCCTATCATATATATCCGTGGACGTTTGTAATAAATCACAGCCCCTTCATTGTTGGGCCTCAGATCGTCTCCTGAGCCGGTTCAACATCAGCAATTGCAACATTCCAAGGTTTCAGTCGAGGTGCCTTGTGCACTTCTTTCAGGCAAAATCAATTGGGATCGTCCCTGAGCAGCATTTTGCTTCGCTCGTTCTTGCGATTCCATCATGCCTGAGGTATTGTTCAAAACTTGGTCTTTCCGAATGCCATATTCTAACAGTGCATTAGATCGGAGAAGTCGCGCGCATCGTGCATTACCTGCGCAAGCACCTTGTCAACAGAACAATTAGAACCTGCCAAGGTTTTGAAGATGATATCGTGTATGGTAAGGTGGGATGCTCCGCCACCGCCTTCCAAAAAGCCGTCGAGGGCAAGAAAGTCATTGGTGCTGGCCAGCAGGGCAAGTACTTTTATGTGACATTATCGGCTCCGCCCCATGCTGTTATGCATTTGGGCATGACGGGGTGGATCAAATTCAGTGCTGAGGAAACTGGCTATTACAAGCAAGCCAAAGAGAGCAAGACAGTGGAGGAGTGGCCGCCGAAGTACATGAAGTTCTTATTGAAATGTGATCCTGAGACGGTCGATGGCGAGGACAGGGATGCACTCGAGATAGCCTTTATCGATGCCAGACGGCTTGCGAGAATCAGACTCGTCGATTGTGAAGCCAGCAAAATAAGACAGGAGTCGCCGCTCAAGGAAAATGGACCAGATCCCGTTATTGATAAGGATCGCCTCACGGTGGAATTTCTTACAAAGCTGTTGCGAAAGAAGAAAGTTCCCGTCAAGGCACTCCTGCTCGATCAGGCAAACATCAGTGGTGTAGGCAATTGGGTTGCGGACGAAATTCTCTATCAAGCGAGAATACATCCGGAACAATACAGCAACACATTCGACGACGAGCAGATCAAGCGAATTCACGATGAGCTCATCGGTGTATGCACAACAGCTTGTGAGCTTCTCGCAGACAGCAGTCGCTTTCCAGAGAACTGGCTGATGAAATATCGCTGGGACAAAGGCAAGAAAGATGCCAATGTACTACCAAATGGTGCAAAGATCGTCCACCTCAAGGTTGGAGGAAGAACGTCAGCTGTCGTTCCATCTGTGCAAAAGAAGACTGCTGCCGTGGCTGGTGACGTCGACTCTGGGGATGACGATGTCGCAAATGCTCCGAAAAGCGCCAAAGGCTCGAAACGGAAGGCCAAAGCCGAGCCAGAGGACGACGACGAGGATGAAGATTTCAAGGAGGAGCAGCAATCTGACAAGCGCAGCCGCACAGCAAGGGCCAGCGCTGCCAAACCTACTCCAAGTGTACAGCCTGCCGAGAAAAAAGGTCGGGGTAAAAAGGTGAAGACCGAGGAATCTTCTGATGATGCGGACGAAAAGCCTACGGGTAAGGCTCGGGCGAAGAAGTCTCAGACGAAGAAGGAAATCGAAGTGAACGATACTACGAAAGGAGGAAATGCTCCAGCCACTTCATCAAGGAGAACGTCGGGAAGGTCTAGGACCAAGACGTAATTCGGATGAATCTACTTTTGACCGCATCTGCTTGAAATCCCATACCTCTGTTCGTCGGTCAGAAAAGGCTTGCGCTCATTTGAATGCGCTCATTTGAATGCACGCATGAAATCGTAGGCCGGTCGCTGTAATTGAATACTCTGCCATAGCGAAGATGCTGAAGTCTTGCCAGTCAACTTATATTTGGAGGACGTGAGAATTTTTGCACGATTTGTCCACATTGTGCAGCACTCTATCTAGAATAGTGGTCGTATTCCCTTCACGAACACACTCCTCTAGTGTACTCTCTTCGATACATGATTCTGCAGGGGGTGTTCCTGTTATTCTCGAAACATACAACAGGAATATTGTGCGAGCCTTTGATTCCAATTTTGAACCCTTATCCAGGCTGTCAAGGGGTTGGCTATTAAAGATGACATGCTGTATGAGGTGGTGGGGTTCTCAGGCGAAATCTTGGCAAGCAATGCAGCCCGCATTCTCATCCAGCATTGACGTGCGTGCACAAAGCTCGCTTTGACGATTCAGTGCTGTACATTAAACTGCATCGCAAGTCGAAGGATTCTACCATGCGACACTGTTCTTCTGTCTGACAGATCGGAGCATTTTGTTCGCCATTTCTTCCACGCGGGCTATTGGCGACAGTTCGCGGAATTAAACGAGAATATCACTTGAGACGTCAGCGGCTGCCCATAGACACAACTCCAAGACGTCAACAATGGCGCAAACCAACCAGATTCTCCCGCCTAAAGAGCAGACGCTTTTCCGACATCTTGTCCAGAATTATGAGACGAAGCAATACAAGAAGGGAATCAAAGCGGCCGAGCAGATCCTGCGCAAGCATCCCAATCATGGCGATACCCAAGCCATGAAGGCTTTGATAATGAGCAACCAGGGAAAAACAGAGGAGGCATTTGAGTTGTGTAAACTTGCTTTGAAAAACGCCATGAAGTCGCATGTTTGCTGGCACGTTTACGGTCTTCTATATCGGGGCGTCAAGAACTATGACGAGGCAATCAAGGCATATCGGTTCGCATTGAGGCTGGATCCTGATAGCGCACAAATTCAGAGGGACCTTGCACTCCTTCAAGTGCAGATGCGGGATTATGCCGGGTTCGTGCAAAGTCGTAATCAGATGCTCCAAGCGAAACCTTCCATCAGACAGAACTGGACTGCCCTCGCGGTCGCATTACATCTCAGTGGAGATCTGGAGAAAGCGGAGGACATTCTCACTCGATATGAGGACACTCTCAAGACACCTCCGTCAAAAGGCGACTCCGAGAACGCGGAGGCGATTCTGTACAAGAACTCGATCATTGCAGAACGCGGGGACACTGAGCGGGCGCTTACTCATTTGAAAACCTTTTACAAGTCGGCTCTGGATCGCGCTGCTGTGATGGAGCTCAAAGCGCAATATCTTCTCCAGCTCGGCAGGTTAGATGAGGCAGAGAAGGCGTACCGTGTCTTGCTCACGAGAAATCCCGAAAAGCGTCTATACTATGATGGTCTTGAGAAAGCATTGGGTCTCGGCAGGGACGATGCTGGGAATCGACAGAAACTTGTTGAGCTGTATGATGGATTCGCAGAGAAGAGCCAACGTGTCGACGCACCCCGAAGGATACCTTTGGACTTTCTAGATGGTGAAGCTTTCAAAGAGCACGCGGACCGGTATTTACGACGCATGTTCAAGAAGGGTGTCCCGAGCACATTCGCCAACTTGAAGCAGCTGTACTCGGACACAGCCAAGCGGGATACCATTCAAGCACTGGTCGAAGGTTATACAACAGAAGATCTGGCCAATGGTTCTGCCAACGAAGCGTCAACGCAGCCAGATGAGAAAACCGTGCTGAACTGGAAACTCAGTGTCAACTACTTCCTTGCGCAGCATTACAACTATTTTCTCTCACGCAACCTATCAAAGGCCCAGCAATACATCGAGACAGCCATATCACTGAACCCTTCCAAGACCGATTACACATACCATATGACGCGAGCACGGATACAAAAGAATCTGGGCAATGTGGATCAGGCTTCCAAGTTCATGAATGCTGCACGCGAGATGGATCTGAAGGACAGATATATCAATACGAAATGCGCAAAGTATCAGTTGCGGAACGATGAGAATCAGAATGCGATCGACACCATGGGACTTTTCACCAGGAAAGAAGCCGTGGGAGGACCACTTGGTGATCTCCTTGACATGCAGTGCGTTTGGTTCATCACTGAAGATGGTGAATCGTACCTACGTCAAGGCAACATCGCTTTAGCATTGAAGCGATTCAAGGCCGTGTACGACATTTTTGACGTCTGGACTGAAGATCAATTCGACTTCCATACCTTCAGCTTGCGCAAGGGTGTGATTCGAGCTTACGTGGACATGATCCGATGGGAGGATGATCTGCGAGAGCATCCATTCTACACTCGCGCTGCATTGTCAGCAATTCATATCTATTTGAAGCTTCACGATCAGCCAAGCCTTGCGAAGGGTGGACAGCTCAACGGCGAAGGTTCAAGCGCAGCCGACCGAAAGAAAGCCGCTAAGAAGGCCAAAAAGGAGGCTGAAAAGGCTGAAGCGGAGAAGAAGGCTGCAGCTGCAGCTAAAGCGAATCCCAAAGCCGACGACGAAGGTGTTGCAAAGAAAGAGGACACAGATCCGCTCGGCCTCGAGTTGCTGAAGACAGAAAAGCCATTGGATGAGGCCTTGAAGTATCTTACACCGATCCTTGAGCTTAGCCCAAAGAGCATCGATGCGCAGATCGCGGGCTTCGAGGTCTACATTCGTCGGAGTAAGTGCAAATAGACGCAAACATGATGTGACGATACTGACCATTCGGCATTGCAGAGAAGTACCTACCTGCAGCGAAATGTGTTTTGGCTGCCCGGGCTATTGATCCAGATCATCCGAAATGCCACGAGCAGAGCTCCCGTCTCAAACACGCACTCGATACCTTGCCCGAATCTCTCCCTCAACAGATACAAGACGTGCTCCAATCCACATTCCTCTCGACGCTGAACAGCAAGCCCCTGAAAGAGTCCAATGAGGAATACCTCCAATCTCACAGCAAGAGCGCTTCACATGTTCATTCAGTTGTCCGCGTGAGACAAGCATTATCACCAGACGATGCGAACATCAAGTCCAAAAGCGTTGAGAACATACAGTCAACTTTGAGCCTCCCGAAGCTTTCGTTACGCGAAGTACAAGAGGGCCAGGAATTGCTCTCGGAGTTGGGCGCGACCCAGGATGCTAAAGATGCGTACCTGAGCGGTGCACGGAAGCGATGGCCGGATGCTACTGTACTAAAAGCATAGAAGCGCGCAGGCGGACTGTGAAAGGGCAAGCGAAAAGCACATGTAGACTCAGATACGGAGGCATAAATTCAGTGTGGACTTCATTTCTTAGACATGGCTCTGTGGCGTGCAATAGCTGAGAGGAAGGGAGAGAAGAATTGCAGCGCTTCAGAAGGAGAGTTTCGACCGGCACAACTATCATCGATCATCATCGTCTCGCTCACTTCGCCCCATCACCAAATAATCCTTCAATTCGGAATGGTTCTGCCATTTTAGTCACAATCTGCACATCACTCTTGCTGCCCGCCGCGATCGTTGTCTTTGTCGATGTCGTCGTCGACTTGATCTCATCCAGCGCCGGCAGTCGTAGTCTCTCGTCGTTCAAATCTCCCAGAACTGTGTATGCCGCAGCATGAAGATTGGGTACACCACCGCGGCCCAGCCGTCCCCGCTTGCGCGCAACATCGACGAGGAAGCGCGACGTCACATCGCTGCCTGCTGTTACGAGCGGCGGGATCTGATAGTAATCTAGTAGTTGCTGCACGCCGTCCTGGGTCTTTTGCAGGCGATCGATGAGAGTCGTCACAGCTTTGACGGGGTCTGCTAGCGCCTCCTTGGGAAGCGCTTTGTGTTTTGGTTCTTGCGCTTGGTTAGGTTTGTTGGCGGATCTCTTGCCTTTAGCGGCACTTAAATCTATTCCGCCATCTTCGTTGTCGTCCTCCTCGTCTTCATCGTCTTCCTCCGCGTCATCTTTGGTGTAGGTCTGGGCTCGCGCTTGCGCGGATGCCAACAGAGCGGCCATAGGGTTCGCATTTGATTCAACATCCATCTCTTCGTCGTCATCGTCATCTCCGTCATCTTCCACCTCTCCGAGAATTTCGTCCTCATCATCCTCGTCCTGTTCGACATTTCTGGCCGTCTTGCTGTCTGCAACGGCTGTGCCCAGTCTCTGCGCCTTGGCCAATTCCCGCCTCTTCAGCGCGTCTTCTTCCTTTTTTCGCCTGCCATCTTCGATCTCTGCCAGGATTTTATCTTTGTAGGGGAACAGGTTTGGAATGCCAGGGTCCTTCTTCAGTCGTGACTTCCATTGTGGGCTCTTTTTCGCTTCTTTGCGCTCTTTCCTCTGCTTTGACGCAGACGCTTTCTGGATCTTGTGACGCAGACGTACGGGCACACGCTTTGATTTGGGCTTTCCGACCTTCATATCGACGACTTTTGTTGAATGTGTGGATTGATGTTTGCTCGGAATTAACACCGGGCTTGGAACTTTTTCAGATCTTCGTTGCCAAGATTTCGACTTGAATCTGCCGATAAGCGTTGTCGGCCCGCGCCGAGGTCCCTTATCGCCTCTTATGTCAGATGCTCGGTGGGCCTGGCACGTGACCGATCCGAGACGACGTTGGAAGTTGCGTCGGCGTTGGAAGTGGAAGTGTTCTCCATTGTGCATCAAAGAGATCGTCTATTCAAACTCGTGCTTAGTGCTCACGAAAGTATCTATCAACCAGGATTCTATCATAAATTCTCTAGATACCGCTAAATTCTATAAGACCGAACACAGATATCCTCAGACCTTGCGCCACCTCCAGAAATTTGCAAGTATTGAACGACGGCCGGCGATTCGAGCTCTATGCGCAACTTCCTCCCCAGCCTCAGCCTCAGCAACGACTGGATCTAGCTTCTCTCCCTTCAGTCCTTCTAATTTTGCGATCTCCTCCAGTTCACCGATCTTCCATCCACGAAGTGCGACCAGACACAATGCGGCAGCCACGAACATGAAGCCTGCCCATAGCTGCGTGCCGAGATAGCCCCCCGTGCCATCGACAATCTCCAGTGCAATTGCCTCGCTGAACGTTACAGGTAGGACTATCACGAGCCATAGAAGATTCAATGCGGACGGAACGTGCTTCAGTCCTACGGTCTCTGCCATGACCGGTGCGATGGTTGTCCAGAAAGTGCCCGCGACTGTACCGCCGATCAGAACATAGGCAATAAGCACTCCATAGCCATTTGCAGGAATCCAGATGACGAAGCAGAAGAATCCGGCGAGGAAGGTCGTCAGAGCCGCCATGTTGATGCGGCCTAGACTGTCGCTGAAGTATCCTATCGGCGGCCGACCGATCGCCTGACCGAGATTAAGAAGTGCTCCAATAACCGATGCCTGTGACGCACTGAGGCCAATAGCATTGGCGTAGTTGGGAAGACTGAAAATAAGCACAACGTATGCCAACATGCTGAACCAAGCGTATGCACAGAGCAGGAGAAACTCCACTCTCTTGAAAAGCGCTGCCGCGAAAGCCGACTGTGAGCTGCCAATGATCTTGTTGCGATCGCGAATGATTAGGGCGCAGGTTGTGTTGACCGTAAATGCAATAATCGCTAGGACACGGAACGTCCATGCCAAACCTATCGATCGAATCATCGCTCCTGCCGCCAAGGAGTAGGTAAGACCACCAATTCCGGAGCCCGCGGCTGCGATTCCATTGGCCATCGATCGTTTAGTGGTGAAGTACTGTGGTACGATGGATACAGATCCGACAAACAGAAATCCCATGCCAACGCCGAAGCACACTCCCTGCGAGAGAAATAGATGCCAGATCTGTGATGCAAATGACGCGGCGATCAAGCTCAGGGTTTCGAAGAAGACTCCCGTGAGCAGCGTCACTCTTGTACCAAAATACCGCGTACTCAAGGTCGCCAGTGGAGCAACCAACATGGCGCATGAAATCGAAAGTCCACCCACAAAGGCATATTCCAGGGAACTGACGTTGCGACCAAAAGTGTTGTTTGCGAGGTAACTAGCGAGGAATACGCCGTAGCTAGAGTTGAGACCCCAGGTATGTGCATTGATCAGGAAGCAGCATGCAGTGCAGGTCCAAGCGTAGATTCCTCCGTTTGGTGGTGGCGGCGGAGGTGGTGGTTGTGATGTCGATACTGTTCCTGCCGAGAATGGGGGAGCACTTTTCTGAGATGTGGTAGGTCTTGTTGATTCAATGTCAGATGAAGATGATGGCAGCCGGTCCTCAACGTCTGATCGGTCTATTGATTGCATGTCTTCACGATCTTTGTTTTCCTTAAGAGAGCTTGACTCGATTGAATGGCGAGTCATGGCAAAGGTCGTGGTCGAAGTACATGTACTTGGTTATTGTCTTCCACACATCAAATTCGTGACGTAGTTCACAGGTATTGTAGAAGTAGATTGACAACAAAAATATTCGGGAATACGTCAACACACGATATTGATGATTCGACTTCATATCAGGAAAGACATTCAATTATGTACTTGTCCTGAACTACCCATGGACCGACGAGTCGCATATGACTCGTGCCGAACATGCGTCACTAGAGGTAGCATTTCTTTTAGTCACGTCAATGGATCTACGTCCGCCACAAGCCGTTCAACACTCCCGGCGTGTGGTGCCAATATGCTGCCGGCCACACATGAACAGCGGTTCTATTCGCTCTAGGGAGGTAGGCGCAGCTCAAAATTTCGGATTTCCGCGACAGATCACATCGTTGTATCGAGATCCCTTCTAGTCCTACATCCGTTCTGGTTAGCCCTATATCCGTCCTGTTCAATCCTACATCCGCTCATGTCCCGACATAGCCGTATGTTCGTTTGCCCATGCCATCTACGCCGCATCGGTGCAGCTGATTGCCAGAGTCACCGCCATTTATCCCTTACAGAGAGAGCAATAGGGCGCGAAAACTATACATGCACATACACTATGCTGAGAAATCATGATTGGTCGCGTGTTATCTATTCTTCAATGCCGAATATGTGCCGTCTATGTGATGTTACAGTTGGAGAGTCAAATGCAGTGCGCAGTTGGGTTGTGTTACACAGTGGCTTCGAGCCAGGGTGAGCGGAGAATGATTAGAGACACTTGGCTTCATGCCCACATGACACGGATCGCTAGCATGCGACCATTCCCGGTCATCGTACCAGATCAGTGGCCAGGGGAGGTCCAATATCTGCATCGTGTGGGGAGGTCGAAAATCACGAAGCTATCGCGAGCTTTCTTGCTGCGCCCTCCACTCGTTCATGGCAGCCTCATACGATGTCTCGCGTGAAGGATCAGAGCGACATCTTCCGCTGACGAGGTCCCAGGTTCGTTGGCGCACGATTTCTTCCACCCTCCTCTCGCGTCTAACGAGGTTAGCGAGCGCATCGCTTCGTCCTTCCCGTGGGAGATTCCGGGCGCCGTAAGGATCCAATCGCTCGTCGACGACCCGTTCACGCGCTTTCGCAGATTCAGACTCGTGGAGGAGATGCTCAGGTTCATCGGGATCAGGGGATGTCGCCACACTGGCGCAGTAGTTCAGGACGTTTGACCGGGATTGCCAGCTTGGGAACAGGACGCGATCCTTGAACTCGGCGCATGTAGAGTCCGGCAGATATTGCGATGGTCGCCGCGAACTTGGCAAGGTCGATGTGAATGGGTTCGTCACGCTGGGTCTTGAAAGCGCATTGAGGTTCTGGTTGATGGTATCGTCTATACTCGCGCGCGACAATCGTAGGAAGTCTGTTTGTATAGGACTTTGTTCAGCGTGGGTTCATATAGCCCTGTGAGAGATCGCTGTGTAATAATTAACCTACCTTGTAATGCTGTCTGGTTGAAACAGAATCGTGCATTGAGGACCGGTTCGTCTATTGACCTCGACATGATGGCGATGTGTGCGGAACAAACAGACTCAGAAGCTTTTCATTAACTTTATGGATATTTCAACAAATGCTTCAGTAATGCAATTTTGTGGTGATTGATACCTCGGAATTGATGATGCTCATAGCCTTACAATAACGGCCACGCGAGATCAAATGCCCTAGCGAAGGATGACGTGGGACGGAGGACTTTCCGCGGAACCTGTCACGTCCGCCACGCGCTGCTGCCTGTCTCCACGCGACGCCATTTCTTGCTTCACCAATGCTGAGTGGTCGACTGCCTTGTCGTGGATGTGAACGAAAATCGCATAAATAAACATCACATTCACTTGTGATGTTACTTCGCCAGTGCGCTCCTATCCCCTACAATTCGACATTCGTTCTAGGTCGACGCTCAGCCTCACGAATACCAATCGTCTGTTGGCAGCGAAGCGACAGTTTGAGAGTGGTGCGAAATTCCCAGATTCAGATCGGTCAAGAATCGTATACTATCATGGCTCCGAAACAGGCCAAACTCGGGTATGTCAGACCTTCGCAGCGGACACTCGGGTGTGTTGCGCGCATACACATTTGATTTCAAAAATACAATTGTCTGACGTGGCTCCAGCAACTTCTTTGCGGGTCCTGGAGGTGCTAAAGCGCCTGCACAACAGTCCAAGTTGACGTTCTCGACTAAGCAACAGCCAAGTCCTCCAAGCGACGAAGAGCCTTCGACTACCAAAGATGAAGACGACGAGATGGACGGTGCAGATACCGTCAAGGTCGAACCGAGCACTGAACAGGCGATAAAGCGGGAGTCTGCATCGCCGAAACGCCGGCGCACGTCACCCAAGGAGGACGAAGCTGAGGACGATGAGGATGAGCCTCCAGTGAAGCGGCAACGGCATAAGCCTGCCTCGAAGAAAGGCACCGCCACAAAGAGCACCAGCTCGAGACCCCATAGCAGTGCACAGGCGACTGTAGCGCTCAAGAAGGAGCAGGAGGAGGAGACTTCAGATCCTGAGATCAAAGCGGAGGTAGAGTCGGCGGGCGTTGAATCTCTTACCATCAACGGGACTGCAACCAAGGTCGACAAGCGCGGCGCCGAAGAGAGCAGTGCGGAAGAGGACGAAAATGCGTCTGAAGAAGAGGAGGAAGAAGAGGAAGAGGAAAAGCCAGAGATTGCAGCCAAGGCACGCGCAAAGGTGCAGAGCACACTCAAATCGACTGGCAAAGACGCATATCCAGATTGGAAAGCTGGAGATCCAGTACCATTCGCTGCACTTTGCACCACTTTCTCCAAAATTGAGATGACAACAAAACGATTGGAGATCATCGCACTATGCTCGCTCTTCCTCCGACAGGTTGCTCGACTCACACCACTAGACCTGCAACCGACCGTGTTGTTAATGACTGGCAAGCTAGCCGCCGATTTCGCCGGCATAGAATTGGGAATTGGCGAGTCTTTGATCATGAAAGCCATTGGTGAGACTACCGGCCGAAGTCTCAAAATCATCAAGGAAGATCAGCAAAAGATCGGAGACCTTGGCTTAGTCGCGGCGAAAAGTCGACAGAATCAGCCTACCATGTTCAAACCTAAGGCTTTGACTGTGCGCGGCGTTCACGAAGGCCTCATGAAAATCGCTACGGTTGAGGGCACTGGCTCTCAAGGACGCAAAGTGGATGGAATCAAGAAACTGCTGGCTTCCGCAGATGTGCATCTCGCCAAGGGCCAGACGATCGATATCACAAAGGAGAAAGGTGGTCCTAGTGAATCCAAGTTCATAATCAGGGCGCTTGAGGGCAAAATGCGTCTTGGCCTTGCCGACAAGACTCTCCAGGTCGCACTCGCACACGCCATGGTCGCGCATGCCGTGGGGCAAGACGGCAAGAAGGCACCGACAGAAGAAGAGTTGAAGAGAGGCGAGGAGGTCTTCAAAGCAGTGTACAATGAATTACCAGCATATGAGGTCATTGTTCCGGCATTGCTTGCAAACGGGATTTGGAAGCTTCGGGATTCTTTAAAACTGCAGCCTGGCGTGCCACTAAAGCCTATGTTGGCAAAACCGACAAAATCCATCGGCGAGGTCCTCGACCGCTTTGAAGGGAAGGATTTTACTTGCGAGTACAAGTACGACGGCGAACGAGCACAAATACATTTCGTGGCCCACGAAGCCGACCAAGAATTCGCTGCTGTTAAGGCTCCCGAGGCGGGCAAATCCGATCGTGGAATTGCCAACATTTTCTCGCGAAACAGTGAAGACTTGAGCAAGAAATATCCTGATATTCTTGCGAAACTGCCTACCTGGGTCAAAACGGGTACCAAGAGTTTCGTACTTGATTGTGAGACTGTAGCCTGGGACACGGAGCAGAAGAAAGTGTTGCCGTTCCAGCAACTCATGACTCGCAAGAAGAAAGACGTCAAAGTCGAAGATGTCAAAGTGAAGGTTTGCGTCTTTGCTTTCGATCTGCTCTATCTCAACGGAGAAGCTTTGGTCAACAAACCTTTCCGACAACGACGCGATCACATGTACGAAGCATTCGAAGAGGTCGAGGGAGAATTCACATTTGCCAAATATGGCAATTCACAGAACGTCGATGAAATCCAACTCCTGCTGGAAGAATCAATTAAAGCCTCCTGCGAAGGTCTCATGGTGAAGATGCTGGACGGTGTCGAATCACACTACGAGCCTTCCCGTCGCTCCCAGAACTGGCTCAAGGTAAAGAAAGATTACCTCGCCGGCGCTGGCGACTCCCTGGACCTCGTTGTGCTCGGCGCCTACTACGGCCGAGGTAAGCGCACCAATTGGTATGGCGCTTTCCTCCTCGCCTGCTACAATCCCAAGACAGAGAAGTACGAATCCGTCTGCAATATCGGCACTGGCTTCTCTGAAGCCCTCCTCGCCGAACTCCACGAGACCCTCTCTCCACTCGTCATTGACCGAGCCAAACCCTTCTATGACCATCCCACTGGCAAGAACGAGCAGCCGGACGTCTGGTTCGAGCCGCGGTTCGTATGGGAGGTCAAGACGGCCGATCTGACACTGTCTCCACGTTATCGTGCTGCCGCAGCTGAGATGAGCGGCGGCGGAGCGGCTGATCCGGCGCACAAGGGTATCAGTCTGCGCTTCCCACGCTTGATCCGCGTGCGTGATGATAAGAAGCCGGAGGACGCGACGAGTAGTCGGCAAGTGGCGGAGATGTATCGGAAGCAGGACTCTGTTGCAAAGGACTCGAAGCCGTCGGTCGATGATGATTTTGATTATTGATGTGTTGTTGCTGGGACAATTGTGTGTCTGTCTGGTGAAAGGCGATACTTGGGGGCATTTTCGGCGATTTGTTGTCTCTGGGGTTTCTGTTCGGATCGGGCACTGCTGCCGGTATCAGAGATGTTACGTTTTTTATGAATTTCCTCATTGATGGCGAGAGAATGCTCAGGTATCTTGTTGCCTCTCTTCGAGCGCTGTTGACGCCTGACCGAAGCCTGCGACTGAACTCATGCCGTCGTTACTGCGATTAAACGATTGTTTGATACAACCTCCCCATTTCGAGAAGAGGAGATGATGACAGTGATTTAACGTACATGATCGCAGCCCAATCGCTCAGAAGAGGCCAAACCATTTCTTCCTCTCCGCCTGTACCGACCCATCAAACGCGACAAAGACATCATCCCGCCCAGCCGGTGCAGCTGCCGCATCCTCTACCTTCTCGGCCTTCTCCTCCTCCGCGACCACCGACGACTGATCCCTCAGCACCTCCTTTGGCACCATCTTCCTCGGTCCATCCTCCCTGGCCGTCCATCCGCCGAACCAGCTCTGTTTCTCCTCCGTCTCTAGGCCGTGCGCCTTGCGGTACTCTGAACGCTTCACGACGTCGTCGGCCTTGGCTTTGCGACGCTCGGCGGTCTGCGCGGAGATGTATGATACGTGCATGTCGTAGACGGTCCACCAGCGGTGCAGGTAGGTCACTGGATGGGCGAAGAAGAGACTGTTGGGAGGCAGAAGATCCCGATAGGGTGTCTTGTGGAGGAAGTCTTGGAAGTAGATTCCGAAGACGAGGGAGAGGAGAATGCCCTGTTAGGATGGGTTAGTTTGTTCTGCTGATGTGAGGCACGCTTGACCGCTTCTATTGGTATCACGATTCCATCCTCTTTCTTTTCCAAGGCTCTCATCATCGCCTTCTTACTCTGCCCCGTGATTTTTCGGTCCGACCAGTTCTGAAAAGAAATCTTCGACTCACCATAGTAATGAACACATGCACCACCCGATCCTTCAAAAACCAATGCAAGAACGTGCCCTCTGGCGGCATCATATGCGGATACTGTCGCGTGGTCTGCGCCTGTCGCTCGTGTTCACTCAATGGCGGGCCGGCATAGCGCGGTTTAGGTCGGATGCGCTGAGGATGTGACGGCGGACGAAAGCGATCGGGTTGTTCAAGCACACGCGGCTTCGGCGGTGCCCTCGGCGCCGGCTGGGTATTGGTGGTTGCAGTACGTAGCTGAAGCCATGAGGCACGGAGATGCTGCTGCTGCTGGGAGAGTTGAGATGTTCGCTGCCGGAGGAGGAGCTGTTGCGAGTGAAATTGGAAGCCGGCGCGAGGCACGGCTAGACGAACGGTGGACATCTTGGAAGCTGTCTCTGGCCAGAAATTGGATGCCTACTTGACAACTATACCAGAGGGAGACGATGTCGACTGCGATGAAGCGGGTGATTCCCTCGTCCTGATATCGCGCTCAGTCCATACAAGTTTCTAGGCCTACGATGACAGTAGTGATCGGAGCCTGTCCCAAAGGAGTAGCTTCCAATGGGATCATTATGTCAGCTGTCCGTTTCTCCGCGCCTCAGGCTGCACATGAGAAACAGAAGAGGTCAGGGTTCAACAGGATTGTTATGCAGGGCGGGGAACAAGGAAAGTATGCCGGCGGGGAACAACCCTGAGGACAGGACGCCCACCAACGAGCTTTTTTCCTTCAGGGCGCGTGCATTCCAGGTTGTTTACGCCAATGAGAACATGGGAGAACCAGGTACCTGAGGCCGCCACTTTTTCCAATCAACCACCACCTGCAATTGTGAAAGTGCTGTACGCGGTGTGCGTGAATGTGGGCGCCGTGCATAATAGCACTGCACTAATAACAATCATACCGTACATTGGAGTGTGTGTGCGCTTTGTACCCTGACCCTGGCTCATAACTCACCAACGACCACTAAACACCACCTGCACTACCACCACCGGGCCACTACTACTACTACTACTACTACTACTACTACTACTACTACTACTACTACTACTACTACTACTACTACTACTACTACTACTACTACTCCATCTCTATCTCCACTCGTTGCTGCCTCCCTTCACTTGATCATACCAACCTCCTTCCGGTTCGTCTCTTATCGAACAATATCGACTTCGCCACGGCTCATTGTTGTTGACATCCTCTGGCAGTACACTACCAACACCAACTCTGCTCCATACACCCCGCCAAAATGCGCGAAATTGTACGCCCACACCGCTCCTCTCCTTCCAAGCTGGGACGCGACAACGACGACGACAGATGCTGACGTGACATTTCCAAACAGGTTCACCTCCAGACTGGCCAGTGTGTACGTCTACCCAACAAGTGTGCGAGTCGATGAGGAAGAGAAGGAGTGCCAGGAGAAGACATCACGACCCATCGCCAATGTCCAAAGAAACAAGAGGAAGCACGACGAGTGACAGATATTGACAACTTCAACAGGGTAACCAGATTGGTGCTGCCTTCTGGCAGACCATCTCCGGCGAGCACGGTCTCGACGGCTCTGGTGTGTAAGTGAAGTCCTCCTCTCCTTCTCGCGATAGGCAGACTCACAATCATGATGTCGCGTATGGGATTGAGAGAAAGGACCAACAGACTGATACCGTCACAGCTACAATGGCTCGTCCGACCTCCAGCTCGAGCGCATGAACGTCTACTTCAACGAGGTACGTGCGAGCCCGGCGCGCGACTCTTGACGCACTGCCCTACTTGCCTGCTAACACAAACGTGTGTAGGGTGCTGGCAACAAGTACGTCCCTCGTGCGGTCCTCGTCGACTTGGAGCCTGGTACTATGGACGCCGTCCGCGCCGGCCCATTCGGTCAGCTTTTCCGCCCCGACAACTTCGTCTTCGGCCAGTCTGGTGCCGGAAACAACTGGGCCAAGGGTCACTACACTGAGGGTGCCGAGTTGGTCGACCAGGTCCTCGATGTCGTCCGCCGTGAGGCCGAAGGCTGTGACTGCCTCCAGGGTTTCCAAATCACCCACTCCCTTGGTGGTGGTACCGGTGCCGGCATGGGTACCCTCTTGATCAGCAAGATCCGCGAGGAGTTCCCCGACCGCATGATGGCCACCTTCTCCGTCATGCCCTCTCCCAAGGTCTCTGACACCGTTGTTGAGCCCTACAACGCCACCCTCTCCGTTCACCAACTTGTCGAGAACTCCGACGAGACCTTCTGTATCGACAACGAGGCCCTCTACGACATCTGCATGCGCACACTCAAGCTCAACAACCCTTCATACGGTGACTTGAACCACCTGGTCTCCGCCGTCATGTCCGGTGTCACCACCTGCCTGCGTTTCCCTGGTCAGCTCAACAGCGATCTTCGCAAGCTCGCCGTCAACATGGTGCCTTTCCCGCGTCTCCACTTCTTCATGGTCGGTTTCGCGCCCTTGACCAGCCGCGGTGCTCACTCCTTCCGCGCTGTCACCGTTCCCGAGCTCACCCAGCAGATCTTCGACCCCAAGAACATGATGGCCGCCAGCGACTTCCGCAACGGTCGTTACCTCACCTGCTCCGCTATCTACCGCGGTAAGGTTTCCATGAAGGAGGTCGAGGACCAGATCCGCAACGTCCAGACCAAGAACACCGCCTACTTCGTTGAGTGGATCCCCAACAACGTCCAGACCGCTCTCTGCGCCATCCCCCCACGCGGCCTCAAGATGTCCTCGACCTTCGTTGGTAACTCGACCTCGATCCAGGAGCTCTTCAAGCGTGTCGGCGACCAGTTCACTGCTATGTTCCGTCGCAAGGCCTTCCTCCACTGGTACACCGGTGAGGGAATGGATGAGATGGAGTTCACTGAGGCTGAGAGCAACATGAACGATCTCGTGTCTGAGTACCAGCAATACCAGGAGGCTTCCGTCTCTGAGGGTGAGGGCGAGTACGACGAGGAGGCCCCTCATGAGGAGGAGGAGTAGAGTGGCGGCATCGGAGATCGCATCCCTCACCTCTTCCATCCTTCCTTTCTGCCCGCTCCATTCGTCGTCGGATCTTCGGAGCCAAAAAAAAGCCTCACTTTCCTCCAAAAAATGTAGTCCCTTAGCGTGGAGGAGATTTGGTCGTTTGTTCTTCAGGATAACCCTCGGCGATGAAACAGGAGCAGTTCCGAGAACCCATCCATTTCTACTGCTGCGTTGTCTCTTTGTTACCATAATCCAGGAAGCGTTTCCACACCTCTGTATGTACACTGAAAATTCATACGAGTCGAAACACTTCCTTCCCGTTCTCGTCTAATGTGAAAACCTCCCGTGATCGTGTGTTGATCCCACAGGCTCAGCATGGTTGTCCCAAGCGGTAAACCTAGATGGAACTCAGCGCTACCCTTGTCATTGCTCTCTGCGCCCCGGCCGACCAGAAGGAACAAGGTCTCCAAACGATGGAAGACACAAACAGACCCAGAAAGAACACCACTGGCCAAGGGAACCACTTAGAAATACATTGATTATATAGCACCCGAAACTTTTCCTCCCTTCAACAATCTATCATGAAAAATGATTTCCTCGGCCTCCTCATCTGTTGACCCTCCCCCTTCTGTCCTGAAAGGCAGCGTGAAGGGGAAACCCCGACCAAGACCACGCGATTCTCGGGCGTCGAGAAAGTGACAGAGAGGAATAGAGATAAGGTAGAGAAGAAAAGAGGAAAACGGGGCAATGGGGAAACAGAAAGACATGGCGAAGAAGGAGAAATAGGGGGGGGAAGAAGATGAAAGAGACCTCCACGCTTCCTCCGCAAGAGGAATGACGGCGAAAAACTTATGCTTTATCCTTGTGATTCATGAGGACGGTTCAACGCCCTTCCTCGGCCGGCGCCCATGCGCATCCCAAATCTCTCGGAACGTGCGTTCGTCATCATGGTCGTCGGGGTGCGGAGAGAGCCCAAGGGGATGAGAAAAGGATTCGGGAATCTCCATCGGATTTCTGCCTCCGCTGGTTGGATGCATTTGGTTTTCAGTCCTCCTCCTGCGAAGATGTTCGTTCGTCCCATGATCTCGGGGTTAGGGTTTGTGAGATTCTTGCATTTCTACCTTTTATTGTTTTGAAATCCGGGTGCTACTGCCAAGCTCGTTGTCCGTCATCGACGCAGGACTTGCATAAGGGAGACGACCGAGGATCTCTCCTCAACTGGTCTCTCTCGAGGAACCTTTGTGAAGGGTTGTTTGTAGAATCCTGGGCGAAGATGATGTGTCTTGCGTCAACAATCTGGGGCGGTGCACCTTTTGTCATCGGCGATGTGTGTGCGCTGAAAATTACCTCCCTGCTCCGAGATTCGGCCTAGAGAAACGAAAATGCGAGAAGAAGATGCCAGATGCTCATGCTTTAGGGATGAGTACAGGACGCCAGATGCCAAATTCCGTCCGCCGTTGATCTGAATGTCATCCTGCCTTGCGGGCTATTGGATTCTTCTGAAAAAAAACTCCTGGTTCGTAGGCTCGTTTTCCCTGTGATGCAACTTGAAGTATCCGTCTATCTCCCTTTCATGAGCTGGTCCAGACTGGTCATGTTCGTACTTGATTTTTTTTTGCGGACATCGTATCATCATTCCGGCTCCGTTGGCTCCAATAGAACAAGATGGGGGTATCGTAAAAATTGACCCGACGCCTGCGAGTCTGCCCAGAAATAGCCGTGCAAGTCTTCTGCAGAAAAATGAGGCAGCAGCAGCAGTGATCAATGTCTTGTAGATAACAAGCATGTCTCGCATGTCCCATGCCGCCTTTCCCTCCAATGATCTGCTTCCGATCTGCTTCTGGGCCCATCTTCATGTTTTCGCTTTCCATGTCATTATCGTTTTAATACAGATTTTTACATTCCACCAGCCATCAGACTCTGCGCGTGATGACCGCCTCCGACACCATACGACGCGACTCCGGCCATGCCAGGATCGGCCTGGTCGGAGAGGGCGAGGAGCAGTTGTGCTAGGCAGCGTTTGGTTGCGGCATCGTCCCGAAGGACTGGCGAAAAAGTGGCATCGCGGAGAGGTTCGGGAAGACACTGGCGGAGGGCCTCACGGGCGCGGGCGTTGTCGGAGAGACTGGGAGAAAACATTAGTAGATGGCATGATGGAGGCATATAGGCAAGACGAGCTAGGTGACTTACCGGAGGAAGCAGCGCACAACGTGCTTCAATAAGCGTACGGTCTGCTGGTCGACGAGCTGGGTGACCATGTTCGAAAGCACAGTGCCGAGCGCGCAGAATCGTTCGTAAGTTTGGCAGATGTATTGCAGACCGAGGTCATCGAGCAAGATTTTCTGAACGATGAAGATGGCCACGGTCTTGCTGAGTTCGGAGCCGGTCTCCATAATGCGCAGACACAGCGGGATAATCTCCGTGGTGAGCAGGAAGTTGATCACCTCCGAGCTGTCATTCTTGACCAACGCGCCAATGACACCGAGCGAGGTCAGGCGCAAGTATTCAAAGGGTCGGGATTTTGAGGTAGTGTTCAGGAATGGGTAGAGGAATAGTGGAATGTGTGCTAGATATTGGTGGTCAGTCTGGTTGATATCTCTCAGAAAGTAGATAGCTGCTCATACCATTCAAAAAGAGAGCCCGCGTCTCGGAGTGACTGGCGACGCATTGCAACAGTGCGAGAGCATTGCAGACTCGATTAGATGCCGCAGCAGTAAGCTGAGAAGGGTTGAGGAGTGGGTAGACCGAAATAATCTCCTGTAGGAGAGAAGTCATGACACCTGCAAATTCGCCAATCAGTATTTGTGCTCCAATTCGTCCTTCTGTCCTGTCATTTCGATTCTCCAGTGAAGTTCGCAACCTCGTTATTCCTCTCCTCACTCACCGAAAGAATGCCACAAGATCAGGGCCAACTCGGGTACCTGCTCTCGCTTCTTGCTCAACTCCAGCAGAGCCGCCTCACGCGCATTCGTGCTGAGCACTTGGGCGATCCACTCCAGCACACGGCGATTCTCGTCGCTGAGATTTGCATCGCCTCCTCCCGATCCGCCTGGTCCACCCACCATCATATTTCCGCCGTGGTCGCCTTGAACACCGCCGCCCATTCCCCCGATAGCACTATTCACTCCTTGGCCAAGCAGGCCACCGGCGTTTGCGCCATTGATGTTATTTCCCGCGCCAGAGTTTGGGCCGTTGGCGTTCATGTTGCCGCGGTTGTAGTGCTGCTGTTGTTGCTGCGCAGCGGCATTGGCGGCTGCTACGGATTGTGAGGCATATTGGCCATGGTGCTGGTTGTGCTGCGGGTGATGCTGCTGTTGCTGTTGCCAGTCAGGCTGCTGCTGCTGTTGCTGCGCCTGTTGCTGCTGTTGCTTTTGCTGGTGGTATGGTCCCTGGTGAGGGAAGACCTGATGCATGATTGGGTTCCACTTGTGGGTTTCTTGGCTGCTGCTGGCCGGCCTGTTCGAACAGTCCGGATGCAGAGCCCTTGCCGAGGGTGGTGAAAGGCGATTGAATGGTTTGTACTTATGATTGGAATGCTGATGTGAGAGTTTCGAGCCAAATGTATATCGAGACCGTTAATGCGAAAAATGAGACTTGTGATCGGGAGGAAATGTCACGATGACTTCCTTGAATGGAAGGAAGCTCAAGAGCCTCACATGTACAGAGTATATTGGACGGACAGTTGCGGTTTAGCTGTGTGTGCTCCGCTCCACCTGCCCTGCGAAGTATTATTACGGACCGAAACCGGGGCTCGCAGCATTTCGCGACCCTAGGTGATTTAACCCCAAATATAACCCTATCGGTGATACGATCCAATGTTCCTATGAAGAACTGTGTGACTGGGACGACCTATTGTTAGTCCTGCTAGTGCTCGAAATAACAGACAGAACACCTGGTGGATGTGCTGATACAATGCGAGTCGTCCTTTGGTTGATCTGGGTGCGAGATGTACACGTTACCGATAGCACATGACATCTTGAATTATAGTAGTCGTTCATTTTGGGCACAATCAATGACCGTACTCACGGTGAGAGTTACGCATGTCATTCAACTGTTGACATTGAACTTCACGCTATCAATTATCGTCATCGCTATGCCCGAAAATCGCCCGATACAACGCCTCATCAGGTTTCTCCTTCTCCAAAGCCTCATTCAGCTCGGGATTGACCTCCGCCCGAGCCTCCGATACCGCATCGATTGCATGCATCGGCAGGAGCTTCGGCGCAGGATCATGCCTAACGACTAAATCAGCTTCTCCAGCAACACCAGCTGGACTTGCTGATGATACAGCTGACTCCGTGACAGCGTTCCGAGCCTCCATCCTCTTCAGGTTTGCCTCAATCATGATCTTCTCCAGGGTCGCGCGGCCAACGAGTTCGAGACGCGCGACGGCAGCAGTGGCGGCTGTCTCCCCGGAATCAAAATCGGCACGTGAAGAATTGTGATGGGAGTTGTCGTCGCCGCCGCCACCACTGCCACCGCGAGCGCCCGGCATTTCAGGCCCAGCGTCCGGCGGTGGGCGGACACCGAATCGTTTACAGATCAGACGATTGGGGTAGAAACGGGCACGAGAGCGAGTTAGCGCACCGTGCATGCCCATCTGTGCGGCCTTCTCGGCGGGGTCGGCGTTGTCGTTAGCAGAGGCAGAATCAGCAGCACGATCGTCCTTTGAGTCTTGGGAGGTGGGAGGCGCCACGGTCGGATCCTGTACGGCAGCAGTAAATCGTTTCCCGAGAAGACCGGTGGCTGGCCGAAAGACTTCCGCCGCCGCGGCAAATTCGCGAAGCTCTTGGGCCCAGTCGTGGACAGAGAGCGTTGGCGGGCGAAAAGGTAGTGGGAGTGGTGGATCGTCCACCGAAGGCGGCGCCGCGGCACGCAGCTGTAGAAAGGCGCGGTATCGCGAACGCTTAGCTTCATCCTCGCCATAGGGCATCCAGCCCTTTTCGCCACGTGCTAGGGCACCCGCAGCAGTTGCACGACTGAGAGGCGGGACGAGAGACCACAAGCGTTCGAGCTCGTTTAATGGCTGGCCGGTAGAACTAGTGCTAGGCAGAGCTTCATTACCAGCGGCCGGTAGAGCATTATTTCCAGTCGCTGCAACGATGCGCGCACGATTTGCAGGGCTGAGGAAATCAAAGACAGATTTCCCGGGAAGGAGCTGCTCGCCAAGCAAGGCAGCTCGTGCGCGAGGATCGAGTGTTGATGCCCGCGCTACATCTTTGGTAGATCGGTAAGGGGTATTGTTAGTTGATGGGTTGATTGTGGTCGTCATTGTGGTATCGCGAGGTTGATGCGAAGATATCCATCCGGCTGGAACGGCAGGTGGCGCATAAGCTTCCAGTAACGAGGGAGATGCTGTGACTAGTGGACGCAGGGCAGGAATGAAACCACGTAGCGGTGGACGACCATCGTGGCACGTTCTTGAGGCTGTCTTGCGCGGTAGAGCCAGCAGCTTTGATGATCTCGAGGCATCCTCTTTCGTGGATTCCAAAACTTTCTTCTTCTTCTTCTTCTTCTTGTCGGCACCACCCACTGCTCGTGGCATGGTGATCCTCGGTCCGAATTCGTCTAGGTCGTCTTCATCGTCTCCCTTGACCCCACCAGCCCCGAGCCCAAATTTTCGCCTAGTAGGCTCGCGCCGTGGCTGCTGGACTGGCATGAGCTTAATCCTGCCGACTTCACCGTAGCCTATACCATGACGATCTGTCTTTCTCGCGAATGTAACCATAGGTACTTCTTGAGGTGCAAACAGATGCAGTTCTCCCGTTCGATCACCATCTGCGCGCCGCCGGACCATGGCACCGATGCCTTGGCCGGGACGCCATTTCATTCGGCGTAGCAGCTCGTAGCCTTTTCGCTCCGTCGTGGTGGCTGAAGGGGTATGGAATACCTGCGCGAAAAGACCGCTGTCTTCGTCGTTCGATGACTTGGCAGATATCCCAGCTGGGCCACCGAGACCCGCAAACGTATCGACTGTCTCGATTCGCTGTGATGCGTTGTGTTCGGCGAGATCTTCGTCATCCATGAAATCCTCAGGTCGTTGCGTAGACGGGGTCGTTTGCTGCTGTCCAGCATCTTTCACTCGATTTGTTCTTGATGATACGAAGGTTTTGGGAACAAAGCCTTCCTTGGATCCGACAGTATTGAAATAGCTGAGAGAGATCGCAGTGTTAGAACATCGACAGAAATCTCCACGAAGATATATGAACTATGGATATCACGCGACATAGAAGTGCGTTTGAACGTGGCAGGGTCGGGACCTACCCAGCACTATAACCTCCCGTGAAGGCGCCATGGAAGCGTTTCCTTCCGCGCTCATCGGTCACTTCTTGCTTCCACTCGGGCACAAAACTGCCATCGTCGCGGGCGTTGGGTTCGTAAGGCGGCAAAGGGGTGCCGTAGAGGACGTATGGAGCATGCGGCGGAGGAGCGTCGTTCGGGTTGGCCTCGTAAGCCGCCCTAGAGCGCTTTGTTGACATGAGTTTAGATCTTCTGTTGAACTCGAGACAGCATTTGGTAAAGTTCGGGTTATTATGGGAGTGACAGTTCGAGCCGGCTTACCTTATTGTTGACTTGATGAGATTGATCGCGACATTATCTCAACCGGCTGTTTTGCGAGCTTCAAATTTGATAATGTCCCAGAAGCGTGGATGTCGAAATGTATCTCTGTGAAGGAACAGAAATTTGGAATATGTAAGTACGAAGAGCAGTAAAGGAGTGAGACGTTCTCCCTCCAGTTTGTAATAACAATGGATATGCAGCACTCCAGCATTCATAGATGCCTAAGTGATGATGGAAGAAGTGCGGACCGTTCAGCGGAGATGCCGTTCGCTTTGAGAGCTGCTCCAATTATCGGTCAAATCGGGCGGGGCTCTCCGACAAATTAACAAAAACGATATCTCATTAGACCCTGTCCAGACGGGATGCAATAATGGCATAATGTACAATAGTAATAGACAAGCGGATGGCACTAGTTATCAGCGGGAATCGGTATGTGACGAGTCATCGGGATGCCCGGTCCGATTTGACCGATGCCTGTACATACAGTATGTTATGGTGCCGCCGTGTTGCAATGCAGTCCATCGATGGAATTTCGCCTCGATTCAACGTTATCGTTGATAAACTGGAGGACACTTGTAGCACTCCTCTAGACGTGTAGAATGTACGAAATACCAGTATATTAATCGTCCGCAAATTCAATGCAGCCCAGGCTGCCTGAAGCATGTATTGTACGCAGAGTGCACTTGTTGTATTCGTGTCTAACCCACTAGGACAATGAAAAACTATGTTGGATGCGACTTGTCTATGCCAACCAGCTTGTCGTAATGGAGAATATACGACTGTCCCCAAGATCGGGTCTGTGCTGGAAGATTCATCATCGGCTTCAACACTCGCCAAAATCAATGCGTCTGAGGGATTAAGGGATGATCCACTCTTCACATGATGAACAATATACTGTACTTCACGTTTCCCGTTGCAGACGTTGCTCACGGGAGAGGTTCTACGCCAGACGAAGAAGGAAAGACAAGTTTGAGGGTAGTGTGTTTGTAGATTTGAGATATAGGATCACGCATAGTAAACACGGAAGGAGTACCGGTTAAATAGGGCGAAATCCGTAACCACAGATAAATCTGTGTGACGGTATATGACACGGGATGGCACTGTGCGAACACGTCAGCTTGGTTCCAAGACGCTTGCTCAATTGCGAGTACGAAGTGTGTATTCTCGGAGAGAATGTAGAGGTGAATATGGCTGAAATCAGACATCCAAGGAAGATTGCGCCCTCATTGCATGCGTCGACTTAAAGGTTCGTGCGACGCTAGAGTGGAAACTGCGAATGTGGTATGGTTTTCATCATGTAGCCGTGGGTGTGGGGATAGTGGAAAAAATTGGAGAGGCTTTTGTGAGCTTGCATAGATTGCACCGACTGACCTTTGAAGCGACAAGGCCTCTCGTGTTCAATCACGCTTGCAATTGAACAGAGAGGCGTCTGCGCTGAGCACAGAAGCAGCCTTTACTACAAGGGCTGCTAGATGTTGATGAACCAACTTGGTACGGGGTGCTACTGTCGTCGTCAATGCTTCACCTATCTGCAAGTCTTGAAGCTTGGTCAGTACAAATTTCTTGCCAGGGAGGGCTGTGGTAAGAGGAAGGGCAAAAAGCTAAGCTCGAAGTCATGCAGAATTTACTGGCTAGTATACATCCACCCTGCGAAAGGTGGACGAACAGAGAGCTTCCTCATGGTCGAATCGGTTGGAAAAGAAGAGAAATGGTTTTAATCATTCGACGAGTGGTGGAAGGAAGAGAATGCGAGTCAGATCGGTGCAGAGATGACGAACCTATTACTACCGATCCAAGTGACGTCGTAGACGTGAGATGATGGTTTGTTGTTGTCGCTGGGAGAAGTCGACAGTGTTGGTTGTTGTATGTAGATGTGAGGTCGAAATGAACAACGAAAAATTTGAGGATGATGGATATCAGCACAGATTAGACGGACGCTAGGAGCTCCGCGCTGGACGGAGCGGGCCGTTAATATTGTCCCTCGAGCCTTAGGCAGACCGTGACAGCAATTGCTGGGTAGAATGACCAGAAGGCACCTGCACCTTCAGTACCTACTAGGTACATACAGTAGGTAGGGCCGAGATTCTATAGCCTCCACCTTCCGGCGTACAGGGAGGGAATAATTGCAAATCCGGTGGCTGTAGCAATAGTAACACGAGGCGTAATATGTAGTACAACTTACCGGCAGTTTGGATCGCCCTTTCCGTTTCCCTCTTCCTCTGTGTCCGCTGTCTTCTTGCTCTCTAGCGAAGAACAAGGCCCGCACTACATTCCACCATCATTCTCGCCAACCAACAACAACACTCCTCAGCGCCACCTGCGACGTCGCGTCGACTCCTACTTTACATTATACATCGGGCAATCTCTTCCCAGCGGTCCGCAGACACGTTGATTGAGACGGTTGCGTCCCGTCTGGACGAGGCCCGCCCGCGACAAAACGCCCGCTGCTGACTGCGACGGCACTGGCAGGGCTCGCGCGACCGGGTCGGGCACTTGACGATCACTGCTTCGAGGGAACACACACACACAACACCTCCCTCATCCATGTTGTTGTCGGCCGCGTAGACCGGTGAACACACGCACCTCGTTCTCGCGCATATTTTCCTGTCTGCACGATACATCGCATTGCGAAGGCCTCCTCGCCGGCTTCATTCCATCGATTCGGCAGCCGTGGCTCACGAAGCATTCCGCTTAGCGGGAGCACGTGTTGGCTCACAACATCACAACACCATCAATACAGGCACCATTCCGATACATGTACATTTCAGTCACCATACTACCGCCGTCTCTTCATAATTACCACCACCAACCTCTCGGCCTGAATCGCAGAATCGACTCTCCGTCTCCGTCCCAGATCGAGCCGAGGCTCCGCTGTCGAATCAATTATTTGTCGCGTAAAATTACTTCTTGATAGGATTACAACAGCAAGATGATGGCGGCATACCAGCCGACGCCTGGTGTGGGTGGCCACCCAGGTCTTCCTCACGGCCACCCGACCATGCCACCAAATCCTGGACAGCATATGGGACAACCGATGCAGATGCACCCAAGCGTGACAGGCGCGCCCCATGTCACACAACCAGGAGCCATGATGGCGATGCAGCCTGGTGTAAATGGAATGGGTCCTGGTGGAATGGGACCGCAACACCCTGGCCAAATGGCGATGCAAGCACAAATGGCGCAGACCATGCAGAATGCGCAGCTAGGCCAATTGACTGCCCAGCAGATGCACCAGGCCCAGCAGTTTGCTCAAAGTAAGTGATCACCTAGGCGAGCGAAATGTGAAACACCTCGCGCGCATTCTACACTTGCGGTATCTTCCAACGCGCGTATATTGGCTAGCATGACTAACATATAGCACTTAGTGGGGATGAACGGTCAACCGACCTTACAACAACAACAGCAGCAACAAATGATTCTTGCTGCACGGCGACAACAGATGATGCAGGCTGCTAATGGAATGACTCTACCACAAGGAGTTTCACCACAGCACATGCTGCAGTTGCAAGCGCAAGCGCAGGCACAGGCGCAGCAGCAGCATGGTGCTATTGGCTTAGCTCCCCATCTACATGCTCAGATGCAACGTCAGCAGCAACTGCTTGCTCAACAACAGGCTCAGCAACAGCATTCTCAACAACAGCAAGCGCAACAACAACAAGCGCAGCAGCAGCAGCAAGCCCAACAGCAAGTCCAGCAGCAGCAGGCTCAGCATCAGCAGCAGGCCCAGCAACAGCAAGTACAACAGCAGCAAGTGCAACAGCAACAACAAGTGCAACATCAACAAGCACATGCGCAACAACAACAGCAGCAGCAGCAAGCTCAGCTTCAACAAGCTCAACAAGCTGCTCAACAACAAGCACAGCAGCAGCTTCAACTACAGCAGCAGCAAGCTCAGGCCCAGCAGCAACAGGCTCAAGCGCAACAACAGCAGCAGGCGCAACAACAGCAGCAAGTGCAGCAACAACAAGCGCATGCCCAACAGCAGCAGCAGCAGCACCATTTGCAGCTTCAACAACAGCTTGCGATGCAGCATGCAAATTCTCAGCAGAGCAATCATAGTCAAGGAGGCCCTGCAGGTCAGACTCCTCAACAGAATACCCCTAATCAGATGCGGCCGCAATCTCGAACAGCAAACCCCACCGAACAAGCCGCTCACCCACAAACGCCTCAGCAGACTGGCCCGCAGGCTCCAACCCCAGTACAGCAAGCCACTCCTCAGGCACCGCAGCCTACCAATCAGCAATCAGCAGACCAAGCCCGTGTGCTGCAAGCTGCATACCGGCGAGCCCAGTTGCAACAGCAGCGGCAAGTCTCAGCGGGCGTACAACCCATGGGACAGCTCCAACAGTCTGGCTTAGTGGGTCTGTACATCCTGAAGTTGATGCAATTCAGCGACCAGTTGAGTAGCATTCAAGTCGCCGCAGGGAGGAATATCGAGGTTTGGTATAAGTTTGTGGAACGGCATTTCGCTCCCGACGCCTGTCTAATACACAGCTTTGACAACAACGAAGCCCTTGCAGGCAGGGCAAAGATCTTTGAAGTTTTCCGTGACAACGTTGCGAGGTATTTCTGGAACTACTTCGAGTCTGGCGCGCAATCTATGCGTCTGCATACGGAGCTTGCTCGGGAAACGACCTACAATGCCGGTACTCATCTTGTCCAGTGCTCTAACGCCATATTTACGACCATATATCCCAATGGGGTGCGCTCTGATATGACAGGTTCCCTGAAGGTCATCTTCGCTGCCGGTTCAGATCAGATCCAGTCTCTCTCGTTCCAAACGAGTACCTGTGAAGAATATATCTCCAGATCGCAAGTCGAGAAGGTGGTCAACGACTGGGAACCCACCCCATCCCTCAAATCTCCTGTCATGACGAAGGGCAAGTTGCCAAAGGCACAGCAGAAAAAAATGCAAGAACAGCAAGATCGGTTGAGCATGGAGCACTTTCCAAAATCAATCCAAGGAACATTGGGCGTTTGCTCACGAGTACAAAACTTCCTCGAGGTGAGCTTTCCTCCAATTTTCATTTGAGGGAGGACGATACACTAATAATTTGCACTTAGATAGCAGAGACTATGAGTGTCATGGCGGATATCATGTCATACTCGCAAGAACATAACATGCGCCCAGAGAAGGCAATCGATGCTCTCGCGGCTCAATACGAGATGGCTAATGTTGGAAACGATGTCGGTACCCCTCAAGGTCAGATGCAACAGCAACCGAACGGTATGCCTGTTGGCAACCGCACGCCGGCTATGGCAAATCGACAGATGCCGCCGAATGGCATGCCGGCCTTTGCCGCGTCTCCTGCGTTGTCCCACCTGAATCTACCTATGCAACCCAACGGCATGAACGGCTCGCCACATCTTGGTCACCCAGGTCTTCAAGGCGGCATGATGGGCAACTCTCACACCCCTTCCCCTCACCTCTCTAACATGGCTGCCCCTCCGATGATTCCGCAGCACAGCGCGCAAGGGACAAACAGCAGTACTGCTAGCGCGAACACGAGCCCGAACGCCACGAGTAACAACAATCACGCCAATAACACCTCCAACAAACGACGACGAAGCACGGTAAAGCACGAAGGTGATGATGTGCCCGAACCAACTGGCAACGCCAAAGTCAAGCCGAGTCCGCGCATGAGCAAGAAGCAAAGACCCTGATCTGGATGCTTGACTTGTGTCAGTCACCTCGAAAAACAGCTTCGTGAACAATCAGATTGGAGAGCCAAGGCCTCTACATCTAGCGCTTGTGACAGTGCATTTGAGCCCGCGAGGCGACACGTCCGCTATAATCTTGCACCTCCATTCGGCTGGGTGCGTGCGGAATGGTCGGAGTTTCCTCAGACCTAGCCTAACGCGCGACGAGGCTGACTCTCATCATTGCTTTTTGGAAGCGCCATAGCATCATCTGTTTGGCTCACGGTATGCCTTCCAGCCGACCTGTGCGGGCATTCCTATGGCCCAGATGCGGAGCACGCCACTACCACAGACCAGAAGGTCTGGCCAAGGAGAAGCACCAGTCCGCTCATATCGGGGTGTTTCTCCTGGTCTCCACACGTGGCCAGGGAAGAGACGTGTCATGGTTGTGACCTCCATACGAAAACACCGCTTTCAACCCTCGCTGGCGCCATTGCTGTGCCACTCTGGCAACATGAAATCCACGCGGGCTTATCCCTGTCGGAGAACTATGGCAGAAAGACGAAGATCAGCAAGACCGGCAATGACATCCTCTGCCGTATCACATCTTCAATATACCTCCATCAACAGGCCTGATCTGCTGTTGTCAATCCCGATCGTACCTTTATACATCCCTCTCACCATCCTCCTCATCCTCCTCGAAGCGCACCCGACCGCTCAATCCCTGTGCTTCATTCTCCATATTCTCTCCCATCTCCATACCTCCCCGTCTCTCCAAAGCTCATCTCATCTCATCTCATTACATGCGCGTTTCTCTTCTTATACACTGCGGCCGCCGGTATTGGATCAAGTGGCTTCTCGCCGATTTTTACTCTACTGCTCTGCTTTGCTTGTTTTTCCGCAACAAATACGGCCGGGTGATTTGGTAGTTTTTTTCCTTTTGGAATATTTGCGCTTTGCTATCTCTTGAATTTCCTTCACAAAAAGGGGCTATTTCGTCGAATCGCTTGCTGGCTTGGTTTATGCATGTCACTGTTTTGTTGTCGATACGGCTGTTCGTCTTTGGGCTGATTCGCCCGTGCGCTGATCGGTATGTCGGTCTGTCATGGTTTTGCTTGTTTGATGCGCGCGTGTCAGTCCTCTTTACAGGTCTCAGACCTCCGTTGCTTTTTGATCGTTGTCGTTGGTTTTTGTTGTCCGCTGCTACCCCGCAGACTCTTTCATACAGAGACAGACAAAAACGCAACACTTGATGTATGTATGATAAAATTCGACTTTGCTCCTCCTTCTGACCCTCGATCCTTCCTGATCCTACTCCTGTCACTTTATCGTCTGTCTATTTGGTGTTGTTTCTAGAACCGACTGCAAGTCCAGCAAACTCCTTCGCGTTGCGTGGTATACCTTCCCGCGCGGACACCTATCGCACATGAGCGCAGCCGTGCAGATGTACATACAACGACCCTACATTTAGCTTGAAACAGAACAATCACCACTTTGGACCAAAGAACACACAAATCTCCGGCATGACACTCTCGTCACTCATCAGAGGCAACCGCTCCTTGCACCAGCCACTACCAGCACCAGATTGATCGAACACGACTCGGGCTTTCCACATGTACTGCATGAGACAAAGTGTGAACGGGCCCACGGGTACATCGTGAGCAGCCTCATGACTACTAGGCAATTTAGACACGGATGCGGATGCACGATGTCTGCGGATTAGTGGAATACAGCACTACAATACTATACTCTTTGTTGAGGTATAACGTGCTAAGGTGGATGAGAACTTGTCTATGCTTTACCTGGAAAAGTACATCATGTATTCATTTACTCCGAACATTGCTTGCTATTTATTGATGTACTTGTTTCTTGCTTGCACTCATGTTGGATCTACCGAATCTCACACGAGGGTGGAAAGTATATCGTTCATTGACAGTATTTCCCGTCTCGGCGTGGCCCGCGTCGAATCGCCAACCTTGTCCCTCATCATCGACATGAGTCAACGTTGCTCACTCGAACTCACTGCTGGGAGAAGCCTTGTTTCGCATGACATGAGGCCTGCCTCGAGTGCTCCACGATCCTGGCCCTTCCCGAGTCGGCAGTCATATCCGAGACACTGGTGAGCACACGTACGTCTGTCACAGGTGCAAACATATTGATCCATTCTACATTCCACAGGTATATGTATTGGTCGAATCTCTTTCTCAGCCTGTTTGTTTCGGCTTTCACAACCGTGATGCTCCTGCAATTTCGTGAATCCTATTCCAATTGCTGGCTGGGTGGTCGCAAGGTGTTCCCGATCTGGAAAGATGCGCTGATCTCCCATCCCGCGCTAGCTCGAAACTCTAATGTGAAATGCCTCTCTCTCTCACTCTCTCAACAAGCATTGAAATGCATGTCCGATGTATGGAACGATGTGTACCGTACATGACAGAAATGACGAGATGAAGAAGTTGGTTTGTCTCGTCGGCCATAGTTGAGAGCATCGTGTACATGGTGTCTCTCTCTCTCCGGTCACGAAGTAGAACGCCTTTCAATGCCTAGCGGATCGGAAACACGTGGAGAAGACGCTACAGTAAAATACATCGGTGAACATGAACTCGGGCTCAACCGGCGAGATAGTCCTGACATCTCTTTCATTTTCCAGGTTGGCACAACAGACGTGATCTCCAGATTATGGCCGGCTCGACATGCTTCATCGAGTTGTGGGGAACCTGTTGCGAAGATGGGGAACATAATGCGGCTGTCACATGTGGTCCAAAGAGCGTGAAATTAAAAATGCCGAGGGACAACCCTTCAGGGCTCGTCCTCCCGATCAGACAGATCTCTGTTGCATCATCCCTAACTCGGATGACATTCTTGGGGAGCGACCGTGAAGCAGGTGCATTTGAAAATACAGTATTACCCCAGTCATTATGATGACAAGGCAGACAAGGTGGAGAGGAGGCCGTCCGTCTTTTCGAGCCCTGCCATCTCTCTGTTCCGGCGGAGGAGGAAATTTTGGGAGAAGCGGAGAATGCTTGTTCCAATGGCTGTAGTCGCTATAGTCGCCTGGTTTGTTCCGCTCGTTTTCGTCTCGCAGACGATCATGTTTTGGCCGTCGGCAAGCCGCCCTCGTTGTCTGCTCCGCACGACTTTGCGAGGAACAGTGCCCGATGGAAAGCCATAGCCCTGGAGGTCTTTCTCCCGCAGTGGTTACTTGATGAGGTTTCTCTTGATTGACTCTGGTATGATGACAAAGACGAAGACAGCGGCACTTCGTTCTGGCTCACGGACTCTACAATGCTAAGACGAATGCTGCATACAAACTATGCCTTTGGAATGGACTGGCACGTGAATGGCACCAATGGCCTTGATGTCGGGGTTGGAACCGAGGCCGAGCGCGCGGAACACGGATACCTTGAGAGCCGGGTTGTTGCCATGCACCATTATCGAATACATTCACCTCATACATGTACTTCGTTTCATCGTCTTGCAGACCCCGTTACATGATGCTTCTGGTAGTCGTCGTGGTTTTGGGGTTCTAAGCCATGTGTGGTTGGCTAAGCACTTGGGTAACTGGACAATGCAAAATCAAGCAGGGTGGGCATCGATCGAATCCACGAATTTGGTCTCCACCCGGTGAAGTGCAGACAACTTGCCGACAAACGACTGGCCCGCTGATCAGTGTTGCCCGTCAAACCACACACACGCGTGCAGCATCATGATCAGTCAGGTTATGATCAGTGCTACCTCCGAGGAGAACAAAGGTGTTATGCTCAATTTTCAAGATGTTCTGTCCTGCAATCATCTCCAATATTTATCCAACGACACACAACCTCAGACAGAGCGATCAGCGTCTGAACTTCGTCATAGATGAGATTGGGACAGAACAAAAAGTCGACCATCGACTTTTTAAGCTTTCGAGGGAACGGATTGTGAGCGATCTAGGTTCACGCCAAATTCGGTACCTTGGACTAATCCGCATTGGAAGAAGATCGTTCGTCTGAACTTCTCCCACAGCCATCATTTCCTCCCCAGCTTCCGCTGTCTGATTTGCAATTCTGCATGAACAGAACTCCGAGGTTCTCGGCAGCGAGCTAAAACTCATGGACAACGTCTCTCACACCCTCTTTTTCCCCCCCAAAGCATTTGCCAGTCTGAGTTGTTGCGCAGTAGTACGTACCGTTGGCCATCTCATCTGGTCATGAAGCCTGCATCAAAACCTTCTCATGGTGGGTATACGGCGGAATGTGTGCATCATCGTCAAGGATGACCGGGATGGCGTCGATGAATGCTGAATTTGCGGTGGAGACGATCAGACCAGCGCATAGTCCAGCACCTCAACGAGGTTGTTGGCCATGTGCTGTTTCCCGCTTGCAAAGGTATATAGTCAACGGGCCCTGCTCGAGCGTGCGGTGACTTCCCTCGTCCCTGCAAACCATCTCACAACCTCAAATTCCTCGTCCATCCTCCACGAGTAATCATGGTTCGCACCTCCATCGCCGCCCTTGTGGGCTCTGTCGCCGCTGTCCTCGCAGCCAACCAGCCCCCGGCTGTTCCTGAGAATGCCCAGATCGGCAAGCTCGCCTTCCCGGTAAGTTGCATCCCGATGGAGTCTTCCTGTCATGAGCAAGAGAAACGGACTTGGGAATGGGAGATGTCTCAAGGGGGATCCATGTTTTTGGGCCAGCCAGTGGAATACTAACAAGTTCTTTCCTGTCCAGGTCACCTGCAACCTTCTCGGCTTCCTCCCGCAGACCTTCAAGACCGTCTTCACTGCCACTGCCCCCGTCTTCGGTGGCTCCGGCCAGCAGATCTACTACACCGATGTCGTCGGCAACATCGAGATCCCCTCGTACATTGTCAACCTTGCACCTCTCGTCGGTGCTACTCAGGCCCAGGCCAACGTCACTGTCAACCTCCGCTTGACCAACGCCTCCCCATCCACCCTCCAGATCTACAAGGCCACCATCAACAACGTCCGTTTCCCTGCCGGCGGCGCCGCCAACATCCGCATCCCTCAGGGCAGCGGTACTCTCCCCAACCTCGGACCCGTCACTCTCGGTGCTGCCAACGTCGCTCACCGCATCCTCCTCGGCCAGGTCACCGTCTTCATCGCTCTGCAGAACGATGCCGGCAAGACCGTCTTCGGCCCCCTCGCCGTGACCTGCGGTCAACAAGACGTTGACTTCATCATCGGTTCGGTCAACGTTGACAACTCCAAGGGCGCTGCCCTCGCTCCTCGCAATGGATTCGTCGCTGACCTGCCCGCCACCCCTAACCTCTTCCAATCCGGTGCCTTCCGTTTCCCGTACAGCTGCGACTTCGGTGCCGTCGGCAAGTACCCTCTCGACCTGGAGATCGTCGGAACCATCCCCTCCTACTTCAAGCCTGGCCAGCAATTCAACCTGGCCAACGCCCAGTCCTTCCTCCGCATCCCCACCAACCTCACCACCCTCGCCAAGAACGCCTTCCCGCAGGCCACCACCTTCCACACCTCCGTCTCTGAGTTTGAGATTCTTTTCACCGGCGCCAGCCCGGCCAACATTAACGTTGCTTCCACCAACACCATCGTGTCTGACGCTGCCATCCCCGCCAATGGCCAGCAGCTCATTGTTACGATCCCGGAGAACGGCTCTCTCACCGTCGGTCCCGTCACCGCCGGCTCGTCTGGCACCACCGGTATTTCCGTCGGTCAGGCCAAGGCCTCCATCGACGTCCGCGACGCCTCGGGTGCCACCCTCCTCACCCTGGCTGCCACTTGCAACGTCCCCGCTCCCCTCGAGCTCATTGGGTATGTCTCACATTTTGTCGTTCCAACATCGAAATCGAATCATTGCTGACTTGCTTTTCTCCTACAGTGTGACCATTTCTTCCAAGACCCCAGGCAACTACTCGCTCGGTGTCAACAACACTCCCTCTTCTTAGAGGGACTGTGGCTGATCCGGTGATGACTGTTTGTTATTTGGAGCAGCATTACGTCCGGCTTTCTTCGAGAAGTGCAGATCTGTTCGCATCGACATCTGAACGGGAAAATGATCGAGGAAGAAATGTGGAAATAGATGAAAAAGCAAATGTACATGATATTCACGTTAAATGAAGACAAGAATGCATGAGCTTCATGATGGCGCGGTCCCAGTTCTGGAGTATTGCTCGTCGCCGAATTTTGTTCGGAGTGATCACGATGTCCCTCCACGCCTGCGCAGATTTTCGCAGCGATGCATCCTGTCTCCATGAAGCAAAGTGTCAATTTTGTTCATCAACCAAGAATGCTGTAGAATAGACACTTCATGATCAACAATGTGCGCTATAAACCGTTGACGAGAGTTGTGAAGAGAGAAAGTGTGGAGCGACGTCAATGCTTCGACATGCATACGCGCGTGCCATCCATTTCCCGCTCGTTGCGACTGTAGTTCCACATCACCACTGCACATCTTCATCATCCGCTTTCCATTAGAAACGACCCGACCATGTGATGCGCCATCTAACACGCCTCCGTCGCGACCAACTTCATCGCATCGTCTCCACCCGGACGAGATTGCTTCATACTCAACAAGATGTGAATACTTATACTACATCGAGAGTGCCTCTCTCGTCCGATCAGACTCCCGCGGGAAGTGGAAACAGCAGAGACCCCCAGACCGACAATGTCAACAAGACTACCCGAACACTCTCCGGCCTCACCATCGGCATCAAGGACAACATCGTGACAAAGTCTCAACCCACCACCGCTGCCTCCCGCGCTCTCTCAGGCTATACCTCACCCTTCGATGCCACCGTTGTCAAGCTCCTCCAGAACCATGGCGCCCAACTCTTGCCTGGACTGAACATGGATGAATTCGGAATGGGCTCCCATTCCCAACATTCGCACCGCGGCCCTGTCCTGAGTCCGTTCAAACGCGACGACGTCTCCCTCTCGCCGGGAGGTAGCAGCGGCGGCAGCGCGGTGGCTGTCGCTCGAGGGGATTGCTGGGCCGCGTTGGGAACGGATACAGGTGGATCGGTGAGGCTACCTGCGGCATATACGGGCATCGTCGGCTTCAAGCCTTCGTATGGGAGGATTTCGAGATGGGGGGTGATTCCCTATGCGAATTCTCTAGACACGGTGGGGATCCTGGCGCGGAGCACGGAGGACGTCGGGAAGGTGTTCCGGTGTCTGGACGGGTACGATGAGAAGGACCCAACGTCTCTCTCGCCGAGCGTAAGGCGACGGATAGATTCCACAACACGTTCGCGTCCGCACCAGCACAAACAACAACAGAGCCGACCCCTACTCCGCATCGGAATCCCCCTGGAATACAACCTCGCCGAAATCAGCCCGGCCGTCCGCGCAACCTACCTCCACACCCTGACCCTCCTCCAGCAAGCAGGCCATACCCTCCACCCGGTTTCGCTCCCCACAACGCGCCTCGCCCTGTCCGCATACTACGTCCTCGCCCCGGCCGAAGCATCCTCCAACCTCGCCAAATACGACGGCATCCGCTACGGCCACCGCAGCAGCAACAACAGCGACAAGAACGACGCATCGCCATCACCATCACCATCATCACCACTCTACGCCCGCACCCGCGCCGAAGCTTTCGGCAGGGAAGTCCAACGCCGCATCCTCCTCGGCACATACACCCTCAGCGCGGACGCGCAGGAGAATTTCTTCCGCCAGGCGCAGCGCGTGCGGAGGTTGGTGCAGCGGGATTTCGACGGGGTGTTCGCAGCGGGGAATCCGCTTTCGCATGAATCCGGCGGGACCTCGACGTCGTCGTCGGCGTCGGGGGGGGTTTCTCGCGCCGACGACGCGGGCGGCGTTGATGGAGTCCGAGTGCATGTCCTCCTCGCCCCCACCGCGCCCACGCTGCCGCCCACGGTCGTGGAATTGCTCGGGAGAAGCCCCGTCGAGGAGTTCACGAACGATGTCCTGACTGTTCCGGCGAGTCTCGCGGGCTTGCCGGCGGTGAGTGTGCCGGTGCCGCTTGTGCGGGAGAAGAAAGCGGAGGGTGGTGGTGGTGGAGATGATGCTGCTTCTTCTTCTTCTTCTGTTGCCGCTGGAATCGCCGGAGAGCGGGATGTCCGGACCGTGGGATTGCAGATCCTGGGTCAGTTCGGTCAGGATGAGATGGTCCTTCAGGCGGCGGAGATGCTCGAGGGCCTTGTTGCTTCGCGGCAGCGGTGAACCGTGTATGATCTGTTGGCGGATCCTTTACATTTTTATCGTCCTTATTATCGTCAAGTCCTGGCGGAATTGGAAGATCAGAGGGGATAGATCCGTATGTATGACTACTGTAGACTCCAAGTGTGTTTTGGTCTGGAACAAAGAGAGCCGAGCCTTTTCACCACCGATCGAAACCCTTTCCCTCTTTCTTTCTTTCTCCCCCCTTTCTCTCTCTCTCTCTCTCTTTCTCTCTGGAGAAACCCCCGATTAGAGGATTTCTCCTCTGCGAGGAAGAGAGAAAGAAAAAAACTCCACCGAGCATGAAACACGGCTTGATTTTTTCCCTCGGAGACAACCTCTCTCTCATATGTGGAAGAAAGGTGGGAAAGAAAGTAGACGGATCCAGACGGCCGAGGTCTTCAAAGGCGCTCTCTCGCTCAATTCATCGCTTTACTATCTCATCTCATCTCAGTTAATCCCTTTCCTCCCGCCCCATCCAACCTTCGTCTGAAAGGCGATACGACTTTCGATCGATCTCGCTCTCCCCTCTCCCTTTCCCTTCCCATTCCCAATTTCAAGGAGAAATAACAACTACAACAACGACAACAACAACAATGCCTTCACCGTCACCTCCCTCCTCCCCCCGCCGCCGCCGCAGTCGCTCCGAGAAGGCTGCTACTCGCCGCGCTCTCCCCGACCTTCAAGTCCTCATCCGGGAGCCCGACCACCGAAGTCGCATTCGCTGTCGCATTCGCGGTCGGAGTCGCAGCCGCAGTCGTCGTCATACCAGTAACAGCAGCAGCGGCGGCAGCGGGCCGCCGCGAACTCTCCCGCCTGTGCGGCGCCGACGAGGAGGAGACCGCGATGTGGCTGCTCGCGCTCGTGCTCTGGCTCTCGCTGCGTTCCCGGGGCCCCGCCACGCCGCCGATGCCGATGCCCATGCCAGAGGGGGGATCGCCCCGTGCCGCCGCCGCCGCCGCGTCGACGGACGAGAGGCTGCTGTCGCGCCGCCGGCGGTCGCGGAGGGCGCGCTCCAGGGCCCGCACGCGTTGGCGCAGCGCGTCGTTCTCGGCCTTGACGATCTCCATCTCCGTGCGATAGGCGTGGCTCGACGGGTCGTGTTGCTGGTGGAGGAGCGGGATGTGGGTCGTGGATGACAGGGCTTGGTCGCGGGTGGCTGAGGAGGAGAAGGAGGGGCGGTTGGAGAGGAAGCCGCTGTTGTTGTTGTTGTTGTTGGTGTTGCGCATGTTGTCGAGGGAGCCGCGGGCCGGGGTCGATCGGCCGGAGGCGCTCATCGAGGGTTGCCGGCTGAGGGTCGTCGTCGTCGTTGTGGTCGGGTCGCCGGCGCCGTTGGCGGCCATGGCGCGGTCCATGGAGGCTTGGGAGACGCCGGAGAGGGCGAGGCCCGGGGAGTTGGCGGCGGAGTGGTGGTGTTGGCCGGCCGTGTTGGCCAGGCCGGTGGAGATGTTGGCGAGGGCGGGGGCGCCGCTGGCGGGCACATGGGCACTCCGGCCGGACACCGAGGAGGAAGATCGCGCGCGGCGCGAGGGGGTCGGGTGGGTGGCGCCGGTCATCTGATGGGTCGGGTTCGGGTCGGAGATGTCGACGGGTAGGATGGATTGGGAGGAGGTGGAGGAGTGGGAGGCATTGCTTGCCACCGAGGCCGTCTGCGCACGGAGGGCCGTGAGTTCACGGGTGAGGCGGTTGACCTATCGTGAGGGTTAGTTCGAGGTGATTCCTTTCTCAATGTAAATCCCTTCAAAGGACGACGACGACTCACCACCGCTTCTTGCTCCTTTTCGCATTCCAGGTATAATTCGGCGGCGGTGAGAGGGCGAGGATGCCTCAACGGCACCGTGGTGTAATCATCCCCGGCGATGAAGGAACTGCGATGGGTGCTGTACGACGACGTGGGCATGCCGGGCGGGAGCATGGAGGTGCGTCGTGAGGCGGTCGTCGAAGCGGGCCGCGAGTTCGGCTGTGAAACCCGCTCCGGTCGCGACGTTGACGAGGACGACATTGTGAGGGTGCTGAGGTCGGAAGGAGTCATGGTGGAAAGACGACGAGTCGCTTCGGACAGACACACAAGATTCAACGACGACAGGAGTTGTTCTTCGTTCGTCGTACGGCTGTGCCCGAGTGTCACGGGATTCCGAGGACAGCCTGGACGACGTGGGAGTGTAGTCGTGGTGATGATGGACGTGAGCGCAGATCCGCGTGCCTGTCGTTTTCCTTGGTGGTGAGTTGGTAGTTGCGTTATCTCCGCTGGATGGACGGCGGGGCGGAGCGGAGGAGATTTATGTTCAGCAGGAGGAGGAAGATGAGGAGGATTTTTCTTTGTCTAGGTATGTAGCAAACAAGGGATTTATTCTTCTTCTTCTTTTATTTCCCATCGTGGACCGAAGACCATCTTCGTATATACCGTAATTGTTATTGTTTTGCATTGTGTACAAGTGTCGCAACCATGGTAGAAGGTGTCAATCAGTCCAATGGTGAGAAAGATATCCATAGAACAGAGGGACAGCAGACCATGGTTGAAGCCCCGACATGACGACGCGCCCGAGGTGGGACCATCAATCAATCACCCATCAATCACCCATCAATCACCCATCAATCCATCCATCAATCCATGCATGGGCCCCTCCCTGGGCGCGCTGCTGACAGACACTGACCAACCAAGTCTCCGCCCGTGACAGACAGCGATCAACCAAGTCTCCGCCCGTGCGCGCGCGCCGCGTTTCAACCCTCGACTCGACGATTGTCCACTGCAGAGGAAAGCTTGGAAGCTGGACACACGTGTCCAACCCACATCTACCGTATCGATGGTTCAATCCAGCGCAGGAAACTCTCTCCCTCTCTGATGGCCACCATCGACGATGAGAAGAACATGAAGAGGAAGAAGAAGAAGAAGAAGAAGAAGAAGAAGATGATGATGAAGGGATCGCCCTGGTGCTGCTGGATGGTGACAAGCGCGGTACCCATTGCCGAGTGGTACTGTATGTATTATTACTGTTACTACAGAAGATAAAGCGCACATATCTGGTCTCAGACCTCCCTTCAGTCCCCGCTGATGGAAACCCGACTCTCACTCCCACGGGTCTGCCGCCATTGCCATGTGCCAGGGGTGTGAGGTCTCGAAATCGTCCGCTGAGCCTGGGATCCATTCCTCCCTTCGTTGTCGTCCGACGTGGATCCTGTCCTGTTCCCTCACGAACGAGATCCTGCAATTCGGAAGCAGCCTGAGGGAGCAAGGGCAGGAGGGTGGCGATCAAGTTTCCCATCTCGATTCGATGCGTGGTCGTTCGAATCGGGCGGTCTGGTACGGTAGACGCACACCCGCGTCGCAGGTTTCGCCTGGCAGCTTTGTTCGAACGACAGGGACGTGAGTGATGTGTGTGGTATGGCCGCCCTGACGGTCCTCCGGGGGACCATCACGCATATGCAAGATGAATCGCTCTCCGAAAGCCATCAATGATGAGGGCCGAGAGAGGGTTTTCGAGTATACCTAGCATGCCCATCACTTGGGATGGTGCAGACGGTGCCATACACTAGTGACCAGTGGACTGGTGATGTCAATGAGCTGTTGTCCACCACCACCACCACCACCGAAATCAACATCAATGGGGGACGGACCCCAAATCCCTCACCTGTAAATAACTGGAGTTGCAGGTCTTCTCATTACAGTAGAGATGTGTCCATGGAAAGCCTCTCTCCGTCATCACGGTTTCATCTTTTCCTGGCTAGGCATGATCTTCGCGCTTTCCCGACCCGCATGCGCCACTGTTTGAGCATTCGTCTCGAGACACACCGATCGCCCATCGCCAAACGTCCTACAAACCACCACCACAGCAATCCGTGTGGTGATACAAACGACCCAATATGAGCGTGATCGTCAAATGGGCCTCCCGAAAAGGACGCGATCATCGTTGTTATCGTCATCATCATCCGATCCGGCGCTTGGAGAGAGGGTCTTTTTTCTCGATCCATGCTAGCAGATGCTAATATATAGATAGATGTGGATATATAAATACATATATATGAAAATTAGCCTTCGTCGCTAGTAAATGAGATTCTTTTGTATGACTATGTACAATGAATTGTGTATGTATGTATGTTATGTATAACTTATGTATACATATATACCTAGGTGTATGTATTATATGTATATGTATGTAAACGCTGGAGGACATGCAGCATCTATCCGTCCTAATCCACCACGCGTACAATTTGTAAATATACATACATTTTATACCTCCAATCCAATGCATGCACATAAACAACACTGATCACCACTTCCCGACAGAGAGGCATGTGGCGCGGACATTGGAGAGGAGATGTCCTTTGACATTCCCTCCCGTTTGTTATTATTACCGTCAAGAGAGGGATTTTGTCCCTCGGTTGCGGCTGTGCGAAAATCCCTCCCTGTGTAGTCATAATCACTCAACCCACACTCGGTCCTGCTCGTTGTTTATTATACTGAGAGAGAGATAGAGAGATAGAGACAGAGAGACAGAGAGTCAGAGAGACATAGAGACATATGCAGAGAGACATGGCGACAGAGGCGAGGCCAACACTACTAATTTCCTTATTATAACCATGCCGTCCCCGATATCACACACTACTGCACGCTTGTTCCGCCCCTACTGCCCAAAAATAGAAAAGGCGGCAACAAACCCCCCCCCACCCCCCCCAAAATGCCTCACACTCACATCCAGCATCCTCGGGCTTTTTCGCCTGATCCCTCGATAATTTCCTCTTCTCATCTCGGATTGCGCATCGCTGACTGCCAATGCACACATACATGGGAGGCGAGGAGACAACTCGAACAGGACCCTAGCAATTCTTTCCACCATGTATGGACGGATGTCATCAATGGCGGAGAAGGTCCATGTGGTGGAACGGACAGGAATTCCTTCTCCCGATGGTGGGAAATCTGGCCGCGCGAGCTAGCCGGGCTGAAGCCGACATGTGTCCCCCCCACCACTAATAACCATGCCGCATGCACGCATGCACGACCACCAACCACCACCACAGCCCCAATCCCTTTGGCGGGTCGCTCCTCCTCCCTCGCCCTTTCGCGCCTCTTTCTCTCTCGCGCCCAAGGAGGAGGGAAGGGAGCGTGTTTCAGAATGATTGACGATCTAATCGAACACATGGCGCATGTAGGGGAAACAAAGAGAGAGACCGTCCTGTCCACCTGGGCAATTCTACAGCTGGCCAACAGCAAGCAGCAGCAGCAGCAGGTGGCATCGTCTCCTCTTCCTCGCGCGCGCCCAATGGATGGTCTCACCATTCTCATCCTCATCGAAGAAGAGACGTGACGGGAAAGCAGGCATTGATGGTGGTGCCCGTCAGGCATGCATTCCGTCAGAGTCAGTCAGTGCATTCCCTTTTCGCTATCTACAGTATCTATTAATTATCACCGCCCGTGTCTAGTGCGCGCGCGCGGACGGAGACGAAAGCATGTGGTGTGTGTGTGTCTGTGTGCGTGTGTGCAGGCGCCCGTCGATCCATCCATCTCCCTGCGCCAGACGATATTGCGTGGTCGCTTACACACGAACCTATTTCCCGGACACGCTTTCGCTATACTGGCTGGTCCATTAGGTTTCTTAGTTACTATGCGGCGCAGCAAGCAAGCAAGTCGAGTTCGTCAAACTCTCCAACACGCCGCAGCAGAAAGCCCGTCAGCCTCGTTTCCCTCACTCTCCCTCTCTTCCATTTTCCCTTGCTGCCAACTACCCTCTCCCTCTTGCATCTTCCCTGTGATACCCCGGACTCTGCATATCGTCTTTTTTTCCGCGATTCCAATATCGATCCTTGGTTGGTCTGTCTGTCTGTGTTTCCCGCGGATGTTGCTTCGAAATCGCATCCGGTCCTACACGACATTATCCTAGAAAGAAAAGGAAAAAGAAAAAAGAAAAAAGCTGAGGGGAACAGACCACTGTGTTTTGCGCCGGAAAAGCAACAAATAAGGTGCCCGCATCGAAAGCTCTCAATGAACCCCCGGTGGAATTAATCTTATTGGAACGACGCTTCTGCTGGACCGGGATTGTTTTTCAAAATGCTGGACTATCATTATCACTCGCGGGATGATGCCTCCAAACACGATGACGGGGAGATGCTCGCGGCGGCGGCGGAGGAGGATTACGAATTTGAAATTCTGCAACTCGTCGACTTCGAATACGATCCCGAGGATTCTTACTACGACGACGACGACGACGACGCGCTCGAACCGACCCGGAGACCCGATCTACGGAGAGATCTCCCCGATGAGATCCGGACCCGTCTGAACGGAGGGAAAGGCGAATCCCAACCGGACGTCCAAGGAATCCCGGGAAGCCCCGGTCCGATGACGACGACGGCGACGGCGACGTCGACTCCGATGACCTCGGCGGAACACACGGTCAAGACGGAAAAGATTGGAGGTCGGTCGTCTCTGTTTTCTCTTCTTTTCCCTTCTGGCACGCATCAGTCTGTGTGAATGTTTCGTTGTTGCGCGCGTGACAGAGTATTGATTTCTTGGGTTCTCTAGATCCACATGCCACCCCCACATCTACCACCGCCGCACTGTTGACGACCACATCGACGGGAATGTCGACTACGCTTACCTCATTGCCTACGGCTACTCCGACGACGTCGTTTGCCGCTGGAGCCCTTGTTGATAGCATTCATACGAGCTCAACCGGAATCGCCTTGCCAACCATTACCTTCAGCAATGATGCTGCATCGAACGCTCCAAAAACTATCACAATAGACACCCATCTGCCTACCCTGTTCGCGACAATGTCCTCGCCGACACCTGCACAGACGGCTGAAGCCGGCGCTGCTTCTAGCGCTTCTGCTGCCACGGCAAGCGATAGTGGAGGGCTCAGCCAAGGAGCGACGATCGGTATCGGCGTCGGAGTCGGCGTGGGTGCCGCACTGATCGCGATCCTCTTGACCGTGGCTATCCTCATGCGCCGTCGGAACCGCGAATCGAAAGGGACCGACGACGACATGAAGTACGAGCCTTCACGGCAGTTCGAATCCTCCATGAGCGGTATGACTGTGGCACCCATGCTCGCCAGCGCCCACGCCGATCGCATGTCATACGCCAAGGGCAACGCGATGCCCGTGTCGGTGACGAGCCTCCACTCACATTCGGGATCCGCCGACCGGGATAGCGGTCCCTACCGCGACGATGATTTCGACGACGACGCCCATCGCTTCGACGGCGGCGAAGGCGGCATGCACGTCGTGAATAACAACCCTCGTCACTCCGATCCCGCCTGGCCGCTCACCCCGGGCGTCATCACCATCCCTCCCGCCAACTACAAACCTCAACCTCAAATCCCACAGCAACAGCAACCGCAACCACCACCACAAACCGCACCACAACAACAACAGCAACAACAACCACCCTCCTCCCGCCTCTCAGCCCAATACGCCAACGCGCCCCTCCCCGCCCTCCCACCATCCGCCCACGCCCAAGACCAACCCCCGCAACAGCGGACCCCCCAACACCACCGCCTCTCCCAGATGACCACGAGCTCCGCCCTCGTCTCCCCGCTGACGCCGACCCCGTCGATCCTCGGCGGCGGCGGACTGACCCGCTCCAACACCATCGACAGCGACGCGCCGCCCCCGCCCGTGCCGCCGCTCCTCCCGATGCTCCGCATCCCCGCCACCCCGTCCCTCCAGCAGCAGCAGCAACATCCCCGCGGCGGCGGCGGCTCCTCCTCCGCGGACCCCGACGACGACGACGACCACCAGACCGAACGCACCCCCCTCGCGGGCGCCACGCCCATCCCGGACGTCAGCCCCACCGTGCGCCGGCCCTCCCCGGACCATTCGCCCGTCAGCCCGATCAGCCCCGTCAGCCAGATGAGCCGGCAGGTCAGCCGGGCCGGCGGCGGCGGCGATTGATGTGGGGGAGGCCATGAATCCCCCCCTTTTCTCTTGCGGCGGGAGTTAACCATTTTCCTTACGAATTTCTATTTTTGGGGATCCGGGCGGGGAATTTCGACGCGAAGTGCTCCTGTTTCTTTTTATGGCGCGGTTGTTGTTGTAAGAGCACAAAGTTTGCTCTCTCTCTCTCTCTCTCTCGCGGTATTGGGTATGGGAGGGAAAAGGTAAAATGTCTTCGGCTTCGGTTTTAGCTTCGGCTTCACGAGGGGATCGCCTCTGCGAGTACAGACAGGAGAGAAAATGAAGGAATTGAAGGAAATGAAAGGAATGATAGGAAAGGAAAGGAAGGGAAAACTTTTTACCACAAGGAAAAATCCTTCTCGCGGAAAAAGAAGCGACTTCATGGATAGGTCTCACGATCATCACGGTCTCGGTATTTCCACGCTGCTTTTGATCCGCTCGCTGCTGTCACTTCCTCCACTATGGCCACCGTCACCTCTATTCCAGTGCCGTTGTTCGCAGACACCGTCGTCGTCTTCTCGTCGCGAGTGGCATGTATGAATGGAAGAGGGAAATCTGCGGGGAGAAAGTCTCCTCGAGTCCGTCTTCTTCGTAGACAGTTCCACGGCTCGCGGCGGGTCCCGTGTGGTTTCGCCGTCGGACCGGCGGCTCTCTCTCTCCCTCTCTCCCATGTGCTGCAGTCCAGGACTTCGAGAATGTCCATGTTTCAAAATAATAACAAAAATCATCGCTCGATAGACATTCCGTCCACTGGGCGCATTCACCAGGTGATGTCCCACTGCAGCCCATCGGGGTTTCCAATCTTTGATTCTCGGCGCTCCAGCGTGCGGGCCGGCCGGCCGCTGGTTGACGAGCTTCCATGTTTGCCGTATACCCAGGTAATAAGCATCCCTCATCATCATCATTATCGGATGGGACGGCCGACGACGGCCCACATCGCCTGCCTCCCGTGGTATACCGTATGTGTGCCTGCCTCTATCTATCTACGTACATACATATCACAACATCACGTCCCACTTTGAAGCATTCCCTCCTCTCGTCCTCGAGAAGGCGCCCCTCGCCAACGACGACGACGACGACGACGACGACGACGAAAAGCAACGATCGCAGTGATGATTGCTGTCTATCGCAATGCACGTGTCAGCTCATCATGGCGGCACCATCCGCGTCGTCGTCGCCCAAATTCGGTGGCTCGCGCGGTCCCCTGCAGGATTGGCCGGGCGCACGGCCCATTTCGCCCCGGTTCCCTCGGCGGGTCTTGCGATGGCGCGCGGCGATGGATGGGGAGTGGGGAGGGAGAGAGAAAGAGGCAGAGAGAGGCTGATTTATCGACGCCCAGGTTCGGAATTTCGATGCACTGTGCTGCACGGGACCTGCAAGCCACGAGATCCATGGGTGCTGCGGCGGCGGTGGCGGTGGTGGTGGTGGTGGTGGCATCTGCCCGGGTGAAGACCCAATGCCTTTGTCTCAGGTTAAGGATTCTCTTTGTCGAGACGGAATTTCAACGTTCGTTCATACTGGAATATTCTGTTTCGTCTTCCGAGGTTCACATCTTTGGCCCTCACGAGGATGACAATGGGTTGCTCGCTTGCTCCAAGATCAGCAGCGGTGGCGACATCCCAGCACGAACCACCAACAGCAGCACCAACAAAAGCGACAGCTGCTACTGCAGTAAGACACAGCAATACTTGGTGCATACCAACAAGGACGATACAGTCACTGCTGCTGCTGCAGCTACAGCGACAGCATCGCCAACGAACGCGACCGTTGTTAATCACTCCTGGACCTGGACCAAGGCGCCTCCGTGGCCCCCGTCAGCACTAAGTATTGTCCCGCAATCAGATCGCCAGGATTCCGCCCTTTAGACTTCACGCCATGTCCTTGGTGTCTCATCTAGTCTCGGTTTGGAGGCATTTGGACCAATCTGCCATTTCCGCTGCTGAAGATGTGGATGCGCAGAAGTCGAAACGCGCTGGCTTTCCCTGGCAAACTTGCAACTCCCCATCGCAAGATCCGTCGTGGTCTACCAACCGCCACCAACAACAACAACCGTGGGAAGGTCGACTTTCATCTGCACTTTTTGTCATGACTCTAGTGTGATCGGCGTTGCGTGGCCGGGGCGATTTTGCCCTACTTCTCACTGTTTCGTCGTCGACTATATATTTCCTATTCACGTCGCGCTTTTTTAATTGATTTACCTGCGGGCATTGTCGCACTTCACATCAAGTGTTCGGTGGTAGCCCGGCACCCGAATATCCCGAAGCGGAGGAACATCGAACGGGCCCTTATCCCGTCTGAAGTCGACAACTCTGCCGCAATGTCCTCTTCGCAGACCTGCCGTCGGAGGCGCCTCGCCGCGGCTCTCGCGGTTCTGGTATACTCGTCAAGCGCGCACTCCCTCGCCCACAACGCCGCAAGCAACGATGATCTCGTCGCGAGGGCGAACGGAGGAGTCGGCGACTTCATCCTACAAGGCCTCGAATTACCTCAGGAGACTACTCAGACTTCGACCGAGCCCATTGCGAACGGCAACAGTGTTGATCCTGCTTCCACCGGCTTGTCCACCGGCTTGACTACGCCGAGTGTGCCGACCAATGTTCGAGTAGCTGTTGCACAAAATACTGGGGCATCATCGGCCTCATCTTCTCGCCAACTGTACAGCGTCGATGCAACCAGAACGATGCAGACCACAAATTCGAGTCCCACCACCACCGGAACAGCCACATCGCCAATCTGGACTGTACCTCCAACGGGATCGGGTGCTGCCTATGCCTCAGCATGTGCATCCGAGTATGCTGCCTTGTTGTGGTCGGAGAACTTGGGCATTGCTCCCGGTCTGACGCGTAACGTCAAACCCGAATATTCTTATACACAGTTCACCGCTTCCACCACCAAACTCTGTGATGGTTCAACACGTGTGGTCGGCACCCTCACGCCTCAGGGGACTGTCACTGAGTATATGACGACCTACACCGGATCGGAGATCATACCGTCATGCAAAGTTCAGTCTTCAGATTGTGCGTCGGCTTGCCCAGGCTTCACAGCGGCACTCTCATCTTGGTCGTCGCGATATCAGATCACTGTGTCCATGCCTGCCCAGCCCACTGCATTGACCGTCAACGACGCCGTCAGCACCTACACCACAACACTCACGACCGAGTCCGGTCGTCGGTACCCCTATGTCACGCTCCTCAACAGAACGCTTACGCCATACAACTACAATTCTCAAGGCAAAGCACCAACCTGGTACTTTTCGAACAATCCGTTCACCACCAGCAGTTTGTCGCCCGGCGGGGCCATGACGGTGCCTCCACCAAACATCATACCGCCCCCAGACTGCAACCCATATGAACAAGGGATCTGTGACCCTTCGCGCTTCACCACCAAGATGGCTGCGCGGAATAATGTAGCCAGGCAGTGTGACCCGCAAGCATGCACGATCGGGGCCGAAGAAGTGCAGCTCCTATATTTCCCAGCTACAACGACGGCTTCTCGAAACATGTGCGATACGAAAAACAACAGTCCGGATTTCTCCTATTGCCCTGGGGGTGTCGAGATCTCCGGCGGAAATCCTTTCGACAGGAAATGCAGCTATCCTCCCCATATGAACATCACCACAACAACAAAGGATTCAGGTAAATTCAAAAGCTCGATGTTGGTGCCCCACAATGACTGATTCTTTTTAGGTCCATATGCTGTCTATTCCGGCACAACTTACTATCAAAACAGGGTCTACGTATCAGTCAGGGGAGCATATGCTTCCCGGGGCTGTGGTGGCGGCAATGTGGGCGCATCCAACATCGACACAGTCATGACGCTTGCCACCTCCGAGGTGTCTTCTGTCTGTGCAAATGGTTTCCAGAGAGTCTCGGCCTTGCCATATAACTTTGCCGACTTGGTTGCACCAGTGCCAGCCAGTGCCTGGGGATGCCAGCCGTGGTGTGATGACCTCGGATTTGGCTTCCAGGATCCGTTCACGTCAGGCGTTTCACATGTCGATGTGGATGGCCGCACATATACGATCAGACCTACTTTCAACAACAAAGGCATGTGTTCCCCTTGGCTCATCGTAGATGAGGTCTTCCGGCCCGTGCTCGCCGTGCCACTGCAGCTTCGTGGCTTGGACCCGGCTTGGGCAACTTGCGGTCTCGATCTTCTCGGCATTTACGATCCCCCGATTGCGCTTACCGCCGAGGCCACCGCTGCAGCCGCGACTCTGGCGCCATTCTTGCAGACGTCGACGGCCGTTCCTGGGGGCGGCATCGCCACCGATCTGACCCCTGCGAAAGCCACTCAAACCGCACCGGCTCCTACAGCGACGGCGACATCGACTCAACAAGCGCAACACTTTACCTACAGCCCACAGGCCGACAGCTTACCAGCAACCACTACCCTGGGTGACGCCGACGCCCCTCAAGCAGTCGCAAAGGCCCCGATCACCATTTCAGCCGTGGTCATCACTCAAAGTACAGGCGCAGCGGTACCAACGACAACAGGTGCGCCTGCAGCGGCATCTCCGACTTTGAACTCGCCACCTGTTGTTGCAAACTCCGACCCCGTCGCACCACCAGCTGGTGCAAACTCCAACCCTGTCGCATCGACCAACGGGCCCCCGAACGGGTCTGGCAGTGGCCAACCTCCGTCCTCGATGACCGCCTTTGCTATCGGCTCACAGACCGTCAGCGCAGGTAGTCCAGCGGTGACGGCCAGCGGCACCATATTCTCCGCTCTGCCTTCCGGCAGTGGTGTGCAGGTCATCGTGGGTGGTCTGACGTCGACCCTCACCATCCCGGCTCCTGGGGCCACAACAACTTCCTTCGGCAAAGCCAATGTCGTCGTTGGCTCCCAGACTCTCACCGTCGGCGGCCCCGCGATCACCCAAGCCGGCACCACTTACTCCGCTCTGCCTTCCGGAAGCGGCGTCCGCGTCGTCGCCAACGGCCAGACCTCCACCGTCGCACCTATCGCCTTCGCCGCCGCCACTCCATCCGCCGGCAGTGCAAACAGCAGCCCCGCCATCAAAGGCCCGTCTTCGCCCGCCAATGCGGACCACACCACAACCGCGGGCCCCAGCTTCAAACCGGTCGGCCCCGCGAGCCAATCCGCCTGGGTCATCGGCGGCGACCACACCATCACTCACGGGCAGGCATATACCGCCAACGGCACCATCTTCACCGACGTCTCCGGCACCCTGTACACCGGCGCAGCGCCTTCCTCGACGATCGCAAGCCTTGCCCCCGCCGTCAAGCAGGGTGCTGCGACGGGCCTGCGGATTGGAGATTTGTCGTGGAAGTCGAGCATCGCTGTAGGATTCAGCGTTTGCTGTGGGATTCTGGCGGTGGTTTTGTGAAAGGATTGGGGGTTTCTTTGATCTATACTTTTTCGTGATAGTTCTTCAAAAGGGAAATGGGTGCCCTTCGTTCAGGCCGTTTCGCCAATTGCTGGTGGCCGTTTATAGATTCATCGCTACTACTTACATACACTGAGTGCTGTTCACGCAGCAATTTTACAATTCATGCCTAGAGTCTCAATTTCCATGGAATTTACTTCCAGTCCAAGTGATCTCGACTTGCCCTGTTCTCACGTAATGAGGTGTCTGAGATGTTTACGCCAAGTTGGATCCACTCCTCGTATTCGAGAGCCGACATTCAGGTCATGTACTTCTGTAGGGCTTCGGCGAATCTTCGGGATTTTCATAACACACGGCGAAAGGCTAGAGGCTGGGTGACGGTCAATGTTGCTGCTTATTTATCATTATACGAGTGTTTCACTACGCCCACTCTTGTCATTCTGTGGGTATCTGGGTGGCCAAATTAATTGTTTGATCGCGTTATACAGCAATCCAAGCCGGTGGATCCCAAGTTTCGATGAATCCGAACTTTACCATGACCTGAACATGCGCCCGTGATTGGCAGCACGATACGAAAGTGATCGAAGGAGAGGTCGTTCATTGCGCGAACACATTCGGATCAGTTCAGTCGTCCTCATCGTGAAGCCGGGAAAGCGCCGTCAAGATGGCGCCGAGCGAGAGAGTTCTGGAGCCTGTCTGGGATGACATGGACAGGTGAGCCGCGCAGTGCCACTCTTGAGAAACCAAACATGAAACTTATCGCTTTGGGCAGGACTCTTGGTCAGTTGTTCATGGTGAGCGGAGGTTGCATTTCCTCCGGAGACGACTCGCTGACTGCCGGATTAGATGGGCTTCGAGGGCACCGAAGTGACGCCCCAGATCCGCAAGCTCATCCAGGAAGATCACCTGGGCTCGATCCTGCTGACAGCGAAGAATCTGAAAAGTACGTCCCAGCCTCCGAGGCTACCTTCTTCCTGACCCGTGAGACGGACTGCATATTGAACTGAACGAATCGTAGCGGCCGAACAATGCACGAATTTGGTGCTCGAACTCCAACAATGTGCATACGACGCCGGACATCCTGTCCCACTCCTCATCGGTTTAGATCAGGAGAACGGCGGTGTGAATAGTCTCTTCGATGAGATCTACATCCGACAGTATCCCTCTGCGATGGGTCTTGCGGCGACGGGCTCCAAGGAGATCGCGTACGAAGTCGCAAAGGCGACGGCCGAGGAGATTTCGGCGTGTGGTCTGAATCTCATGATGGGACCCGTTCTGGACGTGCTAACAAATGTGCGCAATCAGCCTTTGGGTGTGCGCACGACGGGAGACGATCCGCAGGAGGTCTCCTCTTATGGAATCGCGTTCATGAAAGGGTATAAAGACGCCGGGGTGAGCACGATGGGGAAGCATTTCCCTTCGTATGGCAGTCTGGAATTCCTCGGATCAGCTCTGGACGTTCCCACCATTACCGAGAGTCTCGAGTCTTTGAGCTTGAATGCCCTTGTCCCATTTCGCAACGCCATCAAAGAGGGATTGGATGCGATGATGGTCGGAGGTTGCGCCATGTCATCTGCAGGGCTGAACGTCATGCACGCCTGTCTTTCCGAGCAAGTCGTGAACGATCTGTTACGGAAAGATCTACACTTCGACGGCGTGGTTATTTCGGACTGTCTCGAGATGGAAGCCCTCAGCCATAACATCGGTGTGGGTGGAGGTACCGTCATGGCGATCAACGCTGGCTGCGATATTGTCCTACTTTGCCGATCATTCCAGCATCAGCAAGAAGCCATCGCGGGTTTCAAGTTAGGTGTGGAGAACGCCATGATCACCAAAGAACGCATTCGCACATCGCTCAGGCGCGTGCTCGACATCAAGGCGAAATGTACATCGTGGGAAAAGGCGTTGAACCCACCCGGCATTTCCTTACTGTCCAAATTGCAGCCATCCCATACGACACTTTCCACAAAAGCATACAACTCCTCGATCACGGTGGTTCGCGACAAAAACCGGATTCTCCCTCTGACTAACTTCATGGAACCCGAGGATGAACTCTTGCTCCTCACGCCGCTGGTCAAGCCACTGGTCGCATCGGCGGCCTCCCGAGCGTTAAGCGAGCAGGCGACAAACGAAACGCCTGACCACGCGGGCTGGGAGCGGAGCGCATCAGTTATGAGTGGAGAACGGGTTTTCAGAGAACTCGGACGATCACTCGCTCGACAGCGGAGCGGCCGCGTCCTGCACACTTCCTACACCGCAAACGGTGTCCGGCCGCAGCACGAGAATCTGATCAACCGTGCGAGCGCCATCATCATCGTCACAGCGGATGCCAATCGCAACCTCTACCAGCATGGCTTCACCAAGCATGTCTCCATGATCTGTAATATGCAGTACACCTCTGGAGGAGAGAAGCGCGAAAAGCCCTTGGTCGTCGTAGCCGTCAGCTCTCCCTACGATTTCGCCATGGATCAAAACATCGGAACTTACATCTGCACCTATGACTTCACCGAGACGGCGCTCGTCTCCTTGGTCAAGGTTCTGTACGGAGAGTTTGCTCCCGCGGGAGCGTTGCCGGGCACCATCAGTCAAAGCCAGAAGCTTTCACAATCTCGCCAGCACTGGTTGGTCGAGGCGTTCAATGAGGAGCGGGATTCGAATGGCCTGGATGTGCTCATCAAGACGGTCGCAGATGGGAACACGCCCGGCCTGCGAGCTGAAATCGCGAGCAGCACTTCCAACACCTTCCTCCTTCGCAACCCCGAGATTCTAGAGTCGCACTTCGTCGTACGCAACAGCAGCACACAGGCGCTGTACGGCTTCTGCGCGACATACTTCTTCAAGGCCACCGGGACCGGCGTCGTGGGAGCCATCTTCGTGGATCCCAGCCGGCGCAAGCTGTCGATCGGCCACTCGCTCCACAACCGCGCCATCCGCACGTTGCTCCAGAGAGAAGGCGTGAAGCGCTTCCAGCTCGGATCCCGCCTTCCGAGCGTATACCTCGGGATCCCCACCGGGCACGGCGGCGAACGCAAGCGTCTCCGCTCCTGGTTCGCCAACCTCGGCTGGAACACGGCGCTCTCCCGCTCGATCTGCAGCATGGTCGCGCGGAACCTCTCGAGCTGGTCGCCCCCCGACGGCATGGCCAAGAGCCTGCAGAGCGCGGGCGTGGACTTCGACCTCGTCTACGGCTGGGAGTACGCCGGACCGGTCCTCGACCACATCAAGACCAACAACCGCCAGGGCCTGGCCGAGGTGTACAAGATGGCCCTGGCCGATCCCACGGCGTGTGGCATCATCCGGGCGAAACGCCCCGAGGATGGCGCGCTGGTCGGCACCGTCGTGCTCTACAACATGCAGTCGCAGTTGGCCGAGTTCGTGCCCGGGCTCAAGGAGGTTGGGGAGCTCGCTGGTGGGATCTCGTCGCCGGTCATCAGCCCGTCGGTCGGAGAGTATTCGACCTTGTTGCAGGGATTGATCCTGCTCGGCGTGCGCCAAATCAAGCAGCAGGGCTGCAATGCGTGCGTGTTGGACTATGTGAGTGTGCTCTCTCCTGCATTCTCTCCCTCGGACCCTTTTACTTCTCATGACACTCTACTGACCACTTTTGGGGAAAATTTCACAGATGGACGGCGATGGCAACTTTGACGGGCTCTCGGCCATGGGTTTCAACGTGCTGCATACCTTTGAGGAGGTCAGCTGTGATGCTGCGACGTGGACCATGGTCCCGCCGATTTGAAGAAGGAAACAATCGGAACGTGAAGCAGTCATTCTATCACTCTGTCCATCACATGCGGCGCACGTATGATCTCGAGGGGTTTCCCTCACAACAATATGTATGTGCTTGCTCGATGACGAGGCCGACCTTCAGACAATACAGCACTGCTCAGAAAAGGAGACATGTTCCAGAGTGAGAGACAGAACCATGCGTGGTCGACCCTGGCCCACACTCATCACAACGGCTCGGCTTTCCAGGGTCTGGGAAGTGTGTTCCGACGTTCTCGACACTCCACGTCAATTCGTTTGGAGCCCACCTTCGCCCAGAGCAGAGCGACGCATAGATGCGCGTTTGCGTGATTCCCGTGCCTTGTCATCCTCCCGAATATATATATACATATATTTATATTCTTTATCCAAAGATCAGATCAGATCAGATCAGATCAGATAGACGACCGGTATGATGACGTCTGTGGGCGCGCGGATACGGCAAATCGTGATCGACGCGGGTCCAGCCTCGTTCCGCCCAACCGCTTCCTTCGCCCTTCGCATTTCCCCATCAAAAGTTCCAGAGTCTCCATCAAAGTGCCCCCCCAGGTGGGCGACGTTGTTGTTACGGTATTAGCCTTCTCGTATTCAATTCGCGCGCCCACTCCGAGAGAAGAGCATCCCATTCCGCCCAATTTGTATGCTGGAAGGGGCAGAGCAGACGTTCCAATGGTTGCCAACGAACCATATCGCAGTGCGTGCCTTGGTACAGTCAGTGCTATATCCACCTGGGCATACGTAGGTGGACATATTCATTACATGCGTACAGTCTCTGCTCAAGACTGTATACCCAGGTATTATAATATACTAGAAAATAAAATAATATAATATAATATACCTCGGGAGCATCTGAGACCCGGGCCGTTTCTCCATCTGTATACGGAGACGACCTTCTATTCTGGTTTTTGTCCGCAGAACAGGAATCTCAGATCTCGCTCTTCATAGTAGAACCACCGTTTCCCGTTTGAGCCGGACTGGGACGTGACGTACTGACCCTCGCACGTAATTCGTCTCATCCGGTTTCCAATATCTGTCTCTCCCTCTCTCTTTCTCTCTCTCGCAAGCATCATTGTGCCCTGCGCGCGTCGTGATTTGACCGCTTCGGCTTTGTCGTTTGCTATACAGTACAGTACCGTACTTGCTTACTTTCCCACTGCCGCTGGTGCTGAACGCCCTCTCAGCCCGCTGAATCGTACTGCACCACACACAGTACGGTACTTTCACTGTTCCTACTGTCCACACACACACACACACAAACACACACAAACACATACACATACGCACATCACAGGGAATATCGCCATTAAATCAATCTCCCATACTGCACTCAAGGGCGACATTGCGCGCGCGGACGCTACACCGCCGTCCCTTGCTCGTTGGGAGCTCCTTCCGCGCGCGCCTCGGATCAGTACAGCCCGCACGCACATGCGACAACCTCAAACCCACATGCGCAGCACATCACCGCCGACATGGACCTCACAGGCGCCTTCGACCCGTCGTCGATGCAGTACCTCACCACGCAGATGGTCCACCCGGGCGCACACAATCAGTACCAGGACATGTTAATGCCTGGCGACTACAACGACCACCAATCCGTCTATGGATATGCTGCGTGAGTCGTGTCCGCCGAGCGCGATTGGCTGTGGACCTACGCGCGAATGGCCTTCCTGCTGACCACAGTGCGACAGGAGCGACGACCTCAACCTTCACAGCCTGAATCCCAACAACACCCTCAAACGTTTCTCGAGCACCTTTGATGATCCATTCTCCGATGTCGTCAGCGCCTTCGACCAACAGATCCACGGCGGCGACCAGGAACCCGAAACTCCCTCCATTGAGCGTGACAACAAATTGCTGGGCTTCTCGCCGCCCACATTCGACTATAACTTGCTTGATTTCAATTACCGCCAGACGACCATCAATCTCGGCGCTCAACTACATGGAATGTTCTTCTTGGCCGAGTCGCCCTGGGCGGCCGCCAACGACGCGCTCCCACCGCCGTCCGAGCTCACATGCTATCGGAGGAACCTTTTTCAGATCACAGGCGAGATTACCCTGCCGCGAATGCTGCGGTATATCATGACGGAGCAAGGAGAGCAAATAATGATCATGGGCCAAGAGTTGATTGTGAGCGCAACGGAGTCGACGGAAGGAAACGCCGTCAAGATCATTTCGGTCCCTTGGAAGACGCCCGCCAATCCGGGTGCGCCTGCAGTAGAGGACAAGACGGAGAGGGAGCCCCACTCAATCCCGCTGGACCTCGTCAGTGTGCCAGACCTGAACACAGAATATGCGAGCTTCCCGTTTTCGTGGAAGCGATTGCAATTCAGAATCGCCACTGCGAACAACGGGCGACGGAAGGAGTTGCAGCAGCACTTTGTGGTTCGCATCAAGGTGCTGGCGACACTGTCCACCGGCGGAAAGATTCCCATCTGTGAGGTCCGATCGGGTGCGATCATCGTGCGTGGTCGAAGCCCTCGCAACTTCCAGGCGAGGAAAGATTTACCCTTGAATGCGAGCCACGCTCGGAAGACCGGAGGATCTCAACGGCCCGGCTCCGGCGACTCTACCAAAGTTCGCCTCGATGGTCCAACATCAGCACCGATCAAAGTCGAAGCCTTACCCGCCGAATCCGTCGCCTCCCTCTTCGATCCAAACGACGCCCAGCGCCCGACGGCCGGTAACTACGATTGGACCCTGCTCACCACCAACGCCCACAAGGGCGCCATGACCGCCATCCCACAAGCCCTCCCCAGTCCCCTCGAGCCCATGAACTTATACGCCACCTCCTCCCCGGACCTGTCGCGAAGTAAATCCAAACCACGCGCCACGCCGCCCTCGGCGCCCATCAACCTCTCCCTGGTCGAAGACGACTCGCCGCGGCCGGCGCGCAGCAGCGCCACCCCCGACGGCCGCGCGCCCAAGAAATTGCACATCCCGCCTCGCCCGCCGTCGTTCTCCATCAACACCATCAACAGCCCGGACGAGAGCGCGGATCTGCTGTACGAGTATTTCCCGCTGGGCCTGGACGACTGGATGCCGCCGGTCGACGCCGTGTATCGCCCGCACGTGGTGCATCATACCAAATTGCCCACGGACCCGCGCGACCCGAAGATCGGGAGCAAAGGGTCGAGGAGCAAACGCTATTTCACCGAGGATGTGAGTTGATCGGCCATGGTCGGAGGGGGTGGGTTTGATTTCTACGACGCACTGGGATGGCATCGAGCGACCTGTATCTTTCCGCGCCGAGGAAATGTGTCGATACGCACAGCCATAGTGCGTGCCACGATCCACAGGCGATAAACCTTTGGGGTTTCTATCGCAGCTCCTGGCGACGATGACACACAATCCGCACGGCCTACTACATCAACGATCTCGGGAAATGGGCGACATCTATTCGAGTGTCTTCGCGATCATAAACAATGTGATTTGTACAAGAGCCGCATCCACGGAGGAGCGAGTTGACACCAGATGCGCTTACGCCTTCAATCGTTCTTTCTGCAGATCATCACGGGCATCCTTGATGAGAAAGCTGTGGGAAAGGGTCAGCGGGTGGCACAGGCGATGCAGGAGCATCGAGAAACAAGGTCGACTTACCAGTACCACCATATCACAGGTCCCACCGTCCCGAGATGCCACAGCGAGTGCGCGTCCAACATGCCCAACCAAGGCGGGAAATCGAACAACTCCAAGCTCATCGCCGACGCCACGATCATGACGATATACGCCGGCCACAGCGTCCAGCCCTGGCGCGTCTTGCGATAGCGGTAGATGGCAAAGCTCGTCCAGAGGATGTTCTGCAGCAGGCCCACGACCACATTGGCCGCCATGTTGTACGTGTAATCGAAGCGCACAAACGACAGGTACGACACGTGCGCCAGATACGCCGCCAGGCACAGCACGGTCCAGACCCGCAGCACGGTGTCCTTCCTCGTGCTCGCATTCCGCCTGCGCCTGCCCGCGCCCTCCTCGACCGCGGCGCCCCTGTCCAACCGGAAGATCCGCACCGGCGCATAGTACAGCCCGTACAGCACACTCCCCCCCGCGGCGAAATAGTCCAGCTTCTCCGTCACGCCGAAGTCGCGCGTGTGGAAGACCATGCTGAACACCCAGCTCGCCATCCCCAAGTACCCCAGCAGCAGGTAATATCTCCGCAGGCTGTAACGCGCGGGGATGTGTGCGAGGATCTGCCCCACGCCCCAGTGATGCCCGAGCAGGTTGAAGAGCGAGAAGAGCACGCTGAAGGGCTCCTGGACGCCGAGCAGGCGGTGGAAAGGCCATTTCCCGTGGAACTGGAGCACGGGCTGCAGGTACGGCGGCTCGCGAGCGATCCGTCGGTCGGTGATGATGTGTTGGCAGGCATAGTCGCATTCGGACGGGCAGTCCCAGAGGAGGAGGCGGTTGATGATGGCTGCGCGGTGGCTTTTGGTCAGTTGGATTCCGGGGGGCATGAATTGGGGGGGATGGAGAGGGATGGTGTTGTACATACGAATGTGTAGGCCTTTGGAGCCGCAATTGGTCGTAATGCACTCCTACAATCGACAGCCATTGTCAGCCGTCGGGATCCTCATCAAATCTCTTCCTCCCTTCCTTCCTTCCTTCCCTCTGTCGTCTTCGCTCGCGGTCCTTCCTTCCCCTCTACCGTTGACTGCCCTTTGCATTCTGCTTGCTTGTATCCAGTCTCTCCCAAATTTTTCCTACTCTTCCCAAATGCCAATCCGCAAATTCCCCCTAAAAGAAAGTCCCACCTACCGCAACACACTCCCGAAACTCAGGCAAGCGATCCCCCAAACTCGCCGACGCGCTCCCGGCGAGCCATAACCCGGCTAGAACCACCGGTAGCATGCATTGTTTCATGGGGGCGGCAGCACGCATGATGTACGCGGACCCGCAAATGGGGATGGGTGGAAGCGGGCGTATGTATGTGTCGAGGGTTGCTCAGGTTGCTCGATGGCTTGATTGAAATTGAGCGCGCGCGCGGGGATGATTGGGAAAACGTCGGTTTATCTTCGCGAGGATTGCAAGCACGGCGACATTGGAAATAACGCTGTGTCGCGGAGCCTCTGGACTGAAACAGTATGTGACAACTGGATCGTGAAGGTCGTCTCGTGCGTCGTCGGTCGGGGACGCTCCCTGAAATGTTCCTGGGCGGGTACATGGCTATATTGAGGTGCTCTCTCTCTCTCTCTCTCCCCCGACGGCGACTCCGCGTCCGCGGCTTACATAACAGCGGCTCAGAGCGGCTAGCCGCAAACAATACAATCCACAGCGGTCGTCGATTTGTTGCAAGCAAAGGACTGATCTGCAGGCGGAGGTGAGCGGCGTGTGGAGAACGGAGCACTGGGTGGCCCATATACAAAATACTGGGCATCGACGTGCGCGGCACAGACGACGATGCTCAAACTAGTGGGTGCCCTTCCTAGGCAAGAAGCGCATGCGCGACCGCCGAGCGAGATGTTCCCTGTGCAGCTCGGCGCGCCGATTCCGTCCAATGTCAGCATGCTCGCGCTCTTCCCACACGCGGACCATTTCCCTCTGCCAGGCCGCATTCATCGCAGGCTTGCCAAACTCCGATTCCGGCAGCGTTTGCGTGACAAACTCGACCATTATCTCAGGGTGGCTACCGTGCATCCCACGCATCCGTCCTTGTAGGGGCTGGACCCATTCTTCTTCCGGAGGATAAGGTGATTTATCAAAGACCAGCCGGTAAGCATAACGCCATCGCCACTTCGGGCTTTCATCTTCCGGAAGCAAGCCACGGTCCCAGGACCCAGGGTAATCTTCCCACCCACTAGCCCGTAGGAGGTCTTGGACTTCCCTACCGGCTCTCTTCGGGCTACGGAAGATTCCTTGCTCAATAGAAATCTTGAAGTGTTTCGGCTCGAAGGCACGGGATGTGTACTGGTGGCCAGGTTGTCCACGTAGCTTCAGCGTCATGTCGAAATCCCCGATATGCCGTGCCTGCGTGTCGGCGGGCGAGGCTTCAGCACCGCCGGCTCCTTGCGCCGTGCTGCTGGCAGAAATCTCCCAGTCGAATGCCGAATCAAGGATTTGAGTGTGCTCGAATTGCCACCGAAGCTGCAGCATCGCTTGTCAGAATTCAGTGATCGTGCTTTGTAGGGGATTCGCACCGCTCAAACATACATACCCTGCCTTGTCCATCTGCATAGAACTCGATATCGATGCTGTACCGGTCGTCCCACTTCCATTGCTGCTGCTGCTCGTATAGCACGGAGTATGGCGGTTGTGCTGCTACGAGTGTGCCCATTTGCAGAACAAGTCGTGGATTATATGTAAATCGTCGAAGAGAGACGTACGTGACTGAGGTAAGTCCGGGAGAGCCGTGTGGACGTGAGGAGCAGCGTACAACTTTATTATATAGCAGAACGCCAAAAAGTCCTGGCTATGCCCGACGCTTCTCGTCAAGTCGGAGCCCAGGCTCCGACGTTCGACCCCTTCGCATCAGGCACGTTTCAAGGTGGCCCGGACGATGCCAACAAGGGAACGGGAACTTGCTCTCTGGCTGAGATTTCACCTTCTACGCGATGTAGACTGCACACTGCGGCTGTCGGATGTGACCTGGCAGAGATGCTGTTGAAATGTACAAAGCTACTGCGCCGCTATGCAGGCTCGCGGATATCTTCTAGAAGTTGCCTTTGACATTATCTCTTCGCCATCCACCATTGCGATCGTTTCAGGAGTCCAGAGCGCCATCGTGTTACATTGACTCATGGACAGGATCTTCCGCGAATGCTAGCCAACCGACAGGGTGTCTGTAAAGCACTCCCGCCGCCATCATGGATGAAGGTCAGGAGACGATACTTGCCCATCTGACACCGTCTGGAGAAGTAGACGAGGGCCCTATCATTCAAGCCGCAGGAGAGTCGGAAACCACCGAACTGAAGCGTCTCCTCGACCTGGCAGGGCGTCTGCCTCTGAAAGAGCGGAAAAGATTCGTCCTGGACTTTGTGTGGTCCGAACCGCTCGGTGGTGTTTGGGACACACCTCTGTTGCGCGCAACCCGCAACGAAAGATCGGACAACGTCGATATCTTGCTTCGCGCCGGTGCAGATCCAAACGGCATCAGTACGTTCTGGCAGGAAACTTATTCCTTCCGCTTCCGTCGCGTGGTAGTCGGTGACATGGATCTCCGGGCCGAGAAATATACCAACATGACGTCTCGTCAAGTAGGGTCACCAGAGACGCAGCTGCTTCCCCTCGCGCAGGAGGAGTTGGACTCGCGAAGGGACCGCAGCTCACGCTTCTGGTGTGGGCCAGAAGACCTCAACTTGGAATATGCGCCAAACGGCGAGGCCCTCCATTCCGTCGCACTCGCCGGGGGCACATCGAAGGCCATACTGAACAGACTGCTTCAGGCTGGTGCAGACATCAGCTTTTGAACTGGCTCTGAAACTAGAAATGAGCTGCCTACTTCGCCTCTGCCGCCTTCGGCGCTGTGTCTTTCTACGCCCTTGCATCAAGCGATCTCCGCGGACAATGATGACATGCTCGAAGTACTTCTCGGGCGCGGATTAAATCCAAATACCCGGTCACTGATCGCCGGCTGCCAGGCTTTCACTCCGATGGAACACGCGATACGTACCGGCAACATCAAAGCATATCGTCGACTTTACGCGCATCCTCTGGCTGATACTTCGCTTCTCACCCCCGCTTACAGAATCCATATTCTTCATCTCGCCGTAGCGCAGTTACGTGTTGACATACTGGAGGCGACGAAAATCCCGCTCTCTGAGTCACTGTCAACGGCGTTGGGGCACACCTTGGGTCATATTGCGTGCCTGCCTTTCGATGAAACCCATCTGCAGCTTTTTTCCTCCAAGGTCCGCGAGTCCATTCACGACCTCCGCAGTTTGCATTTACCCGTCGACTAGCCCTATAACCCCAGGCTTGATTTCACACTTTTTGCGGAAAGGCATTACCAGCACATATCGCGATTGAGCGAGCCGGACTATCCGGGGCCGGGCGATAAAGACTCAATTGGAATCCCGAGAGCGTTGCCACCAGTGAAAGAACGCCGATCGGACCTTCCTGATCAAATCATCTTCGGACCTCCTTCTGACCAGTTCTCGGGCGCGCAAGCAGAAGTGATGAAAAGGCTCGTCCAAGAACTTGGCATCGAGATTGTTCTCATCAAGGACTATCTAGGCAACACCCCACTGCACTATCTTGCTTCGGCACGACACGTCAATGATCCCTTGATCGCATGGTTCCGGGACCATACACAAGGAGCCTATTGCTGGATGGAGACCAAGAATGGATATGGTTATACTCCGCGGGATCTTTGGGTCGACAATGTTACAGTCATAGAGCCAGGCTACTCCTCTGGACCACATGGTTTCGACTGGACATGGCACTGTTGATGACAACAACGTCGATGGATCAGAAGTCGCAGACCACGGGTGGAACCTCACCGGACGAGCGCCATCGAGACCGCCACTTTGGTGGTCAAAATCGTGTGTCAGGTAACATCGTGCACCTCCATGTTCCATTCCAAAGTCCATTGCTTTGACGCCTGAAGGACCGGAGATCCGCGTGCTTGTGCACTCAGTGCGTACATGGGCGAACATATGGATAGATCTGATGTCTTCCGCTCCTTTTTAGGTCACTATATCCAAATTAATTCACCCATCAACCCGTATCCCACTTGATGCCGCTGCGTGATCAAGTACAATCTGTGAGTGAGATTGCTCTGCTCTCCATGGTCGAGGCGGGCACAAGGCTCGACTGGAGCGGCAGCTTCGAGATGATCGGAATAACCTATTGACCGCTGCCATTTGCGCCAGGAGTCTCCACTGGACAGCGGGAATGGAACGGGGTTTCACTGAAATAATATAATAAAACTGTAGAACATTGTTCTAATCTCCAGACCAGCCGATTGAAGTTGTGAAGACCTGGTATACTGTACCATTGGCGTTAGGGTTATTTCTGGACTGCACGGCGTCTCTTTCGTGCGAACAGCTGCTCGCGTTGAATCGTTCGCGCTTGAATTCCCCAAAGCGGCAGCTTTCAAATCCCTTCCAGGAACGGAGTGAATACGAGACGTACATGGAGAGGAGTATTTGTGATGCTGAATAATCACAATCAGTCCTGTGATCGTTCAATCAAGACTATTATGAGCAATGACAGGTCGGCGATCATCGCGTAGATCGATACCCAAGAAGTCGTATACTACCGATGCCTTCGCTGGCATTGAGCACTTGATTGAAGATAATGAAGTCGACGGAGAGAGAACGGCGTTGACAGCCGATGACAAGAACAACGCCAACTATGACGAGCATGAGGGTGAATCCCACGATCAGAACAACGACGAAGACGGCGAGCAGGATGATGATGACGATGATGATTCCGAGGGCGACGACGCCGAGCGGAGCGATGATCAAGAGGCCGATGATGAAGACGAAGTAATGTCCGATATCGACGAACAGGACCGCGGCAACGTTTCAGCAAGAAAGAAGAAATCAACCAAATCTGGCAAGCCCAGCAACGCAGGCTATAAACCTCCCTCACAGAAACGAGTTCCATGTCCACGTGTACCACGAGATCCTAACAAACCCAATCCCAACGAGACTGATCCAACCCTCTACACCCGCGGCTATCCTGCAGGTCTCTTCCAAACTCCCGCAAAGAGCATCCGAAGACTCTATTTCTTCGGTCCTCTGGACGAGGAAACCGATGTGTATCTGCAACTTCGAAAGAGGCACATCAACGAGCCTTGCCTGCCTAGTCGCAAAGCGGATTCGAAAGGTCTGGGAGGTTTCACAATCAGCGAGGAATGGAAGCGGGAAGTGGCAGCGTCGCGGAAGAACTGGGCCTGGTACGACGAAGGCGGTGGGAGGGAGATGTTCGAGCGAGATCAAGTTATGACGAAGCTTGAGGAGAAGGACATCCAGGAGTATCTCTACGGCGATACACCTCCAGCCAAGCGAAGATTCGTCGCAGGACCAATCGATTCAATGCGACTCTTCGAACTCGATCCTGGACAAGCAATGCCCTTGACAGCAGTCTTTCAAGAGGAACAGAGTCGGACATACATTCTCAGGGATTACAAGCGTGGTTTCATCATGAACCTGGGAGAGAGAATTCAATGGTTAGAATGGGTCCCGAACCAGAACGACAGCAAGCAATATCTCGCCGTCGCTGTCTTGCCTCGACATCCCGAGGACGACCCTTACGCGCAACCGCCAGCTGGACCACGATCCTTCCGTCCACAGCCGCGGTACAGATCGTCGATACAAATCTGGGAATTTGTCGCTGACGAGCAGCGCTATGTGGACATCGCGACTCTTCCCCGCAGGCGGATGACCTTGTGCATGGCGTTCGGGGATATCAAGATGTTCAAGTGGTGTGCTGTCCCGTGCGAAGCGGACGATCGATTGGGATTACTCGCCTGTCTCACGGGAGATGGGATGCTACGCGTCTACAGTATCCCTCGACCGCCTGATGATGACGACACAGACATGAACATTCTCTTCAACGAAGCCGCGTTCACTGCGAGCGCTCCGAACACAGTCTACACGTGTCTGACTTGGCTCAGCAGCTCGCGCTTGGCCGCAGGTTGTGCCAATGGTTGTCTGGCGATCTGGGATCTACGTTCCACCCTGGCTCAAACCTCCCGCTCCTCAACATCACCATCATCCTCCTCCTCACAGCGACCTCCGAATCGACCGATGGCCTACCTCAGCATCAGCACCACCTACCTCCTCACCGTCGTCAGCTGCTACCCGACTCATCCGGACATCCTCACCGCCTCCTCCATGACCGGCTTCGTCACCCTCCTCGACCTGCGACAATCCCCCGACAACAAGGACAAAGCCAACCTCCCCTCCCTCCTCGGCCGCACCGCGCTCTCCTCGCGCAGCCGCCACGGCGTCCACCCCCTGATCTACTCCCCGCTCCTGAACTCCACCCTCAGCGCCGACGACAGCGGGAACCTCCGGGCGGCGCCGCTCCGCATGCACCACATCTACTGCGGCGCCGGCCGCGAGGGGTCGCCCGCGCTGGCGCTCGCGGCGAGTTTCTTCCACCCGTTCGTGCTGATGGGCACGGTGGCGGGCAGCGTCATGTGCACGAACCCGACGGGCCGGATCGTGGGCGGCGGCAAGGTGGACATCTGGCAGGCGAGGTGGTTCACGCACGAGTGGCGACGCGCACGGCAGAAGAAGAAGAAGGACGGCGTCCCTCCGGAAGGCGAGTCGATACGACAAGGGGGAGGACAAGGAGGTGAACATGAGGATGACAGCAGCGACGGGGATCGAGGCCTCAGCCGGATCGTCGACGGCTACAAGCCCGAGCTGACCGCGCTCAAGCCCAACTCGGACGGCGCGAACCGGCACGACGGCGTCGTCTTCGCGACGATCCACGAGCTGCGCGCGGCCGTCACCGCGCTGGCGTGGAACTGCAACCCGCACGTCGCCGGGTGGGCGGCGGCAGGCCTGGCGGACGGGTTGCTGCGGGTGGAAGACATCGCTGTTGGCGGCGGCGGCGGCGCCGGGAGGAAGAAGACGGCGACGACGACGGGGGTCGGGAGATGATCTCCCTCTCTTCGCCCCCTATCTTTAAACTCGCTCTTTCGACCAGACGAAGTGGAGTAGAATTCCTTCTTCCAAAGATCCGCAATGTCCCCCGCCCCCCTCGCAAAACATACTCCCATCCACAGAAAGACAGAAACAGGCCGATCTCAAGGCAAGGAGGAGATTTTGAGAGAGCTACGGGAGACGGACAGACAGACAGCTTTGAGAGGGGGGGAGAGAGAAATGAGAAATGGAAGAAAAGAGAAAGACTCCTCTATGATTGACGGATGGGAAACCAAAGCTTTCCGATTCTCGGAGATATAGGATAGATCCAGTTTCGCCCGCGCGCGAGCGCATGCATGCGTTATACCAGTGCCACTGCTGCGGCGAACAGACGGCGGGGGGTCCGGCGAACCCGCTCCGCGATCGTGTGGGCAGTAAATGCTCCACGATATGAAGAGGGAAAACAGATATGACGGGTGTTGGAACGTGTCGAGTGGGAGGGAATAGTAGTAGTAGTAATAAATAGAGCAGTTCTTTTGTGGGACTGCTTTTACTCGGTTGTGATACAACGGCTTCAGAGGGATAGATGGATGGATGGATGGAGTTGCCGATAATTGTAAAAGAAACAAGACCGAAGGACGAAAAGGGATATAAATTGGAGGTTGGTCCGGGGACGGAAATAATAATTCTTTCTTTCTTGCTTGCTTCCTCTTCTTCTTCTGTACAGATTGGTTGAAATTGAGGATGATGGTAAAATAAAAAATAACAATAAAAGGAAAATGCATCAGAGATATGATGATGATGATGATGATGATGATGATGATTTGATGGTGGTGGTGGTGATTTTGGTAAAAGATACAGGATAGATCGATGAGATGGATGGTTGAGGAAATGGGTGGAAGAAACGCCGGGGGGATGAAGGAATTCCGAGAAAATAGACACCTAGTAATAAGAGAAAAATAAGAGTGGCGTGGGATTCAGCAGGGTGATTCCCGGGGCGCTTTCGCAAGCGATGACGATTTCTCCTTTCTTCTGTTGTTGGTTTCCCCCAGTGCATGGATTTTGACACGATTCAAAGGAAATAAAAAGAGAGAGATGATGACAGCATCGAAGGAAAGCGAGTCATCGTCCTTCTCTAGGAAAAAGATGGTCCGGTGTCGGGCGTGGGGAAGTTCGACTTCCACGCTGACGACGAAGAATGGTAAGATCGAGCATTCATCCCGAAGGTGTGGTAGATCGTGGTAGTGAGTGTACGTAAAAGCATGTTGCTCGCTGAGCGAAATGCGAGAAAGGGTCCCACCTCAATGGAAGCCAGTCCAGAGGATGAGAGGTGAGAAAGTCAATAGGACGGATGATGAAAGACCCGGAGCACTCTCCCCCGAATGATAACGCTTGGACGCAGCAGAAACGAAGAGAGACATAAAGAAAAGGCGGAGTCGACAGAGGATGGGTTCGACTATCTGTAGGCTGCTTGAGTAGCATAGATGCTCGCAGCTGCTGCTGAAGCCCAGTCGTTTTCCTCGTAAGGTGGCGTTGGCCATTGTGGGTTCACTGAAGCCTTGTCTGTCCGGTTGGGTGGGATGTCGAGTGGTTTTGAGGGCGTGCTCTGTTGCTGCTGAGCGGTGTATTGTGAGCCGATTTGATCCTTTGATGGTGACGGAGTCAGGTATGGAACATGGTAGCCAGGCTCAGATGCGACCTGTGGCATCGGTGGTCGAGGAGTCTTTTGTTGCTGAGCTGTGATGCTGTTCATACGCTTCGCTGCCCGGTGAGCCGAGGCAATGGCCTCGTCCAGGATTTCGTCTTCTTCATCAGGTGTCTCATAGCGGCTGTTTGTCGAGTGCTTCACCGATCTCCTTGCGCGCATGGAGCCAGTAGCACTTGAGACCTGTGAAGCTTTGGGGTCCGCGGAATGTGGTAGCGAGTGGTGTCGCTTTAGCGCAGGGTTGCTGTGCATCTTGATGGGCTGTTTGGCAGGGATGATGTTTGCAGGGTTCGCAGCAGCATCCAAGCTGTACCGTACGCTTTGGAGTGCGCGATCCAGCTCGGCAAAGTTGGGGTCGGCGGAAGGATCCTGCGCTTGAGGAGCGATCGCCTTGGGCTCATGGACCGACTGTCTGTTGATGTTGGACGACGCCCATGGTGCACAACCAGCCTCGGTATCCATGTCCTCGGCGGCAGGCGAGATCGGAGTCTGGTGACGTCCGGACAGCCGCCTCGCGCGCTTTCGCAGGTGGGAGAAGAAGCTCTCTCTTGAGGTTCCGGTGGGCGACTTCAATCCATTTCCTCCGTTGAGAGCGCGCTCGGCTTCTTGCCGGTGAACATCCGCGTAGTGGTTGCCTTGGGAGTTGACGGAAAGCTGGCGACCGATCTTCTTGCTGGATCGCTCCTCGGATTCTTCTGTCCTTCTCGCGTTGGCTTGAGCAGTGGCAGAGTCTGGTAGTGGTGAGATTGGTCTCACGGAAGGCAGGATGGGGATCGGGGCGACTCCGGTGGTCCATGTCGCGCGTTTCGTGGGCGCGGGTCGGGTCTTGGCCACGCTCACGGAGAGATCGGTAGTGTTGTGGTGTACCGGCGACGGTCGAGGTGATGGCTGCTGAATCGCAGGGACAGGCTCGACGGCTCCCGGAGTAGGCACCTCACGAGGACCGATCGACTTCCTGAACCACGATGACGTCTTGGTGGTAAGCACATGTTCCTTCTCTGTGGTCTCGGCAACGCTGCCAATGTTGGAAGCTTTGCGGCCGATGACGCGCGACGAGCTCGTCTTGGGGCGCAGTGGGTCGACCGCGTCCTGGAAGTAAGCGTGCTCAAGCGCTTGACGGGATGTCGGTCGGACCTTAGGATCCCACAAAAGGCACCAAGTGACGAATTGGGCAAGGCTCTGCGGCCATTGAGGCGCGGGGAGAAGAGTCTCCAATGAGTGAGGAGCCATCTTCGGGAATGAGAAGCCAAGCTTCTGAGCCAATTTGATGCCCTCCTTCCATTCACCTCCGCCAACTTTCTGGCCATGCTTGTTGACCCAGCTGCCGGGGCTGCCCATGATCTCGCATACTCGCCAGACCTGATCGACTTCGTTGCCGCCAGGGAACAAGGGCTTGAGGGTGGCAATCTCAACAGCCATGGCACCGACGGCCCAGATATCCACGGGAGCAGAGTACTCGCCAGCACGGAGGAGGACCTCAGGAGCACGGTACCAACGAGTCGAGACGTATGTCGTGTATGGCACGCGTGATTGGGTCTCACGGGCGAGACCGAAATCGGCGATTTTGATGGAGTACACTGGAGGCGTCGACGGCGGTGTGACCATTGCCGAGTATCGCTTGAACGCGTTTCCAGTGTCGTGAGCCGAGGTGGAGACCAGGATGTTCTCTGGCTTAATGTCCCGGTGGAAGAACTGGTGGTCGTGAATGTGTTCCAGACCGGCAAGGATTTGGAAGAGGATGCTCTTGACGCTTGAGCCGTCCAAAGGTTTGTGGTCGCGAGCTTTCATGAGCTGATAGAGGTTGCCGTCCATGTACTCCATAGCGATATGCAGCTTCTTGCTGAGGGGGTCCAGAAAGATGTCATACGCGGGCACAAGGTGTGGGTGGTTTGGTAGCGTCTTCAGGAAGATGACTTCCCGTAGCTCCATGCATTGTGCGAAGCTCTCAAACGTCTTCTTCATCGTCTTGATGGCCACCTGGGAAAAAACGCGTCAGTTGAGTCGGTCGCAAACGTACTACGCGCTGTCATCGCATACCAATGTGCCTCGTCGAACGACATTGGCGCCAGCGCTCCGCGTCCGACCTAATGAAACACTTCCAAAGCTTCCGTCGCCGATGTCTTTGATGATCTCGTATTTGTCCTCGAGGGCCATGTTGGACTGGCTGCTGGTCGACCAGCCGCGGTAAGCCGAAGAATCATATGCTACCGTCATGGTCGATGTGATTTCTGCTCCGATTGCTCGAAGCACACGCGAAGAATGGAGCTCCTGGTCTACCGGGACATGGAGTATATAATCTAGTGGAGAACAAAGCCTAGACAGACGATCGATCAGTACAGGCGGAGTGGAGGACAGCACTTCCTCGCAACATACCGGTCAAGCGAATAGTGTCGGTGTCTGTCCTGAGTGATGGTGATGATGATATGTGGTCGTGTCGGGATTGATCGTGTCAGTGATCGGCAGGTGATTCGTCGAGGTGGCCGAGAGGATTAGTTGTAGGATTACGGCGAGATTTCCGCTGCAGTCGGCGAATGTGGAATGTAGATGATAGAGAACGAGAGACAGGTCGACGACAATAGTGTCGGAAGGGGGGTGAAGGCGGGCGGGAGGTGGTGATGGTCCAGCAGTCCAGGGTCCCGAGAGCGCGCGTTTGATCGCAGTTGAGGATACGATGTACGTCGATGGGAGAAAGGTCTCAGATGCGAGGGTGAGAGGGAGTGTGTGTGGACGTGCGTACATGTACGTGCGCGAGAGGCCGTCCAGCAGAGGAGGATGAATGGCAGCAAGAGCAGCGACACCGTGGCGACGGGTGTGTGCGTACGTGCGCGCGGGCTGGACGTGTGTATGGAGAGAGACAGAGAGAGGGTGTGTGTGTGTGTCGGGGGAGAACTGTATTCGAGCAAAGACGTTGGCCCGCCGAGCGGTAAATCGTTGTTGGTTCGTGATGATGAGGAGGAGGACGGGGAGGGTGAATGATGGATGAACGGAATGGGAAGGGCAGCAGTCACTCCGCGGGCCACACACGGTCAACTGGCTGGAGGTCCCGGTAAATGGACAAGACAAATCGTCGTCGACCCTTTCGCCGGTGCGCGCACACGCCCCGAACCAGGCACGGACAGGCACGGGCGCACACACACGCATACACACACAGACACGCACACACTGGAATGGCAAAGTGTCAGGCACCGGGCCAAGGAAACAGGACGATCGCGTCGTTGGACGTGCCGGGTCTCTAGTGTAGACGATGGCTCTGACTCTATCGTGGGCCACAGTGGGTCTCCAAGAGGGCGTTCATCATCGTTTCAACGGAGGTGGTGAACGGGAAGGTGGGTACGTGCGTGCTGAGGCGATTCGTGTTTGCCCTTCAGCGGCGACCCGGGCCTGATTTAACGCGATGAGCGGACGGTAGATGATGAGGAGAAGTAAGGAACTGGCGTCCGAACGGTGACGGTATGAAACGACGTTTGAAGGGGAATAGGGAGGAAAAGGAGGTGGTTCGCATCGAAATCCAGTCGGACAGACAGACAGACAGCCGGCCCCGCAAGAGACGCTCTGCACATCAGCAAACAGCCAAACTACCTTGGTATACGCTGCTGCAATCCCATACTCTACTCTATTTATTATTATTGCCGTAGGTACAGTCACTACAGTGCAATTGATGGGCAAACTGGAGTGGTGGTGGTGTCGTCCGGCTTCTAGTGATTATTGTTGCAGCTGTCTATCCCCTGTTGCTCCCACTCAAATCACGGTTCGGGACGTCGCGACGCGTCCTTTCGAAGGAGCGGAAGTCCGTTCACTGGAGCCGGCGTGGACGGAGTTGCGGATCGAGGGCTTGTCGAAGAGACTAAATTGGATGCCGATGCGTCAAAACTAGTGGTGGTGGCGGAAATGGTGGAGGCTGTCGAGAGGGATCATTGATCGAGATGAGAAAGGACAATTTCCAGCAAGTCGCACGAGGGGACAAGCCGGCGCAAGATGAGGCATGTTTCCGCGACTGCTGCTTGAGGGAGCGAGGAGCGCGAGGGGAGAAATGTGAGGCGGCGGCAGTGGGAGAGAAATCAGGGCGTGGGAACGGCTGAATGAGGAATGCGGCGGTGATCGGTTCCTGCACACACATACATACATATGCCTTATGCATCACACACAATACGGGTGGTGTTTCGTACGGTCCGTGTGTTCCAAGGTTGTATGGTGGAGACTGGCGGCCAGGAGATTCCAGGCCGCAAACGTATGGGGCGTCGGCAGCAAGAAATGTGGTTGTTATCACTGTGTTATTATCTCATTATGATTATCATTATTGTTGGCAACCACCACGACCGCTGCTACTGTCCGTACCAATGGGAATTTCCGTCGGGAAGAGAGAGAGAGAGAGAGCAGGAGCAGAGGGATGAGGAGCGAAAGGGCGCAGGGAATTGGGGGCCATGAATCGGAATCACATATAGTAATAATATTGTATTTGATGGTGATGATGCTGACAGAAAACCGCCCATGTGAACAGAAAGGTGCCCGGTGCCTGTGCCTGCGCCTGCGCCTGTACCTGACAGAATGGACAGCACATCAGGCCTCACCGTGACAACAAGCGCATACATGAGGACGAAGTAGTGCCATCTTCCGCATATGGGAGCAAAATAGAATGGACGGGACCTTTTCTTCCCTCCTCACCCATCCCGTCGGAACCGTGGTGCCTGAGGACAGGCAGAGATGATCACCGCCCAGCAACAGCCACAGAGAAAACAACACAGCACAGCGCAACACACACACACGCACAAAACATACTCACAAAACATGCACACACGCCAATCATCACCGGCCGACGAGACGGGTGTCTCCTAACCCGCAAGAGGACTACTGGCTGGACCCGGAGCAGCGGCACGACGGACAGAGCATTCCTTAGTCCTCCTGTCACCGACCAGAGGACCGGCGCGGGCGGCGGCGGCGGAGGCGGCACGTTTCGCAGCGGTAGTGGCAGTAGTAATCACAACGATAAATATCTATCTAAGTAGGTGGTAATAACATCGCGAAATGGTGTGCGGCACCTCTCTCTCCACCATTCTGCGCTGGCCCCCCATGCGGCCGCCTTCCATCCTCGTCGAAGGAGAAGGAGACGTAGACCACGGAGCAAGATAGGGAAGAACGAACAAGGTTGCCGACAGGAATGCTTCGGAGACTAGACAGAGCTGGGACGGGGAAGAGTTCCCGGGAGAGCAGGAAGCATCTCCATCATTCCATGTCCATGGGCCGGTGGGTGTGTGGGAAAAATGGATTTATGGAGGACAGGGGGGCCTGCAATCCCCAACCGCGTGTGGCGTGCGTTCGCAGATAGATGTGTCTCCGAGAAGGGAGAAATTAGATAACCAGCGGACTCATCCTCGACCGTCCATGATTCATCTGGACATCATCAGGATCATCATACCAAAACGACCCTCCGATCGAGAGGGTGGTGTGGCGGGTCGTGCTCTCCCCGTTGTCTGTGGAATGCGGTGCGGAGAAAAAGGGCCCTGGTCGAAAGTGAATATGCCGTATATCAGCAGGAGAGTTGTTATCGCAGGGACGCTGGGCGACCTAAAGGAGTGGAACAGGCAGCTCTCTGCTAAAAATATGATGTTGCTGCAGGACACCTACACACCTACATACATACATACATACATACATACATACATACATACATACATACATACATACATACATACATACATACATACATACAAACATGCTATGGTCTTGTTGCATTCTCCAAAAATGCCGTAACGAGAAGGACAGACACACACACACAGAGAGAGGGAGAAGATGTATAGCAGAGACCGAAAACGGACGCGGAATCGTCGGAACATTCCAGTTTCCAGCTGGGGCACAGGTCTGAGATCTACCCACGATCCTCCCAAGGTTCCAACACATGTCGGAGAGGAAGGGACACCCTTGCTATAGGGAGCGTGAACACCGGCACGGCTGTTGAGAAAGCTGTCTCATCATCAATCTGAAATCCCATCTGAATCATGGACGCGCCACATGGGAATGATGATATTGTTTGACACCGGTCATCGTTACCAGCGATCACTTCTGGAAACGCCGGGAAACGTTCTTCTCACGGTGACAGGGTTGCCTGCTGAAGGTTACAGTGTTCCAGTAGCAAAGAAGGGGTTCACGACATGCAGGTGGTCAGCGATAAGAATACTGTACACATGCTGTCACTCTCGTCCGCGATGTACTTAATTATAGATGCTCGATTCGGCGGTCCACATTGCCCTGGAACAAAGCTGGATGCATGTGTTCTCCTTCAGCTGACGACAATCCTTCCTCTACATACAAAGTTCCGGTGTGCGCTCATCGCGCCACGCACGAAAAGGTTCACTTGGTACACTGTCCATTATTATCACTACTCGACGACTGTGGATCTCGACGGCGTGGGACGGAGAGGGAAGAACTGAGGTTGGCGGAATTTTCCTTCTTGGTAAATTAAGCAATCCGAAAGTCTGGGAGAGGGGAAGGTGGAATTATATTGCAAATGAGATGTCTATTACGGTCCCCGTGTAATAGAAATGAATGTCGGTCTCGCCGTGGCTTCAAACCGTGGATCAACGACATCTGTCTGGTAAATCATGAATGGATCTGAAGAACGACAGTCGTCTTGTACCGTATTGCCTCTGCCGCTGCTGCTGTTGAGACCCTATGATGGGGCTCTCGGACTTTTTCCAGAAGTGGCAGTGGTTGTCAGGTTCGATCTGCATCTTCTTCCCAGTTGATCAATCCTTGTCATCCATCGCTCATCACTACAGTAGGTCCTAGTCCCAACGTCCCTACCGACTCCGAGCATCTACAGGACATACAACCAACCCGAGCATCCTTCGTTCGGTGTCCTGCGGTGGTGGAGGTTACCGTGTCCACTCGTACCTTCTCTCCAAAACAGTCCCAGGTGCACATTCTTCCACGGATCTTCTTGACACGATGCGGGCGTCAGCGGCGTGGTCAGCGGCGTCGTTCCTCCCACGATTCCGCCTTGGCCCTCTCGGGAGGGGGCCTCACAATGACGGCTCTCACCCGGCGGCTCTACTCTCCCTTGCGGAGTTGGTTGGGAGGACTACCCAAAGTGGTATACAATGGGATTGTGTTGTAGATGAGTATTTGGCTACAGTGATGTGGTTTGTCTGTCCTACACCATCGTCGAGGGCTTCGAGGATGACGGGAGGGAAAACATGGACATCGAAGGATGCTCATCATGGGACACATGACGTCGCAGACCTTGAGGAGCCCTATGCTGCGGGATCTGGTTGGCAGAGGACCCATCTCGCGCAACGGATGAATGTTTACGGACGTTGTGGTCAGCCCTGGCGGACAGGGGAAAAGATTTCCGTGAGGCTGCCTACGTAAAACCATGTCATGTTGGGAAGGAGGTCGTGTTATCGCGACACAGAACAGAACAGAACAGAACGCGCGTGTCGCATACGCGTGACTTTCGCGACTGCTGGACATTCCCATTGGACCCTCAATGTGTGAGTGTGAGTGTGTGTTGTTTATCATCATTATTATTGCTGCACATCTGAAGTCTTCATCACACATACCCATCTCGATGACGAGGGTTTCATTACCACCGCCATGGTTCAAATACGAAGCATCTCGCATAACAATGTGATGGACTGCGCATGGGAAAGTGGAAGGATTGATGGCGATAATGATGAGCTCATCTCCTCCTCCTCCTCCTCACGAGACATCCTCTGAAAATATTGCCAATTTCACGCCGTCTTTCCGCCGCTCATCTCCCGCCGCCGTCGGCTGATCATCACACAAAGCACTGTAATAACAAGATGTGACGGGGGCGCTTGTCGAGCAATACACGCATGTGTCGTCGTATTCATGGAATTATCATCATTGTCATCAGCAAATGGGAACAACGATCACATCGTCTCGAACGTGATGATCACGATTAGATATGATGGTCTGTACCTGCAGCGCTTACAATGGCACATCCTTCAGCACATGATTGCATATTTTTATTTACTGTGCTTCCATTGAATGCTCATCACTGTTGTGAAGGAAGCGTATCGTCCATTAAATCCAACATCCATATATATCCCCTTGGAACGAAACCCAGGGCCGGGTCGCGCGAAAGGGTGAATCACCACCCTCCTTTGGTCGTTCTGCCGCCGCCCGACGGAGACAGGATTTCCATCGGTCAATTAATCAATCCATCATCATCAAGAGGGTGATGATCCCGCTGGATCGACCACGTCGCAACATAATTAACACAATACGATCATGGTGAATCAACTCCCAACATAACGAGGTACTACTGGGTATCGCCATCCTCTCCCTGCATCCATCATAGTTCCAGTATCCGACATCACGATACTGTCGTCTCACGGGAAGGAGGACACGGGTGTAGAAAGTCCCAGTCCCGCCTCGGCGAAACGGTCCCGCCTGCCTCGGAGGAGAGGAAACTCTCCGGTTGCGTGCCTGCCTGTGCTATTCCCGGCGTGCCTGGCATCACCCGTTGGGTACATTAGATCCTGGGGACGATCTTTCTTTGGGGGCTTTATATTTTGCTCTCGGGCGGGCGTGACGAGCGAGCGAATAGAAGCCCAAGAAGGAAAGGGAAAAAAAGGCAAATTCCCCTGGATGCTGCTGCTATGCCATAATGGTCTCGGCAGAAATCCCCCCAAAAAAAACCAAAAACCAAAAAACACGAAGAGGAGGGAAATGTTTGTTTCGTCGTTTCGTCATGCGAGCGGTCATCGCATTGTGTTCCTTCCTGCTTTGATTTACATGTATGGACAACCAGTGTAATCTTCGCAGCAAAGTGTGTGGGATTCTGTTGGCCTGAGAGGATCATCCCGAGGTTGGGGCGGGAACTACTACTTTTCAGGTATGTATGTGTATGTAAATGTATACATGTATATGTGTGGAAAGGGTCTGGCATCGCATCGTCTCCGCGTGAAGATCATTCCTCTTTCTGCGGACCATGCTATGCTATGTTATGCTGTGTGCATGTGTGGGGATGTGATGATGGTGGACTCACGACGGGCAGGGCGGTCGTTGATCGTGACGTCTCCGGCTATCAATCGATCAATCAATCAATTGGAAAGACCGAAAAGAAGGGCCACCATACATCCGCCGTTTCTCTCCCTCCTCTGTCTGGGACACTTCCCCATGCACCACCTCGGAAAAGATTTCCCAGGCCCGCCCGCTTGCTTGTCCTCCGCGGGACTCGACTCAGCCTTGCAGCTGCATACATATCCTGTGACGGCGACGGTCATTGGAAACTGTTCCAGTCCGGGGCAAGCCGTTTGCTGTATCCCACGGGGTTCCATCCATTGGGCCGTATTGATGAGCATTTCAACAGTGATAGTGGGATCATGATATCCATAATGGATAGGTGTCTCGCCCGCTGCATGCACGCTGCTCTCCATCGGGAAAGAAAGAACCAGCCCGAACAGAGAGAGACCCATTGCGGCTCGGGTATGTTGTATTGCAAACAGGAGCCCACCCATCGTTGTGATCGTTATTACTATGGAATTGTATTCTACCTTTGTTGCGGGAGGATGACGTGGTCTCTTCCTTCACAGAGTTCGTCATCGTCATCTTTGCAAATTTACACAATTCTTCCGGCGTATTTCCATCATCATCGTCAAAGCAGGCAGAAAACGGGCGCAGGGATAAACAAATAGAGTTTCCTCTGCAGAACAGCCGATACCTGCCAAGCATCAGCATAGACCCCTCGTAAAGGAATCCGAGCTGGCGAGAGAGAGAGAGAGAGGCAGGGCCCGATGTCTCGTCCATGCGGCGAACCCTCCCGAGACAGCGTCTCCCTCGTCGCAGTCGGGGGAAAACAGAGGACATGACTATTGATTGTATTTCTCCGCGAGGAAAAGGGAAGAGACATCGGACCCTTGATCGTCAGGCACCCACCCGCCAGCGCCGCTCACGAAACTCTATCTCCCTCTGTCTCACTCTCTCCCACTTTCTCTATCTCCCTCTGGTCTTCGGACACTTTCCTGCGCCTCCCACATAGAAAAAGAGGTCTTGCTGCCCGAAAAAGAAATACCCCCCACCCGCGGTCGTGGCACGGCGTGATGCTTTTCCCATGGTGAAACACTCGCCGAAATTCATCGGGCGAGAAAAGAAAGATCTATGGGGTGATTCGAAAGCCGCTTGAGTTTTCCTTTGGGGCCTCATGATGGTCGAGGTCCCCTCCGCAGATTCCCTCCTTGATGGATGAGTCGAAATGAACCATTCTACAGTACAGTGCGGGCTGGACTGTCGGTTTGATGAAACACCAGCCCCCAAAAGCCGCGACGGAGCAGAGAACGAGGTGACTATTCTAACGTGGCTGGATGATTCTTCCCATGTGAAACTTGGGCATCTGAGAAACGCGATTCTAACGGGGTTTGGAGCGTCCGTCGGGAAAGTTGAACGTCGGGTGAGAAGCGGACGGCTTTCACGGGTGATCGTGACCGTGACTCGCGCCATGAGATCCAACGTACTGCAGGTCGGTGTTTCGATATCCTACCCTATCTTAGCTGTGGTTCGACAACGCATAACGACAACATATAACCCCATCGCGAATCTCCCAATCGACCCCGTCACGTGCGTGTATGTGTGTGTTGTTGTTTCCACGCCCATCAACGTGCTCGATTGACACACGTACGCGAACCCTATGATCAAATGACAGGTCCGCCCCGTAGTCCACGGGTCCTCCACGCGAGAGGGGAGGTCGGATGTCGGGCATCGATATGGTGATGAAGGCGGCGTTCCATTGGCTTGTTTGGGTTGAATGGCATGCAGCGGCGGAGAAAAAGCCGTGGTAGAGGGGCGATGGCGTCCACAGTCATCGTGCTGTGTGGGTCGTGAAATCACCGAATTGGTTCCGACCTGCATGTATATGCCCAGGTCTCTGTGTATATGCCCACGATGACTGGAAAGGCCGAAGAGGGAACGGTTCGCGTGTGTGGGTGGTGCTGTGAGCCAGATTTCTGGGATTGATGATGATGATGATGAGAAGAAGATACAGTATTGGAGTTGAGAATCTACGACGATGTGATTGATTATGGGCTGCTCTGCTGGCTTTTTTGGATTGAGGTGTGGAATTTGGTCAAGGACTGGATACTTGGTTCAAGAGCTGGATTCGAGTTCTATGAGTTGGCAGGATCTAGAGAACAGGAGAGATAGTTTCTACCAGAAACATATGCTTAGTTTCCTGCTTTTCTTCTCTTCGAGAGATTCCGGTTCGAATCATCTCCACGTCCCATGAACAGAACTCCCGCTGCCATGCAATCACATCACATCATTAACCACATGCAATCCCAATTCGAGGAGAACCCTCCTCGTCCCCTCTACCACCCTCCTCCAGCGGCATGCGCCAACGCATTCACCCGATCCACATCGCTCCCGCCGGATTTGTTCTTGCCGACGTCGCTCTCCACGACACGATACGTCGTCTTGAGGAGGACGTCCGGCTCGATCCCGGTGAGGTCGCTCCAGTGGGCGAGGAAGTCGCGGACGCGGCGGCGGGAGATGCCGTCGACGAGGTCCTCGCCTCTGCTGCTGCTGCTGCTGCTGCTGCCGGATGGGTTGTCGGTGTCGGTGGAGAGCACGGAGTCGCGGGCGGGAGAAGTGGAGGATGGTGATGATGACGATGACGGAGGAGGGTCGTTTGACATTGTTATATCGCCGTCGTGATCTTTCGTGGTGCTGTTGGTATTGTGAGATGCATTTGCTGAATTTTCTCCGCGAGTGGCATTGCTGCCGTCCTCAGTGTCGCCATCGCCCTCATCGTGAGTGTCGGCAGACCAATATGCCTCGTCAACCTTGGCCAACCATTCCCGCTGAGCAGGCAAAACTTCCTGTTCAAGCCCCTCTCCGTTGACGATGCCCGTTCCGCCGACCTGCCGCAGTGTTGCGACGTCGCCCACCTTGATCTGGCCACCGCCGTTGGTGCATCCGCCAGGACAGGCCATGACCTCGACGTAGGCATAATCGCCATCGGCGCTGGTCCCGGCAGCCGCGCCCGGGCGACGAGCCGTACCCACTTTCCGCGCGGCCGCACCAGGCATACGGCTGGCTTTGGCAGGTTTGAGGCGCCGGACGAGATTCTGGATGTTCCGGAAACCGTAGTATCGCGCGGCCTTGAAGACGGTTTGGCCGCTGGGGTCTAGAACGGAGTATTCGGCAACGTCTGTGTTCCTGCCTCGCTGAAAGCTGATCGTGGAACCGGGCGTTTCCACCTGCCGGGTTTTCAAGATGTGATGGAGATAGCCGCCGCTGGTGCCGATCGATTCGACATCTTCCCGTTTACGCTTCTGACCGTAGCCAGGTGCGAACAGGAATGAATCGACCCCCGGGTCTGCAAATGAAGGCGCGAATTCCCCAGTGACGGGTCGTTTCGGTAGTCTGGGAAAGCTGATGTTGCGACTCTCGGCCAACATGAGAAGCTCGCGAGCGGTGATCACGCAGTCTACATCCCGGACCGCATCCTCCTCCGTCTGGCCATGCCACGAGTGCGAGGTGAGCTCACTTCGAGAAGCCTCTAATTTCTTGTCAAAGCAAGGCATGACGGCCAAATGCCATATGTTCTGAGGCGGAATTCCATATTTCTTAGACAAGACGGATTTCACAAGTACTCCCGTCAAGGCCTGGGGCGACTTGAGTTTGCTCAGATGCGGCAGGATATGCGGGTGCGTCTTCTCCGCATAGCAGATCCAGCCTGGACACGCGGATGTGATGACGGGTTTCTTCTGTGCTTCGTCCTGGGTCGATTGCGCAACCTCGTCGGCAGCGGCTACAAGACTCGCCTCCCGCATGGCGTTGGTATCGATGACCCATGCGAATCCGGAGCCATGCTGACCACCGCTGCGGACACCTTGAGGGCCTCGAAGTAATTGGTCGATCATGTTGCCCGCCTGCCGTTCCGATACTCCATATGTGGCCGCCAGACTTGCTCGTGCCTGGGGCGAGACGCTCGCCACGAAGATCTTTGCTTGCGCATCTGAGAGAGCGGGAAACTGGGATCCAGCACCAGGGAGTCGTAGTTCATGGTATTTGTCCAGGGTATCGAGGACTTCGCCGTGACTTTGCAGACTGACGAGGACCGCTTCTGCACTCGTAACGCAACCCGAACAAGCGAGGCAGTCTGTCAGTGAGATTTGTGCTGGAGGTGGCTTGCTGGTAGATGCGATCTTGTCCTCGGTGGTAACTTCATATTCATTCAGAGTCTCCGTGGGTTGTTGAAGAGGTAATGTTTCCACCGGTTTTATGCACGCGACTCCCGGGTTGATGAAGTCATTCAGATCGTCCGTGGAGAGAATGGCAGACATGACGAAATCTGTGAGGCAATCACCGCAGGAAGAGGATGAATGAAATCGCCAGAGTCAGTCACAGACGAATAAGAAACAGAACCTGCAATAATGTGAATAGAACTATCTCCTATGATATACAACTTTGTAAGCAAGACCTATCTCCATTCCACGGAAGAAGCGAGTGCGAAGTTGGACCAGTCATTGTCACGGCATTTGTCGTCTGAAACTAGGCACTCCAGGGCGCGATCTCGGCCTCGATTCCTGCGTGGCGAGAGATATGGGGGAATAAATTATCGGATGGGGACGGAGGGCCTCGTTCACCCGCACGATCCGTGCCAAGCAATCTTTTCGCCTTGCTTATCGATCAAGCAAACTTTCCCGCACGTGAGCGCGAAGCTTTTCCGCGTTACGACATTTCAACAACATTTGACAGACAACTTCCCAACAGCACGAACCGATCGCTCCAACGATCAACACAATACCCATCGCATCCTCCACCTCAACACAACACACCCAACAAGAATCCTCCACCTCCACAAAATGTCCGCCTACCAACCTCCCTCCGCAGGCGGTTCCTCCTCGCAGCAAGCCTCCGGCAGCCAAACCGGCGGTCAGAGCAGCGGCGGCGGCGCAGGAGGTTACTCCGGCTTCAACATCACGGGCAGCAGCAACTTCGAGGACACGTCGCGGCCGGTGCACTATCTCTGCGGCGACTGCGACCAGAAGGTGACCTTGAAAAAGGGCGATCCGATCCGCTGCAAGGAGTGTGGATATCGGGTGTTGTACAAGGAGAGGACGAACCGGTAAGTCCCTTCGAGGATGGGAGGGAGGTCTTGTAAATACATCAGCTGACGCGAATTGTGTTTTTTGATAGCATGATCCAATTCGAGGCCCGTTGATTGGGTGACGCGAGACATGAGGCTGCGTCGACTTGCGTCGACTCGCGCCGGGCTACCGTACTCCACCGCGTAGTCGGGGCTTCGCGCGCGTAGAAGAAACATACACGAAGGCGCTGCGGTACAATACTGGCAATCGTCAAGGACGATGTGGTGGGGTAAAAAGACATGCCTTGCTTTTGGCGAAGAAGACGAAGAAAAATCCACGAGAGATCCCCACGCCGCGACGACGACGACGACGGCAACGATGAATGATTTCGACGACTGACGATGGTGACGGGACGATGTGGGAGAAGAAGAAGAAGAAGGAAGTGCCCTTCCAGCATCTTCCAGGGAAGGAAGAACAAGGAGAGCTCACGGACATAAAACCCTGGTATATAATACGGAGACGCGCAAGGGAGAACCCCAACTCCCCAGAACAAGTGTAGCAGGGCCTCATGGGACAATCCTTCATTTTCTTTTCCTCCCGAAGGTTCCCATGCCATCCTCCACTGGGAAACACTCCACGGTTCCACCTCACGACCGCAATAGATGACCAAACGCCCCCGAGGGCTCAAACTTGAAATCGTGGAGACGGCGGATTTTTTCTCATGTCTGGATTCGTCGGGAGGGGGGAAAGGTTTGGAAACAGATCGAGAGAAAATTCCGTGTGCTGAAGAAGACCATGGCAGGAAATATATAATAAAAAACGCGAGGATTTCTAATCATGGCCAAAAGCGATGATGAAAGTGATGCATGAAGGCGCACGATTGCGATGATTCTTTTTCTCCCTTTCTTTTTTTCTTTCTCAGCGGCTGAAGGAGAAATTGGTAATGGTGGTGATGGTGGTGGTGGTGGTGGTGGTGAAGTGGAGATGAGACGACCACGACGACGAGAAATGAGCGATACATACCTTGCAACATGCCGTGGAATTTTCGGGATTTATTCTTTGGGGATGTATTTCTTCCCGTGTGATGCCCGATGTACAGGGAGCCGTCAGGGAGGCGACCGCCGTCAGCCCTGTTCCATCCGTCTCTCATCGGCAGGCAGAGGGAGAGGGAGGGTGACGACACCGAGTTCCTGCATGGTCAGCGGACGGTCTAACCCAGCGTCAGATGAGGTGACGAGCGCGGGGGAGTGGATCCAACACGTCAAAGGTCGTTTTCGATTTGTGTTCATTCGGTTCCCCTATCGACGTCGTGTATTCTCCCCATCATCTCCTGGTCCTGCTTCTTCTCCGTCCTGCTTCTCCCTCTTGGAAATTTCCCAAGATGACGGGGGGAAAGAGACAAGAAACAGGGCCAAGCACCTATTCTGCTCTCCCAAAAGAAAAATCAGAAAAGCAGGAGTGGAAATCTCTCTTCCTCGTGGAAGGCCGACATCATGTCATAATCCCACCTCTCCATCGGATCGCCCTCCATTCCCCTTTCCAATCTACCGAAGCCCTGTTCCCCAATATCTCCCCCTTTCATCGCCCACGACGTTCGCACACATCTAAGATCCCCTGAACGCATCGAACCGCTTGTAGGTGTAGCCGATGAACGGCAGGGACATGGTGGACTCGTCGCCGGCGCCGGTCGCGAGGGCGGCCTCGGTCTCGCGGCGCAGGGCGGCCGAGTTGTCGACCTGGGGGATCTCGTCGATGGGGAAGTACTGCGTGTCGATGTTGGACTGCAGCTTGGGCTCGAAGGGCGCGCGGATCCGCCGGAGGCCGTCCCAGTTCACGCCCGCGAAGAACGGGTGGTTCTTGAGGTCTTGGGCGCCGGCGAGGCGGCCGAGCCGGTTTTGGGAGTCGCAGATGAGGCTAACAGATCGACCACGTTAGACCTTTTTGGAAATTGCGGTCTCCTCACATGGACATGACACGTGTGGGGGAAAGGAGAAGTGGGAGAAGAACGTACCTGCGGACAAAGTGCTCGGCGTCCTGGCCGAGTTGCTGGTCCGGGGGGAAGTTCAAGTGGCGCGGCCAGTCGACGATCTTGCGGTATGTCTCGTGGTAGTCTTCGGAGCAGAACGGCGGCCAGCCGATCAAGCATTCGAACATGATGGTGCCGACGCTCCACCAATCGCATCCGAAATCGTAACCCTTGCCGGAGAAGATCTCCGGGGCGATGTAATCCGGAGTACCCACGGTGGAGTAGGCCAGCTGTCGACGAGACTTTCGCCAGGTGTTAATCTGGTTGCGGTTGGAGACGGTGAGCTGGATCTGGTCGATGGAGACGCTGTTGCGGTTCTGCTGCTGCGAGACGGATTTGGGCTTGTTTTGCGACATGAGTTGCTGGTAGTACGAAGCGGAATGTTCCTTGGAGAAGCCAGTGGACAAACCGAAATCGGTCAGCTTGATGTGGCCGCCGCGGTCGAGTAGGATATTGTCGGGTTTGATATCACTAGTATATGATGTTAGTCGTTTGAATCCCATTGGTCCCAAATCATTCTGCTCCCCATGGAGATCGAGAGGGTTGCTTACCGATGGATGAATCCCAGCTTGTGTACTGCCTCGATCGCCAGTGTGATTTCGGCCATGTAGAACCGTGTGATGTCCTCGGAAAAGATTTCGTACTTGATGAGCATAGTCATCAGATCACCACCTGGCAAGAACTCCATCAACATGTACAGGAAAGTGGAATCCTGGAATGAGGTGTGCAGCTTGACGAGCCACGGGCTGTCCGCGTTTGCAAGAATGTCCCGCTCGGCGCGGACGTGTGCAAGTTGGTCCTTCTTGTGCTGTGTCCGAGTGGTCAGTACTGTTGCCCTTTGCGCCCGTGTCGAGCCGAAGACTACTTTGCGACCATTCGCGACTTACCATTTCGTTCTTGATCAAAGACTTCAGGGCATAGATCTTTCCATCGTGTCTCCTCTGCACCAATCGAACCTCACCGAAGGCTCCTTTGCCGATGATCTTGAGCGTCTGGTAGTTCTGGGGCTTTTCACTGGTGCGCAAGAACCGCAAGAAGTTGGCTTCGGATTTGCGGCAGGTGTTCTTGCGGGCTTCCTTTCGGGAATCGGACATTTCCGAACTCATGGCGGTGTCCAGTTCCTTTGCTCTGTCGATCATGGCCACTCGTTAGCACTCATCCTTCATCGCGAATGTCCCTTCCGCTCCTGCTGCATACCTCTCATTTCGTGCCCGAGCCCGCTCGACATTCTCCCGGAAGAACTCCTGTGTCAGGAGCTTCTGCACCTTCATCCGCTCGGTGATAGAGCTCGAGTACTTCTCCGAGTTCTTGACTGGCGGTTCATCGTCGTAGATGGAAGGCTGAGGAGGCATCTGGGGCACCGGGGCGCTCAGATAGTTCGCATAGCCTGGGGAGCTGGTGGTGGCTCCGGCGGTGCGAGGTCGAGCATTGGCGGGAGACGGTTGTCTGTTGTACGGACTGGAGGAACGAGGGGTGTTGCCCCCGAGGTTCTGATGTTGGAATTGGTGTGCGAGACCGTTGGTCATCTGATCGAAGCCGCCCGGCGAGCGATAACCTGCGCCTGGGGAGGCATTGGCGTACTGCTGTTGGTAGCCTGCCGGGTTGTTGCTGTTGTAAAAGTATCCCTGGCTGTTGATGCCACTGCTCGCCGGCTGTGCGCCCCATACCTCTTGCTGACCCGCGGAGTTGGGGAACGGTTGTGGGAAGGTTGACGGAGTGGTCGGGAAAGCCCGACCTTGCTCAGCGGCGAAATTCGGGGAGTTTGTGAAGCCAAAGTTCAGATGGAGGCGGTTCTGAGCGGAATTTGGGTCGGCCGGCAGCTGTTGCTGCTGAGACTGCTGCTGCTGCGATTGCTGTGACTGTCCTGAAGCCGACGCTGGCGATGCTTGCTGTTGCTGCTGCGAGGGAGGCGGCTGTTGGTACGCCATGGTTGCGAGCAGTCTGTCGAAGTGACCAACAGTGTTCTGGAGCAATAGACTGATGGTTAGCGAGACCGATCGGACGCAGGCAACGGCTATTGCAGAGCATACGGCGCCGTACGAACCCCTCAAGAACAATGGCGTTGGGAGGTCAACGGGCAGTCCAGTGAGGCACGTGGAGTGCAGTTCTTCAACAGGTCCAGGAGGCGGCGGCGGCGGCAGCGGAGGCGGTGGTGGTGGTCACTCTAGTATCGGCTAGAAACCACTGCGAGGAAATGAAAAGCAGGTGATGAACTATTCCTGCATGCTACAAGAGTAGAACGCTGTACGGGGAGTGAATCAGGCAAGTGCATGCATTTCGGTGGAGTACCTAGTCGAGGGCATGCAGTACTAGCGGAGCACAATATGCCATAGTTCCGTGAGTCCCTCCAGGGCTCTCTTGCCTCATACAAAATCTCAGGGTGAGAAATGCGGGCGCGACGACCGCCGATTTTGACTACCGGCGGGGGGAACTCCTTAGCCCCAGTGGACGGACGGCGGGCGGAAGGGCGGATTTCACAGGCGAGGTCTGGCTGGCTGGCTGGCTGGCACGCTGGCCCGCTGGCTCACTGGCGGGCAGGACGAGGAGCGAGAGGAGGGAGAGAGAGAGAGAGAGGCACACGAAATTCGCAGCCACCTCTCCTCCTGCGGTACCGCGGATGTTCCATGGTTGACGATGACCTGGCATGACCATATCTGCCCATACTACGATGATTCTCTACATTGACGTGCACAGGATTATTATGATACTGGGCAGAGGTCGTGGGTGTCTCTCCCGCGTACATCTACTCCCCTTTGCTGACCGCGTGGATCGTGTGTACGGGACCAGGGAGATCTCGGTGTGTCTGCAACCGCCTCTGGGAGACTGCCTGCTTCGTGGACTGCCTGGGTACTCATCAATCCCTGTGCCTGTTCCTCTCCGATTCGATGTTCTCCGGTCCTCGGATGTCAACGCCTCGGATGGGAGAAAATATACGACACTACACGCACCGTCAACCAGGTTCGGAGGCGTGTGACGAGCGCCAAAAACCCAACCCCTGGACGGGGATCTCACATGCAAGTCGAAGCACGGCGTGATACAGGGGAGACGATGCATGTAGATTGTACACTAGCCATGTTTTGCAGGTGTTGTTATTGTAGGTACGGGCGCAGGCAGACAGTGCAGACAGACGGCACAGACCGATAGTGCAGGCAGACAGACAGACAGACAGGCCAGACGCAGACAGAGTTTGGTGGGGCAGAGGGGGGCTCTGTAAAAAGCTGGAGGGCTTGTGTGTGTTGTGTTGTGTGCGCCGGCAAAAACTGACCGCTCGTTGATGATCCTCAGGCCTCTATCTCTCTCTCTCTCTCTCTCTCTCTCTCTCTCTCTCTATTAGGGTTTGGGTTGCCTCCTCCAGTACCTGGCTAGGGTTGTCTTCGTTTGTCCCAATTCACAACAACTTCTCGTCCGTCCAATGCCCTTTTGATGCGAAAGGCAACGACACGATACTGCTGCTGTATATCGAACCTATCACTGGCTCTGGAATATCCCAAAATATGATGTGTCGTTCGGCGGAAGTTGGCCGCAATGCATCGATCTGCAAGCATATCTGAAGCTGTAGGTCGTCGGTAGCTCGAAAAGTCATGGTGTGACGTCGAGCCCAAACTTTTCTTCTTCACGTATTCCCAAGAAGACCCACGGCAGTGCATATTTGACTCACACATCGCCCTCACCTCACATCCGACGTCCACGCGCGTGAAGGTCAGAACAGTGTACTGAGCGTCCTCGGATCAGACGTCCACAACTGTGACAGAGGCGGGACCGTGCTTGTCAGGCGCACCGAAGTGAAGGTTGCAATTGTTCATCACTCATCAAACCGGCCTTGATCAGGCTCAATAGCCCCAGAAGAGATGGCGCCGTACACCAACATTCCTCTATCGCCTGCAGAGCTATCCTACCTCCATAACTCCCTCTCGCAAGATCCTCCGGTACGGCCAGATGGCCGATCGACAACACAATTCCGCCCGCTCGTCGCCGAAACCGACATTTTACCTTCCACCAACGGCAGTGCTCGGATCTGCTTCGCCGACGGCACCGAAGCGATCGTAGGGATCAAAGCCGAAGTGGAGAAGAGTCGACCGAGCCGGGGAGGGAACGGCGCGGTCGTTCTTGCCGAGGATGCCTCACAACCGACCGATTCCAGATCCGCCTTACATAGAGATGTGGACATGGACGATGCCAACGCCGATGACGAAGGCGGCGCTGCGAGAAACCAACACGGCGGGAGAGGGGACAACGATTGGCTCGAGATGAGCATTGAGATCCCGGGGCTCCGCGACGACGATGCTTTGCCGGTCTTCCTCGCGGCGATGCTGACGGAGGCGTTGCTCGCGGACGGAGCTGTAAGAGATCGCCTGTGGATCAACTCACGATTTCACTGGAGATTATATATCGATGTAGGTCCTCACCACGCGCGTGCAGCCTCTGGGAGGGTTTTCTTCCCAGACGCACTTCATCTCTCGCTGTCGTCACGTCTCTAGTCCCCTTCACATTGATTTTCCCTCTCTCCATGGCCCACCGCTCAACATCTGACCAAGACGTTTCCCGTTCACACCTCAATCACTTAACCACTCCTCTCCAACGCTTGATTTCGGAAACGACATAGGCTGATACGGTAAGTCAAATTCCCACCTTCTCTTAGATCCTACTTCTCTCCCAGCCGCTCTCCTACCCACTTCCGCTCCTCTCGCTCACCACCCACCTCGCCCTCCTCTCCACGCGCCTCCCGGCCCTCATCTCCGAAAAGGACGAAGACCCACTCTTCAACGACGACTGGGAAGCCGCGGCCTGGCTCTACCCACGCAAGAGCAGCAGCAGCAACACCACCTCCATCACCACCACACCAACCTCCAAACCGCCCATCACACTCCTGGTCATGACCGTCGGCCCCAACACGATCCTCTTCGACCCCAGCAAAGAGGAACTCGCCGTGGCCGACGCGGTGGTCGCCATCTCCATCACACCCTCCTCCTCCTCCCCATCCGCCGGTGGGACCACAGCACCCTTCAAAGTCATAGCTCTCCGCACGATCGACCCTCCCTCCCGCCTCACCGCCGCCGGCGTCCTCAACACCACGGCCGCCGTACCTTCCACCTCAGCAGCGCCCGCATCAGGAGCAGCGGCCGCCGTCATCCCGCCCGACCGCGCCGCCGCCCTGCGCGAACTCGACGCCGGGAGGACCGTGTGGCGACCTTCGCGCGGCGGCCTGAGTCGGGCCGTGCTCGCGAGGATGATCAAGGCCGTGGTGGAAAAAGGCGGTGTGGGGGAGGAAGTTCTGGGGGGGTTGGAGGGCGTGGAGGTCTGAAACGTGCAGATGTTCGCACGGGTTTGTGCGGGGGGATGGTTTCCCCTGGGAGAAAGATTTGGAGAATTGCGGTTCGGAAAGGGGAGGGTTTGGAACTATTCTCTCTCTGTCCCTGTCTCTCTCTTGCGAAACGTTGGAGCGGAGGCAGCAGCGGCAGCAGCAGTAGTCGTAGTAGTCGTAGAAAAGCGTAGATTCAATGATCCATGGTATAATATTGGTCGTGGCCCATCATACAGAACTCCTCTCTCTCTCCAATACGATCACGACCGACCCTCGGGCCCATTCGCTCGCTCTCTCTCTCTCTCTCTCTCATATCATCCCTCTCTCCACGCGGAATAAAGGGAAAAAAAGAGAAAAGAAAAGAAATTCCCATCGCGACTGCCCATCAACACCCGCCAAGCCCCCAAAACGACCCCTCCTTTCAAAGAAACCCCCTCGATCCGGATCCCGATCCGACCGTTCATGCATCTCACCACCGCCCCGCCTTGCCCCTGCCCGGCGCGAAACCGGCCGCTTCTCCAGCCGCGCCTCCGCCGGACCCTTGTTCTCCCCTCCCATCCCTACCTGCTTCAGCATCATCATCATCGACAGCCCGAGAGGAGGAGAAATCCCCGTGGTTCCACCGCTGGATGTCGCCGTCGCATAGGTCCCAGAGGCGCTGCATCCCCTGGACGTGGAGGAGCCGACGACGGCGACGTTTGGAGGAGGAGGGGGAGGAGGGGTTTGATGGAGAGGAGGAGGAAGGGTGCGGGGAGGCGACTGGGGGGTTCTTGGTGATGCGGTGGTGATGGTGGGGGGGAGATCTGAGGGCGGATGATGATGGGGGTTTGAGGAGGGCGAAGGGGTGGGTGGATGGAGGGTTGTGGGTGTCGGTGTTGGTTGGGAACGGAAAGGTTGATTGGAGTGGGAGGATTGGTGAGGAGGAGGATGACGATGCGGAGGAGGGCGAGGAGGATTCCTTCGGCTGGTGGTGGTGGTGTTGTTGGTGTTGATGGCGGCGGTGGTGATGCTCCTGCGCCTGCTCCTGCTGTTGATGGCGATGATGCCGTAATGAATCAAAGACGAGGCTCGAATCACCGCCGGCCCCACGTCTGGCATTCCATCCGTCATCATCACTGTCGCCGTCGTCGTCGTCATCATGCATCTCGTCGTCGTCGCCGCCGCTCTCGCTCGTTGTGCTAAAAGACTCTCCAGCTCTCGCTCTCGTCTGTGTCTTCGCTTTGGTCTTTGGTGCGAAGGCAGGCAGATCCCCTGCGTTGAATCCTCCTCCATTTGCGCCCGCCGCCGTGATCCTTCCGAAGAGACTGCGGCTCACGGTGTGAGCACCGGAGCCCGGCGTGTCGAACTGGTCCAAGTTGGCGCGCAGGAGGGCCTGTTTTCGCGGCGAGGGCGAAGAGAGGAGCGACGCGGCGAACGGGCTGTCTTCTGCGAGTGGACGGTGGATGAGGTTCAACGGAGTGATATTCCTGGCGCCGTCGCGGGAGCTCTCCGCGTGAGAGGAGGACAGGAGGGTGTTGAGATGATGGCGAGGAGGGTTCTGCACGAGGCGCTTCTTTGCGGGGCTTTTCGGCGGACTGCTGTTCTTTCGGGGACTTGGAGGGTATTCAGGCTCCGAGGTCATTTCCTCATCCGAGGAGAAATTGGTGGTCGTGGCGACATCGTTGAGATTGTCGTAGTTGTCGCTGTTGATTTTGTGGTTCTTGCTCGGCGAATCGTCGTTGGCTTCTCCATCCTCCGCTTCTGTCTCCTCCATGATGAGTTCTCCAAGTGGAACAGCAGCTCCATGCGGTCGACGTGGCGTGGCACTCAAGATTGGCGTATGGAGTTTCTGTGGGGAGCGCAGTCGATCGTTTTCTTGATCTGCGTCTGTCATGTTTTCGTCATCAGTCGTGGTCTTCGTTCGATCATCTTCAGCATCGCGCGCGTGGTTGGTAGGTGTGATTTGGCGGTGGCCAAAAATGTCGTCATTGCTGGCCTGAAACACAAAAGGTCGTGATGGAGGCGGCGGCGCTGCCGCTGGAGGCACTGCCCGTCGGATTGGCGCAACAGCAGGTGGTGCTTGCGAGACAGCAGCTTTGGCGCGAGTCTGCGCAATCGTCCTCCGCTTCCTCACAGGTGCCTCGTCGATCGGATCTTGACCTCGCGATTGAGCTTCCACCGCAGCGGCGCGCATAGCCTGCGGGATCGTCGCATTGATGCTCGTCATGAGCTCGGCCCGCCGAGCGAAAACATCATAGCTTTCCTGAAGCAGTGCTCCAGCTTCGGCATTCAACGCGCTATCGGGGTTTGGCTGGATCAGGAGACAACTGATCGTTTGCAGAACATGTGATAGAGTGTACGAACTATCCCAGTCGCGCTTCAAGGTCTCGACGCAAACGCCGCCGGTTTGCGGATCAACATTGGGATGAAATATGGGCGTGCGGAAATGCGCAGTAGGTGGTTGTTGAGGATATGTTGGAGGAATGTTGAGATGTAGCTTCCAGAGGCCCGCGGCGAACGGAGTATGCGTTGGTCCAGCGAGTAGGACATCCAAGGAGGTCAGATCGTCGGCGCCGCCGTTTGGGGGAAATAGGTAGTTTGGCGGTAAATCATTGTGAAGTGTGGCATGTTCGGCGGCCAGTCGCCGAAGAGCACGCGAGTTCTGCAGGCGATTTATTCAGTTGAGCAGGACTTCAAATTGACGCGGTGTTCAAAGGCCTCAACTCACCATGCTGTCGCTGACCTTGCCGAGTGCTCATGAAATGGATTGCCGTTACCCAATGCTGTTCGGATCAATGCTTGTCGCGAAGATGAAGCCCGTAAATAAACCACTGTCAACAATTTCTTTGCGCAATAAGAAATTCGGTAGTCCCAATATGTTCGTAGAATAAGCGTGATAAGTATGTTTGCGACCGACGTGGATGTATCCCGCGAGTCTCAGGTTGACCTCGAATCCAATAGACACCGAGGAAATCTCCGATTTCAAAATTGCCGTTGCGGCGAGAACACGTCATGAAACAAGTAGGAAGAATGGGAGATCAATGGGCGACTGCTAATCGTAGGGAGGACTCCGAGTAATGTTTCCAAGAGAGAGGGAGAGAGCGATCGTGTTCATATCCTTGAGGCGTGACAATAATGAGAATGGCGTTTATTGAATACATACAACAATGGTGCAGCTGGCGGCAGTGTCGCGATTGCGCATTCTGGATGCCCGACGCGTGGTTCGGATTCCGCGTCGCCACGTGATTGGATTCCCCCACAATAGAGAGATCGGGAAGAGCAATGAGCCCGAGCGATAACAACCTTGGAACCGAGTGGGGTGGGTGTGGCACGATTATTACTGTGGGAACACTTTTGTTTCACTGCATCATCCATATATGTAAATAATCGTTCTTTACAATTCTCGATAGAATAGAAAATGGAGACTCGCACTCGCGATGCAATTCTTCACCTCTGGTCAATTGTCCAACACATCCCCCAGCTTGGAAGACTGACGAACAATTTCTGCTGTGAAGCCGATGACAAAAGCAGTCGACACTCGCAACGTGAATAGCTGTAGTGAAGCCCGAATCGACGCGGGTCTTGCTCTTCCGACCCATCGCTGTTCGATTTTGCCATTGGTAACTCGGGAAATCAGAGCCAAATCTTGATTCACACCCTCAGCAGCGTTTTCATCAAACCTGGCTGCACTGCGCCGGGAAACGCCCGAAATCTCTGCAGAAAATCAACAGACCATCCAGAAACACCTCAACTCCCGAACTCCCTCATTTAAAGCGTGGGCCGTACTCATCCGGCGACACGTCACATTATCGTCCTTGAGATCGTTTACCCCGTGAGACTATTGCAACTCTTTCATAAATGTTTCGAAACCGTTGATCGTGATCCTGGAAACATCTAGACCTTGATGGCGGCCTGCGGTAACCCTGCGTTGGATGATTCTTTGGGGGCTGCCTGCGTCGCCGGCTGCGTGGCTTGTCTCTGGACTTGCGTCTCCGGCTTGGGTGTGTCATCACGGTTCGGAATGCTGCCCAATTCTGCGCCCTGCCCGCTCTGACCACGCTTCCTGCCGCCGAAATGATGCCATGCGCTCTTGTTCTCCTGGCTAGAGGTGGGTCGCGTTGCCGCGGCGTGATCGGAGTGGTCGCCACCGTCGACGATCCGAGACAGGATGCCGCGCTTCTTGGGTGGTTGGACAGGCTTTGGGTCGTCGATGTTGATGTCCTCGAAGCGATCCTCTTCTTGGGTCTGTGGTACCTGGAGAGGTCGGTTGTAGGAGTTGGAGGTCCGTGGAGGCGGAGGTAGAAATGTGCGGCTGTCGAGGGAGGCGCGTTGGCGAGTCTCGGGTTGGATCACGGGCGATCGTGCTGAGATGTCCTGTATCGATCTCGTCAGTATCCGTCGTGTGACCGGCATGTCGCGCTCCTGTCCAGGCTTGCGACTCACGAAGGATCGCCGATACGAATCGAAAGACTCGCGCGAAATGTTGAAGGGCTCATTTTCGTCGTACGCGCATCGGGTAATGGAGGAGGAAGTGGTGGATCGTGATGAAGTGGTGCCCCAGAATGATTTGCGATCGGTTGGTGGAGGAGGAAGATAGACACCCGAATCGTTGATTTCTAGTGACGAAGGAAGGTTGACGTTAGCCCACCGTTCGGCGTTTCGCAGCGCGGGAGTTCACCTGCGAAGCGACTCACCACTTAATTGATACTCGACTCGGTTCTTTGAATCGATATCAATGACTTTGGTCTCGTATCCTGTTACGACCTCGTCGGAACTGGGCCGCACGTTCTCATCCTGCTTTCGGAAGGGATTGCGGAGGATGGGCATGTTGAATAAGCCGAAGCGAAAGCGCCCGTTGATTTGGCGCTATGTATGAATGCTCGAGTGGGCGATAAGCTGTTGGGCGATAACGGTAGATGATGTGGAGAAGGACTGTTCCCGTCTATGTGCAAGCCGAGAAGACGTTATGCGTATACCGTGAAAGAGAATATGGAATGGTCAGAGTGAGGAAGAGAGAAGAGATCATGGATATTGATCAGTGAAATTACAATTGAGGAGGATGGATGCTCGAGATTGGGCGGATGCGCGCTTGCTTTGGCTTGGATCGACTGACGCAGGAGCGACGAGAGTGTGAGAGCGTCGCATAAAGATTTTAATGTACGGTACATACAACTGGGGGGGGGGTATCACAATCAGCATACGGGAGACAGATCTGGGTGTGGCAGTGGAGCGATGGGAGCACGAGAAACAACCTTGGAACCTTGGAACTAAGAGACGCCTCTCACACCGATCGGACATTCGGCATCCGTTCTCTCACGCCTTCACTCTTCTCACATCACATGTAGGCGCGAAGTCCCCAAATTGGAAATTGAGCGTGCCTGCCCGTCTGCCCTGCCCTCCGTCTGCCCTGCCCTCCGCCTGTCCGTCTGCCCGTCCACGCCCACCAGGGCTAGGTACTCCACGTCTCACGTCTCACGCTTTCATCAGCTCATCAGAAACCGTACCGTGGAAGCGTATGGGTCGGGCTTGCGGCACGCGGCTGGTGATCGGTCTCATCATCAAACATTCTGGTTGTGATGCTGCAGGTGGACATACACTCAACAATCACCAGGGCGTACATGCAGTATGTAACCTACAATTATACTAATAAACCTCAACAATCTATTACTGCTCTCGCCTGTCTCGACTCGTGTGTATCGAGCAGTGAAGCATTGGCGCCATGACGATGACGACAATGAAGGAAGAGAGAGAGAGGGGAGATGGCAGGAACATGACGAACTCGATCGTCTACTAACAATACTACACAACCGCTTGCACGTGCTCGCGTCTCGTTGATCTCTCTCGCTCTCTGTCTCTTTTACTCGCGGCGAAGATGCCGATGACGAGGATACAGCAACAACGCTCCCCCGAAGCGAAGGATAGCAATGAGAGGATGTACCTAGTTACACACCATCGTCCTGTTGTGGAATTGTGCTCAATTCAAGTGGTGGGTGGTCGGGAGAGAATCGGGCCCGGCGCGCCACACTGGCATTCTGGGCGCATCTCATCACTCATCACCGCCAACAGGAGCATCGTCATCACCCTCCTCGGCGAATCGCGATCGGGCGAGGGCACGCTTCTTTCCAGACTTGTTCTGTACAGTGAATCCTTCATGCTGAAACTACTGCTTTGGATGCATCGTAGCGACCTGTGAGAATTCTTTTTGCCCACCTCGTATGCACACATACGCATCGTTCCCGTCGTTGGCTAAGAAAGGGACGGTACATGGGGAATCCTGTATGCACTGCGCCGCTGTCATCATAGCCCTCGTCTTACTTTCCCTAAGCCAATCCCTCCATCCCTCTGCGCCTATTCTCTGGATGATTTGCTAGGACGAGCGCATGATGATCTGCCGCAGGACAGGATCGTACGGTGCATACCTACCCTACATAGGTAGGCAGGTATACGTGGTCAGAACATGGTCAAAGAATGGCCGAGAAGGACGGGCTATACCCTGCGACATGAGGGAGACTACACCGGTGAAATTTTGGCCCCAGAACATTGCATGTGCTGTATTTAGAACTCTTCAGCTGAGAGTCGATCCCACCTGCACCACGCTTTCTTCGATTTGCTCATTTAATTGATACCTAGGTATGATATTATATATCACGGCTGAAGAGACATGGACCACTCATGCCACAATACGGTCTGCTTGGACGATTGCCCATTCTAAGGAAGTGTTTCCTTTCCATACAATATCGCAGACGCCGGCAGTTCCAGCCCTCGAGCCTACCCCTCACTCTCGTCGCGTGAGAGTCGATCCGTGGTACGAAAAACCCCAGGGGTTCTGCACGCGGACCCAACGGCCGTATTAGAGCACCACACAATGGCTCACATTCGGTAGGGCATACATGGGCACAAAGCAGATCTTGTCACAGTGGTTTTCCATCGGGGCACGATGGAGATCACTGGCTCTGCCCCACCTCTCGCCTGATCTCGTGGCCTTGCCCTGTGCACGTAGAATAGGCGGGCGATGGTCCTCGGCATGTTTCATTCCTCTACACACGACAATCAAATGGAATTCATATCATTGCATCATGTGTGCCAATGCTTCTGAGTACCGGCAGGATGTGTGGAATTGCAAGTAACTCTACTGAATTGTCATCCAGGAGGGAGGAAGTATCTATGACATGATATCTAAATCGTCAGAGGAGCCACCGAGTTTCGTGCTCTCCCACCAGATCATCCTGTGAATTGACGAAGATGTGGCACGGCTTTTGTTGAATTGGGAGGGCTTGCGTGGCGGAGCCCATCGCACTCCAAAAGAGGCGTCCAATCCTGTGCAAATCTCACACACATATTGTATTGCTATTATTACTGTACAGTATCTTGAGCCCAAGGGTCCCCACCCAAAGCAGGCGATTCGTTGCCCAACGCCTGCTTTTGGGCGAATTCGAGACCAATGCAAGGAAGGGTCTGGATCTTCGCATACCGGATTCGGTGGTGTTCAAGTGATCCTGTTTTGATTGTCTAGCTTATCGTCTGCCGTGTGTCGCCCTGTGGAAACAGGCCCGTCGGGTTTTGGTAGAGGTCTGGGTTGTTGGGATGGATGGAATACGAGAACCCCATTGATTTGTTTCACATTGGTGGGTGGACGCAGGGATCAAACGGGCTGTCATGTCAGGGCAGGTGTCAACTTGTTCTGACCGCGGCCGTGTTTCGTCGGCCGCTCACATCCATGACCACAACTCGTCGTGACAGATGAATTCCCGTAGATGCACCTGTCAGGTCGACATCTTTCGCACTCGCGGGTGCGATAGACGGCGATGATGGCCAACATCATCCCGTCTTCGCTACTGCGAACGACTGCAGGGAAAGGGGAAGGGTTGTTCACGAAACGAGATGGGAACACAATGTCAATCACGTGAATGGTCAGAACGAAAGCGCATCAAAAAACTTCCTTCTCGGGGCACAGTCGAGCTGTAACGTAGAGTCGGCATCGTGATGCTGGCATAGCGGAATCCGTAACTATTGTTTGTTCACTCCGGACTTCTACTCCGGGTTTTCTCTTCATCGAGCAACGACCGTTGCGCCGCTTTCCCAAATAGGTATTTTTGATATCTGCTGGTGAGAAGATTTAACAACAGTTTTCAGCACGGACCCTTTCAACGCGGTCAATGCATCTCCAAATACACATGTTTCGAACAGCGAGATAACAACTCTCGTGGTATGACATACAGGAGACATCGGTTGCAGGACCATGGCGGTGCCGACGATTCTCGCAACAGAAGCGACGGCGCTTGACTCTTCCAAGAAGCGGAAACTGCAGGACGGTATCGATCTGAGCAGCGGCGACGGTACCGCCACTCACACAGCCATCATCGTTGAACCAGAATTGGCGCATCACCACGGACACGTCTGTGATGGTAATCACGACCATGACCACCACTACCACGGCGATGACGATGATGGCGAAGACTACGAAGACGACGAGAGCGAAGGCGACATCATGGAGCAAATCATGGACCAGCTGGAAGTGGACCCCTATGTTCCAGGTACGCAATCCATGCAATTCCACCAAGTGAATTTTCTCACATTGTATGATCAGACGAGTCCTTCGGCGTGACCAAAGAAGCCATCAGCCGCGTGCACGCGCGCCTCCGCGAAGTCGGCATCGAGCAATTCTTCCAGGAGAACCTCAGCAACGATCCCGCCAGCGCGCGGCGACTCGGGCCGATATTTGGCCTGGATCCGGAATTGGAGATCGATGATGGTTTCTACCTGCGCGTGCTCAGCGCGGCGATCGTGCGGGCCTACCACAAACGCCAGAAGTTGTATCAGTACAATACCATCGACGACGCGGCGAGGCTGTTGACGACATGCAGCAAAATCATGGTCATCACGGGAGCTGGAATCTCGACGTCGTTGGGGATCCCCGATTTCCGGTCAAAGGGTACTGGCTTCTATGATAAAGTCCGACAGATGGGATTCGATGAGCCAGAAGACGTCTTTGACATTGACTATTTCGAGGAGAGACCTGAGTGAGTTCAGTCCTTTTTCTCCGAAGGGATTGCGCCACATGCTGCACATCTCTAACCCGCCCGTACCTCACAGAGTCTTCTACAGCTTGGCCGGCGACATCCTCCCGGACCAACAACGCTTCTCGCCTACACACGCCTTCATCCGCCTTCTGCAAGACAAGGGCCGCCTGCAGACCAATTACACCCAGAACATCGACAACCTCGAAGCCGCCGCCGGAATCGATGAGGACCGCATCATCCAATGCCACGGAAGTTTCGCCACAGCGACCTGTCGGAAATGCGGCCACAGAGTCAAAGGCGTCGAAATCTACCCGGACATCCGCGCCAAGCGCATCCCGAAATGCGAGAAATGCATCGCTCGCATGGCCTCGGAAGACTCCGCCGCCGATACTCGTCCGCCGAAACGCAGTAAGCCCTCCAACAAATGGGAAGGTGACGACGATGACGATCAAAACGACGACATCCCCCAACCGGGCATCATGAAACCCGACATCACCTTCTTCGGCGAGCAGCTCCCGAACACCTTCTTCGACCGGCTCACCAACACCGACGCCGAACACACCGACCTGGTGATCGTCATCGGGACGTCCCTCAAGGTCGCCCCCGTCAGCGAGATGCCCAACTACATCCCGCACACCGTCCCACATATTTACATCTCCCTCGAGCCCATCCGCCACGTCGAATTCGACATCCAGCTCCTCGGCAGCTGCGACGTCGTGGTGCAGGAACTCTGCCGTCGCGCGGGCTGGGATCTGACGCACGAGATGATCCCGGAGAACGCGCCGAGTCCGAAGGTCCTGCAGGTGCCCGGTCGTCCGCATATTTGGGCCATCGAGGCGGAGGGTGGCGATTCCGTGGGCGCGGCGGCGGCGGTGGCGGCGACGGAGCAGAGGAACGGAGCAGGCGATGCACCGTCCAATACAGCGGCGGCGGAACTCGTGGCTCAGACGTCGACCGTGCAGGACGCGACGCCGGGCACCGAGGAGAAAATCCTTCTCGCATCTCGTCCGGTCACGTCGGAGAAGTAGAATTCCTCGGGCGGCAGCTTTCGGATGTGGTTGAAGAAGGCTGGAGTCCGCGCTTATGTCTGAGCATTGTTGTTATTCTAATGAGGATGGAGGGAGTCCCCTGCGCATTAGCCAACGTGGGGTTGATTTGTTGGAGTTTGCTTTTTCTGTGTTGATTATGCCATCGGAGTTCTGCTGCTTGCGACAGCATCCTTGTGTGAGCGAATCGCTGCGGCGCCTCGGGAAGCGGTGATTTGGGTCCGTAGATCTAATGCATCGTCGGTGATGGCACAGTGTTCGCGAGATCGATCTCGGAATCGAGGTTCATCCAGTCACTTCGCCGACCGCTCTCTCCTGATGACTAACATCTGTATCTCTCCTCGTTCGCGAGAACATACACCCATCTCCCCAATTCACCGCCATCCTCCCACCCGTGCCTCGTCCCACCTCGCCTTCCTCTCCTGCCTCAGAAACGCCAACTTCTTGACCTCCTTCACCCTCCTCACAAGTTCCGCCACCTCCTTCTCCGACGCAAGCCCATCCTCATCAAGCCAGCCCTCCTCCACATCCCTCAAGAGCTGCTCCTGCTCCAGCAAACTAGCGTTCAACCGCTGCTTCAGAGCCATCGGGCTATATTCCCACAGCGCGGCCTCGGCCTCTTTGAGTTTCGCTTCGTGTTGTTGTTTCAGGCCCCGGAGGGCGAGGAGGCGGGACTGGGTCTGGGCGCGGAGCTCCTGCAAGCGGGACTCGAGCTCGAGGGTGTTGTTCGCCAGCGCGATGTTGGCGGTGAGGTACGGTTCCAGGGCGGCTTCGGAGGCGGTTATCGCCGGATGGGTGGTTGCGGGATCGGAGACGAGGGCGGATTGGAGGGTGGGGTCGGAGAGGAGGGTCTGGAGATCCTGGGTTCTGGGAGTGGGAGAATTTCAGGTGTTGTCAGTCGATCTCTTGGGAGTGCAGGGTCGAGTCGACTTACGATTTGTCGGCGAGGATCTCGGGGAGCCAGTCGCTCTGGATCGGAGGAATCTGGGTTTGCGCCGCGGGATTTGGCTGCGGACGATATCCGTTGCCGTTGTCTACATCTGTGGATCCATTATGACTGTAGCCCGGCGGAGGCGGCGGAGGCGGTGGAGGGCGACCTTGTGGAGGTGGTGCCGAGTCCAACGGTTTCGGTGGTGGAGCTGGTGGGGTGGATGTGTAGAGAGTTGATGGCGGCGGCGGTGGAGAGAACGTCTGTTGTGGATGTGACATCTTGTAATGAGCCACGGATGTGTGTATTTCGATCGCTGTTGATGCAAGGGCGAGGAATCTCTGTGTATTATAATCAAGTGTTGACCCCAAGCCATCAATGTTCTGATGCAGATGCGAATTGAAGCTCTGGTGCACAAATTCGTCATTCGGGAAATCGTGGGAGCATCTTCCCACGTGGCTGAGCGTCCGTGTCATGGTATCGGACCCATCACCGGATCCACCTTTTATCTGTACTTGAATCGAAACTCTTAACATATTGATGGAAAATCATTGCTCGTCCATGGGGAGCTTTCGGGGTCACTACGATGCATCGGTACCAATACCAATGCCTGCTCTCACAATTTTGTCCTACAGGAAGCCGTTCATCATTGAGCAAGTGCTTTAAGAGGTTTATTCGGTAGACAATGTAAGCCTTGAAGACTCCCAAGGTTAATGTCACGGCGGAGTGGTGGAGTGGAGCTAACTAGGACATCACGACCGACGAACTTTTAAAAAATGTATCAAGAATCGTTCCTCAATCTGTGGGATGTGATTCGAACGTTACGACGTACACTGGACATGATGTGTAATGCATTGTTATGATCACCTGCAGTGCCAGCTCTGTTCATACATGTGTCGGTGCCGAGCGAATTTGGTTCGAGTCTACAATTCAGACACTACCAATACCTTTGCTGCATCCTCTCTCTTGATATCTTGCCGCAAAAGCCAGCCGATGCCAACAACAGAGTCGACCAGGGCTTTAGCTCCAATGCTCACATCCGAGGTCAGGACCCAATGACCATGAGGGCATCCTGTGGTCAAATTTGTCAGCTATGAAGACGGAAGAAGTTTTTATGAGATCTTACCTGGATAAAAATCCATCTTGGTCTCAACGCCAGCGTCTTTCAACATCTCGTCATACACCAGGCCATCATCCCGAAGAGGATCCAGTCCGTCGACCTGGAAATAAGTTCGAGGTTGTTCATTTATCGGGGTTTCAGAATTGACCGCGAAACGCAGCTCTGATTTCACATCACCGCCCACCAGACGTGCATTCATCTCCAGGTTCGACTTGCTCAAAATCGGCGCGTCTGCATTTTGTTCTCTTGAAGTCCAGTAGGGCTTGTACTTCTCCGGCACCACGCCTTCCCACATGAGCGATGGAATGCACAACCATTGCCCAGTCAGAGCAGCAGCGAACGGCTCGCGTGAAGCCAATCGTGACAGACATGCAGAGATGTTCGCTCCGGCGGACACGCCTCCGATCACGAATCCTTTGGTTGGATCGGCCCTCAAAGACTCTGCGTTGGCGGCGATCCAACGAACGCTGTCGATAGCATCTTCCTGTGCTTTTGGGAATCTGAATTCGGGACCCAGACGATATGTAATGCTTACGACAGTAGCTCCTGCTAGTTGTGCGAGCGCACGAGCAACATCTGTCTGTTGCTCGTTGTCGCCAGAGATGAAACCGCCTCCAAAGCTGAAAACAACCAATGGGCCTGGAGCAGAGCCTCGTGGTCGAACGATTCTCAGAGAGCTTTGGTGGCCGTCCCGCAAGGATATCTTCTCTTCGAGCTCTTCGAGTCCGTCGGGAAGAGGTCCAATACGAGCCTTAGTCTTCTGATTGATGTAAGCCATGATCGCGCGTGTTGGAGTTGGGTCATCACTAGGCCCGTTGCCACCGGATGGAGGCAATTTAGACAAGGCCTTCCATCATGTGAGCATATTGATTTCACGAGCAGTGATCCTATGAGGAAGCTTGTTACCTGCAGCACCTCCGGGTGAATCTGCCCGGAACTGATGATCTCTTCCTGGGACAAAAGCATGACGGCGATGTGTTCTGTACGAGCGCGAGATGAAGGCGAGGAGAGAGGAGAGCTAGCTATGTGACCAGATCTAATGACGAGAAGCTGATATAAGTGACGGCAGTCTCCCAATGTGAATATATGTACACCGAGGTAGAAATAATCGGTCTATCGGTACACATGTCGGGCGATGTTCCAATATGTCAGCACCGTGGGGAACTCGCTGCTGATCCATTATACATTTTGTACACCAAGGACAGCGACTACGACATAAGAACTTCCCTGCGGTCCGAATTCTGTTCCGATTGACCGAGATCCTGCCAACCTTGGAAAGAAAGGATATGCTGTCGGCAGATTTTCTGGTCTCTATACGAGTGATGGGTTGCGGCGCCATGATCGCCTGATTCGGCGATCGCACAGCAATTATGCTCACAACATCTTGAAGGGAGATCTGCGAGGACATAATTTAGTGTGACGAGAGCAAGAACCTTGGGAGTTCCGAGGCTGCGATAATCGTCCATGTACGTCAGATGTGTGGAGAAGCTTGCACTGGTCGCTTTGTGCAGGACAATGACCACTTGGAATTTCGTGTTCGTATTCAGTCATGCAGCATATTGAGGTCATTTCCAACCATAATCCTTACATTCCTCAGGCAAAAGTCACACATGCATGCAAGGTGGTGTCTCGTGTGCAGTAACTGACATTCGAAGCATACGAACAATATTGCCATGGAAAGCCTCCGCATTCCATAGAGAGTATCATCGCCAGGGTATGGCCCATCGCCGACTCCCTTACACTACCTAAAGCCTTCCGGTACCATTTCAAATCTCGCCAGCGACCACGCCTTGGCCTGTCCACCTATGAATGCATCTGCTGGACGTTGACCAGGCTTCAGCCATTGACTCACAGAGGGTGAAGTTTATCGCGGCGCAACGGTCTCGCCTATAACGCAAATCTTAACTCGTCATGAGTGCACAAAAGAAGGGCGGCTGGGGTTCGGTCTTCTCCGGAGCCGTCGCTAACCTTGAATCGCGGCTCGACAACATCCTCGCACCTGAAGCTGAGGTTGCGACCCGAGAAGCTGCGAGAACTAGGGTCAACGATCGACTGGCGGAACGTCTGGCGAGAGCGACGCAACAGAGAACACCTTCACGAACATCCACTCCCGTTAACGACGCCACTGGCGCTCGACCTAGCATTGACGAGACGCGCTCCGCGGACCACTCACGACCCACCACTTCGAATGGCACAGCACAGCCTGTCGCGAAGACAGCCGACCAGAACGAAACGCAATCCTCCCAACCAGCCGCGGAAGACCTCCCCAAGCCGACAACTTCATCGGAGGTCAATCCACTACAAAGCTCTCGACTGCCAATCAATCCAGCACGTCTTTCGCTCGACAGCACTCGATTATCTCTAGACCAGTCGCGCGGAGATGTTGCGTCGGCAAGGCAGTCACTGGACCTCGCCAATGGCGCAGGCCACAGTGACCGGGATGCCGCGGAGCTGCAGGCCCGGATAGATCAAATGGAGGCGGATTATGTCCAAGCTGAGCAGCAGCGACAGGAGGAGATGCACACGTATTTGGAGCGCATCGATGCGCTGCAGGCAAAGTTGACGTATTTAGCTAAAGAGACGGTTGCAGCGGCAAAAGAAGCCAACGCTTCAAGTGCGGCGTCTGAAGCAGATAAGCAGGTCGCAGAGAAAGACGAGAGGATCGCGTTGCTCATGGAGGAGGGCGAGAAGCTGAGCAAAGTCGAAATGCGGCATCTCCAGACGATAAAAAAGCTGCGAGCGCAAATCGCAGACAACGACAAAGCAGCGGCTGAACACAAGAGGAAACTCGACAGGGCTGAGCGCGCAGAACTAGACTACAAATTGAAATTGCGGAAATCAGAGCAGGCTGAGCGTCATGCTAGTGAGAAGGTGAAGAGCATCGCGACTATTGAAGCACAAGTGGAGGAATTGCGCATCGATCGCGAAAATGCGTCAGAGCTTGTTCGCGAATTGACAATGCAACTCGCCGAAGCGAAAGAGAAAATAGCAAAATTGGAGAAAGATCTCAGCACAGCACGTGCGGATCAAGCGACAATAGCAAATCTGCAAAACGAGCTGGAAGACGCACAGATTGAGAAGAAGCTAGCAGAAGATCGCGCTGCGGCAGAGATCCGAAAGGCGAATGAAGCGGCGGCACGTCAAAAAGAACGATACGTCGCACGCGACGAAGAGCTTCAGCTGGAAATTGCGGCTCTGGAGTCCCGACTCGAAGCAACACGATCGCGAGCCGAGGAAGCCAGTGCAAACGCTGGCTCAATCGGTGTAGACGGAGAAGGCAGTGTCAAACTTATGCGACAGATGGAAAGCTTACAGCAGCAATATTCGCTGGCAAAGGGCAACTGGGATACGATCGAGACATCTCTGAACGCGCGTGTTGCGGCATTGGAGAAAGAACGCGACGAAGCCACGCGACGTGAAGGCGAAGTCCGCAAGAAAGCACGCGATGCCGCTGCTCACTCTCGAAGCCTAGAGGAAGCAGCCGAGGGCGGCGCAGAACAAGTCAAACAGCTCGAGCGAGAAACGCAAGTCAAGCAAGATCAGATCTCTGCCCTCGAAGCCAGCCTCGAGCACGCTGAAACCACCCAAGCGGACCTCAAAGCAGAGATCGACCGTCAGCGGAAACTCTTCGACGCTGAACTCACTCAACGCCTCGAGGACGAAAAGCAGAAATGGCGCCGCGAAGTCAGCGGCTTCAGCCCGAATCCCTCTCGCACCGAGTCACCAACGTTCAGCCGCAAGGCCTCGTCCATCTTCGACTCCTCCAGCGGCCTGCAAATTCGCCGTGCAGGCGCCCGTCTCGCCTCCCAAGAACTGCCCAGCGGCACCCAGCACGACTCGCGCATCCACAGTCGGCGCAGCAGCGCGGTACCCATCCCGGGCCTCGCACGAATCCCCAGCCTCCCCAGCGACGTATCGCCAGGCCCCATCCGACGCGAATCCGGACCGCCGTCTGACTCCCAGAGTATTCCGCCCACGCCGTCGATCGAGATCGACCAGCATCCCGGCGAGGACTACGAGGATGTATCTTCGCCGCACCAGACACTCGGCGATTTCTTCAGCACCTCAACGGCGGGGCCGGGGGTTGGGCCGAGCGTGCAATTGGTGGAGCGCATGAGTGCGCTGGTGCGCAAATTGGAGTCCGAGAAGGCGAGTTTCAAGGACGAGTTGATTCGGCTCGGTACACAGCGCGACGAAGCGAGGAATCAGGTTGTGGATCTCATGCGGGAGGTAGAGACGAAGCGCAAGGAGGATACAAAGGTAGCAGATCTCGAAAAGGATTTCGCAGAGCTGAAGAACCGCTACGATGCGTCCTTGGAGATGCTAGGCGAAAGAGAGGAGGAAGTGAATGAATTGAAAATGGATGTCAAGGAGCTCAAGACCATATATCGGGAACTGGTGGAGACCAAAGTCGGAGGGCGATGACCGAGGAGTATGTATGATGTGATGATGCTGATTCCTATCATGTTTTATGAAATCCAAAAGGAGTCAAGGTGGTGGAATCTCAGGCTTGTTACGTTTAACCTGAATTAAGACATTCGATGAAGCGAAATTGAGGTTGTTCCTATTTATTGTCGCTCGCGCTCATTACGATTCCCAACTGTAACAAAATAAAGGGCGTTGGTCAGGAATTACGTTGAGCCAAGACTTCATCGCAAGCCATGATAACCGTCCACACAAGGACAGAAGTATTTTGTCATCCGAAAAATAAACCGTGATTCAAAATTGGGACAAAATATTCAAAAATTGATGTTCTTCGAGAGACCGAGGAAGTGCAAAAGAGAAGCTATCATCGACGTTGGCAGGACTCGAACCTACGCCCCCGAAGGGAATTGATTTCTAGTCAATCGCAGTAACCACTTTGCTACAACGCCTTGGATGATGAGAGACTGCTGAAATGTACTCATTATATACCCTAATCTTGTGCTCTTCCCCAACATCCAACGCTCTCCACCCCTTTCCACAACACCACCGTCACGGCCTGCAAAATTACCCGGATGACGCACTTTCTCACAATCTCCATAGCAAAAATGCGAGCGATGAACTCCCCACTGATTTAAATTCAATAGAACTAGGGGTTCGCTGGAGCCATTACACAAACCCAAAATCAAACATGAGAAAAAACCCGAACTCCGCCGAGCGCCTCGCCTTGGGTCGCTCTCCCCGGATCACTCTGTCGGTCTCGATGGAGACTCCTCCTCGATGAAGCCCAACCGGTGGATTTTGTATCCATTGTGATAGTATCTGCAGCGCTCGCGCTCGACGCGGAGATTGCCGTGTTTGTCGTAGGCGACTCTGAAGCCTTTCTTTACGCTGTTGCGAGCACGCCTGTAGTCCCTGGTGTCCTTCTCGGAATAGTATGGATCCTTTTCGCGAGATGGGCAGCACCCCATGATGTTGGATTTGATGGCTGCGAATGTGAGGTGGATCTGTGTCAACGACCGTTAGCTGGAGAATTCGGTGATTACGATCGAGGAGTGGGTTACGTACAATGATCTTGGGTATGGTCGAAGAGAATGATGCAGTATTTGGACTTGAATTGATTGAAGATCGATCCGAACAAGCTGAAGAAGATGATAGCGAGAGCAGATCGTGAGCCTCTGAAACACCCAACAGCTCTGCTGTATTTATACATCCATGAAAATCGCATTTTGTGGAACTCCATGGTAGAATTTTCATGTCGTCTTCTTCATTTGCTTCAATATGAATGTGACAGCCGAGATGTGAGAGTGAAGTGTGGTCTTTTTCATCGGTACCGTGGGAGAACCAAACTACCAGTGGTGCGACAGCATCGTGTTTGGTACTGCGTCAGTCCGCCACACTAAATCGGGCTCAAATTCCCGGTTATCGCTGCACTGTATTGAAGGTGTGTAGTGCTTTGAAGTTCGGTTGTGAGGCAAGTGCCCTCCAGCGCCGAAGAAAATGACGAAAGCCGGCAATGTTGACCATATATTTTGTCGAGCTCCATGTGATTCGTCATCTTATTGCACCAAGTGCGTTCCGATTGTTCTGTAGCATTTTTTTTGAGTGAATTGCTGTCTTCGCAAGTGACCGAATCGGCTACAAGTCCTCCCGTTGTGTGGCCTTCCAGGTTTCGACGACCTCCTTAGGTTGGCCGCCAGATATGGCCCGTTAGTCGTACCTGGTCCTTGACTTGAAGCCCTAGATCTCCGGGTATACATCACTAAAGCCGACGATCATCAGTATAGATCAACAGGCCTGTATGATGCCGTACTCACGTTCTCCTTGGGAGTGGGATTCTTCTTCGCACTGCCTCAAGCTCTGAGAAGTCTATCTCTGCCAGAATAACCTCCGGCTCCTCAGTCTTCTCTCCGCCGAGCTCGGCTATCACTTCGCCCCATGGATTTATGACAATGCTGTGACCGTAGCTGGTCCTCTTTTCGTTGTGAGCACCAACTTGTGCCGCCGCAATGACATAAGCTTGACATTCAATAGCACGAGCACGTAACAAAGGCTCCCAGTGAGCTTTACCGGTCGGGATCGTGAAAGCCGAAGGAAATAGAATAACCTCTGCATTCTGACGCTTCAGGGCAAGCGCAATCTCCGGAAATCTCAGATCGAAGCATATCGCAGCCCCGACTTTGCCTACGATGGTATCGAAGGGCGCAAGAATCGTGCTACCTGGTTCAGTGGTATTACTCTCCTTGAGGACAGGCCCCCCGGGAATGTCTATGTCGAACATGTGGAGTTTTTGGTATCGGTGTGCGATTTGGCCGGCCTCGTCTATCCATAACAACGTGTTCTTGATTCGATGGCTACGAGGGTCATCGCTAGGCTCGTGAACTCCAACGGATATTGGCAAAGAGTGTTTTCGCGCATCCTCTTGTAATCCGATGATGAATGGAGATTGGTTCGCGGGTTTACAGAGTGCTATGCTCTCATCAGGAGAAGCACCGATGTAATCGCTGGCCTCTGGAAGGAACACAGCCTGAGCGTGATAAGTTAAACTCGAGGCACACCATGGGGCGTGAGTTCAATATCACCTTTGCACCAGCTGCGACAGCCTTCTGTATCACAACGCGGCATTGGGCCAAGTTATGTGTCAATGAATTGGTCGAGCAGATTTGACCAATCGCAGCCAAGGCTTTTCCCTGCGACAATCGTGCTGCCATTCTGAAGTGTTTCTTTAGATGAGGGTGCACTCTCAAATGGATCCATCAGAAGATGATGAATTACTTTCATCAGGTGATCGTACTCTGCAGCTATTGACCAAGATCAGCCGCTGGCGCGCGCGTCGACGGGGATGCTCAATGCAGCCGCACGGGCAACATCGTTGCCAAGACTTCCATGACCTCCGCTTGAAAAAATCTTATGGCTGAAGTTCTCTCTTTCTTGCTCCAACATCATTGTTTCAAATGCTTCAGAACGGGCTCACCACATGTTTAATGTCAGGTGTATAGACCACTGCGACCGCGCAATGATCTACAATGGCTTTGCATGTTGCGCGACACGGCATGGCTTCACGAACATAGCGACTGGGCATCACGCCTTGAGGTATGCAATTGGTCTATTCATTCGTCAAGCTCTTATCTCACAAGGATGTATCAACACGAACAATCCAAAGCCTATGAAAACCGTGAAGGATTCAACCGCTCTAGAATTACACTGACTTCGACACTGCACCCAGCGCTTTTCTGCAAAGGCTCACTTTTGACTAAATTCTAACATGCAAGTCAGATGTTTGCTTTGATGGCCTGAGTTCCAACCATTAGCCGACCACATTCCAAAGGTAAGCTCCTCCATTCATCCCTTCCACCCCGATTTTGTGATGATATTGTGACAATGAATTGGCATTCCTCGATCTAAATCTCCATGTCGATTTGTCTACCTTAAGTTTCAGCCTTGTCTGACAAACAAATCTACACAAACCTCTTGCTGTTGGCAGTTTGAGAGAGCTTGCGCTAATAAGCTACCAGGTAAAATTTCTACTTACCCCTGCATCGTTCCTACACACCACTCTACGGATGAGACCTTCAACGCAACGGGCGGGCAGAGTGCTCTCAAAGCCTGGCAGCCATCAAAAGTGAGGCGTACAAACCTCGCGGCTGTTCGGGTGATGAGATGCTTGTTGAGAAAGCGTTTTCTGATCAGAGTTACCATCTCCGCACATATGTCATGTCGTCAGATGTACTCGCCAACATCGACTGACTCAATTTCAGGTGAGTTTCCATTCCTTATTCTTCTGTGCGACACTGCGATGATGAACACTATTCACACTGTTTGAACGACCTCAGGTCGTTATGAACGTACATACACTGAAAATTCTGATTTAATGAGCCTGATCGCATTCGTATCCTTCCGACCGCTGCATGTCCAGCAATCACGACACTTGATGTACTGACATGCTTGGCAGGTAAACATGGAGCATAGCCCCCCTTCTTTTCCAACTCAAAAATGTCGCAAACGATAGCTTTCGAACGGTTGAGAAACCATTTTGAGTAAGTTGAACAACCAGACTATCTACCCTGTCCTGATGAACAACAATATTCGCTGTGTTCTTACCGAATTACATTGACGATACAACATCATATTCACTTTGGAGACCTGATCACACCCTTATTGTCATACGAGTCACTCATTGCTTTTATTTGATGTATCTCGCTAACGACGCAAAGCAGTGAAGCAGATTTTGACCATCGCCCACCCAAGTTGTAGAAGCTCTGATCTGAAGCACCAGGTAGGCTCGACTATTTCCTTTCGTTGCGAACACTTCGCACAACCTTCGAAATCTTGTCTTCTGTCCGTAGAAACTTGTTACAAATACATGCAGTATAAACACGAATCGGATTAAACTTGTCGCTCGAGAACCGTCATCCCCTCACCCAGAGAGAAAGTCGTGTTGGTGATACACAATGTGATAGAAACTCCTCCAGTCTTGGTCATTCTGGAATGCTCTTGTGGCAACCGCATCTTTCACGTTCCAACGTTCACCATAACCACAAAAACAATAGGAAAAGGATGCCGATGAAAGCCCCCAGGATTATTCCATCCCTTCGCTTCTTGCTGCCGATCCTTTGCATCAAGCCATTGATACCTGGGATTTGAGCCGCGGCGCCAGTAATTCTCCTCTGGATATTCAACAAGCTTTCCCTTTGTAACCCGAAGCTCTCGTTCACAGCATATGCCTGTGATAGTACAGAGTCGACTACGTTGTGGCTGTTGTCTAATCGAGACCTCTCGTCGAGCATATATTCTGCCTCCGCCGCCTCAGGATTCGCTGACCGATACGCTTTGATGTCGCTTCGCACATTTGATAATAGGTTTGCTCGGTCCCGAGTATGCGCGATCTGCGCCTTCAGCCTCGAGAATTCTGTTCGGTGTTGACCCAGGATTTCGCGATGTCGGGCAAGGTTGGTGGACTTGAGAGCCGATGGTGTTGTCTCGGAGTCGAGCACACGCGCAAGCTGTGCAAGTAGAGATGATCGCTGTACATAATGTCAACTCCGCTCAGCCCTCCATATGTGTGCTCCAACTCCCAACCCGACCAGATGCTGCCCTTACCTTTTCCAGAATATCGTTCAGCTCTTTCTCGACGTGCTGCTCCTCATCGCTGGATTTCGACGACAGGTCCGCCTTGGAGGCGAATTGCGAATATGTGTGAAATAACGATTCTGTCTGAACGCACTGTCAGGGGCACCCTCTGGTAGTAGTCGCCTGGGAACGACTGACTTGTGTTTCCTGTGCTCTCGCTTGTTGGCGGAGTTGGGCCCAATTCGAGGCTGTTGCTGCCATGTTTTTGAGCGTTGTTGTGATGTTTCTGTAAGGATGGCCAGGCACAGAGCTGTAGGGATGGCTGGGCGCACGCGAGTCACAAGTGCAAAGTCCAACTGGGAGCGTGTCTGTTGCGCAACTTGGTCAGAAGACCCTGGAGAGCATTAGATCACGAACTTGACGTCTTCGAAGCCCAACCAGCGGAAGAGCCGACTGCCACTAAAATCCGGGGACGATCAGAAGTCCGCTTGACGCATGGCGCAAGTTGAGGTGCCTGAGGCGGCAAGAGCAGCCTGCATCGGCTGAACGTTTCTCCGACGCTAATAATCTCAATGTCTTGGCCATCACACCTGCTCGAATTTGCGGTGCATAGAGCACGAGAGCGCATCCAGTGACGACAAGTTAATATTCACCCGACAACATTCATTCAAAATGGTATGGAGAGCCTCATGCGACTATCAGGATATGCCTGGTCAAATTGCTGACTCGCGATGTTCAGTCGACTGGAAAGGTTAAGGCCGCCCAGCTCTGGGGCAAGAACAAGGATGACTTGAAGAAGCAGCTCGACGAGCTGAAGCAAGAGTTGGTGCAATTGAGGACACAAAAGATCGCCGGTGGCGCGCAGTCAAAGTTGAACAAAATGTACGGATATGATTCTCCGGTCATTCATGGAGCTTGAACATTGGATAAGCACGTGTGGATGAGGGATAAACATAAGCTTATACGGCCACAGTCACGACGTCCGCAAGTCCATCGCCCGAGTTCTTACCATCATCAACGCGAACCAGCGAGCTCAGCTTCGCCTTTTCTACAAGGGTAAGAAGTACACACCTCTCGACCTCCGCCCCAAGCAGACTCGTGCCATCCGTCGCCGATTAAGCCCCGAGGAGGCCAAGATCGTCTCCGCGAAGCAACAGAAGCGACAGAGGCATTTCCCTCAACGCAACTACGCGATCAAGGTATGACCTACATGGATGAAGGAAACCGGGGGAACAAATAGCTGACAGCTGGATAGGTTGTGCCATGAATACAGTTTACCTTGGGTGCTATTTCTTACAGGGTGCATGCATGAGCGCTTCACTTTTTCACGGCGAAATGGACGGTTGGGCGCAGCGATTTGCTAGTTAAAAGCCTGGCACGTGTCGCAAAGAGAGACGAAAATCAAAATTACTCAATTCATTTTGGTCTCCAGTCCTGTTTCCGATGTCAACCTCACACTGCCAGTTCAAGGACGTTGGAACACTCCCTAGATACCACGGATTTCTGTTCTGGACGCAACAATCCTGACATTAGACTTTTCGGGCCGACAAACTTCAAAAAGCGAATATGAAAAAGTGATCAGCCCTGTCATGTGCCGAAATCACATCGTCGTCAACCGTCGCGGACCATGCTCTTTTATCATTATGTCTTCGATGCCATCACCAAAGCTTCCGGGGCAGCATCTTCTCGTTGTGACCTCGTCATGGAATGTTACATTAACCCAGGCTTCTACTATACAATATAGAATCACTCTGCACTACAGCGACTTCGGCTCCGCAGGCAGAGGCATCCGCGGACCGACCGCATGTTTCTGCGCCCCCGAGGATCTCTTGGGTGCTTTTCGGGCTTCCTCGATCAGACGTTTCAGACCGCGGACCATGCTCTCCCGCTCAGCAGGCTCTGCGACAGCATTACCAGCCCACCGAATCCTGCACTCCTGGTCGACCAAGTAGACGTAGCCCACACTTTCGTTGAGCAGCCCAATGGACTCCTTCATCTCCTCACTCACACCACGCCGTACCATGAAATACCGCTTCTGCTCCTCCACTGACTTGCCCCGGCGTAGATTGCCTTTGAACAACTGTATAAGCCACCACCGCAAAGTGTTCGGCTCGTAATGGATCCATATTCGTTGCGCCACGTCCTTACTGCTTTGCAGAACATGGTCCAGCTCCGGATTCTGTTTCGCCGAGCAGAACGTGTCTACTTGTCCCTGCGCCCATTGACTTGACAAGATGCTCACTACAGACACCTTGCCATCCATTGCCGTGCACGAATCCCTTCCTTGTCCACCGTACCCATCCTTGACAGCCCGTGCCGACTCCTTGTGAAGGGTCTTCCCGAAGAAATTGGGAAACCACAAACTATACTCTCCCCGGAACAATTTCTCATTACTCGTGAACATCTTGCCCTTGTGAAAGCGGAGATTGCTCCAGTCGCGGAAATAAGGTTTCGAGATCTCCTTTCGCATTTGAGCTCGCTTCTCGAGGTGCTTGTCGTAATTGACGAAATCCTCCCGTTTCTGCGCCAGATTTCGTCGATCTATGCCCATGTTGTCGCCTGGTCGCGGCGGACTGTGCATGCCTATCGGTCGAGCGAGCGGCTGTGGCTGGAATTCTGGATCATCATCTTTGCGACCGCGCAGGCTACGGGGCGATTGTGTCAGAAGAGGACTGTTGATTGCTCGGACGGCTGGACGATCGGATGGAGGAGACTGAATCGGAGGTGGTGGTGGTGTTGCGTAGTGTCTCCTCGCGCCGTGGAGACATGGTTGGGCGACTTCTGGGAACGCTATGAAACGCAGAGCACGAAGGCCTAACTGTGAAGGCGCCTTGATTATGTCCTTCATTTTGGCGCTCGGAATCAGTCGGTTGAAATAACGAATTGTTCTGTAATCATTCCCCAAGAAGAAGGTTGAACATTCCAATGTACCCAAATAGGTTTAAAGCCTCCGCATTGCCGCTCTTCTGTTATCATTGCTCATGGCAGGCAGGGCTTAGGGTTGACCGTGGCACCTGTCCGCACGCCCACGAAAGATTTGAACGCTTGTTTGGCAAGTGGCATGCCGACAAATAGTCCTCGTTGTGACACGTTATCTGAACGTATCCTTACACCGAGATCTTGTTGTGCAACGTGTGGAAACAATGAAAAGCTCGTGGTAGACAAAGCAAGGCATGGAACCAAGTGAAGAAGGTCCCACAGGTCACAGCGCTTTCTTCACTCCCTGGACGCACAAGCGAACTTCACCTCGTCTGAATGTGGAAACCCTTCATTCGTTCGCGAGATGGAATTTGCATTGCTATCTTACATTTCCAACGACTCTGTTCAACATACTAAGAAGAAAAACATGCAAAAAGTCGTGCCATATCTAGAAGCATAAGATCCAGTCTTGGTGATAATGGCAATGATGATCTTACACTCTCACTGAATATCTCGCATGTCTTGGATACCACAGCCCGCTGGGGCCTCGCGCCGACTCAAAGAAAAGCAAAGCGTCCTCAATCAAGACCTGCCGATGGCCATGGCGGAGGCAAACTCGGCTCCATATCAAAGTAGGTCTGTATGTGGTCGTACTCAGAAGAAGTCCCAGTCGTGAGAGGTTCTATTGGTCCACGCTGTCTATGATCGCTGCTCGCTCTGGCGAAATTCTCAACACCCGTACCCGCGCCGAGCATCGGATCGACGACAGTGCGCGGTGCAAAGGAAAGCTGTCCATAGCGATGCTGCTGGTCGTGGGCTAGATTGGAAGCCGCAAATGTCTGTTGTTGTGGCAATCCTGAAAAGCTTTGGAAAGGCTGGCCATACTGTGGCTTCCGTGCTATCGAACTCATCGATGATGGGTACATGCTCGTCGATAATGGAGACGTGCTTGGAATTCCGTACTTGCCCAGCGAAGGTACGTTTTCGGCGACGGCGGGCATCTGCAAGGAAGGCATTTGTTGCACCCTCAGATTCTGGTCGTAGTGATGGTCGTACGGAACCATAGGCATCGGCGAGCGGACATACATGCCGGTTTGTGTCTCGAATGAACGATTTTTGGAATCCCACGAGGCGCTCGAAGAGGACAAGGAGTCTGCACCATCGTATTGCGCATGCGGCAGCCCCGAGGTTGCGACATTCGTGTCCCGGATGTGGCGCGCGGTTTCGGTAGCACGCCGCTCGTAGTATGGCTGCGATTCAAAGCTCGACATGCCTTGGTCCATCGACGACACAGGTTGAATGACCAACCTCTGCCTTACGTTTCTGGAATACTGTTGCGCGTCATCGTTCAGCTCGCCAGCGAGCTCCTCATCGTCCATCACGAAGGCCTCATCGTCAGCAGCCCCGCCACGCTGACGCTTGGCTGTGGCCTTGCTAGGAGAGAACTTGTAATTTGGATATGCGAGTTGGTGGTTGGTGCGCTCGATCTTCGCCCAATTGTCAAATTGATTGCGAATTTCTTGTGGCTCCATCGCCCAGCTCCTGCCGGAAACTTTGGATACGTGCTGATGATTGTTCTGTAGAAACCACTGTTTGGTACGATCGGCATATGCTGACCGATACAGCATGAACGAATTCATGGGACGAGGCACTCGACCAAGCCGGCGTGCGGTCTCAGCATGACGTTCAGCAATGGAACGATTGACCCAAGCATTCGTATCCTTGATTGGGACAGGAAGATTCTTGGTCAGCTCGGACAAGGGTGCATCCAACTCCGGAGTGCTGGGAGTTTCTGTCAATCTTCGCTTTCTCGCTCTGGGAGTTTGCACTGGCAGCTTATATCTTTTGCTGTCGTTGCTGTCCCGGGGCGAGTCTGATTGTCTGACAGAATGACTCATTTGTGTAAAGTCATCGACACTCGCCGTGTTGGACGATGATGATGGGAATTCGCCGACACGACCAGAACGGCTCGAGTAACTGGAAATCATCCGATCGTTCTGATGAAGAACAAGTCCTGTTTCATCCAAAGGTATGAAAGACTGACGGACCTGTGGATCGCAATTGTCAAAAGTGGCGAATGGTGGGAACAATTGCGGGATGGCCATGCCGCTGTGCTGACGCTTTGATTGGTGATTGAAGCTGTCGGCGAGCAATTCCGCGTCCATAGTGGGATACACCTTATGCTCCGAGCAGTGAAAGGTCAAAGATCAAGAAGCGTTCTGGCTCGATACACAAAGCACAGCCACCAAGAAGGCCTCGCTTAGAGTTCCAGAGCAGTGAACAATGTGCAAAGAAAGGCCTTCAGATGAGAGCGTTGCGTTTCGTCTAAAAGATAATGAAGACGAGGAAGATGTAATTGTCGCTTTCAGTTGTACAGGGAATGTAACGATGATATATGCGTCTGTCATCTCCTGCAGCGCAATGTGTCGTCGGGCCTCACACGACACATACGGCGATCATCTGCTTGTCAGTGATCTCCGAGAGCCAGTTAGCCTTCCTCTAATCGAGATCACGACAGAACCTCAGACTGGTGCTCACTGGTCGCATTGCGGACAGACTACTATCGAGGTGAATCGGGCGCTGTATGTCTGGCTGTGTGTCTGATGGTGAAGGTTTTGATAATGTCATGAGCAGGTGACATGCCATTACAGCAAGTTTTCGGGTGGATGCACAAGTTCTTGCGCCGCGTCCTTCCCGCCGTGTATCACAGGCCTGTAAATCGCTGTGCAAAAAGGTGGTGGTAGCGATTACGCTCGCGTGTGCCCCTTGATCCACCGTAAGCACCCAAACCGCAGCCCCATCACCAACGGCCAGGTTCCAAATCTTCAGCTGTAACTGGGAGGCAAACGAACACAAGCAGAATGGGTCGACCCTTTTTCGTCTTGTGTCGTGCTTGCAGCGTCATGAAGTCAAGACGCTTCGCACGAGAATCCACATTCCTTTGCCTTGCTTGTCGTTCCTGAAACGCATCTATGTTCCCTTTCAATTGCTTAACAATTGGACACTTCAAGCACATTTCAACTCGCGACACAATGCTACTCATAGCCAAGGGCCAAAATTCACCCTCGATCATGTCGTGACAGGGCAACACAAGCCGGACATTACAGCCACGAAATTCGGACATGGCAACGTGTTTCAGTATATTTTTGGCGCCGTAATATATTCCTTCAAGGACTAATCCAGGTTGATTGAGAAAAGCGGACCTCCGTAGTGAGCCGCCACACATTGCTATTGCAATATAAAAGGACCGAAGCGTGAGCCGATATACCGTCGTTGTGGATGCTGCCGAAACCCGCAAGCAAAACTCATCGGCACCATCCGGGAAGGTCGTGCGTCGGTGTTTCCCACTGAATTTATCATTGGGCGAGCGTGTGAAATATCAAGCTACCTAAGTCGAGGTACATTCTTCAAATGCTGATGCGCTTCCCGGTATGCATACGCGGAGATCGTCGCACGCTGCTCATGACACCAACTCTAAGCAAGGGTAAGGCGATCGAGCGTGTGGACTAGGCTGGTCGAAGACTGTTAGCTCAGCAGGCTCTTGTGGTACGACACCATCTAGAGTGGAGATAGCTGTGAAGGCATGCGCAAAGTCTGCTTTGGTACAATCCTGCATCGGCGCTGGCTTGCGCCGTGCCAAATGGTTCCTGTCATACACACGGGCTTGACACGTCAATCCACCCCACCGTTGAAGGTGGATCGACCAATAATCTCTAACTCTCTTGATGGTAGCTCCACAGACGTCAAGAATTAGCGGCGCTAGGAATGCACCAGGCGGCGAACTGAAGAGCTTGTAGCACGAGGCACACGCGTGGCACACTTCTTCTCCTTTAGCTTGTAGCCACATCAGCGCCAGATGCCCAAGTGTGAGGACCGGAGTTCGTACGTTGTGTAGTCGGCATCGCCGAAACCTTTCATCTCATGATCAAGGGCCCTGAGCGGCTGCAAGCGTGCAGAAAGTTTGTGGAAGCACTACAAGCGGAAGGTGCAAATCGCTGCAATCCACGGAGATGGCTGAAGACAGGGGCATTGATCTGTGTACAGCTCACCCACGACATCCCACGTCGTATGAAGTTCGTTGCATCCTCATATCATCACGAGACCCGTTGAGACTCACGGTGATCGATCAAGACTCCGCCATGCGAGCGTCCCCATCGTCGTCGTCCTCCAACTGATCATCATCGTCACCCTCTTCGTCAGTAATGCCTTCCCAATCATCCTCCGATTCTTCCTCGCCATCACCGTTACCCTTCCCTTCCGCTGGGCCGAGTTTCTCATCGAGCTTGACTAGAAGTTCCTGGACATGAGCAAGGAGTCGGTCATCTTCGTAGTCTTGAATTTTGAAAAGCTTCTGAGCCGATTGTAGCCATCGCCGACTTCCTTTGAAGGCGGCTTGAGCCAAACGTTGAGACTGTTCTTCGACCGTCAACGTGGGGGCATCGGTGCCTGCTGCCGATTTGATTCCAATACCGTTCTCATAGTCTTCGGCGACGAGGTATTGGCACCAGCCTCCAAGATACCAGGCTTCCACACTTTGGTCGTCTTCTTGGATCAGACGATTTAGGACCTTCCAGGCATCTGTGTTCAGCTCTGCTTCCATCAAGAGCCTTGACAACGAAATCTTCGTCGCAAAATCAGGCACAGCGGGATCTTCGGGCTCAAGGTCCTGCCACACTTGCAAAGATCTTCGCAGAGCAGCTTGTGCATCTTCCTTGCGTGTTTGTGAGAGGCGTATAGATGCAAGAACTTGCAAAACCTCCGCACTAGTTTCATCTTCGACAGCAACAGCTTGTGTAATAAGGCTTTCACAACGTGCCTCAGCATCATCCTCCCACGACAAGTCCGTCATGTACACCTCGATAACAGCACAGAGTGTGTTGGCGAGCTTACGCTTCTTCTCCGCGCGCAGTTGGAGTAATTGCTCGGCATCAAATCCGGTCACCTGGCCGTTCTCGATCGCAGCGATTTCATTCTGAAGCGCGTTCACCCCACGCTCGTACCACGAAACACTCTCCTGGCCACCTTCTTCACTGAGCTGCGCAAGCCAGAGGAACTTTTCAGCGCCGGACATTTGTGCTGCGGCGATGTCGCCGTTCGGGTCGAGTTGCACGGCTTTTTCGAACCAACTTCGAGCCGAGTCTACTGCGCCAAGCTCGATGCTGATCTCACCCAGTAGATTCAACGCGGGCAATTGTTCTGCCTTGGGACGATTTTGCACGTTGGTCCATAGCTGCTTCGCTGTGTTCAATGCATCGGCTGGCTGGGATTGTTCGACCTGCTGGAGAGCAAGCTCGTACAACTGCTCCCGCTGGTCTGTCATTTTTTGTCGGCGCTCACGTGCTTTTTGACCTGGTTTATTGTTCTTGGTTCTGCTCATTACGCGGTGAACTCAGGCCGTAACAGATATATGTTGAAAATGTGTTGACCGATATCTAGTTAAATTTGTGAGGTTGTTACATAAAATTTACCCAACGATGATGGAGGGCCTCACTATCGATAAGCACAATGATCGTGCAGGGAGCCCGTGCGCGCAAATATTTTGGTGCAGCGGAACACCCGCCATGACGATGCACGCTAGCAGTCAAATGGAGAAAGTGAAGAGGATGCCCCACCAGCGTTGAAGCAATTAATGAATTGCTCTGCGACTCAACACCTGGCGCAAGCATGGGTATCGAGGAACAGCGCGAAGAGCGCGAAGTTCTCGACTCTATATTTCCGGACGAAATTCAAGATGTGGGAGAAAATGGATTTCGCATCACAATCCAGCTAGATGTGCCCAAACAAGATGACGATGAATCGGAAGATCCTATCGTAATTCTGAATGTGCGATATCCGGAGGCGTATCCTGACGAGGCACCAACATTGGATATTACGCAACCGCCAAACGCTCCGAAATATGCTCATTTGGATATTCAAGATGACAAGCAAAGCCTCCTTGAAGCTCTGCAGCCAAGCATTGAGGAGAACATGGGGATGGCCATGATCTTTCAGCTCGTTAGTGCATTGAAGGAAGCCGCAGAGCTTCTTATCGAGGAGCGGCGCCAGAAGATAGAGAAGCAGAGGGAACAGGAACTTCTCAAAGCTGAACAGGAGGAGAACCAAAAATTTGAGGGAGAGAAAGTAACCCGTGAGAGTTTCCTGGAATGGCGGGATCGATTCCAAGCGGAAATGAGCGCAGATGCAGCGAAAAAGCTGGCAGAGCAAGAAGCTGAAGAGAAGAAAAAGCGTGGTGGGAAACCAGAGGAAAAGAAGCTCACAGGCAAGCAATTATGGGAGCAAGGTCTTGCTAGCAAGCTAGCGGATGAGGATGAAGACGACGGCGAGGACGTCGTTGAGCAAATGAGACAGATCAAGGTTTCATGAGCCAATATCCATGGCGAGTACTCAAGATGTCATTGTGCGAAATGCAAGCCGCCGCGCCATTGCTGCCATGAAAATGATGCTCCACGACAGGTCTAGCACCATCAGGCCACTCCCATTTGGCAGCGATTGACCATCACGTCGACGTTGCGGCACTTCGCCGTTGAAAATCCACAGATGCACAAGCTCAGCGCGCATGCTTTCCATAGGGGCATGTAAGGAATTTTCTCTTGGTGGAGAGGAACCTCAGCTGTCCGTGACAAGAAGGCATTGAAGCAGCATATTTATTTGAGATACCCTACCTCTCTTTCGCCGAGTCGAGACTATTCAAAGCAATGAAAGGTCGCATAGCTCACCCAATCTAAAATTTGCGGGAGCCGTGATGCTGCGATCATACAGCGCGAATATTTATTCATCGCCGGACTATTTAACACCTGTGCGGTGATGAACGCGACCGATACGCGTCAAATCGTGGCAACGGAATCGACAATGCACTCCTGTACTCAACACAGGCCAATGTAGTCAATCGAGTTTTGAATATGAGCTGCATAGGAAGCCGTGTCTTGATGAGTAGTATGCGAATTCACAACCTGCCCATAGGAGACTACTTTGACTCATGATCACAACAGTCTTGGACACGGTCTTGGGCACGCTTCCGCCGCGGCAGGCGTGAAGAAATTCCACCAGTGGTAGGCCTGATGACTAATGACGTCGATCGCCAAATTGCCGGCAACGGCATGGTCATCATGCGGGGACAGGGTGCGGGCCGGTAAACGGAGGGTGCAGAATGCTGTTGTGTGTATCAGACTAGGTTCAATTGACGTGCTGTGCCAAAAAACTTCGGTTTGCGCCGAACTCTACAATGACTATCTCCCAGTGTCACCACAATTTTCCTCCTCTCTTCCTCCTTCTGTCAACCTCTCTCCCTTTCTCACTTCCTTGACACCACGTCTGCGTTGGAGAGAGAGATTGTTCGTCATGGCGACCAACTCAATCAAATTGTTGACCGGTAATAGCCATGGCCAGCTCGCTAAATTGGTTGCCGAGAGGTGTGTGTTCTTTCACGATCTCATATCCTCCGCCGCCAACGCAAATTCCGCGTGAAGAGGAGAGGGTCTGACTGTGACTTATATACAGGCTCGGTATTGAGCTTGCGAAGATCGTGGTGCTGCAATATTCCAACAATGAATCAAGCATCTCAATCGGAGAATCAGTTCGAGACGAAGATGGTAAATTCCTTGCCGAGCACACGACAGTCTAAGCGCAAACCTGACAAACGACCCAGTCTTTGTTCTACAGTCCACTGAGCCCGGCAACATCAACGATCACATCATGGAGCTGCTCATCATGATCAATGCCTGCCGAACCGCCTCGGCTCGTCGCATCACCGCCGTCCTTCCCAATTTCCCATACGCGAGACAGGACAAAAAAGATAAGAGTCGGGCACCGATTACCGCCAAGCTTATGGCGAACATGCTGCAGACAGCCGGTTGCAACCACGTCATCACAATGGATCTCCACGCTAGTCAAATTCAAGGATTTTTCAATGTGCCTGTTGATAACCTCTACGCCGAACCTTCGACGCTGCGTTGGATCCGCGAGAACCTGCGCGTGCAGGATTGCGTCATTGTCTCGCCCGACGCCGGTGGTGCGAAGCGCGCGACCAGCATTGCGGACAGCCTCGACCTGCAGTTCGCGCTGATCCACAAGGAGCGCGCGCGACCGAATGAGGTCTCACGCATGACGTTGGTTGGTGATGTTCAGGACAAAGTCGCCATTATCGTGGACGACATGGCCGATACCTGTGGAACTTTGGTCAAGGCGGCCGATGTCTGCATCGACCACGGCGCGCGGGAGGCGATTGCCATTGTCACACACGGAATTCTCAGCGGTGATGCGATCAACAAGTTGAACAACAGCAAATTGAAGAAGTTGGTGGTGACGAACACTGTGCCCCATGAGGAGAAGAAGAAGCTTTGCGATCGGTTGGAGACCATTGACATCAGTCCCACGGTGAGTACAAACGTTTCCGATATGCGGAAATGGAATCGCTAACATGCTGCCCAGCTTGCCGAGGCCTGCCGGAGAACACACAACGGCGAGAGTGTATCATTCTTGTTCAAGCACGCACCACTATGAGCGTCAGTCCGGCTTGACATTGAGAATGGTCTGGTACAGAGATATTGTTATAGTATCCTTTCTGCGAGTGTCGCCGTGCTTTGGATCGCGCTGGGGATGTTTTCGTACGTCACATGAAGAATATTGTCGTCGCTATGGCATGCAAAAGAACTTGGCGTTTGGGGATTTTTGTACCCATCACACATCTGGAAAGGATCTTTCTCGAAAATCATGAAATAATTTTGCCGAACGTCTACGATTACCGTGACGATCTCCGGTGCGGCAGTCAACGGTTGACAGCAAGTGCGCGAGAGGATCAAGTTGCCATACAAACCTGAGCTGCAATGCTTTGAGGATGATTGCTCAATTAGTTATACTCATGATACTGAACGCTAGCATACTGTCATATTTAGAACTGAATTCCGTTCTGCTTCAGAAGTCCCACATCTGGCCATTCCCGGGGCGTCCTTCCACTTCCTCCGCGTATTCACGTCCTCACGTGTCGGTGGGAACATGGTCAGGGTAACGCGCACCCGCAGTGGTGAAGTTCTTCAACGTCTCATCAATCTCCGCCATCTCCTCATCCGTGATGTCGATCAACTTGCTATTCTCCTCGACTCGCTCCACGGTCGTCGCACCAGGAATTGGGATGATAACTGGCATGCCCGGACGGCGCCCTAACGCAATGGTCCAGTTGATAGCCAGCTGCGCCGGGGTGCAGCCCTTCTTCTTGGCCATGGCCTCGACTTGTTCGACAAGCTTTAGGTTGGTGGCAAGGTTCTCTGGCTGGAAGCGTGGGAAGTGCTTGAGCATTTCGAAGCCCTTGATGTCATCGACGGTGCGGATTTTGCCTGATAGCATGCCCTTGCCGATGGGAGAGTAGGCGATGAGCGGGATGTTGTATTTAGCGCAAGCATCTGCGACTCCGTTCTCGAGGACTTCGGTTTGGAAGCTGATAGGAAAATCCATGTTAGGATGATGCATCATGAAGTTGATTGAAGGAGCCGTTTCATCCCCGCACGGCTCATCGACACTTACAGAGACAACTCGACTTCGACACCCACAACCTTGATGTGCTTGACCGCCTCGTGAATGGTCTCAGCTCGGACTTCGGACAAGCAAATTCCGCCAACTTTGCCAGTGTCAAGATATTCGGCCTTTTCGGTGTCGAGAGTGAGCTTGAAGTCGGCATTCTGATCACGACGTGCGTATTCAAAGATGTCGAGCTTCTTGCGGCCGTTGAGTTGCTTGATGGTGTGATCGATGGTGCGACGAACACCCTCCGGGGTACCATCGGGCTTCATGGTCTTGAGGTCCGCACCACCCTTGATGCTGAGAACGATCTTGTCGGCATCTTCGGGGTATTTCTCAAAGTATCGCTCAAGAAGGACGTTGCTGTTGTACTCTGGAGGTCCGTAGAATTCGCCTCCGTTCCAGAACGTACCTGAAGTGAATCATATCAGCATGGTCAAGCTTAAACAAGTGGTGATCAACCTACAGCCGTTGGCGATAGCGGCACGCATCGCTTCAAATGCCTGCTCCTGTGGTGGGGGGCTCTCTCGCCAGGTAAAGCCCATCAGGCCGAAGCCGATAGGGCCAATCTTCTTGCCGACAAGTTCAAGGGACGACGACATGTCGAATTATCCTTTTCTTAGTTAATTCGATTATTGGGATCGGATTATGTACAAATGGATTGCGTTGTCGTCGCCGACGTGAACCAATATATAATATTTCTAGTCTAAACGCTATCGTAAAGCTGACGCGGATATCCGTCGACGTCACCGATCTCCTGTACATGTAGGTGTTGCTGCGGGGATTGCGGGCATAAATCCGATCGGAGATAGAGTCTGTTCAGCCCTTCGGACCGTCGACGTGCATATCGGTCCGCGCGGGATCCATGAATCCAGACCCGAAATGGTCGACATGTCCAACAGCATCTTAGCGTGCTGAAGGACTGCTGCCGCTTTTGAACATTGCCATATTTGGTCATGGTCGAATACGGCTTAGAAGAACTCTGGTTTGAACCTGACACCAACCTTGGGCGAGGGCATGCGATCTGATAGGATTGCTCCAAATGCTCAACTTTACATCCTTCTGTTCAATCCTCAAGCTCGCGGTTTTGTGTCTTTTTCGAAGCCATGGCTTGCAATGTATCACTGGACATCTAAATCGCGCAAAGAGTAGCTGACGAGACGAGCTCGTCCAATCGCTTAAATCCGTTTTGCATTGCTGCATCATCTCGAGAGCAGTTGATCGATGTCTGGATTATCCTTCCGCAACGCGGTCAGGATGTCATACCAGACTTTATCCTGTAGTAGTTTATTCTCCTCTCCTTGAAGCATCGTTGCCGGCCTAGAATCACAATAAGTCAGCAATCAATGCAAAAATCCCTCACGATCACCTCAACCACAATCCAAGAAGAATTCACTCACGGACGAATGACATCCGATGTCCAGAATTGCCCATGTCCTTCCCTGCCAAGGGTCAGAGCCGAGATATACGTCCGCGCACCTTCCTCGGTGTTTCGGGCGAAGATAGATCCCAAGAAATCCTTGAATTGGGCGAGAGCCGGGAAGTAGTCCTTGTGAATGTCTGACCAGACGGCTCCGGGGCACACAGCTACACAGTAAACGTCTGGCGGGTCGCGTGCCAGTGCTGGGACGTCTTTCAGCAAGCCAGCTTGAGCGTACTGCAGAGAATGTAGATGTTAGCAAAATGGGTTCCTGAGCCTCGCCACTCATACTCCTCTCGTAGGTCTTCTGCCCGATCTCATGTGCCTAGAAATGGATCATCGGGCTTGCGTCACTCATCTGACTCGCTCTGCCACTCACCATCAAGAACAACTTCGAGTAAGAATACTGCGAAAACGGCAAAGTCCCCGTCCTCCTCTGATTATACACCTCCAACGGTCTCTTCGCCTCCCTCGTCCCAGGTAATAGCCCAACCGGTCTGGGCACCAACCAGTGGCCCGTGGAACTGACAAACTCCAAGACAGGCGTGAATTCCTCCGTTCTCGCCGCCTCCAACAGCGGTAAAAGCAGCAGCGCCAACAAGGTCGTGGAGAGCACATGTACCTGCAACATCGTCTCCCACCCATACATCGACCAAGTCAGCTCCGCCGACAACGCGCCCGCATTGAGAACCACATAATCCAGTTTCCCATCCAACTCACGCTGCGCGCGGTCCGCAAGCGCTCGCAGACTGGTGTAGTCCAGCATATCGCAGGGCCAGACCTCAACGCGGGCATTGAAGCGACCGGCGCGTGCAAGGATGCTCTCGCGAGCCTTTTCGCCCTTTGATAGGGTGCGTACTGCGAGCACGACTGTTTTGGCGCCCAGCCGGACAAATTTCAGGGCCGCTTCAAGGCCAATGCCTGTGTTCGCACCGGTGACAATCACACTGCGGCCGAACATTGAGGGATGGGTGGCGGCGGGAGGGTACCATTTACCAATGGCGAGTTCAACAATGGAGGACATGGTCTATCGGGTTTGATGAGGACGAAAGAACTGGTGATTGCTTTTGTTTTACCGAAGAGGGGGATGGGACGAGATTCGACAGATAGAACAGTCGTCAGGTGGTCTCGCGTTCGATGTAGGACGAGGTAAAGACGACATGCAAAATGGTCCAGTTGGTGACGTTCGTGATCGCCATGCGCACGTCCACAGCGGAATTAGCGCTGTTTTTATGAGTAACGGTGCTGTGCAATGATGGTCACTTGCAGGCATTCGGAAACTATGACCGCTGGGTATACTAGAGAGAATTTCAACAAAAAGTGCGTCCCTGGGAATGCACAGCACGGATTAGTCCTATGAAGTACTGTATCTTGGACCGACCCGTCGAACGTTGCGTTGACCACGGCCCAACGCAAGCACAGATAATCCGAGGAACGGCAACGATCGATGGACTGCATATGCGAGGAACGAAAGGATGTTTCTCCTCGATCTCGGGAGATGCATTGAATTCCTGCTGGTGGTGGTGTAGGGCTGGGGGCCCCAGTCACTCCGGCCTTAGGGTTCTGGTCCCTGAAGTGGGACTAATAATACTGTAAGACGAGTCTTGGGGCGGAGAGAGACGAACATAGTGATGACGACGAAATTCTTCGGACACGTTCCCGAGTCGGCTCCAGTACGACGAAGGCGGTGCATGAATGTACAGTACTCGCGCCGTTCCAAGCTTGAGGGTCATACTGTACATACGAAGGGTATATGTAGGCACAAATCCCAAGCGTCACAGCCCAGCCGAGGTCCATGGCGGCGCTGTCATCTCGGAGACAGACGTTATCATTGAGGTTCCAAGTTATTATTATTACAGCATTATTAAGTACGACACACGTTATGTTCGTCAGACTCGATGCTCCCGTACAAATTCATCTCATGTCAGAGGCGACCAAAACACGATTTCCAGCTGTCAGGTGCAGATGCCCCTCTTCTCGGAGCTCGTTTGATCTCGAGTATTTTATTGTAGGTCGCCCGACGTGCTGATTTGTGTCTGAACCCTTTCCTGCCCTTTGCAGCCAGGTATTGAGCTTTTCGGCCTCCTGAACACGCCAGGAAAGGAGACCAATGGTTCGGCTGCAAGAGCCGGCTGGGCCAAGCCTGTTCAGATTGATACTTTCGCTTCGCATTTCGCATCTCTGTGTTCACACACCCTACGCAAGCATCCGCCATTGTTTAGCCCGCTGCTGCACTCTGATGATGTCGAAACGAATCTGGGATGCAGCGAAAGCAATATCCGACGTTGAGCTTGTCATCAAGACAAACCGAGGTCCTGGACTGACTTAGCAAACTCCGCACACGACGACAGGAATCCCAGGTTACGGCCACAGTTATATTCCACCGCTTTTTGAGCAAAGTCCGGACTATCCGTAGCGCACGCATCCCGCAGAAGGATGGTATCATAGTTTCTTGCATGGGCGTCGATCAACGTACCCAGAACACATTGGTCGGTGTTCATACCGGCCAGGAGCAAAGTTCGCTTGTTTTGCGTTCGAAGAAACTTTGCGCATTCCGATGCGTCATCCCATAACCCGGAGTTTCGTGTCTTATGGATCAGTACATCCGGCGGTGATAGGCGCTGGCCATCCTCGTAAGCCTGTAACAGTGGGCCATGAATCGCTGCATTCCAGGAGTCGCGCATCAAGGCCCGGCCGGCTGCGACCTGCTTTCCATCTACGGTCACAGTACCAAGATCTTCCCCCAGACCTGTATGCGACCTAATCTCCGTGTCTTGAGATAGGTCGGAGGACCAGTGTTCATCGCCAGTGGACGAATTGTCTCGCTGCCAACCAAAGACTCGTAGGATGCCAGGTCCAATGGTGCGCAGATCGTCATCCGTCAAACCCCAGTTCAGCCATACGATTTGAATACCGGCTTTACGTGCAGCAGGAATCGCAAGCTCGAGCAACTTGCTTTGTGCACGGCAGTATGGTGCTGGAACTTCTCCCAGCAAAGCGCTCGACATCGAGTAGTTCTGCATATCAATTATGACAAGGGCGCTGCGTACAGGGTCGATAGTCACACAACTAACTTCGCAACGCAGGCGCAAATTCCTCTGGTTGGCTGCTTCAGCGGTGGAGAGGCCCGAAGATCTGCGAGTGAGATCCCATCCCGTTGACCGGGACCATTTCCAAAATTCGTCTGGCGGCCCGACGGTCATTTGTTGGTCCATGGCGAGTATCATGTGTAGAGAATCTGCAAACGGCCTGGTAGGACGCTGTGCGGCCCAGTCACCGCTTTCACAAAACCATGGATACTTGTGTGGTCTTTGAACCTCTGGCCCGTCTTATCTAGATTGCAGCGGGCTGGACGGGGGCTGTGGTACGCCGCGTACGCCACAACACAAAGCGTTTATGCGCTAGGACCGGTGAGCCTGCAAGCTGATCTTGGCGCATGCAAGCTATGTAGGAATCACCTCCGAGCTGCGAAATCAAAAGCAACGCTCGCCTATCGATGCGGTGGCGTACACTGCATTGGTGACTTGTACGCCCGGATCTGTCGGCTCACTGGAGTGCATGACGCCCCGCATATGCGCATATGGGATGACACTCATCCCTCTCACTCAAGCCGCTGTCGTAGCTGTTTCCTCCCGGTGATCACTTAATGCTGAGAACGACGCAGAAAGTCGTAATTCCCCGAGAATCAAGACATGCTGCATTCGTTTGCACGACTGCAACCGTATGTGATCACTTTGATGGTGCTGTCTTCCCTTTGTCGCCCTCGAACATTTAGATCAGTGATCGCTACCATGTCTCGGCACGCTGGACAAGAGACCAAAGGTGATAACAGATGAATCCATTCTGCCTACCTTCGATCTGATGAATCTTCGCAGCGCGAAACGTTACGCGGTCTCTGCTGAACATGACTATCGAGGAAGCTGCCACATATCTTCAAGAGGGAGCGTTCACATCAGTGGACCTTACACAAGCATACCTCGCGAGCAGAGGTGGCCACAAGCAAGTCAAGCAAGTCTGGAGCCTGGACTTGGCTTGACTTGAGGCCTCAAAACCGTGGGCTTGACTTGCTTGAGAGGTCCGAGGGGATGGCTTGACTTGCTTGACTCGGCTTGAGCCAAAAGGCCAAAAGTTCAGCCACCTGCGAGAATTGAATTCGCGACCTCGGAGTCTACGATCCCCTTGCTCTACCGCTGAGCTAAGATGGCCAGAGCCATAACAGCTGGACCATTTGTGCCGATGTCTGACCCGGTGTTTTCGGGGCATTTCAATGCTCTCCGAGGGGTGGTTTCTCGGACCGAGTGTTCGGGCCGACACGGAGGATGACGATGTCGTAGCGACGTCGTCCGCGCGACGCTGGAGGTTGGTAGTGGCGTGACGACGTGTCGTGCGTGACGTGGCGATCAGTCGCCGTTCGAGGTTTCAACCGACAGACGGAGATCGAGGTATTGACAATACGGCTGAAGTCATGCTGTTAAGCCGCCGCATTTCGTCTTTCGTGATGCTGACGACGTCCTGTTGAAGCCAAGACTTCATAATCATCAGTGATTCAGTAGTGTCGTCCTGCATCATACGTCTTCTCGGTGACAACGTGTTTCCAGCGTTACTGAACAATCGCTCTGGCTCGTCGGACATGGCTGGCACGGCGAAGATTTCTAGTGCCATTGCTGACAGCTCTGGCCACGTTGTACGCTTGCTTAGCCAGTAGGACACTGGCGATTGCTGAAAGCCAAGATCACTAGATGGAGTCTCCGCCAAATAAGATGCCATCTGATCAACATGCCGATGGCTCCTCATCGCTGAAAAGTTGAACAGGTTGGACTCCAGCTTCTGCTGGATCACGATCGCGTTATCCACTCGTGGTTGTGCCGCGGCCTTGCTCTTTCGGTACGTCTGCCATAGCCGATCCACGCTCTTTTTGGCGGCTTCAGTCCAGCTGCCCTTGTCACTCTTACTCGACCAGTGCGTCTCGCAGTAATCCCACTTGAAAAAAGGATGGAGAACCATGGCGGCGACATAAACCGGCGTGTCATCGAGACGAGTGTAGTAGTCATCGAGTTTGATCCATCCGCGATTCACCGACGTAGCCAGATGGCTCCAGAACTTGTTCTTGTCGTCGTAGCTTGGCTCTAGCTGTGACAACGCGACTTGAGAGTTGATCTCGGCTTGGCACTTTAGCTTCTTTTCCTCAAGTATATCGAGAAGGGACTCGATTGTTGGCAGTACTAGCCAGATGGCGCCGAAGTTGCCGCCGGCATGTCCTTGGAGGGTATCTGTTGCAACTTGTAGAGGCGTTAGTATCTCACGGTACTCTTCAAGGTACGACCAGTCATCCGTCGTTAACGCGTCGTGAACCAGCGACGGCGTCGGTTGATCTTTTTTCTTATGCTGGTGCCATTCACCGATGACTTTGCTCGAGTAGTTATCAATAGCTAGTCGGAGCTGGATAGCACGATCAATCATACTGCTTACGCTATTCCAGCGTGTAGCAACGTCTAAGACAAGACTTTTGACCGAATGCTCAGCACCGTTACTAGATGACGCGATGACGTGTTGCAAGTGCTCAAACTCGGCGATCCTCTGCGGCGAGGCGCGAATGTATCTAACCACGTTGTGAAGCTTGCTAACAGGTCCCCTTGAGCGCCATTCAAGGAGGGCGGCATCGACGTCGCCGGCATACTCGTCAAATAGCTCTTCCCTAGCCTCTATATCATGTCCGAACATTATGGCAGTGGCGACAAGGTTGAAGATATGGCCAGCACAGCGGAGTCTGATCTGGCGCTTGTCGGCGTAGCACTCTGGCAAGTGCGGCAGCAGAGACTCGATGCAGGTGTCGTTGTTAGACGCGTTATCACAGACGAAGTAGCCGACCTTATCCATGATATTGAACTTCGTAAGCAAGCCTCGGAGACTTTGAGCGATGTTGGCGCCGGAGTGTTGACCATATTGACGTTGAAG